CCCTAAACCCTAAACCCTAAACCCTAAACCCTAAACCCTAAACCCTAAACCCTAAACCCTAAACCCTAAACCCTAAACCCTAAACCCTAAACCCTAAACCCTAAACCCTAAACCCTAAACCGAAACCCTAAACCCTAAAAGCATGAGTCTCGGTAGGCGCTTCGGGAGAAGTGCCGTAACCGACCGACTAGCTAATACTTATTACACCTAACCCTAGGTTCTCTGGGCCGTACTGAGGCATGAAAAGTCACTATCAAACCCGCATCCTTCCTGGGCACCTTCACGACACCCTACGGCCATCACTCGTCGACCAGCACGGCACCGCAGACTTCCCCCTCGACGCTCCGGACGTCTCCGGACTCTTGCGTCAAAGTTCCTTCTTCAGTGTTCGTGTTGGGCGACAAACGACCAGTCGTAGTTTGTCCTCTGTGAAAATAATGGAACCCCAAGCACTCCTCTTGCGTGACACACAGTCGATTTGAGTGGAAAGCCTGCGGAACCCCTAGTTTTTAACCCTAGTATGTAACCCTAGTTTCAGGGAGGCGAGTGCGGGACGCGCGCTGGGCGAGTGTGGGACGCGCGCTGGGAGACGACGCGGGGGCGACGACGGCGACGTGGGTGAATCGTTTCGCATTCTTCTTTCTTCTATTTCTAGGGCGCGATCGTTCATTTGCGCTCCACGTGTGGTTCACACATTTGTATTGACGCGGGGGCGACGACGGCAGTCGCGTTGGGGTCGCTTGCATTTTACATGTTCGGTTTCTAGTTTCGCCCTACTTAGTTTTTGCCTACTTTTTTCCCTCCCAAGAACGATTTTAAGAATCGTTTAAATACTCGACAATCGTTTGCGCAGGTCTCGTTCGTCAAAAACGCGACCCACTCGCGCTTGTCGGATAGCTTTGTTTTGGGCTTCGGGAAGGCGTCGTCTTCGCCGCCGAGCGCTGCCAACATGACGCCTTGAAATCTCTCGGTGCCATACGTGCTCCAAACGAGGTGCAAAGCCGCAGAAATATCGGATATCATACTCGGTGGCATCTCGCCGTTTGCTGCTTCGAGGATTTTGCGCACGATTACGACGCTGTGAGATTCCATCGCCGCGGCGACGGCGTCCGCGACCGGCTTGGCTGAACGTCGATTCCACTCGCACGTCCCTCGCTTTTTGTTACTTTGACCCGAGATCTCCGCCGCTAGACGCCCGAGACCGGCGTGCATGGCGCTCGCAGAAGCATTCTTCGCAGTGGACGCCAACTCGGCACTCAACATCACCGGCGCTCGAAGCAAGTCGGTCGCGAATAACAAAGCCGCCGCCGCGGGTTCGTCGGAGACTCCGCGCAGCGACGCCTGACTGACTTCGACCATCATACGAAGATGCGGAACTATTGCGACACACGCAGTGCGCAGTGTCGCGCGCGCGAGCGTGAACGCGCTCGTCCACCCTTCGCAATCTTCGAGAGATGCAGGTAAGACGGTCGCCAAGAGCTCGACGACAACGTGACCGACGGATTGAAATTTCGTCCCTCCAATCTCAATTCCGCATCGGCTATCGCCATAGAACTCCAGCATAACAGACAACGCATCCAGGTAACACGCGCCGAGACCCGGTGCTCGCATGTACGCCTCGACTGAAATTCGAACGACAGCTCCCAAGAGCCCATCGACGAAGCGCGCCAGCTCCACGAGAGCCTTCATCGCCCATGCGACTTTAAAGCGCTCCTCGACCATTCGATGATCGACAATTCGCAAGCTCGTCTGCTCAACCGCAATCGCGGCGCGCGTTGCCAACCCGGCGAGCACCTCACTGGGCGATTGAATGTGTTCATACGCGCTCTTCATCGCTCGAAGCACGATATCCAAATCAACCAAACGACGAACATATTCTTCCGAGCTGCCGCGGTGAAGGGAAACATTCATCGCCTCGATGACGGGCTCGGCGAGCGACGCGCAAGCACTTTCTGTCTGCTCTCGACACTCGCACTTCACATAGAACGTAAGAGCGCGAAGCAAAACGGTTGATTCGTGTTCTTGACCCAGACGCAAAGTCGGCGACGGCGTCGGCCCACCGCGAACGTGAAGCTCGGCTAAAAGAGACGGTACGTCCGTGGCGCCAAGTCGCGAAGCTGCAAATTCAGAGAGCTTCATCATCGCCACAGCGGCACCTCGTGCGACAACAAATTCTGAATGGCTCATCGAACGAATCAGCGCGTGCGAAACGCCAAGAAGAATGTTGTCTTCAAGCTGCGAAATGCACTTGGCGACACCCGCCAGAACCCAACAAGTGGATTCCAAAGTCGCTTTCGGAACAACTTCACTCGTCGATAAAGTGCACAAATTTTCAATCAAGATCGCAAAAGACGACTGATTAGCTTCAGCTCGGAAGGATTTCGCTAGTGAGAGCAATACGTACAGACGCGCGTTTAGCGTTCTCCATCCACCGCTCTGTGCGGCGGACATCTCCGCGCAGAGGCGCTGATTGAAGTCGCCGAGTATTTCTTCAATCGGCACGGCTGAAATGACGTCGCGAAGACAATCAGAAATTTCTTCCTTCACTTGGTCGTCGTCCAGATCGTGCTTGGGCAAGAGTTGAACGTACAGCACTGCGGCGTGAACGCATCGCTCCGCCACCGGGCGAAGCAACTCCACAAACGAATCCGGCGTGAATGATTTCGCCAGCTTACCCCAAGGTTCCAGCGCCGACGCCATGGAGGCACCGACAGAAAGCGCCTCGGATAAGCCATCGAGTGCGAAAAGCAACACTTCTGTGTCGATATCCACGGCGATATTTGTCTTCTGCTTCTGCTCCGATCGCTGCGTCTTCTTTTGTTGTCTTTGCAAACTTTTGAATTCGGCGTACTTGACATACGTGCGATCGCCAGCCGCATCTGGTCCTGTCGCAAATGGACTTTTGGTCGCGTCTTTCTGGTCTCGCAAAGCCTTCATCGCTACGCTCGAAAGTACGTTCACGATCAGCGCGCGACTCTCCTCCGATCTCTCAGCTTTGACGACTTCAGCGCGCAACTTTGCTAGACTCGTCGCAAGCAACGCACGAAGCTCAGTGTCACTCGTCCAAACGCACTGCACCAGTGACGCACACGCCGCGCTCGCGGCGCTTTGTTTGATGTTTGCGTGGTGATCTTCCGAGCACACGATGTGTAGCGCGCCTTCAAGTATGACGCGAGGAAATCTCGGTGTGACGTTTGCGATGTCCGCCCACGCCGCGAGAGCATCGAGTATGTACTTGTGTAACAGCGTGTCGCCACTGGCTGACGTCGCGAGCTGCTGGAGCAAGTCCATGACGTCGTTCGCGGTGCTACGCAAACCAGTCAATACTTGCTCGCGGCGCGCCGGATGTATGGACAACTCTCGGGAACTCGCTTCCTGCGGCACGAACGCCAAAAATGTGCACAAACACAACAACTTGGCTTCATTCGACACGCGAGCGTCTTCCTGAAACACCTTGATGACGTCTCGCACGACCGCTGTGGGATCCCATGTCGGCATTTTACACGCCAACGCCGACGTGGCTAGCGCGAGTTGCGTCAGCGTGCTTCTCAAGTCGACCGCACGCGACGCGTTCGACTCGTCGTGCGCGAACGACGAGGAATTCACGGCAAAGAGCATCGTCAGCTTCAACACGCGCGAGCGAAGATCGATCCAATCGCGTTCCGTGAACGCCGCGTGCGACGCCTGCGTCCGCTCCTCCTTTGCGACGCAGCGACGCAAAAGCACGTGCAGGGTGCGCGCGCAGAACAGTGTTTCGACCGCCGTCGCATCGTCTCGCTCTAACACGCGCAATAGCACGCTCCAAGATCCATCGCTCTTGCCGAAGCTCGAAAGCGCCGCTTCCGCGTTCGCACGTTCGCTCGCATCCTGACTTTGAAAAAACGAGGCGATGTGCGCGCGCAGGATGTCTTCGTCCATGACGACGACGCCCGCGCGCGCCGACGGTGATCGCGCGCGAGTTTACTCGCGATAACTCGCGTCCGTCATGGTCTATGCGTCGCTTTGTGTTCGCGCGCGCGCGCCTCTGAGGTAGGCGACTCGGATGCGTGGCAGAACGCGTCGCGACCGAACGACCCAACGCAGGGGGCGCGCCACCGCCGCCGCACACGTCCACGCGCGCGATGGGCAAACGAACCAGAGACAAGGCGAAAGCCGAGGTAGAGGACGACGACGATGACGTCGACGCCTCGGCCTTCCCTCGAGGCGGCGCCGCGAGCGGTGGACGCGGCGATGAAGATGCGTTTCCTCGAGGCGGCGGCGGCGGCGGCGACGGTGACGACGCCGGACGGGGCAGGAAGCGTCGATCGAGCCAACGAGGCGGTGATGGCGATGGAAGCAATGACGATGACGATGATCCGTTCTCGCGAATCTCACGCGCGGCGAAAGGGGCGAGTTCGAGAGCGGTGTCTTCGAGCGGCGGCGGGGCGAAGTACGTCGAGACTTTGAAGTACAAGTCGCTACGACCTGGAGCTAAACTTTTGGGCATCATCTCCGAAGTTACCGCGCGGGGATTAGTGATGAGTTTACCAGACGGCTTGCGCGGCACCGTGGCGCGCGCGGAAGTTGCTGGCACGTTCGGGAGTAGTCGACGCAACCGCACCGCCGCCGCCGACGGCTCGGAATCTTCGGAGGAGGAGTATAGCAGCGACGAGGACGACGATGACGATGACGCAGAGGCGAGCTTGGAGTTGCTGTACGAGCCCGGGCAAGTGCTTCGATGCGCGGTGGTGAGTTTGGAGAAAGGTAAAACGGGTGGCAAGAGAATCGAGTTGTCTCTCAGACTAGAAAAGGTGTGCGAGGGCCTCACAAAGGAAAGTCTCACCGAAGGCTCGGTAGCGCCAGCCGTAGTTCAAAGCGTCGAAGATCACGGCTACATCTTGAGTTTTGGTATCGCAGATACGAGCGGATTCTTACCGAAGAAAAATGTGGCGAGCGATTTGGGCGAGATTCGTAAAGGCAGAATCATCGATGTAGTCATCACCGGCGCACCAAAGGGCAATAAAGGTTATTTTACCGTGACGAGCGATCAGAAGCGAATCAAGACTTCGGTCGCCCACGAGACGTCGGCGACGAATGTCGATACATTGCTTCCGGGGATGCTCGTAAATTCTAGAATCAAGCAAATACTTTCTGACGGTGTCTCAGTTTCTTTCATGACTTACTTCAGTGGCACCGTGGACTGTTTTCACACTGGGGCTCTTGCGACGTCGAAAGGGGTTTCGTCCGCGTTTAAAGTAGGGCAACGCATGCGTGCGCGAATCATTTTTGTCGACTCTGCGTCGAAGCGTGTTAGCCTAACCTTGCTGCCGCATCTGCTTGATTACGCGTCCATCGAACTTCCAAAGCTTGGCAAAACTTTCCAAACTGCCAAGATTGAGCGCGTGGATGCGGGTCAAGGGGTCGCGCTGAGTATTTCAGATGGTAAGAACGATATCGCTGGATATGCACACGTTTCACAGCTTTCTGACGAACGCGTGGAAAAGGTGGAGAAGAAGTTCAAAATCGGAAGAAGCGTAAGTGTTCGCGTCATCGGTCATCGTTTGCTCGATGGAGTGGTTAGCGTCAGTTTGAAGTCATCTGTCATGGCTCAACCTTTCTTTTCATTGGATGAACTCACACCAGGGATGCTTGTGAACGGCGAAGTTCTCGCCGTTGAGCATTACGGAGCCATAGTGAAACTTGCCGAGGGCATTAAAGCGCTGTGTCCCCCGCTTCACATTTCTGACATTGTCGGCCGAACGACTTCTGCAAAAGTCGCCCCTGGTGCCAAATTGAAGTTCAGAGTATTGAACGTGGATCGAAATAGCCGGAGAGCGACGGTATCGCATAAAAGAACGCTCATCAAGTCCGAGCTCCCAGTAATTGGTCAGATTGAAGACGCTGTGCCCGGATCAATCACGCACGGCGTGGTGACGGGCGTGAATGAGTACGGTGTGTTCGTCTCCTTGTACGGTGATTTGAAGGGTCTGGCTGGTTTGAATGACTTGGGTCTTCTGCGAGATCAAAAACCGTCCGACGCGTTTGGTGTCGGACAAGTTGTTCGAGTACAGGTTGTTTCAGCCGACACGTCTGGTCGGTTACGTCTTTCGCTCGCGTCTGGCGACGCGGATGGAAACTCTGCGAGCATGATTATTAATGCGTCCGCAGATGCCTTGAAGCCGGGTCATGTCGTTGAAAAAGCAGTGGTCACGCACGTGGCGTCGGGCACAGGTAATGTCGAGGTGGTTTTTTCTATGGAAGAAGGCAACATACCAGGCGTCGTGCCGCTCGCCCATTTATCTGACCATCCGCTGACGGCGCAAGGATTGAGCGCTGTTCTCAATCCCGGTGACGAGATTGGTCCTTTAGTAGTTCTTGAAGGCAAATCAACTCGAGCAGTGATGTCGCGCAAACTTTCACTCGTGGAAAGCTCGCGAGAAGGGAAGCTTCCAGCGACGGCGAAGGAAGCGACGCTCGGCGCAGTGTTCCCAGGCTACGTCGCATCAGCCACCGCTGCGGGCGTTTTCGTTCGCTTTTTAGGTCGACTCACCGGTCTTGCACCGCCTTCACAGCTCACAGACGGTACTACGGGAGACGTGCACGAAATGTTTCCGGTAGGTAAGACTGTCAACGCATTAATACTGTCTGTGGATACGTCCACGCCGACGCCGAGGTTGTCACTCTCATTGAAAGTTTCTGCCACTTCGTCGCCTCTCAGCGATGCACCGTTGGTTCGCTCGTTTTTCCAGGATATTGAGTTTCTCGATGACAGAGATGTCGGAGCCGAAGACGTGGGTATATCACCTGAAACCGCAAAGTCGCTCAAGCCCGGTACGTGGATGGATGTGTCAGTTAACGAAACAAAGGATTACGGCGTTTTGATGGATGTTCCGATCGATTCCAACGTCGTCGGTCTGGTGACGCCTCATCAGATACCAGTAGACACGACGTTCACAGCGGGGGATGAGGTAAAAGGTTACGTTTTAGACGTCAGCCGCCGAGAAGGCGTAGTTGACATCGGCATGCGGGATGGATTGGGCAAATTCAAGCGAAACAAGACGTCGTCTGGCAAAAGTTTGAAGAAGCTTAAGGTGGGAGATCAAGTCTCCGCTGAGGTCGAACTCATAAAGGCTGAGTATGTGGCACTTTCTTTACCAGAGCATAACGGCTTGATAGGTTTCGCTCCTGTGCATCATTTGAACCTTCGTTACGAAGACGCGTCGGAACGCTTTACGCCGACGCAATGCGTCAAGGCTGTCATCGCACAGCTTCCAGAGGGTGAAATGGGGCGTCTTCTCCTGACGGTTCCCGTTACTAAAGGAACCACAGCAAGCGGACGAATTGCCGCCGGGACGCTCGTCAAGGGTGTCGTGTCAGAGGTTCAAAATCTGCAGGCATTGGTCGCTTTGCCAAATAACGCTCGGGGACGACTTTACATTAGCGAGTTCAGCCCCGGTGAAGATACCCCACTGGAGTCTATTTCAGTGGGTTCAACTGTTGAAGCCACTGTGATGGGTCTTGCTGGAGACCGTGGAGGACTTCTGGACCTGTCGATGCATAGGAAATCCGCGTTTGTGCTTGAAGATGTCTCTGTTGGCGACGACGTGAGCGCGTACGTCGTTTCCGTAACGGACGATGGGATCAAGGTGACTATCGCTCCCGGAATCACATCCTTCATTCCGAAGATTGAAACGTCGGACAAATCATCTGAGCTCGCCATGAAGCTGAGCTCTCGCTTCACCGTGGGAGAGCGCGTGTCCGCGATTATCGTTGGAGTTAAGGCGACCAAGAAGCGAGTCGACCTCAGCCTTCGAACGGACGGCGCATCCGGGTCGTCTCGCGTGTGCGTCGGGGCTAAAGTGCAAGGTATTATTACGCGAGTCGTGGAAAACGTCGGTCTCATGGTTCAACTCGGATCGCATTCCGTGGGACGAGTACACTTGACAGACATGGCGGACGAGTACGACGACGATCCGTGCGCCAAGTACGAAGCGGGACAAGTCGTGCAGGTGCGCGTGTTAAACGCTTCTTCAAACGGAGAACTCGATTTATCTATGCGCGCGTCTCGTTTGAGTAGCAAGCGAACCTCGCCGACGGATCCCGAGATCACGGATATCAGCAACCTCGTTCCTGGTCAACGCGTAAAGGGATACGTCAAGGCGACTTCAAAGAAAGGATGCTTCATCGCTCTTTCCCGCGGCATCGACGCTATGTGTAAGCTGTCAAACCTCGCGGACAGTTTCATCGCGGATCCAGCGAAAACGTTTCCTCCTGGAAAACTTGTCGAAGGACGGATCGTGAGTGCCGATGCGGCTAAAGGACGAGTTGAGCTCGCGTTCCGCGAGACGGACGCCACGCAAGGAAATGCAGATGTTTCGACGGTGAAGGTGGGAGACGTGCTCATTGGCACTGTTCGCCGCGTACAACCGTACGGAGTGTTCGTCAGTCTCGATGGCACGAAGTTATCTGGACTCTGTCACATCTCTATGTTCGCAGACGCTCGAATTAGCGACGATTTGGCGTCTCACGTGCGCCAAGGCGAAAGGGTGCGAACGAAAGTGTTAGAAATCAACACTGAGACGAACAAGATATCGCTCGGTATCAAGGCTTCGCTCTTTGAAGACGACGACGGCGACGGAGACGAAGAGATGGCCGACGTCAACACAGCGCACACGTTTGATCCACTGATGGATGTGGATGGTGAAAACGACGGAGAGGACGACGACAATGATGGTGAATCCAGCGACGACGACGACGACGACGACGACGACGGCTCCAGCGACGAAGCAAACGCCAGTGAAAGTACGGAGGCGAGTAGCGAAGAAGGAGAAGAAGAAGAAGAAGAAGAAGAAGAAGAAGAAGAAGAAGAAGAGTCCTCAGAAAGTGGCGAGTCAGACTCCGACATTGACGAAGACGGACCGCTGCATGCAGACGAGGGCGAATCGACAGACGAGGAATCTGATCCATCTGATTCAGAGGACGCGCCGATCGGCAACGATTTAGGGTTCGATTGGGATGCCGAAAAAACGGACGCCAGTATGACCGACGTCGCTGATGAAAAGGCGGGTAAGAAGGGTGCCGACAAAGCGCCGTCAAAACGCGAAAAAAAACGATTGAAAGAGGCGAGGGAGCTCGAAATTTTACAAAAAGAGCAAGAGATGAGAGATGGCGATCATATTCCCGAATCTGCGATGGAGTTTGAAAAGTTACTCATCGCATCGCCTCGCTCGTCGTTTCTTTGGGTAAGATATATGGCGTTTCACGTCAGCTGTGGCGCGTACGATGAGGCTAAAGAAGTCGCGGAACGAGCTCTCGGAGCGATACCCGCCTCGGAAGAGGCTGAGCGCATGAATGTGTGGGCGGCGTATTTGAACTTGGAAAACAAATACGGCACTCCGTCGCCGGAAGAAGCTGTGAAAAAGCTCTTTACGCGCGCGGTTCAAATCGCCGATGCCAAGCACATGCACTTGACGCTCGTATCGATGTATGAGCGAAACGCTCAAGAGGATGCGCTCGAAGAAAGCTTGAAGAAGGCGGCCAAAAAGTTTTCGTACAGTGCGAAAATCTGGCTCGCATACATACGCTCTGCTGTGTTGAAAAATGATTCGGAAAAGGCGCGAAAACTTTTGGATCGCGCGACGCAGTCATTGCCGAAGCACAAACATATAAAGATTCTCACGCGTACGGCTCTCCTCGAGATGAAAGAGGGAAATCCGGAGCGCGGCCGCACGATGTTTGAGGGTATATTACGAAACTACCCGCGACGTACTGATATTTGGTCAGTGTACATTGATCAAGAAATCAAGCAAGGTGACATTCAACGCATCAGAGCATTATTCGAGAGAGCGACGCACCTCGATCTTAACGCAAAGAGCATGAAATTTTTGTTCAAGCGTTACCTGGACTTTGAAAGATCGGAGGGTGATGACGAACGCATAGCGCACGTGAAGCAAAGAGCGATGGAATACGTTAGCAACAAGTTCGGCTCAGCCGCGGAATGACGAATAGATGAAATTTCTCAAAACATTTATTACAATTTGAGCAAACAAAGAAAGCTAATCTAATTGCGTTGTCCAATCGCACGGCTCGTACATTTTAAGAAATGCTTCCATCTCGTCGCGCAAAAGCGCCGGGGCAAGCGGTCGCTGCTTTGCATCTGTAAGATGTTCTGGTAAATTTAGAAGCCCGATGAGTATGTTCCGACCGAAATTACGATTCCACTTGCTTTCGTCGTCGATAACATGAACGAACCCCCCTTGCATTCCAAACTCGACATGTGTATATGGGAAGTTCGCAGGGATGGTGCTTCTCAGACCTTTTGGTGGTGCCGTTGACAAGCATTTCTTCGCGTCGTGCGTCGACCATTCAGACTCACACTCATCTATCTCTTTGCGGAAGTACATTTTGGCTTTCTCGCTCATCTCCTGCGGTATCGGAATACACTCGACGACGGCGTGCATTCCCCCGTGTCCGAATTTCATCGCCGTCTCGATGAAGCAACAAGCCTTACCCTCTTGCGCGAACATTCTCACCAAGCACTTTTTGAAGTTTCTCATCTCTTCCCAAACATCTTCATCCACGGCTCGCGAAGACTGCGCATGCGCGATGGGCGCGATGAGGCAGTGCCCGGGGACGAGTCGGCCATGCGGAGGAAGCATAAGATACGCTAAATTACCGTATGCCACATGCAGGTGCTTCGGTTTGTTGGGTGCATCCATACAGAACAAGCACTTGTTGTGCAGTGCCTGCGCTCGCTTGAAATCTCGTACAGCCTGCTCCTTTGCGCGAGCCTGCTGCTTCGCGCCGGACCACTTCTTGTTGCGCGATTCGTACATTTCCAAGCCTCCGTCGTGGTCGTACTCATCGTCGACATCTAACTCTTTACCCCTATATCTCTTGTGACGCGCAATGTTATCCGCCAAATTGCGATCGTAATCGTTCGTACCCTCGTACTTTTGTTCAGCGACTAAGTCGCGCAACGACTTGCCATCGTCGTCGGCGAAGTATCGTGACCGCTCGCCATCGTCAAACCTTTGCGTCGTTTTCGGTGCTCGACGAACCTGTCCTTCGGCGACATTCGCCCCGCCCTTGACCGTGGTGTTCCTACCGAACGCGCCCGGAGCCGCACGGCCGTCTGCCGTAACCATCGGCAGCGCCTCGATCAAAGCTTCCTCAGTCTTTGCTTGCGATTTGCCGCCAAACAGTCTCGCTTTGAGCGCTGCCGCAGCGGACATGTTCGTCGAGCCGTGCTGAACCAAGTTTCTACTTTCAGGAACGGGTCGTCTGGTGGGCGGAAGTTCTCGAGCGGCACGTGGAAGCTCCCGCTCAAAGTTTGTAGGTTTGGCGTCGTACTTCGAAACTTTGTGAAATTCATCCATGAACGATCCATCGGACGCGAACTTGTTCTTCGTCTCGAGCGCCGAATTGATAAGCTGTTTATCTTCCGCGCGCAACCGCTCAGACTCTTGCGGGCGTCCATCGTCGCGAGGTCTGTGACGCGCGCCGAAAGTCTCTGGCACCTGCATGCGAGCGCCGTCTTCACCGCCGCCGCGCTGCCTTCCTCCAGCCCTACCTCGGCGGGCGTGTAAATGCGCCTTGCCGTGTGCTGCACTATCACCAATACTACAAACAAGCTCATTCACCGAACCCCAATGTTCGCTTACGACCTCGTTGACGTTTCTACCTTCCGCCGCGGCGCGCTCTTGCGCTCGACGGAGCGCTTTGAGTCGCCAGCTCGCACCTCCATCGCCCACTACGCTCATAGGCGCCGTGGATGCGACGGGAGCATCGCCACCATCTCCGCGCATTTGTGGATTCAGTTCGCGCGACGCGACAATCTTCGCCGCTCTTTCCTCCTCCTTGCGCCGCTCGGCCTCTTTGCCTTCATCAGCTCGCGACCTCGCCTTGGACGCGAGCGCTGCAGAGAAGAAGTCCGACTGCTCGGCTGGCGCGTCCGCGTCCGTCGCCTGTTGTGGCGATATCGGCCGCTCTCGTGCGCCTTCGTGTACCCGTGTGCGCTCTTCGCTCGCCGATGCGCTCGTCGAATCTCTTCGCCGCCTTTCGGTGGCATCTTCTTCGCTCGCGTCCCGTTCGGCGCGTCTTTGCTTCTTGGACTTGCTCTCCTTCTTGCGCGATTTCCGGTCGTCACGTTTCCTCTCCTTCCTCGTCTCGCGCTCGTCCGTGAACGCCAGTCCAGACAACATGGCGACGCGGCGCGGCGTATTGTGGATGGTTGCGCCAAATGCGCGCGTCAGACCGACGCGCGCGATGTCGACACCGATCGTCGCGCCGAGCGCCGTGGCGGCACCGTCGAGCAGGTACTCGCCTCATCATCGACGCGGGACGAGCGGAGAGGCGGCGAGCACGCGCGCGGCGACGTTCGGGGCGCGACGCGCACGAGCACGTGCGCAACGCGCGACGAGCACGAGCGCGGCGACGGTGGAGCAGGCGAGAGCGCAAGCGAAAGAAACGACGAGGACGTACGCTCGGTCGTTCTACTGGGCGTCGCAGTTTATGACCAAGGGGCGCGAGGATGCGTACGCGTTGTACTGCTGGTGTCGCGAACTGGATGAAATCGTCGACGGCGCAGACGGCGCGGACGAGGAGAGACGCGCCAAGCTCAACCGTTCTGAAGCAAACTTGGAGGCGATGTTTCGAAAAGGAACGCTCACAGAGCCATCGTACGCTGATGTCGCTTTGAGCGATACACTGGCGCGCGTGGAAGGACTACGTATCGGGCCTTTCAAAGACATGATATCGGGAATGAGACGCGACATCGACGACGCGCGTTTCGAGCGTGTCGAAGACGTCCTGAACTATGCGTACCAAGTCGCCGGAACTGTCGCGTTGATGATTCTACCGATTTTGACGCTAGGTTCGGTCGACGACGAGCAGAAGGCGGCGAAACGTGAAGAAAGAGGAGTCGCATTAGGCATCGCGTTGCAGTTGACCAACATCGTGCGAGATGTGGGTGAAGACGCGAGGCAGAGGGGAAGAGTTTATATCGCGGACGAGGATTTGAAATTATTCGAGCTGACTCGCGACGACGTCCTTAGTATGAAAACGCCGACGACGAATTACATGGCGCTCATAGAGTATCAAATCCAGCGCGCTCTATTCTACTATTCGAAAGCGCTCGAAGGCATCGATCTTTTGCCACCACTGGCGCGACCGCCGACGAAGTTAATCGCCGGGCTTTATCAAAGAATTGCATTTGCCGTTCGCGAAAACGATTACGATAACTTGAGTAAACGAGCGTTTTCTTCAACATACGAGAAGCTTACGTTGACGCCAAAGCTTTTGCTCGACTCATTCTTGCCCGGAGGCGGCATAAACGAAAGCGACGTGGTTGTTGATTTTAGCGACGCGAGTGCTGAGGCATCCATTTATCGCGCACAGGTGTGCAAACGATTTGTAGCCGCGAGGGTTGGGACGCGACGAGTGGGATCGTAAATCGTTCGATGGAATTCATAGTCGATGTAACTGAAGCGAAGTGATAATTCGCTAAATTCTAAAACGGAACAAACTTTCGCGCCACCGCAACAAAGATTCGGGGAATCAGAGGCTTTTCGTCGAACGTATCCTGCAAACGTCGACCAAAAATGCAGTTCGTGATATCATCGAGCAAGATATCTCGACCAAGGATCGGATCAGTGACGAAAGGGTCGGTGTGCGTCTTGTCCGGGTAGTAGCGCTCGTCCACCGCGATGCCAACATTTTTCAACGCGCGAGCAAACATCTTTGATTGCTCTGGCGGCGCCGACGTGTCCGCCTCACCGTGACAGAGCATGACGGGCGGTATGATTCTCACGTTTTGTCTCACGTCGTACTCGCGTAAGATTGAAACCGGCGACGCGCGAGGAAGAGCCTCCGCAGCGCGTGCGCCTGAAAATCCAGCCTCCATGATTGACCAAAACACGTTCTTGTACAGGCCTTGACGATGGACGTGCTCGATGAGCGCCTCGTCGTCCGGGGCGTACACGCCGGATATTCCTATGAATTTCGAAATCGCTGCAGGCGACCACGAGCACGGCCCGGCGACACCGCCGTCGCGTTGCGACCGCGACGTCCACTCCGTTTGTCGCAACAACGCCGTCGCCGAGATGTGCGCCCCCGCGGATTGTCCGACGATGACGACGCGTCTCTTATCCCCTCCCAGCGCCTCTAAGCGCTCGAGAACCCAGCCTATACCGTTTCCCACGTCTGCGATCATGTCTCCAACCGTACCTTGTGGGAAGTTTCTATAATCTAAGGACGCCACAATCACCCCTCGTCGCGCCAAACGCTGCGCCAGGAGGGCGCCCCACGCCTTGTAACCGATAATCCACATTCCACCCGTCACGAAGATCACCACCGGTTTCCGTTCATCTTCGCTCCAATCGTCGTCATCTTGCGTTTTATCTCTCTCGCTTCGCCCGATCGCGCGTTTCCTCCGTCGTCGTCCTCGCGCTCCGCCATCGTTCGGAAAGTATAAATCCAGCGCGTTTCTCCCCGCGGTTCCGTACGCGACGCCGCGTTCGATGTTGGCGTCGGTCAAGTACGTCCACGCGACGCGCACGAAGGCGGGTGACAACACCGCGGCGTACACGATCAATCCCATGAGCTTGAACACCCACGCGATGGTTGAATATCTCGACAGCCGTATCGTCAGTCGCACGACGAGCGCCAACTGGCGACAAGTTTGCCGCGGTCGACGCGCGATGACGACGAAGAAGACGGCCAAGGCGAACACGCGCGCGGTGCCGAACGTGGACGTCGACGTCGACGCGGACGCGTTCGTCACCATCGTGAATCGCTTCACGACCGACGACGGCACCGCGCACGCGCGCGCGCGGACGCGTCTCGATGTGATGCGAAGGGTCGCGTTCCAACGCACCCCAATTGGCGCGGCAACCACCCGTCCGCTGACCGTCGTCCACGTCGTCGTCGTCAGTCCTCGGATCGAAGCGGTTCGTCGTGCATCGCGGCACCGCGAGACGCGCGTCGACGATTCGCTCGAAGATTACCATCGCGACGCGCGTCGTTCGCGATGTGGACGGCGTACGCGCGCGTCGCGAGCGTCGTCGAGAATGCGCTCGGCATCAACTTTCACGCCTTTGTCGCGTGCGTGACGCTCGTCATCGCGCTCACGTACCCGAAACTCGCCAAAAGCGTGAGCGATCGTCTAGACAGTCGAGCGATGAACGATCGAGAGCGATTGGAGCGGTATCAAAGAAACCGACAGCGCGCGTTGGAGAAGCGAGAGGAAGAGTTGAGACGCGCGGCGAGCGAAACCAAAGGAGGAAAGGCGGAATTGGACCGCGCGGCGGCGTTGGAGGCAAAATTGGCCGAAATCGACGCCAAGGCTGCGCGATTGGGGTTGACGGCGAACGGTAAGGGCAGAAAACTGGGTGATAGTGGACCATCGAGGCCGGAGTGGAATCCTTTAATGGGCGGCGGCGCTTCGCGAGGATATCGGCCCACTGGGCGACCGAGGCCGGGAGGTGGCGGATGAGGGCGGTAAGCCACGACGAGCGACGTCGTGGCGCCGTGAAACGATGAGGAGGAGGAGACTTAATTCCATGCGAGGTGACGTGACGCTGACGAGCGAAAGATTGAACTTAAATCAGCTCATTGGCCGATTACGCTTCGCGAACCGCGACAGGTGTATGGTTTGTATACGATGTAAAACATGAACTTCGACGCCACCGTGCATTCCACGCGATATCTTGACTACTTGCTACTTGCTATTCTCGCAATACGGCTATGCTACAACGATTGATGGAGAGAAGAAAAACCTGGGGACGCGTCACGTCAACTCTCGATCCGGCGACGCTATCGCCAAATGTTGAAGTACAGTCTCTGGCGTGCACGGATTCTCGACAAGAATCAGGTGGAAACATCCAACTCCACTATCCCACTCGTCATCCGAGATATCGATGACGACGTCGCCGTCGACGATGCGCTCTCGACGACCGCCGACATAGGCGACGTAAAATTCAGGCCTCGGGATTTCGTTTGGACTCAAACCAAGCGTTGCTATGCGATCGGCGATGGAGTTCATGGTACCCTCGAACATGGCTTCCCAATCGCGGACGAAGTGCGTGTTAAACGGATTCGCTTGCGTTCTCGGGCGAAGTATGTGCGTCAACGTGATTGCGGCGCCAAAGTCTATGAGTTCACCGAGCAGGTAGCGAACCCACGCGTCGTCTTCGAGGAAGAGTTCTGTCACGGATGAGGTAATTTTCGCAGCGACGTACCAGAAGACCAGTCCTTGCATGCGCCTAAATATAAGCTCTTTTGCCTCCACGACGTGTGCATCTCCCGGATTTTGCGAGTGCGAGATCATCAAATGTTGCAGCCGCAGCGATTTAAGATTTCTAGTCGCGTTCGCCACCGTCGTGGCGAGCAATCCCGGGTATGCTAGATAAAACCCAATCAAAACGAGCGATGAAAACATCGTTCGACACAAAATATTTACCCCAAACATTCCAAAGAAAAAGGTGTTCGTCACGAACACTTCCCATGACTCCATTCGACGCCGCGTGATGAGCCAACCGTAGGAGACGATTATCCAGGTGCAGAAAAACGTCGACTGATTCAAGGAGAGACAGCCTATGAACATGAGCGCCTCCGTGCCCCCGCCCGTGGGAGCGTCAAAATTCGATTTCGACAGCGGTAATCCTGCACCCGTGTTCTCGGCGTTTATCCAAAACCTGTTTGCCGCGATGAGCCACACCAGACGCGTCACGACTGGCGCCAGCAGCAAGACGTGAAGCCACGTCAACGCGTCTCGTCTCTTCCAAAAGTACGCCCCTTTGACGGCGAACACGATGACCCAAATGATGATAAATCCCGCAAACATCCGCGCCGCTGGTGCGTATTCAAACCCCACGTGCCCACTCTTCGGATTCAACTTCACGAACGTCCCCGAGAAATCCACCTGCGCGTTGGCGTCGCACAGCACCACAATCGTGACTTCGCGAGACTTTTGCGTCTTCGTGATCCTCACCGTTTGTTGGTTCGACAGTAGCGCGGCTTGACACCCACGCGTGGCCACGTAATCCGCCGCTATCATGGCCGCACACGTCTGAGAGCCCAGTCCTCCCGCGTCCAAGGGCGCTTGTAGCTCGCCCTTCGGACACGACACCGCCCACACCTTGGCGCTCGCGGGCGTGATTTCGTGCGCGGTGACGTCCAAGGTCCCACCTTTGGCGAACCCGAACGTCGAGATCTCCGCGCTCGCCGTCGCGGTCGCGGTCGAGTCTAATCGCACGCCGACGTTCGTGATCAACGCCTCGCACGTCCCGCTCGCGAGCGCCCAACACGCGAAGAAGATTGCCCCGGCGCGGGCCGTCGCGTTCGACGACGCGCTCGACGACGACGCGCGACGACGACGTCGACGTCGCTCGGAGACGACGACGCGAGCGGCGCGCATCGTCACCGTCACCTGCGCGCGCGTCGCGCGTCGCGCGTCGTCCGTCGCGCGTCCGTCGCGACGCCCGCGTTCGCCAGTGACGCGCACCCGCGCGTGACGTCGCAGCGCGCCACGGCTCGAGCGCGCCACCGCAGACCGCGGCGACGGACACGACGACACGACTCGACGGATTCGCGCGCGCACTCCGACGCGCGCGAGGCCCGGGTCCCGCGAGATGCGCCCAGAGACGTCGACGACGCGCGATAGATGGACCGTCGCCCTCGAAGACGCCCGCGCGTCGGCGAACGAGTGCGAAGACGCGCTGCGACGACGCGAGGCTGATGCCGAAGGCGACGACGATGGAGCGTGGTCGAAGCGCACGCTCGAGGCGCGAAGAAGCGTGAGCGGGTTGAAAACAAAACTACGCGCGTTAGAAGAGATGATCGCGCGCGATCGAACGGTGACGGCGACGACGAGCGAGGTTGAGAGAAGACAAGACGCGCTCAGAGAATTGCAGACGCGCGCGGAGGAGGCGGCGAGACTCGTGGCGAAAGGAAAGAAAAAGACGCAGCAGAAGAAAAACAACGACGACAATGACGACGGCGCTAGGCGTCGCGATCGCGCGTCTTCGTCGAATTACGACGAGGAGCGCGCGGTGCGTTCGCCGCAAGAAGTTTTACTGCTTCAACGAGAAATGCTCGACGAACAGGACGAGGCGTTGGACGACTTATCCGTGGCGGCGGAGCGAACGAAAGACATCTCACTCGCGGTGAATGACGAGCTCGATCTCCACGCCAAGCTTTTAGACGGTTTAGAGGACGACGTCGAAGATACGCGCGGTCGTTTGCACTTGGCCTCGCGCGCGGTGAAGCGAATGATGCGACGAGGCTCCAACTGTCGGCAGTATTCCATCGTCGCTCTCGTCCTCGTCGTGTGCGTGCTCATGCTTTGCTTGATCATCAAATTGCAAGGGCCTTGACTGCTCTCTCTAGAAAGTACATTGTGTAGTAAGACGTAGCGCGTGATAGTCCTCTCTGACGCCAACCGACTCGGGCCACTCCAGCCGAGAAAAATGTTCGAAACGACACAGCGACGCGCTCGCACCGCGTGCGGTCGCTCGTCGTCGAGCAAAGCACACAGAAAAGGCGTTCGAAGTCGTCCACGTCGTCGGCATGCCCGTCGCGAGCGTCGCGCCGTTGCGTACGTCGTTTCGTGGCGTGAACGCGAACGGGAGCGACGCCACCGGGGAGCGTCGTCGCCTCCTCTCGTTTCGTCGCGCTCCATCGCGCGCGCGCCGCGATGAAGCGGTAAACGCTCGCGTTCGAGCGAGTGGGACGTCTGTAGAACCGAGTGTGGATGAAGACGATGAAGAAGTCGACGTCACGGTGACGTCTACGTCGGACCGGTTGGAGGCTCTTTTAAACAAAGCTTCCACGTCGCCGGTGAACGTGCATGACATAGAACAGTTTTACCCGTACGAATTAGATGGATTTCAAGTCGAAGCCACTGAATTATTGCTACGCGGGTCATCGGTCGTGGTGTCAGCGCCGACGGGGAGCGGGAAAACTTTAGTCGGTGAGACGGCGATTTTAACTGCGCTGGCGCGCGGAGAAAAGGCGATATACACGACGCCGTTGAAGGCGTTATCGAATCAAAAGCTCAGAGAGTTTCAAAAGATTTTCGGTAAAAGACGGTGTGGGTTAAAGACTGGTGATGTGGACATCAACGGCGATGCTGACGTCATGATTATGACGACAGAAATTTTGAGGAATATGCTCTATTCAAGCGCTGCAGGTGGCCGCGACGACGAGCGACTCGCCGACGTGAGTATCATCGTTCTCGATGAGGTGCACTATCTCGCAGATAGATCCCGAGGAACAGTGTGGGAAGAAACAATTATTTACTGTCCTTCTCGCATTCAACTTTTGTGTCTGTCCGCGACAGTCGGTAATCCAGAGGATTTGTCGGGCTGGATTGAGGAAGTTCACGGCGAATGCGAAACCGTCGTGTCAAGTTACAGACCTGTTCCCCTCACTTGGCAATACAGCATGAAGCCGTCGCGCATGTATCCAGGGTTGGGACCTTTGATGAATTTCAAATCCACGAAAATTCACCACGATCTACGACCTTTTACGCGCGAAGGTCTTCAACAAGGATCGTACGGTAACAACGATTGGGCACCGGATGCGCAAAGAGGCGCGAAAGAGTCTGAGCGCGTTCTCAGAAGGCGCTTCGTGCCTCACGTCGAAACCACGGTACAGCAGCTCATCGCGAGCGATATGATTCCCGCCGTGTGGTTTATTTTTAGTCGTAAAGGTTGCGACCAATCTGTCGATTATCTCGTGCAGGCCGGCGGAAATCTCGTGACGAGCAAGGAACGGCGAGAGATTGATGATGCGTTGAAAGAATTTTCGGAGAAGAACAAATCTGCTGTGCGAGCAAGCATGGTTGAGCCTCTAAGACGTGGCATAGCGTCACATCACGCCGGGTTGCTTCCAGCGTGGAAAGGTCTAGTAGAGAAATTGTTTCAGCGAGGACTAATCAAGGTGGTTTTCGCTACGGAAACACTCGCCGCAGGAGTGAACATGCCGGCACGATGTTCCGTGTTAAGTGCGCTTTCCAAGCGAGATGATCAAGGTCCACGACTACTAACTTCCAATGAGTTCATGCAAATGGCTGGTCGAGCGGGCCGTCGTGGGTTTGACACCGTTGGCCACGTCGTGTGCTGTCAGTCACCATTTGAGGGCCCGGACGAAGCTTTCGAGCTCGTTCTTGCGCCACCTGAAAACTTGAAGTCGCAATTTTCTATTTCTTACGGTATGGTTTTGAATTTACTCCAAGGTAGAACGCTCGATCAAGTCAAGGGAATCGTGGAGAGAAGTTTTGGCAACTACCTTGGTGGTAAGGCGCGTTCGATGCGCGAGCGCGAACTTCTTCGTGTCAATGATCAGATCAGAAAACTGGTGAGCGAGATGGAGACACTCGATGATGATGAAGAAGCCGCGGAGTGGAGACGTTTCGTGAAGCTGGATGAACGGCTACATGAAGAAAAGCGCTTGCTAAAAATCTTGATTCGGCAATTAGCTGAAATGCGGGCAATTGAAACGCGGGATCAACTACAGTTCGAGCTCGAACAGACGGGTGCTCCAGTCATCGTTACGATTGATATTGGTGACAACGTTCTCAAACGGCGCAAAGAACGACGATCGGCTACGATCGCTCTATTTGAAGATGATTCTTTGAAGATGGAGGGTCAAGACTTTGCGGGCGAATGGAGATTGCAAGATATTGGTGGCGACGATGCTCCCGGTTTGGACGAGTTATTCGGCGATTCCGACGATGAAAGTCAAAACGATGATTTTTTGCAGTCTTTTGACGACGACGACGGTAAGTTCCCCAGAGGTCTCATCACCGCCGCAATCGTCGAGGCTGTTCCGGCGATGAAAATTGCGGCGACTGCGAGCACAATCGGTAAGCCATATCCGATGGGCGAATTCACCGCCCTAGGAAATGATGGTGTCTGGTACCGTTTGTACTCCGATCGAGTAAAATCTATAAGCCTCGGCGCCGATGCGGTGCGCTTGGAAAGTTTTGGCGACATCGGCGTGCCGCCGGCTTCGAGCAGTCTTCGATGGATCCGCGCGAGCGGCGGAGGTTTGTGGAAGGCGGATGTGTCTAAAAAGACCAAGTTGGTCGCTAATGGGATACCAACTAACTTGAACGACTTTGAAATGATCGTCGAATCGTCGGATTCGATGGAATTTATCGACGCGCAGAAGTTACAGATTCAAAAGACGCGCGAGGAGATAAACGGCTTGAAAAACATCGCCACCTTGCGCCGCGCTGCGAAGCAGCAAAAGCGGGCGGAGACGAAACTGAAAAAGCTAAAAGAAAAACGTGATGGAATTGAAAAACGTATCAAAGAGTATTCTGCCGCGGGCTGGGACGATTTCTTGAGAGTTGTCGATATTCTTGTCGAGTGCGGCGCGATCGAGAGAGACACCCTAAAATTGTTGGAGTTTGGTGAGACCTGTGCTGACTTGAGAGGGGAAAATGAATTATGGCTTGGCATGGCTATGTCTTCGCCGAGTATCGAGAATTTGGACGCCGCGACTCTTGCAGGTTTTGCAGGGGCGCTCTGTATGGACAACCGTCCGGCTACATGCTACTACGGCGCTTCGCAACACCTCGTCGAAGTGCTTGAAGAGCTCGAACCGGAGATGGGCGACCTTCAGTACTTGCAACAATCTTCTCGAATCGACATGCCTCTGAGCTTGAGTTTCGAGATCGCGGCGTTGGTAGAGTCATGGGCATCGGGAACGTCGTGGGACCAGATACGCCGTGATACTTCCTTAGATGAGGGAGACATCGCTAGATTGTTTCGACGAACTGCAGAACTTCTTGCGCAAATTCCGCGCACCGCACATCTACCGGAGAGTCTCAAAGCGACTGCAAAGAAGGCGAACGATGTCGTCAATAGACCTCCGATTAGTGATCTTTCTTGATCATTATCATTGTTTCTTAGCACTTTTGAATCCATGACATAGTGATGTTACAACTGTTTCCTCTAGAAGGCTCGTCTCGAGCCTTTCGACACGCGGCGTTTGTTCTTGACAATTTGGCCACCTTGTCCTCCAGATTTGAAATCGGCTTCTTGCTTTTCCAAGAATGATAAAATGTCTTTCTGGCGAGCCCCGCGTTCTTCCGCGGCTTGGAACTGTTCCTTCGAACGAGCATCTGCCATAAATCGATTGTCCTTGCGCAATTCGCGCATGGCGCCGCGAGTTTCTTGTTTGACTTGCTTCTTGAGCTTTCTTGCCTCGGCTCGTTCGCGATTCGGATCGTAGTCCCGACCTTTTTGATAGCCGTCTTCCTCGTACATGGGATTGAACGTTTTGATTGCCTCCGCCGTCTTGGTGTGGTACGCCAAAGGCGTTTTGACCGCGCCCACGAGAGCGTCGTCTAACTCCTTGACGAGCTCGTCGCACAACTCTGCTAAACCACCGTTCGACTTTTTCAACGATTTTCTAAGCGCCTTCACGGAATCACGAACAGGTGAGAGAATCTCAGACGCTGACGCAGTCTTTATCACTGGTTTAGATAGTTGCCTTAAGCAAGAAAGAGCAGCCCTTAGTGTTGCGGCCGATAACTTCTTCTCTTCGAGTTTTTCGGCGTAAATGCCATCCAACATTTCTGGCAACGTCATGGGTTCCATCGCAGACGTAAGCGCTGAAGATAACCAGGGTCCGCCAACTTGTTCGACTAGGTGTGTTGACAAACCCGCCGCCCAATTGGTCTTTGATCGCGATGCGCAATGAATCAAAGCATTCATGAGAGTGAGGGCTTCAGGAAATATCCTTTCGGCGCCAGTCGAATAAACGCTTGCCATTGTAGAAAGGATGACCGCCAAAGCTGCATCTCTCACTGATCTGATCGCGCAATGCGCGAGTAAGTTTCCAATATAAAGTGTCGCCGAAGTCATAACTGGGTGTGACTTATCCGTCGTAGGAAAGATGGCGGCGAATAAAGAAAGGAGCAGAACCGTACGAGAAGGCGGCCATCCCGTCTCCCCGGCACGCAGCGCCTGACGAAGCCGAGTGCTCATCTTTTCTACGCGGGCCTTGGCTGCGGTTGCAGCGAAAAATGGAACTTGTGTACTCAAGTCTACAATGTGTTTCGATAGAACGTCCAAATGATCTACCGGCAACGGCGCTTGACCGGCTAAAATCTCAAACCGTTGTAACAGAAGACCGAGCAAAGTCTGGATTCGCTTTCTATTCTCCGCCGCGAGCGTGGGCGCGTTGCAGGCCCGGATTCGCGTGATGATCGTAAACGCATCTTCAGCGTTATGATCACCTAATATAGAATTAAGATCTTCGGCGCTCTCTGGCATGGGGAAAGTGAAGGGGATGTCCGTTCTCGTCGGCGTAGAAAACTTCTTCTCTTTCGCCGTGGACGCTTCCTTTTGGGAAGATTTGCGCGCTGTGTTCGACGCATCTTCTTTTTCAACGTCTTCCTCGTCTTCAATCTCTCGCAAAACATCTGCATGTGCATCTTCTACTTCCTGAGAATCGTCGCTGCCCTCATCGTCGTCGTCTTCATCCTCATCGTCGTCGTCCTCATCGTCCTCCGAATCCTCAGCCTCGACGCCATCTTGAAGAATACCCAACTTTCGAAGTCGATTCTTACCTTGATCTAATTCTGTATCGACATTTTTTAGCTCAGACTTGAGTGACTTGCGCAGACGCGCTGCGTCATCGAGCGCGTCGTCATCTTCTGATTCAGATTCGTCGTCCGACACATCCTCTTCGGAACCCTCGTCCTCGTTCTCTCCATCGTCATCACTTTCGAGCTGAAAATTCTCGTCCAAATCTTCACCTCCTTCATGCTGCTTGCGATTATTGCCGTGTAATGCGTCGTCTGTTTCGTCGATGTCACCCTTTTTCACCTTGCGCCTTCGAGCGGCGTATCCTCCCTGAGGGCCGTCGTCGTCGGAACTTTCATCGTCAGAGCCGACGTCGCGCATGCGCTTCAACCTCTTGCGTTCGGCTTGCTCTAGCGCGAGCTTTGCTTGCGCCTCAACTTCTTCCTGCGTCTTTGCTCTATCACCCGCCTGACCACGTCTTTCGAACGCTAAAGTTCGGGCCCACGTGTCGTATTCATCCTTCTGCTCGGGAGCCTTGGTTTGTGCAGCCTTCGCGGCGGTCGGCTTCATGTGCCCGACAGCTTTTCTCAACGCGCTCGACAATAGTCCACCTTGACTTATCGCCTTAAAATCGGAGTCCAACTTATCCAACATATCTCCATCGTCATCTCGCTGCTTCTGCTTCTCAGCTTTGTAGAACTTACTCTTGGCTATGAGTTCCTCCATCACATCCTTTTTGCTCTTTCGGCGTTCCGGCGCATCCACATCGTGCTCCCCATCGCCTCGCTTCAAAGTTGGTTCAAATTCGCCTCCACCGAAATGGAAATTACGCGTGATTTCGTCGTCTAGATTTTCATCGTCTTCCTCGTCCCCGTGCGACGGTTTCGCGGTTAAATCTCTCTCCCCGAGCGGCTGTCCCAAATGCGTGAGCGTTTTAAAGCCGTCGTCGTCATCGTCTTCATTCAGGGCGAAGGCTTTGGATTTCTTATACTGACGCAACCGCGCCTTGGCCAATCTTCCAATATTTTTCTCTTCGACGCTTAAGCCACTGTCGTGTTCACCGAATCGTCGGTCCAAGAATGCGTTCGCCTTGCCGTTCGCTTCGTGTTCCACGAGCAGCGTGCGCCGACGTTTTTCAATAGCCTCCGTGCGCGCTTGCAGCACGTTACCTCGCTCGCCCTTCACCTTGCGACCGAGAATGTCGAATTTTCGTCGATGGCTGACAGTCTCGAACGCGCTCTTCACCGTCACACCGCTCGGGCTGGGACCGCTCGCGTCGCCATCGGCGCGGAAAAACTTTCGCTTCGACCCGCTGCCGCCGGGATTGGACGGGCGCTTCTTCTTCGCCATGTCGCGAAGATGGCGACGCTCGAGAACTCCCGTCGAGTTTACGAACCAACCCTCGCGCTCGCCTCGTCGAAGTCGCCGTGTGTCGAGGCACACCAGACGAGGCACATTTCGCACCGCCGCCGGCGGCTTTCCTAAACCCCAACGCGCGCGCCCGGCGACGCCGACGGCGCTCGTTTGGTCGACACGCGCGAACTAAAAAACATCGACACACGCGAATGAATCGATACACGTTACGATCGTGGCAAATAATGATTATATTAGCACAAAAAGCAATCAATGCGTTGAAGCGAAGCATGGATATTGCCGCGCGACGACGGCAGTCTACGTCGCGTCGATGACTGGAACTGGACGCCACGGCACCGCAGAACCGTCCATGAGACCAACGCCGCGCGCGGAAAGTTCGTCGCGTAAGCGGTCGGACTCCGCAAAGTCTTTCGCATCGCGCGCCTTATTGCGTTCTTCTATTTTAGCTAAGAGATCGTCCTCAGTCAAGCCCGCGCGGTGCAACGCGCGCGCGCGAAGCTCCGCAAGAATGACGTTTTCTTCATCCTTGGGCATGCCAACCGCCTCCATTAAACCCTCGACAGTGCTCAACAACGACTGAAGCGCCCCAACACGACCGACTGCTTTCTTTCCAGCCTTGGTGGTCATGAAATCATTCATTGATTTGAGCGGCGCGGAGAGCGTCGCGATCACTCCGGGCGTGTTCATGTCGTCATTCAAAGCCTCGGACACTTGCTTCTCAGCCTCACTCGCGAGCTTCAGCGCATCCGCAACGAGCGGTACCGGCTTTTTAGCTGGCTCTTCCGCCGCGGCATCGCGAAGAATTGCTCGTACATCGTGAACTGTTTGGTACAAATAGTAAACGCGATCGGAAGCCTCCTCCAGCGCGCGCTGTGTGTAGTTGATGGGCGCTCTGTAGTGCGCGCCAAGAAGCATGAAACGTAGCACGAACGGATGGTACTTGTCCAACACTTCGCGAATAGTGAAAAAGTTGCCGAGCGACTTGGACATCTTCTCAGAATCCACCTTGACGAAGCCGTTATGCACCCAGTAACGCACAAACGGATTCTCATCCGCGTGCGCTCCACAACCGCACGCCGCCGAAGACTGCGCCAGCTCGTTTTCGTGATGCGGAAAAACTAAGTCTTGGCCTCCACCGTGGATATCAATCGTCGGTCCTAGCATTTTTTCAATCATTGCGCTGCACTCAATGTGCCAGCCCGGTCGTCCCTCGCCCCACGGACTCGTCCACGTTGGCTCACCCGGTTTTGCAGTCTTCCATAGCGCAAAGTCGGCTGGATTTTTCTTGCGCCCGTCCACGGCCACGCGCTCACCCGCGCGATTGTCTTCTTGATTTCTCCCTGACAACGCCCCGTATGCGGGCAAGGTGTCGACGGAAAAGTAGACGTCCCCTTCCGTCTCGTACGCGTTACCTTTGGCGATTAAACGCTCGATGAACGCGATGATGTCATCCACACACTCCGTCGCACGAGGCTCGAGCGTCGGACGCAGGCATCCGAGCGCCGCCATGTCTTCGTGGAATGCCTCTATGAATTTATCCGTGAGCGCCTCGCACGTCTCCCCGCTCTCATTTGAGCGCTTGATAATCTTGTCGTCAATGTCGGTGAAATTTCGGCAATACGTCACGTCGTACCCTAAACGCATCAATTGTCGATATAATACGTCGAACGCGACGTACACGCGCGCGTGACCGATGTGTGAATAGTCGTACACCGTGACGCCGCACACGTACATTTGCACCTTTTTCCCCGCCGGGTCTCGCGGCGTAAAAATCTCCTTCTTTCGCGTCATCGTGTTCGTGAGCCAAAGCCTGGAAAGATCTCGTCCTTCGTTTGACGTCTCCACGTCCTCGCTCGCGGTGACGCTCTTCCCATACACCCCTCTCGTCGGCGCGTCGACGCGCACGAGCGGCGTCCCGTGTCTTCGTCCGGCGTTCGTCCGCGATGGCGTGGACGCGGTGACGACGAGCCCTCTTCTCGCGTTCGTCGTCGTCGTCGTCGTCGTCGTCGTCGTCGTCGGTATTCTCGCGCGTCCCTGCATCGTTCTGTTCGTGTTCGTCGTCGCCCGTCGCATCCCCATGCGCGTCACCAACGACGACCCTTGCTGCGAGGCGAGTCGCATCATCCTCGACGACGCCCCGCGACGACGCGCTCGGGACGACGACCGCGAACGGACGACCGCGGTGAGGAAATCGAGCGATCGCGTCGACGGCGCGTCGGCGTCTGCCGCGGGGCACACGGCGGGTCCTTCACGAGGCGACGGAGACCCGGCCCCCCGCCCCGCCTCGCCCCGCACCGCACAGCGCGACGACTGATTGCGGTGACCCACGACGATGTCGCGCGCGTTCTCGTCCACGAAAGCGTCGACGAGCGTGACGAATGCGTCCCGACAACATCGACGAAGACGCGCGTCGTCGTCGTCGTCGTCGCGTCGTTCGACGCGCGCGCGCGCGTCGTCGCGACGCGCCGTCGAAGCGCGCGCCGCGTCCGAGGGCTCGCTCACGGATACTTTGGAACTCACCGCGGATAACATCGAGAGCGTGCTGGACGAAGTGCGACCGTACTTGATCGCGGACGGTGGTGACGTCGAACTCGTCGAAATCGACGGACTGTCGGTGAAGCTGAAGCTCAAGGGCGCGTGCGGATCGTGCCCGTCGAGCACGGTGACCATGCGCATGGGGATAGAGAAGCGCTTGTTGGAAAAGATTCCAGACATCATGGAAGTCATACAGGTGGAGGAAAAGCTCGAGGGATTGGACCTGAACGAAGAAAACGTGGAGGCAACGTTAGACGAGATCCGACCGTACCTCGCCGGCACGGGCGGGGGAGAACTCGAACTCATCGACATCGAAGAACCCATCGTCAAGGTGCGCCTGACGGGACCGGCGGCCAAGGTGATGACGGTGCGCGTCGCGGTGACGCAAAAATTACGCGAAAAAATCCCATCCATCGCCGCCGTCCAATTGACGGAATGAGCGCCGATTTAATCACCTCGGAATTGATTTCATATTAACTTGTAACCAGCGACGACGCTCGAGACGCGCCACCAACCGCCTCACAACTCGGACGACCAAGCGCGCGAGCAGACGACGAACCGTTCGAGCTATCGAGCGGTGCGATCTGTTCGTCAACACGACCTCGCGTCTCGCCGTTCACGACGCACGAACAACGAGCGCGGAACCATAGAGGGAAGAGTCGTCTTAGGAGGCGATGAATCAGCCTGATCGAGGCGGTTTAACGCGTCGAAATGTCGGTCATGGCGGTCAAGACGACGAGTATTCGACACCGAGTAAGCGTATGACGAATATACTCAAAGCGTTGGACGCGAATCCGAAATTAAAGGAGGATTACGTGAGCGAATCGACGTCTGGGGTGATCACTACTTTGGTGTGCGCGGCGTTGTGTTTGATTTTGTTCTTTGGCGAATTCTTCTCGTACAAGACGACGAAAATCGTGAGCGAATTGAGAGTAAATCCGCTCGGTGTTCATCAAACGGTGCCCAACGCGGAAAGACTGAAGATTGACGTCGATATTACCTTTCACAGTCTGGCTTGCAATCTCATCACGCTCGACACCTCGGATAAAGCCGGAGAAGAGCACTACGACGTGCACGATGGTCACATCGAAAAGAGGAGGATAGACAAGCATGGGAAAGTGATTGATGCTGCGTTTACTTCAGAAAAGCCAAACAAACACAAGGAGATTGAGCAAGCGCTGCAAAAGATGAACGAGACCGACTCCGCACACGCCGCCGACTCTCATGCCATGGAGCACGTGCAGCCGTTCGGTGGTATGTTTGGTCTACAAAGTTTATTGCAAGAAGTGTTTCCAGAGGGCGTGGAGCATGCGTTTAGAAACGAGAATCAAGAAGGGTGCGAGGTGAAGGGTTACCTTGAAGTGAATCGGGTACCGGGACGGTTTTCCATTTCGCCGGGACGTTCGCTCATGATGGGGATGCAAATGGTCAAGCTAAACGTGCAGACGGCATTAAATTTAACGCATACGATTCACAGGCTGTCATTTGGGGAAAGCTTTCCCGGTTTGGTGAGTCCACTCGACGGAACGCACCGCTCACTTCCGCCGAACGCGGTGCAGCAATATTTTCTTAACGTTGTGTCGACGACATTCGAGCCTTTGGGAGAGAACAAAATCATCAGCACTCATCAGTATAGCGTTACTGAAACTTTCACAAGCTCACAGCGATCAATTATGGGGACGTCCAACGGCCGTGATCCGGGCGTCATCTTTACTTACGAAATATCGCCGATTCGCGTCGACTTCAAAGAGACTCGCACGTCGTTTGGTGCATTCGTCCTGGGTATCTGTTCCGTCATCGGAGGCGTCGTCACTATGGCGGGTATCACGCAAAATGCCGTTGAGTATATTATTTCTAATCGCAAGACCCTCTTCGCGTCATAGACATTAGCAGTTGTAGCGTCCTAGTGTACATCGAGTCACATCAAACCATGAGTTACGTCCTGTAGTCCTCGCGCTCTTCCTCACACTTCGCCGCAACTACAGATGACCAAAATAAGTATTAGCAATCTTGAATACCTCGTGCGCGCCTTCCTCGGGTGATGACGCGCGTGGTGGCCGTCGGTGCAATTCTCTTCTCCGTGACCCTGCTCTGTTCTCTCGTCGCGAGCGTGGGTGTATGTTCCAACGACCTCACAGGTGCATCCCTTCTCAATGCTTTGAGCGATATGAGGATAGGTACAGATACCGACATGAGTTTTGTATTCTTTGCCGCACTCGTAGACGTCGGTCTGCAGTCGTATTGCGGGAATACGCTGCGAAATTTGGGTAGTGCGTCTGCTCAGACTCTCATTCTCGTTCCCGACAGTGCCTTTGAGAGGGCGTCGATAGTCATGGATAAAGGATTAGAAGAAATAACAAGTGACAGAGTCCTCGTCTGTGAAATTTTGGAGTCATCCATCGTGCAAGCAGCATTGAACAGCCGCGATGTTCGAGACGGAGACGAGCTCTCTACCGCGTCAATGCGTATGCCCAAGCTTCGCGTAGACGTCGTTCAAGACATAAACGTTCGCAAATTACGAATTTTCACTGATGTTGGAACAACTATCGCTGATTTATTCGCGACAGATGTCGCTCTGTGTCCTCGCTTGAGTGCCGTGTTCGCCTCAGAGCTCTTGATACCATTAGTCGAGTCAAACGCTTTTCCCAGTGTGTGGAAGATATCAAAATCATTACCAGAGCTTAGCACGAGTGCTGAAGCATTTCGAATCACTGATTCGTTGCGCGTGATATTCGAATCGAGCGAATACGATGGCTACGATGGGACTGTGGGGAGGTCAAGTTTGCAGACATGTGTCTTTGATGGAACAAATCATGGATTTCGCGCTTATTTCTTACCATCGAATCGCGCCTGGAGACGGTTCTTTCGCAAAACTGAGCTCACAAAATCTGCTCTTTTCTCAGATTACTCCCTTCTTCTCAGTATCCTGCTTTACACTGAAGGACAGCTAACGTCGACACAGCAAAGTATTGACTTGAAGTCGTACTTGTCGACGAGCCTCGTCCCAGGACAATTGCTACGCCCCGTCGGGGCGTCTACAATTTTGAGTGCCTTTCCAGGACAAGTGGAGATTCCAGCTTTGCGAGTGGACGTGGACATATCTAAGGTCAGTTCGCGATACGTTAGAATTTCTGGTGGGAGCACGAGCAGTCGCTTTGATAACACCGCCGTCGTCGTCGCCGCAGATATTGTTTCATGCACTGGCATCGTCCATATCATCGATGATGTGCTAGTTCCACCAATGTTGACAGCATTTCGTCAGCTCTCATTGCGTAGCGAGCTGTCTATGTTTACAGATCTGTTACGAGCGCCCGCAATGCATGAGTTGATGCTCGAACTCGATACACCATCCGAAACGAATATATTTGCTGACAGCGTCGTTTTCGCGCCAACAAATGTAGCGATTCGACTAACTTTGAATTACATCGGTTGGACGTTCGAAGATTTGTTCCAGAGGGACGCACTGTTGCGACAATTTGTCACGTACCACGTCATAAGTACTCGAAGCGCCGAAGGAGCCCCTGAAAGACTCAAATTTCGTCTAGGACTCGGTCCCGAGGAACAGCAGTTTGCCACGCGCTTGGCATATCCAATCTTAGCGAAGAGCTACGCTAACACGTTCCAAGGCACGCCCATCGCTAAGACAGTGAAAGTACTCTCAACTCGCCGCGGCGTGAAAAAGTTCTTCACACCCCGCCATGTGCTTCGAGGACGTTTAAACTCTGCACGGTTCATCAAAAGTGACATTCCATCGACGAATGGCGGTATCGCTATTATCGATGCGGCGCTCATTCCACCGACGGCGGAATTCGGAGTGACTCTTTACGATAGAATTCTTCGCACACCGACGCTGCGTGTTTTTCGTGAACTTACAAGCGTTCTCGGCCTCCAGCGCGAGTTTGACACGCAAGGTTTTGGAAACGGTGACTGTACCGTATTTGCACCGACGGATTCCGCATGGGTTACCTTACTTGCCGATCTCATGACGACGCAGGAGGAAATCGCAAACCGCGCCACAGCGATGCTGTACGATATTATCATGCTCATGCTCGCCCCTAGAACGGAAGAATTTCAAGAGATTGAACGCGAACTTTATGACCCATGGCTGTCAAAGGACGCACTGGATGGTGACGAGCTCGTGACCGCGCTCTCGGGGTATACGACGGTGAGAGTACTTTGATTTAATTATTTCTCGTTTAATTATTTTTCCAAATTTTCCAGCATGCAAACATTATCCATTTCGGCGCATTTGAGAGATGCGTTGGTCAGAGCTGCACTCCTACGAGCACACTAGTAGCCGTACCTCGAGTTGTGGGTCCAGTGCTGGCGCAATCGTCGTTTACAAGGTAAATATATCGTATTCATCAGTGCATCAATTTAATTAATTTCATCAGTACGACCTCATGGAAAAACTATGCAAGAATTATTTCGCCGGTACGCCGATTTTGTGCACGAGATCGCGCTATGAGCTCTGACAACTCAAGTAGGACATGGCAAGCGGACAACACGCCCTGAACGGCGAGCTTTACGTGGTAAAATAATTAGTTTTGGTCTGAGAAATATTTAATTAATTTTCAATGTTCGTCCTGATTTCACAGATAGATACGGTGCTTCTACCGCGCCTTGGCGAGCGTTGCCGCACGGCAGACTTTACATACAACGCGGGCAGCGCATTTGAGCTGCGAGATGGGCGCGTTCGACGATATGAGCGTTGTTTAGCACCGCCGTGTTCCTACACTTTACCAGGTGGGAATTATTTTCTCGAATTAATTTTTAAAACATTTCATTTGCTCCTACACGCGCGCTTTTTGCTGACCTTTGATTTTTCTACCGATCAAACAGGACTTTACGGTCGCGCTGGTGTGCGTATTTCTGTAGAAGCTTTCGTGACGTACGACGCGTTACCAATTTGCGACTCGTGGTGCGTATTAATTTCTTGGTGGTGGTGTGTTCCGTGCACCGGAGTAGTAGCTCAAACTATAGCCACGATCGGTGGATGTGCGCCCTATCAATCTCAGTGCGGTGGTTCCCTCGTTGTTTTCGTCACGGACGCGGGTGAAGTGCGATTTGGCGTGCAAACGTTCATGGACTCCTACAATAATTTACCGCTCAGTTTGGGCGGTGGTTTGCGCATCGTCGACGTCTCGGTGCCAGGCAAGGGTTTTTTTGCGCGCGACGGGATCGCGTTCAAAGTGCTCTGCACGTACGATGGCGTTTCGAATACGACAAAGATTTACATCAATGATAAGTTAAGGGGTATAGCAGATCCGTTCGTCATGGGTCAGTTTTTGTTTCGCCCGTTCCACAACGTATCCGGGAACTTGCACGAGAAGATCACGATTGGCAACAGCATGCACTCGGCTGCTTCCGCCACGAACACTTTAACTGACTTTCAAGGTATGCACGAGACGAGTAATGGAACTCCAGATACACGAGATGGCACATTACCGGCAATTGGTCAATTTGCGACCTATGACGCCTCGCCGCTCTTCGACGGCTCCCCAACAACGCAATATTTCTTGCCGTGGAGGGGCACGATTCACGAGGTGTACGTGTATTTTGACAACGGACTATATCAAGGGATTAGATATCCTTCAACTTGCGTGCACTTAGAGCCCGTCGAACCCGAAGCCGATGATTTTAGTGATTTTGTGACTCGTCGCCGCCGTCTCCACGAGACGCCGGTTTCCAGAGTGCGCGTTGGCCCTCGGCGGCGTAGTGACATTCGGGCTACTAGCTAGAGGTCGAAACTACACAAACTATAAGACTAATGATTTGAGAATGTTTGCCGCGAAAGTCGCTTCCCTACTTTCCTTCCTGTCACCATCAAAGCAACACTCAGGCACGATGGCAGAAACAGGGGGAAGACTGACTCGCTGCGATCCAGCCTCGGGCGCGACACTCCAGACTGGAGTGGGAATGTCAACCAAAAGACAGCCACGAGCCGCGGTTGCCATCGAGTATAGCCAAACTTCATCACCGTTGACTTTTGCGAAAGCACGCGTTGCGTTCGCTGCGACGAGTCGCAAAGCCTCGTCGTCCTCCATGGCAAGCTTGGCCACGACGGGCACTGCCGCCCCGAGCAAATCGTGTAGCGCTTGCTTTGATTTTTCGCACGATGCGATGGATTCTAAAGTATCGCATATTTTGATACGGATGCGTCTCGTAAGCTCTGATGAAATCTCCGACTCAGCGATGAAGCTTGCATCGACGGTATCTGCCAGCGTAAGAAGTTCGAGCGATCGGTGTCGTTTGTCAACGTGACAAACACCTTGTTGCAAAACGCGCGACAGTATAGGCCATAGATCCGAGTTCATGCGTTTGGCGATGAAATCGCCACCACTTGTCGAAGCCATGGTTCGAAGTAACGACAAACTCGCTTCGTACGCTTCAGCTTGAATCGAAATTTGAAATCGGTCGCTGAGCGATGATACCGCATGAGGCCAGATGTTATGGATGTGTGGCAGTACACGGGCATCTTTGTAGAGGGAAGCCACATCAAAAGGCGTGGAATTCCTGCCTCCGTAAGCTTTGAGTACTTTTAAGACGTATTTATCATGCGTCAATGCAGATTCTGCTGCTGAAAGGCTCTCAAGAGCGAACGAGCAAGCCGTTGCAGATAAACTTCGAACGCCGGCGTAAGGCGACTCCAGCAGCGCGCTGACCGATCTCAGCAAGTCTATCGCACAACCGACCATGGCCTGAAGGCGACGAACGCGCTCCAAGGACTGAGCCCGGGTGGTTTCAATGTCCTGCGAAAGCACCGAACGCATTTCTTCGACAAAGACCTCCGTCAGCTCGTTCTCGTCTTCGCTGTCTGGCTCCTCCGGGTGATACTTTTGTATGCTAGCCACAACACCTCGCGAGTGTGTCTCTATCTCTCGCACCTCGAGCAACACTGCTGAACAATATTCATTCATTACGAGCAGAAAATCTTCGGAGTGCTCCGCATTTTTTTCTCTATTGACGATCAAAAATGTGCGCAACGCCAATCGAATCGGCTCTGCGAGAAGCTTCACCATGCTCTTTGCCGCATCAGTCCTCCTCAGAATAGCCGCAAAGAGTCGAGGAGCGCGTGAGTGCTTATCTAAATGCCGCATTTGTCGAGAAAGCATATCCACAACGTAGTCTGCGTTCGCAACGACAAGACTCGCTATTGGTGAATCATCGGTTGAATTGTATTCTCCGCTTTGAGCCAACTTGAGCAAAACAAGCGCTGCGGTGTCTCGCACCTCAAGCGATTCTTCACCGAGCTTATCGAGTAATGGACAAAGTACGTTTGTCAAAAATGCACTTGTTCGTATGTGATCTTTGCCGAGTCCTTCTCCGATGATCCCCATGCCTTCCATCAACACGCGTAGTAAAAGAGCGTTGTCCGGTTCCGCAGCGTCAAGATTCCACACCTCGCTGCATACGTACTCTTCGACGATCAAACTGGAGACGCGAACAAGATATTCTCTTTCGACTGCTGATTCAGTGATGGCGCCAAAAAGCATTTCATTGAGCGCTATCAGGTGGGCTGCCGCGTTTCTTTGCCATGCACCCGCGGTGCCCAATGCGTCGAGCTCTGCATCATTTCTCAATGTGCCGAGAAAGTATTGCGCCATTGGCACAAAATACGTTTCCAGTGAAGATTCGTTTGTGATTGATGCCGCTCGACCGAGTAATCTTAGCATTTTTGCAAAACTTTTGTACATGGATGCGTCGGGGAAGTACTGCAACCTAGGAGGCGCCCGTGGCAACCCTTGCGCCGTCGACACGCTGGCTTCGGTCAAATCAATTAAACTTATCATCTGCGCGCTGCCATCTCGTCGTTGAGAAGAAAATGTTTCGATGAGCAGACACTCCGCAATGGTAGAGCACAAATGTTCTCTCGAGCTCGGACGGGCGAATAGCGTTTCTTTCAAGCGCCGAGCGCCGGCGAATTCCAGAGCGATGAGCAAGCGCTGAAGATGCCCGACAGCCTTATCGGAAGAATCACGCAGCGTGTCTGCTATGTTGGACAAATCGTCTTTTATGATTGCCTCCAAGTCTGCTCGGACGACGTAGCCGAGGTTGTCAAGAGATCTCAAATCTTCCAATATGGGCGTCGAGACTTGTGCCCAACTATCTCCCGCGAGCGTGAGTAAGCACTCCATCATTCTACGCCTCGTCTTCGCGCCCAGAACTTTTGCACAATGTTTTAAGACGCTACTCGCCATTTTTCCAGTCGCAAGTCTCACGGTCGCGCGCTGATGACTCGCTAAGGGTGGAATTGTCGCTAAGAGCGCCGCTTCAACGCGAGAGCTCGCGAGAGAGAGCCATTCTTTATCTCGAACCACCTTGAGATCTTTACCAGCGTTCGCAGGGGATACGGACGCGTTTTCGTCGTTCATATCCCTCGACATATTTTTTGCGTTCGATTCCAGCTGATCGTCTATCGATCGAGCGACGAGAGAACCCAGTGCGCTTTGCAACGCATTTGCACCTTCGCCCTCTGCGGAATCGCCGAGCTCTGATTCGTACAACGAGTCGTTCAGAACGCACGACAGAATGGACGCCATCGAACTCAGGGCAAACTCGACGCCATCTGCGCCAGTTCCTCCCGGCCCAGCGCCAACGTTTGGGCGAACACCACTCGCCGCGACTAACGCCTTGGTCAACCCAGACACCGTGCCCGGAAGGAAAAACGCGAGAGCATCGGCGTCGGCGACAAATCGAATCAAGCAATCGAGCGTGTTCAACGCACTCGAGCGCAGAAGCTTACTCCCTTGCGACCCCGCGCTTGTTTCTTCGTGCGAAATCGCAAGGAGCGTAGAAATCGTGAACCCGAGCATAGGTGCGATCTCGGAGGCGCCTCGAAATGCTGCTTGCACCTCTGTGGACGCCGCCGCGCAAAACGCGCGCGTCGCCTCCAAGACTTCCATGCATACCGTCTCGTACTCGCCTCGTCGCGGTAACGACAAGACACCGACAATCCCACTGAATATTCTCAATCCCATTTCTCGCGTACAGTCTTCCCCGCTTTTCGTCATCGCCTCTCCCGTCGTTCGCAGCGCGCTCTCGAGCAACCGCCGCCGGCGCGCCACATCCTTCGGCGCCGTCGTCGCTTCAACATCACTCGGCGCGCTCGACTCCTCCATCATTCGCGACACGTTCGCTCGAAGTATCTCCACGCACGGTATCGCGCACAGTTCCAGCGCGCGTCGCTCGCTCGGTGCTTCCGCGTGCGTCTTCCGTAGGCGCTCCACGGCGTCTCGCGCCTCGTCCGCGAACCGCGCCTCCGCGCGTCCTCGCGCCGCGCTCACCATCACCGCTCGACTGGCGTCGATGAGCGCATCGGTCGCGCCCGTCGTCGCCGTCGTCGTCGTCGTCGCGTCCCGTTCGTTCGTCGCTTCCGTCGACATCTCCGCGAAACGAGTTTCGCGCGGCGAATCCATCGAAATCTCTCGAATCAATCCAATCGACCCAATCGCTCGCGCGTTCGCGCGTTCGCGATCGGTGTCCGGCGCGCGCGCGATCGTCGACTCGAGTTCGTCGGTGCGTTCGCGCGCGTCATCGTCCGTCGCGTCCGTCGCGTTGTGCGACGCGCGTCGTCCGCAGTCGTCCTCGCGCGCGCAGTCAGTCAGTCGGTTCGGTCGTTCGGTCGTTCGGTCGTTCGTTCGGTCGTTCGTTCGTTCGTTCGTTCGGCGTCCCCGGTCCCGCCGCCGCCGCCGCGGACGACGCACAACTCGACGACGACGATGGGGAAAGAGGGCAAGAGGGAGAAGAAGAAGGAGAAGAAGGAGAAGAAGGAGAAGAAGGAGAAGAAGGGCAAGCGCGAGCGCGACGCGAACCGCGACGGCGGCGCGCGGGAGTCGTCGAAACCCACCACGGCGACGAAAAAGGCAAAGACGACGCGCGATGACGAGGGACAGACGTTCGGGATGGCGGCGGTGGGCGATCGATCGATCGCACAGTCCGGTGATACGTTTCAACGCGTGTTTTACGACGCCCCGGCGTCGTTGAAGTCGATGTCGGCGAGCGAGGTGCAGGCGGCGCGAGACGCGTTGGCGGTGACGCAGGTGGACGGTTTGTCGACGGATTTAGCGCCGGTGTCTTCATTCGCAGATGCGGGGTTTTCGAAGGAGCTGCTGCGAGTGACGGCACAGTTTAAGACGCCGTCACCGATTCAAGCGCAATCTTGGCCGATCATCATGAGCGGGCACGACATGGTGGGGATCGCGGCGACGGGTTCCGGGAAGACGCTCGCGTTTGGGATGCCGGCGCTGACGCAGATTCACTCGCAACCACCCTGCAAGCCCGGTCAGCCGATCTGTTTAGTGCTCGCACCGACGCGAGAATTGGCGCAACAAACGGCCAAGGTGTTTGACGACGCCGGCGAGGCTTCTGGGGTGAGGTGCGTATGCGTGTACGGGGGCGCTCCCAAGTACGAACAAAAGGCACAGATGAAGGCGGGCGGCGGAGCCGCGGTCATCGTCGCGACACCGGGTCGTCTTCGAGATTTCATGGAAGAGGGCGTGATTAAACTTGATAGAGTGACGATGTTAGTGCTCGATGAGGCCGATCGCATGCTGGATTTGGGTTTTGAGCCTGAAATTCGCGCCATCGCCGGCGCCACGCGCGCCGATCGACAAACCGTGATGTTTTCTGCGACGTGGCCTCAGAGTGTGCAAAGCCTCGCTTCGGAGTTTATGTGCAATCCTATCAAGGTTCGCATCGGTGCCGAAGGTTTGAAAGCTTCTCAAAGCATAACTCAAATCGTCGAAGTCGTCGAGCCGCAGGACAAGGATAGACATTTGGCGCGAGTCATGAAGCAATATTTGGGCAAAGGCAAAGAGGTGCCTCGAACCCTCATTTTCGGTTTGTACAAGAAAGAGTGCGCAAATTTGCACCAAAGACTTAGCCGTGAATGGCCAGCAGTGTGTATTCACGGCGACATGTCTCAGCATGATCGTGAAAAGTCGGTCGATGCGTTCAAGAAAGGCACGTCTCGAATCTTGATTGCCACCGACGTCGCCGCCCGAGGTCTCGACATTAAAGAGGTGGAGTATGTCATCAATTATACGTTTCCTCTCACCACGGAGGACTATGTTCACAGAATCGGTCGTACCGGTCGCGCTGGTGCAACGGGCTTGGCTCACACATTTTTTACATTGCACGACAAGGCGAGAGCGGGCGAACTCGTCAACGTGTTACGAAAAGCTGGCGCAGAAGTTCCAGAAGAACTCACTAAGTTCGGCACGCACGTGAAGAAGAAAGAAAGTAAGTTGTATGGCGCGCATTTCAAGGACGTGGACATGTCGGTGAAGGCTACGAAGATCACGTTCGATTAAATCTCTAGTGTGAACGCTACGTAATACGGGTATGCTATTGTTGTATGAGTGGTCGAAACCCTCCATTAACTTCTATCAACGAATCCTTTCCTAGCAAATCTCTAATCACTTTTTCTGGATCTCTCGATCCCCCGTGTCGCAATAATTTGTCACGAAGACTCTCCGCCGCGCCCGCCGCGAGGCTGTCGCCCTCAAAGTAACGCTTCCAAATGTCATCGGCCAGGACATCGGCGTACAGGTACGAGTAATATGTCGCTCCGTAGCCGACAAAGTGACCAAATCTAAGCTCCCAATTCGTACCGGACACAGGTTTGAACATACTGTGCTCGTTTTGAATCGTTGCAGCGAGATCAGCGATCGATTTTGACGATAGTTCGGATGTTTGGTTGTGAAGCTCGAGATCGGTCAACGCGAAGACAACCTGTTGTTGCGACTCAATCGAACGAAATATATTCCTCGACTTGCGCAACGCGGAAATCATGGCGTCAGGTATGGGCTCGTGCGTCATGTAGTGTTTTCCAAGAAGCTTCAAAGCACTTGGATCCCACGCAAAGTGCTCGAATAAATGACTCGGAACCTCAACGATGTCCATTGGCGCTCGAGTTCCAGACAAATGTTGGAATTCTGTATCCGAAAGCACAGAGTGCATGGCGTGACCAAACTCGTGTAAAAACGTTTCCACTTCTCCGTGACTTAACAAAGATCGCCCTTTGCCCGATACGGGAGGGAAGTTACACACGAGAGCGACCGATGGGTGCTGCCGTTCTGTGGGCGACACCATGCGGCTACACCGAATGACAAAGTGTGCGGCGTGATTAAACTTTCCCGGCCTCGGGAGCAAGTCCAAATAAATCGTCCCTCGCATGTCTCCATCACGAGTCTTCACCACTAGTTTCTTCAGGTCATTCGTCCATCCTTCGCCAGGTGCCAACTCCTGCAGTTCGATGCGTAAACCGAGAACTCTCGCAAGAAGCTCGCCGATGCCGACGATGACGCCTTCCAAAGGGAAATACTCCGCAATCGCGGCCGAATTGAATTCGCACTCGTGTCCACGCGCTTGTGCCATCGCGTAAGTTTTGTCCCACACCGATATGTGTTTGCCGTGATTATACTTTTCAATGACGGCGTACTCGTCCTTTGCGCTCTGCCGAAGGACATCCGATAGACTCAACAAGAACTCGCGAACGGCGTCGGGTGATCGAGCAAGCAACGGTGCGGTGGCATATTTGGCATATGTTTCGAATCCTAGAGAATGCGCGACACCAGCACGAGAAGATATGAGGTTGGCCAAAACGTCTTTGTTTGGCTCGGGTCCAGTGTTCGCCGCTATGAAGACGTCTCGGCGCGCGTTTGAATCCCTCAGGTGTCTCAACATCAACGACGAGTTCGATGAATCTACCAACCCCGTCCATAGCTTACCATCATTACTTCGAAACTGGTCTCGCACTGTCTTCGGGAGCGAACTCAGCGTGCTCTTGTCGAGCGATACTCTGCTCGCTAACTCTGGGCGCAACAAATTCCGTTGAAACTCCATCCCGAGCTCAAGACTTCGCGACAAGCTCCCGTCGAAATCCCGTCGCCTCGCCGGGTCGAGATGAATACCTCCGCGTTCAAAATCTTCTTGCAAAGTAAGCGCCACGCGCGCGCCCTCGTCGCTCAAATTCTTTGCGTCCCTCTCTCGCGCGCTCCGCAACGCCTCGTACAAGTCGCCGTCGGCGTTCAAGCTTGCAACGTAATCTTGTAGTCGCACGTACGCCTTCTCCGCCGCGATGACGTATTCGCGCGAAGGATGCGTGTGACGACACACCTCCGCGACGTCCACGACTCGACAGACCTCATCAGATATCTCATCCAACGCCCCGACGCTCGCCGCGCTCGGCGCCGCCGCCTTGAGCGCGCGCGCCATCGCCTCGCACTTCGATATCGTCTCTCGCGCCAAGCGATCGAAATCTTCGGGCGCGCGCAAACCTTGAAGATCGTATAACCCCTGAGCGCTCGCCGTCGCCGTCGATCGCGCGCGATGCTCCGTCCACGGTCGACGAAACCCGTCGTGCGCGCCCAACGACCCATCGCCGTGTGACACATACTCGACCGTCCACGCGCGCGCGCGCCGCGTGAGACCGGTCCACGCGCGCCGCACCATGTCGAGCGAACGCACGGGCGTCGACGAGCGGCGCGGGCGCTCGCGCGTGCCCCCGCGCGCGGCGCTGTGCCGTTTGACGCGCGTCGATCGAAGTGTACATATAAATACATATAAATACTGATGATAGTACCATCAGAAAAGTCAGGGTTAATGTCATAAACATCCCGACACCCCGAACTCGCGCGAAAATGCACGGTCGCGTCGTCGTTTTCCTCGATCGAACGACGAGCGTTACTGCGAAACGGCCGACGCAGGACAGCACAGGCTGGCGCGACGGGGCGACGCGAGGCGCCACGGTGGACGACGCGCGCGGCCGGATCGTTTCATCAGACGTCCGTCGCGATGGTCGACGACGCAAAGACGGTGACGCGCGCGCCCGCGTCGACGAAAGATTGTCGATTCGGTCGAGGTGTGGTCAAGGCGAGACGAGGACGTGCGAGGCGAGGCGAAGATGGGAGCGCGACGTCCGCGCTCGCGGTGATCGCACCGTTAGAAAAGGTGTTTCGCATGGATTTGATGTCGACTGAGGATGGAATGGGGCAGGAGCGCGACGATGATCCGCCGGCACGGTTTCCCGCTTCGACGGCGCCCGGGGGCGCTCGAGCGAGGCGCGATTTTAAATCAATGAACGCCAGGGAGCATCACGAGTGCATGGGAGAGATGATGCGAAGTCAACCGATCGCACTCGCGAAAACTGGAGTTTTGGGGGACGTGAGCTCTAGATACGTCGCCGATCGCGTCGAAGGGTTAGAGCAAACGTGGGATTTTGACCGAGTCGCGTCGTCGCTCGGCTCGAGCGAGTGGGAGTGTTTGATGTGTCCTTCAACCGAGCACAAATTTACGGTGTGCGACGACAGTAAGAACGCACACGGTTCTTATTATCACATACGTGAGCCCGCGGTTGAAAAGATGCTGTGTAAATTCAAAGACTTCGCGCAGTGCGCTCGAAGCTGGAGAGAAAAGTCAATCTTATTCGACGCAGAAATATTGCGCCCCGTGGCGAAGACGGGAGAGGACGGCGAGCGGCGAGACGATCTTCCGCTTGAAAGCGATTTTAATGGGAACTGTCCTAAGGACTTTATCGATGACATTCGTAAAGGTATCAATTGGAAGTGGTTGAACTCGCTGATTCGAGCGCAGCGCTTTGGCCGCCTGCTGTCTATGCGACTCGTCGCCGGCCATCGAGACGGCTTGACGCCGGCTCGATATATCTTGGAAGACTCAATTCATCTTCAAGTACACGGACGAAGGCGGATTTTATTGATTTCTCCAGAATACTCGTTTAAGGGTATGTATCCATACCCGGTAGCGCATCCTTACGACGGCTACAGCATGGTTGACCTCGACGACGTCAATTACGGCCAGACGCCGGCGTTTGCTGCGGTGCGCGGTCAAAGCTTCATACTCGAGCCTGGAGACTTACTGTACATTCCACGCGGGTGGTGGAGACACGAGCAAGGATTATCAAAAGAGCACATATCGCTCGATTTGAGGTTCTCTCCCGGTAAACGAGCGCGAGATCGCCATGTCGCGGTACTTCCAGTTTCTCGCGACATCGAGGAACGACTGGCGAGAACCGAGGGCGTCGAGCAGATCAAACATTGGATCAAAGTAATCGCAGAAGCGGATGATGCGAATTGGATAGACTTGAGCACTGTCAAGGGACACAGGCGTATTGTGATGGCCCAAATGGTGCGAGACGAAGTGGATTTGAGTCTTGGCCGAGGGACTTGGCAGGCGTTCCTTCGCACCGTCATCGACGGTAGACTCGACCCGACGCCTTGGTTGAACATCTCATTCAGAGAGCCGCTATACCTGTCAGACAAACCCGTTCACGTCCCAGACACGCGAAGTGATCTCGAGAGCGAATTTCCAGAGTTCTTCGTCGCTAAGCTGAAAAAAGAAGGGTACAACGTCGATTATACGCCCGTATCGGTTTTCAATCCAAATCATCCCGATACCATTGCGAAGGTCCCGCCGCCGCGATAGTCCTCGCGATAGTCCTCAGCTGACGGTAGCGTTGAATTATAATGTACATTACAACAAAAATGTCACATCGTTTCATGAGTCGTGGCGCGATCGTGTCACGTCTCCTTGGGGGGGGCGAATTCTTTCATCGGCCCAGAAATCGACATATTCGTCAAACTTGGGGCAGCAGCGATGATGTCGAAACATTCCTGTTTCTTTTTCGAGTCGCTTGTAGACTTCGTTCACTTCCTCCGCCGCGGGTTTCCAGTCCATGTACGCAAAGTTGACCGCAGCTTTCCAGCCGTCGCCCAAATTCACGCCCCAGTGAACGGATCCGTAGTCGGTGACGACGTATTCGCCCGCTCTTTGAACGTGTCGATAAACATGGATCTTCTCTTCGCCATTCACGCGCTTTGAATTCCAATCCTGGATCCGCGCCGGATCGAGCCAAAGCCTGCGCATCTCGAGAATGTCAACCGTGTATTCCGCGCCGAGCGTTTCTTGCAAATACGTGTGCAGCAAGTACAGATCGGATCGAGGAATACTATACCAAACGACCGCCGAATGCGAGTCCGGACGAGCCAAGATGACATTTGCCGAAGCGAACGCGTAGTCCTCGAAATGCAAGGGGAAAATAGACCCGACACCCATGTAGTAAAGCCAAGGAGACACGATGCCGACGCCCCAGAGTCGAGTCTCGCTCGCCTTCTCCGTGGCCATCTCGGCGGCTTCTAAGACGGCGGCTTCTATCACAGTACCAGCGGAGCTGTGCTTTTTGCCCTTCTTCTTATCTTCTCGCCGTTCGATTCTCCGTTGAACGGCAGATTGGTCTACTTTCGTAACCACTCCGCCCGTTCGCCCTTTCTCCTCCGCTCGGGCCTCCTCCGCCGACTGCGGCGTTGCGCAGTCCAGGGCGGCGTCGAGAGACAGCCTCTTATTCACCACGTTCTGGGTTTCACACAGCTCCAAACACCGTCGTAACACACTTGGCTTTCTCTGACCCAGTAATCGAGGATCCCAAGGATGGGTTTGGGGCGTTTCAGACGCGTCCACGGCTCGAACATTCTTCATGAGTGCCTCCATCGCGATGCCTTGAAGGTATGGAAACTGGAGTGGAAAACCAGAATGAATTTGCTGTAAGAACCAGCATTCACGAGCGTTGACGTCCATGAGTCTAAACTGATCGGCGTGCGTACGACATCGCTCTTGAAAATCTTCCACAAAGGCGCCGATTTCCATGTTGGAGTCCACGTCATTCATCGCTCGAAACGGCTCGAGCAGGCCCGTCTTTCTGTCCGGCAAGTTTTGTCTAATGTACTGATAGTCGGGTCCAAGGGTGCGGAGCTTGATGGATTTGGTGCCGACCCAAGACAAGTCACACAGCGCGCTCGTATCGTCTAAGATGTCCCACCCATCGCTAATCTTGATCACCATCGCCCCTTGCTTGCCGAACTCGCTCCACCACGCTTTGTCTTCGCCTTGCAACAGTTGCTCTGGCGTCACGCCTAGATTCATGCAACTGTACACCGTGGGCAGCGTCGACGTGTCGTTTTTCCGCATGCTTTTGTGCGTGCGCAGCTCGCACAGTTTGATCGATTCGGGCCCAGTTCGCGAGGGCTTGGACGTCACCGGGGGTGGCGTTCGTCCGCTCGTCGTCTCGTGTCGCAAGTGCACCGCCGTCTCCTCGCTCGAGTTCGCCCCTGAGCTCGAGTGGTGGTCGTGATCGCCGCTAACGATGGCATCCTCAAACGTCGCACCTTTACCGTCCCAAATCCCGCGCGCGCGCGCCGGCTCCTCGTACCTGTACGCCGGCTCTGGACTCAACTCGCCCGCCGCGAATTTCGCCGCGAATCTCGCCCTCTTCTCCTCAAAGTCTCGCTTCTCCTCCATCTCGTGCGGCTCCATCCGTTCGCGTTCACCGTTATCGCACACGTTCAACGCCCGATGCGGTCGCTCGGCGTGATATCGCCGCATCGCTCGCTTCGCCGCGTCGTTCCCTCGCCGCCGCTTCCCGCGTCGGCGTTCGCCTTCGCGTTCGCGTCCCGCCGCCTCCTTCCCTCGCCGCGCCCCCTCGCCGCGCCTTCCCGTCGTCCGTCGACGCGCGTTCGCCTCCGCGCTTTCGCACCATCTCGTCGCCGATCCCGGGCCGTCGTCTTCGCGCGCGCGCTCCCACGCCATGTCGAGATTCGCGTCTCCGACGACCGACGCTCGTCGACGACGCGCGCGCGGATCGCGGCGCGTCGACGCGCGTCGACGCGGCGCGCGAAGCGCCGAGAACGTCGACGAGCGTTCGCGTCGGAGCGCGTCGGACGCCGCGCTCTGACGCGCGCTGACGCGCGCTGACGCCGACGAATGACGATTCGTCGACGCCGAGACGCGACCGCGACGACGGACGCGCGCCGAGACGAACGCGCGCGTCGCGGGCGACGACGCGATTCGGGGCGTCGGCGTGCGTCGGCGTGCGTGGGTTCTCTCATGGCGTTCACGACGCGTTGAATGCGGAAACGTGACGGGTATAATTAGGGTTGCGACGGCATCACCGGACGGGACGCCAGGCTTTCTTCCCGACGCGACCGGCGCGACCGGCGCTCCGGCGCGTCGGCACTCGTCGACGCGATGGGCGGACGCGTGCGACGATCGAACGATCGCGCGCGCGCGAACGACGCGACGCGCGCGGACGAAGAGATGGGCGACGCGGACGCCGCGCGGGCGAACGCGAACGCGAACGCGAACGACGCGACGACGGCGCCGCGCGGTGAAGGTGCGGGGAAAAATCGCGCGATTCGTTCGATTGATTGTCGCGTCGCGTCGACGCGTCGTGCGTTGGCGAGTTCGATGAGACTGACGAGGGCGCGCGCGCGCGGACGCACAGACGATCAGTGCTGGATTTGCCTGGACGGGGACACCGCGGACAGAGAGGTGCGCGCGCGACGACGCGCGACGACGCGCGCGACTCGATCGCCAAGATAGGCTTTTCCCATACAAATGTGACTTTTTGGGCGAAAATATCTTTCGCGCGAGATCCCGCGTTTTTGGTGGCGTGTGTGTAAACAAACGGTCGGACCGGGACCGGGACCGGTTCGCGTCGGACGCGTCCGGAGCGCCCGGAGCGCGACACGGGGGGTGGGCCGGAGCGATGAGACTGACCGATGATCGCGCGTTCGCCTCGCGCAGTTGTATCATCCGTGCGCGTGTCCGCGATGGGCGCACGCCAAGTGCGTGGCGCGATGGCAGTTGCAGTGCTCGGGGAAGCCGGAGGAGGTGACGTGCAAATTTTGCGCGTCCAGACTGCCGGATTGGCGAGCGACGCTGTTCAAAGACGTAGTGCGCGCGAGTGACGACGCTGTGGTGCCGACGTCGACGAGTGGATCGAAGAAGAGAAACAGTATGGATGAACGTTTACTACGCAGTTCCGCGGACGGAGACGACCAAGAAGCGGGGACGCCCGGCGACGAAGAGACGGACCACAAAGACGGACCGGGAGAAATCAAGGGCGATATCATCGTCAAGTTTAATAATATCTCGTTCCGATGCCAAGTTCGCACCGGGCCGGATGGATTGGCGGATTTCATGCGGCAAATCAGAGAACGTTGCGGGATACCGGAGGAGAAGATGAAATCGCTCAACCTCACGTATCGGTGCAAGGATCCGAACAACGGGATGCCGATGACGTTGGAAGGGCTGAACGAGAGCGCTTTCGATGCCGCGGTTTTATGCTCGGCGGTTCAAGATAAGATCAAGCATCAAGCTCGCGTCGATTCGGCGGTAAAGTCTTCTCGAACTACCGAAATTACGTCTAGATCCAATAGAAGGCGTTCCGGTGACCGCAACTCCTTCGAGGAAGGTCGCCGTGAACAAGTCTCAGCGTTTCGACGATTCGAATGAGGACCCGTAAGGAGCTTTCGTTGTCAACATCGTTCAAGACGAGTGGAATTTTTGTACACGACGCAGCGATACGAGCTGTTTTTTTGTATTAAGCGCAAACTTTTGTACCGCGTATGTGCGGCGGTCGTTCTGTAATAAACGATCGTGTAACATTATGAATAAAATACTACAACCATGCACGCAAAAAACACGCTCAATCAAATTCCTAAAACATTTCCGCCACCATGCTCGCCGCGTCGTTTTGCCCTTGGAATCCGCTGAGCTCGGCGAGCTTTTCGAGCGTCTGTTCGCCTTCTAGTTTCTTCCCATTGATCACCCACGTCGGGAACCCCTCCACTTTCGCCGCATCACACGCCGTAGCCACGGGCGTGCCTCGTTCCCACCCATCTGGGAAGCACTCCACGTACGGAATCTGCGCCCCAGCGCCGAACGTCTCCTTTTGTTCGATGCAGTGCGAGCACCAAAACGCGCCGTACATCTTCGCTCCGGTCTCTGCGAGATGTTTCGCGAGTGCGCGAGAGTATGCCGTAGACGTTTGCTCCAACTGCGCGGGCGCGTAGGCTAGTTTCAACCCTTGAGTGTTTTTCGCGTCCGGGCTCTCCGTGAGCACGATGCTCATCGTCAAAACCGTGACGACGTACAACGCGATGGCCGGCGGGAACGCGTTGGCGCTCTCTCTCGAACTCAGACCCGCGAAACCGACGCCAAAAAGCGTGAGCGACAGAGCGGCGGACGTCAAGCAGTACAAGCACTCCACACCACCGAGCTTGAAGGCTAAAACAAAAAGTAAATACGACGACACGCCGGCTAATCCCGTGGCGCCGAAGAAGAGTAACACGCGCGCCTTGCCGTAGGATGACTCCAAATCCTTATCGCGTCCGTCGTCGCCTTGCTTCACGAGCTCGTCTTGCATACCCGCCCCCCACCACGCCAGCGCGGCGACCAAACCGTACGCCACCGCCCCGAACGCGGACAGCGGAATCCCAAACAACTCGGCGTATCCGCTATTCAACGCCGTCTGACACCCGCCCACGGGACACGCCACTTCCCCCCCCGTGAGCTTTTGCACCGCCAAATACGTCGATTCTAACGCCCCGAATCCCGCTAACCCGGCCATCACGCGCAGAGGCGGACGCGGGAGCGGTCCGGGCGGCAGACTCGGAGCCGGTTTCGGCTTCGCCTTCGTCTCCGTCGCCGGCTCATCCGTCAGCGCCGGCGCGCTCGCGGGTTCACCGTTCTCCGCCTCGACGACGACCCGCGCGCGTCGTTCGCGCGCGTCGCGCGCGTCCCATCGTCTCGTTCGCGTCGTCGTCGTCGTCGTCGTCGTCGTCGTCGTCGTCGTTCGTCGCGTCCATCGTCCTCGACGCACCGACGCGCGCGCACCGATCGTCCCCGTCGCCAACATCGCGCGCCGCCGTTCGCGTCCGCGCTCGCGTCGCGCGCGTCGAGCCCTCGACCGCGCCGCGCGCCGGCGTCACCGTCCTCGCGCGCGCGCGTCCGCGTCGTCGCCGCTCGCGCGCGCGTCGGATTTTGCGGATAACGCGTCGTCGATTCGTCGATTCGTCGATTCGCTCGACGCGGCACTCGCGCGCGCCGCGTCGCGCGCGACTCGCGTCGATGCGCGGCGCGGCTCGCGCGCGCGCGCGCGCGAGCCCCGCGCGCGCGTCGCCTCGCGCGCGTCGCGCGAGGGCGTCGACGACGCGCGCGATGGCGTCCCCGTTCGGCGACGCGGGCGCGGCGAAAACGAGCGTCGATCCGTTCGCGTCGTCGGCGTCGCGGTCGCGGACGTCCGAGGCGACGACGACGCGCGCGAAAAATGCCGTCGACGCGACGCCGCGGGCGCGCGCGCCCGCGTACAGAGCGTGGGACGACGTCGAGGTGTTTGAAGTGCCGGAGACGCTGCGGCGAGACGGCGCGGCGCGAAACGAACGCTTCGTCGAACACGTCTCGCTCGAGGGATTGTTCGGCGCGACGTTCGCCGACGCGTTTCACGACGACGCATCGTTTCGCACGGACGTGCGACGCGCGATGCGGAAGGATTTGTTCGTGCCGGATGAAAATTTAAGCGCCGAGGCGAACGCGGCGATGTCGGCGCTCTCGAGCTCGGTGCACGTCAACTGGTTTGAATCCCGCACGGGGTACGCGGCGCTGAGCGCGCTGTTCGCGTCGCGCGGAATCGAAGACGTCACCGGTGAGCGCTTCATTCGCGCGCTCGGTGGGTTGTGCGGCGAGCCTCGTCACGGCACGCTCATCGACATCGCGAGCCCCGTCGGCGCGCGAAAGATTTCTCACTCCTGGCACCAAGACTCTGGATACGACCGCCTCACCGTCATGCTCGGTTTCCCCGCCGCCGCGCCGAGCGAATCCATGGGTTTACCCTCCGGCGTCGGCGTCTTCTCGCACGCCGTGAAGCTCTCGCACGCGTTGCGTCGTCCCTCCCCTCCCGGCGCCGTGCTTCAGTGGGAAGACGTCGCCTCCGCGCGCGACGTCCGTCTCGACGCCCGTTTCGTCGCCCGTCCCGCGTTCGCGCGCCATCGCGAGATCATCGTCTATCGCGATTCATCCATCCTGCACTCCGCGCCCGACGTCGCGCATCGCGAGGCCGTGTGGCGTTTCATGTAATCAATCTCTCAAATCACTCATTCGCGCATCTTTCCGCGTATTTAACGCCGGGTCTGGGTCGACGCGCCGGTGACGCCGTGGATTCGATCTCGAACCCGCCGTGCATTAATGTCCGCACTAGTGCGCGCGTCGCCGCGAAGACGCCCGATGGTGAAGCTCTCGGCGCTGTGTCGCCGCGCCGACGCGCACGACGACGCCGCTCTGTCGCTCGCGTGGTGCGTCGACGCCGCGTCGCCCGATCGCGTCGCCCTGCTCACGGGATCGCTCGACGAGAGCGTCAAGCGATGGATGCCCGGCGACGGCGAGGCGCGACCGAGCGATTTAACGCGCGTCCACGCGTACGTGGGACACACGCTGGGGGCGTGCGCGCTGGACGCGAACGCCGCGGGCTCGGTCGCGGCGTCGGCGCTGGACGGCGTCGTCCGCGCGTGGGACGCGAAGACGGGGGAGACGAGCGCGGCGATGGAGAGCGCGCCGGGGGAATCGTGGGGGGTGAAATTCGACCCGAGCCCGGGATCGACGCTGCTCGCGATCGGTGGAGGAACGTCGCAGAGCGTGCGCGTGCACGACGCGCGCGATGGGGAGAGGAAACAGACGCTGGAGCTGCCGGCGACGACGGCGGAGACGCCGAAAAACGGACGCTTCGCGCAGAGCGTGGCGTATTCGCCGGATGGGAAACGCATCGCGTGCGGGGCGATGGACGGTACCGTGGCGGTGTTCGACGTGAAAACGGGCAAGTGCGCGCACACGCTCGCCGGACACGTCGCGCCCGTGCGCGACGTCACGTTTTCTCCGGACGGGAAGACGTTGTACACGGCGAGCGACGACGGGTACGCGCACGTCTACGACGCCCATAATAAATCATTGATCGAGTCCCTGAGCGGGCACAAGAGCTGGGTGCTGTCTCTCACCGCCTCTCCCGACGGCACCGCCCTCGTCACCGGCTCCTCCGACGCCACGATCAAGCTTTGGGATTTAAAAACGCGCTCGTGCGCGCAAACCATGACGGATCACTCCGACGCCGTGTGGTGCGTTCGATTTTCCCCCGACGGCGCCGCGCTCGCCGCCGCCTCCGCCGATCGCTCGGTCTCGCTGTTCAATTTCGCGTGAGCGCGCGCCGCGCCGCGCGCCGCGTAGAACGTACGTTTGTGCGATAATAAAACTAGCTCGTAGGTCGACGGGCGGCGCCGCCCGGTTTCTTTCTTCTCGCGCTTTTCTCGGTTCACGACTCGTCCCGACCCCCCTCGACGACGGCCGGTCCTTCGAGCAGGCCGCGACGTCACCGCGGGGCATCGCGTCGCCATTCCGAGTCGCGCGCGTCGTCGACGACGCGTGTGCGCGCGCTCGCTCGCTCGAGGTGCGCTCGAGGTGCGCGCGCGCATCGCTCGCCGCGTCCCGAGCGCGTCGTCGTCGCGCGCGCGCGTCGCGACGCCGCGACGCGCGCGCCGCGTCGCACCGCCGCCTTTCGCGACTGGATAAAGCGACGACGACCGAAGGATCGACTGACGAACGACCGGGACTCGCAGGCGGACGACGGACGAAGATGTCGCAGTATGCGATGTGCCAGATGTGCCAGACGACGAGCGCGAGCGCGAGCGCGAGCGCGAGCGCGAGGCTGAGCTCGCGAAGGACGACGGCGGCGCTTCGGGACGGGACGGCGACGTCTCGACGACGAACGCGCGTGGTGACGATGGCGGGGCGGGATTACTACGACGTCTTGGGCGTGTCGCGATCCGCGGACGGAAAAGAGTTGAAGCGAGCGTACAGACAGCTGGCGCGAAAGTTTCACCCGGACGTGAACAAGGAGCCGGACGCGGAGCAAAAGTTTAAGGAAATTTCCAACGCGTACGAGGTGCTGAGCGACGACCAGAAGAAGGCTATATACGATCGATTCGGGGAAGACGGGTTGAAGGGCGGCATGGGCGGCATGGGTGGTATGGGCGGCATGGGCGGCGACCCGTTCAGCAATCCGTTTGATTTGTTCGAATCCTTCTTCGGCGGCGGCATGGGCGGCGGCATGGGCGGCATGGGCGGCATGGGTGGACAGCGCCAAGCGCGTAACCGTCCAACGCAGGGCGATGACGAGAGATACGATCTTGAAATCGACTTCCTTGAGGCCGTTTTCGGGGTCGAGAAAGAGCTCGACACCATGCGCCTTGAAAATTGCGACAAGTGTTCCGGGAGCGGCGTCAAGGCTGGCACCAAGCCTGTGACGTGCGGGACGTGCGGCGGGCAAGGCCAAGTCGTCGCCACCGTGCGCACGCCGCTCGGTAACTTCCAGCAAGTCACTGGATGCCAAGCGTGCGGTGGGACCGGTCAGTCGTCGACACCGTGCCCCGCGTGCTCTGGAGACGGCCGCGTGCGACGCAGCAAGAAGATTCAACTTCGCGTACCGCCGGGTGTGGACAAGGGCTCGCGCTTGCGCGTTCGAGGCGAGGGTAACGCCGGCCGGCGCGGTGGACCGCCGGGTGATCTGTACGTGTTTATCAACGTGCGCGATGATCCGGAGTTGAAGCGTTTCGAAAACGTCAACATTAGCTCCACGGCGACCATTCCGTACACCAAGGCGATTCTCGGGTGCACCGTCAAGGTGCGCACCGTGGACGGGCCGGTGGATCTCAAGATCCCTCCTGGCGTGCAACCGGGAAGCACGCTTCTCATGGCGAAGCGAGGCGTCCCGAGACTCGGCAACGATTCCATTCGCGGCGATCATTACGTCACCGTGAAGGTCACCATCCCCGCCAAGCTCGGCGACGACGAACGCGCGTTGATCGAACAGCTCGACGCCAAGCAAAAGTAAGCCGCGTCGTCGTCGTCGTCGTCGTCGTCGTCGTCGTCGGCATCATCGCGGCAAAAATAAGATTAGCGTTTATATCGGCAAGATCTCTTTCCTTCTTTCCTCTTACAAATACACCTCGTCCCTCTAACGCAATCGGATCTATCCGCTCGCTCGCCGCCGCGCTCACGCCGAGCCCCACGCGAGGCGAACTCGACGCGCGATCGCGATCGCGAGCGCCAGCACCACGCTCGCGCACGCGTACGCGCGCGCGACATCTCCCATCGTCCGTCGTTTCGTCGTCCCTCGCGTCGTCGTCGTCGTCGTCGTCGTCGTCGCGCGCGTCGTCGCGCCGTCCTCGACGCCGTCCCCATCTTTCCCATCTTTCGCGCCCTCGCGCGTCTCCCGTCGCTTGCGGCGCCGCCGCGGGAGCTCCGACCCCGCGAGTCCGATTCCCACCGCCTCGCCGTCCTCGATCTCGGTCAATCGCGCCATGGCGACGGACGTCGGCGCGCGCCGCGGTGTCCCGACACTTCGCGTCGCGTCGACGACGACGACGACGACGATGGCGACGCGCGTCCTCGGCGTCGTCCGTCGCGCGGCGCGCGCGATGTCGAGCGCGATGCGTCGACGCGAACCGCGCGCGCGCGCGACGGTGACGACGCGCGCGTGGACGACGACGCTCGAGCGCGCGAACGTTCGAGCGCGCGCGTGGACGACGCCGGCGCGGAGGACGTACGCGCGCGAGCGCGGACGCGCGAGCGAGGGAGGGAAAAATCGACCGCGCGCGAACGATGAGGTGGGTCGAGGGCGCGGACGGCGAGGCGAGGCGAGGCGAGGCGAGGCGAGGCGACGCGACGGGCGAGCGCGCGGGACGCGCGGGACTGACGACGAGACGGGCGCGCGAACGAACGATAGATTAAAGCGAAAGTCGTTCGATTGGTGCGAGATGGGGAAGAGGGGGCGTCGGCGCACGAGGTGATGGCGCTGGAAGAGGCGATGGCGGCGGCGAAAGCGGCGGGAATGGATTTGGTTGAGGTGAACGGAAACGCGTCGCCGCCGGTGTGTCGAATATTGGATTACGAACGAGTGCGGTACGACATCAGGAAGCGGGCGAAAGAGCAGAAAAAGGCGGTCAGCGCGGCGCAAAAGCGGGACGTGATAAAGGAGTTGCGATTGACGGCGAAAATCGACGTGCACGATTTGAATGTGAAGATAAATGGCGCAAAAAAGTTTCTCGACGCGGGAAATCGAGTGACGTTTCGAATCATGTTTAAGAACTCGGACGGAATAGCGCAGGACAAGCGCGCGACGCGCGGCGCAGAGATCATGGATAACATCATATCGATGCTTGAGGACGTTGAGGTCGTTCTCAAACCGAAAATGGTGGGTGCAAATCACATGACATGTTCTCTTAAACGACCGACGAAGAAGTGAGAATGTTGTGTTGCGGCTTGCTCGCTCGCGAGTTGTAGTATTACAGTATATTAAGTAGAGATGAGAAATCACCGCGGCTGCGAACGATCTTTCTTCTTGCGCCAGATTGCAAAGTCTTGTCCAGAAAGCACGCAATCCCACGCGTCGTCTGCATGAAAATGACCAGGTCCAATTTTCATCAAAAGTCGGTCATCGATGACGGCGGCGTACACGCTCTGCTCGCACTTGACGATTTTCACTTCGCTCCGGCAGTGAATACCGGACTGTTTGCGAATACGAATCATGTCTTCGATGGGTTTGTGCAAATGTCCCCAGTTGTTGTCAAAGATGTGATCCCAGAAGATTGTCGGCGTGCCCGGGTGGGTCAGGATGTACGCGTATCCTTGAAGCTCTTTGTCGCGAGGAAACCGCCAGTGGCCTTGCGTCGATCCAGTGTCGTGATTTTCTATGAAAGTCACCGCTCGACTAGGCCACCAACCCATGACACCCGGAGCCTTGCCTGCTTTATCCGATAAGCGCCAATACTCTTGGCGTTCAAATACGGCGTGCAGGATGCCCTTGGTGGTAACGTCGAACGCGCCGGCGTTTCCGCCGGCGGCGTTGAGCCAGTTCACGATCCGTTGTCGATGACCATCTTGGTTGTAATCCAGAGCATCCATGTTATAGGCCAACGAATCCCAGTACTCACCGACCGCGAACTGCGGATTCGTCGCCTCCATGTAATCCTTCACGTGACCACCCCAGAAACCTCTCACGTAATCGAGTCGCCAACCGTCGTAGCCGACTTCTCGCATGAGCCAGCTCATCCAATCTTCGAGATCAGCCTTGACGAAAGCTTGATTATGGTCGATATTAGGAGCTGCATGGAACATTTCACCATCGGCTTTGTTTCCTCGGCCATGAAAATTGGGATCGTCTGCCACGATGGCTGTCGCGTCCCACGGTAACTTGCCTCCAAACTTGTTGTACGTGCCGGGTACGTCGCCTATGAAATGGGCGCATCGATGGTTAAGCACGGCATCACCGAGCGCCATCACACCATTATCGTGCAAAGCCTTGATGGCGCCCTTTAATTCTTCCTTTGTGCCGTATCGAGAGTCCAAGTTATAATAATCCAGAGGCATGTAACCTTGCTCGCTGACGCTCGATGTCGGCGGAGGCAACCAAACCACCGTGAATCCTAGTTCCGCAATGGTGGGTGCAAGTCGCTCGACGGCTTGGTACCATGGAGCCTTGCAAGACTCCCAGTTGAAGCCTTGAAGCAAAACTTCCCGACCGTTACCGACGGCTGATTTCTGAGGCTTTTGAATTCGCTCCGCCGGAGCAAAGTCGTCTTCGCTCAGTGGTGGAGTCGCCACCTCGTACTCGACTTGCATATTCATATCAAGCTCCTTCTCTTCGACTTCATCCATGGAGTCGAGATGCAACTCCGCCGCACGAAACGCAGCGGCTGTGGCGACGTCTATCGCTTCCTTAGTCCGCTCACCAGTGAGATCGAGCGTGGTGCTTGCGTACGCCGGCTCGGGCATGGGAATGACAAAATCGTCGCCATTGCGATCAAGCCACCGTCCTTCTCCACCATTTTCTTTGAGAACAAACCGCATCGCAGTGGGTGCGTTTCCGAGCTGAAGCTCCGCATAACTCATCTGAATCCGATCGGACAGCGGGTTCTCGCATTTCTTCATGGGAGTCTCGCACGCTTTGCCCGTGTCCCCGACCACTGAACCTTCTGGGCGCCATTGTTCCGGAGGCAACGTCCAAACATCCGCACGCGCGCCGCGAGGAACAATACCCCAATGCAAAACAATATTCCACGGAAGTTCAGCTTCTACACGCACCAAGACTCCACCACCCTCGACGTTCTTTTCCACTACGGCGCCAACTCTATAACTCACTTCTTTCTCGCGAATCAACTTTTCTTCAATGGTGTTCGTAGTGAGCCAAGGACCCTCCACCAACTTCACCGGCAGCGGTTCATCTATCGACTTAGTGATAGTGCGGGACTTTGTTACCATCCTCTTCACCTTTCGCATCCCAGTTTTGAGCGTCTTCGGCTTTTCCATGGGAGCCGCTTTGGCCAGTTCAAGTTCCGGTTCAGAGTCCTCATCCTCAGGCGGTCCTTCATCTCGCGCGGCGATTGGCTTGATAGATGTCAAACCGTTCGAACCAGCGCCAAAAAGTGACTCAACTAAGGCGTTAATATTCTCGTCTTTCGTGTCGAACGGCTTGGGGTCCACAGGCGGGGTTAGAAGACGTTTCCACGCGTTTGCCGGCTCGGAGATTTCTGACGACGCTGCTGAGACGACTTCCTCCTTGACGGGAGAGCTCGCGCGCGCGTTCAAATCGATGTTCACTTCGACCACTGATGAAAGTGAGGCGAGAGATTCGTCCAACTCTTGCTCCTCTTGTTCCTCTTCGTATTCTTCGTCCTCTTCAATCTCTTCCTCATAATCTTCCAGCATAGTAATCGTACGCGTCACTAACTCAGGTTCCGGCGGCTGTGGTATCGGCACGTGCCAATCTCTTCCGTTCGTGTTATGAATCCAGCGATCTTTCTTTGGTTCTTTGAACAGGAAGTTGATTGCGTAAAAGCCGTCCGCTACGTCACCTTCGATCGTAGCCGTGAGCGTGGGGCTCAAGCGTGACGACGTCGGCGTCATGCGCGTTTGACATACCCCCGTGGTTTCAATCGTAAACGGCGGTCTAATTTTTACTGGAGGTGTCTCCATGTTATCCCACGTTTCCTTACTAGTCGCCACGCCCCAATGCATGCGCAAATCTTGCCCTTCGGCGTCCATGTCCGTTTCCACGGTGACCTTGTACTTAACACCATTCGTCTCGACCCGAACTTTCACAGAGGCTTCCACGCGCTCGCGCGCCTTGACGACGAAACTTTTCGTGTAAAACTCATCCTTGGCGAATTCAGCGGCGGCTTCGAGTTCAATCGTCGCCCCTCCCGCTTCTCCTCCGCTCATCGCTCGCGTCGTCGTCGTGGTCCCTCGCGGCATCTGTAAACTCTTTGTCCTCTTCGACTCCCCGAGCTCGAGTCTATCGTCACCGTCCCGTTCACCGACCGTCACCGATCGCGCGCGCGCAAACGTTCGACACCTCGCCCGCGTCGTCGTCGCGCATCGCGCGCCGCGTCGTCCATCTCTCTCCGCCTTCGCCTTCGCCTTCGCCTTCGTCCCGCCGCGTCCCCGCGCGTCGCGCGTCGTTCCCGCGACGTTCGCGCGCATCGACTCCATCGCGCGCGAAACACCCGCGCTTTCGTCGACGCTCGCGCGTCCGTCGCGCGCTCGTCGCGACGCGCGCCGAACCGAACGCGCGCGTCGTTCGATCGGTCGTCGTTCGCGCCAACGCTGTCACGATCGGCGTCGCGTCGTCGCGCGCGCGCTGCGGTGCGGTGCGGTGTCGCTCGCGACGACGCGCGCGCGCGACGATCGTCGTTCGTCGCGCGCGCTCGCGTGCGGCTCGGGCGTTCGACGCCGCGCGGCGCGAGGGCCAAGATGTGCCGAGGCGCCGGGGCGGTCGCCGCGCGCGCGTGTTTGAAATGGAGCGCGGGTCGGAGGTCGCGAGCGGTGTTGCGTGCTTACAAGCGAGCGGAAGCGTGATTAGTTTAAATAGTCGGGAAATCGAAGAGAATGTCTTCGTCGTTGACGTCGGCGTGGACGTTCGCTTTGATGGGCTCGTCGTCGAAGGACATGCGCGCGGTGGCGACGGAGACGGGGTGTTCGAAACCGGCGGACGCGTCGCGAGAGGGCGATTGTCGGACGCCGCCGGCCCGGTTTTGACTGACGTAAAGCTGTAAATCGCGGGATAGCTCTTGGTGCTTTTTCTGGAGGTCGTGGATCTCGGCCTCGAGGGCAACTTGCTCGCGGAGGTAGTCGCCCTGACTTGCGCCCGGAGCCTGGACCATGGAGACGTTGCACAGACGAAGCTTGACGTTTGCGTCGTGGAGATGCGCCACGGTGTGCGAGATTGCTTTTCGTAAAGACGCGAGCTTGGACGTATCCGGTAAGCACGCGGACTGCTGCGTCATTTGATCGTCGTAACGGGCGAGTCGCTGATTCTGAAGCATCTCCAACCGCAACTGTTCGTTGGCGAGGTGCAGCGAGTTGCCCCAAGCCATGTCCGTGCTACTGTGCGCTCTCGCCCCGTTCTGGTGCTGCATGAATTGCGAGATGAAGTTGTCCGGATCGGTTTCATCGAATACACGTCTGAAGCCGTTTTCTTGTCGTTCCGCTTCTGTGAGTTTTCTTCTACCACTCGCCTTCGACGCCGGTTTCTGCTCCGCCGACTCGATGGGCTTCCTCTTCATCACCGTACCTTTCACCGACATGGGCTTCAACTTGCTCACTCGCTCTCGGATCTGTGTTTGACGCTCACGCGATTGATTTTCCGGGCGCAGCAAACACGATTTTGGCGCCGTTTCAGTGCCGCACTTGCCCTTCTTACTGCGCTTGCAGACGTCGCATTTGAACGATGCCACGCGGCTGCGGCCAACCCTGGCGGACGTCACCGCGCCGCTCGGAGGACGCGTGGCGGTTTTCGGGCCAGCGTTTTTGAAGTCATTGAGACTTTTCATCCCAGGTGGTGCGTCGCACGAGTCGTCGTCCGATGCGTCGCTAAACTTGTTCAATCCTTGCGCCCGCCAAGTCGTGGTGAACATCAGCTCGGCTAAATCGCACAGCTTTCTCATTCTGCTAGACGACGGGTAACAGGACCGACAGTTGGACCAAATCGAATTGCACGCTTTCCAAACCTCTCGAGACGACGCAAAGGCGTTCATTCTAAGTTTGTTCAGCACGATCGTCAGACCCATGGGCTCTTCCACCACGGACCCGTAATTCGCGCGCTCCACCGTCTGCGGATCGATGGGATCCCGGAAGTTCAACGCCTCGGGTTGATTTATGAAGTTTTCGAGTAAATGCTTGCATTTCTCCAGCTCCAATTGATTTTGAACGCGCTCATTCGCGAGCGCAACATCTGATCTAGGGAATAAATCCTTATCTTCCCGTCCTAACCCAACCTGCGTCGTGTTCGCGCCATCCGATCCCGCGCTCGTCGCAGCCGTGGAATCGAGCGAAAGCACGCTCGCAGATTTCGGCATCTCGAGCGCCTCCCGCGATATTCCCACGCTCGGAATGCACACTAACCCCCCAAGCTCGCCGATTCCTCTCGAGGTCCATTTATCGTCGAAATACGCGCGAACGACCCGAACGGCGTCTAGCCTCGACGTCGCTCCCTCCCTCGTCCACTTGTCTTCTAAAAACGCCCACGTGCGCTCCACGTCCACTTTGTAATCATCCGTCGTGTCGTACTTCCTATCGTACGCCCGCTTGATCACCCACTCCAATCGTCCGCTCGGTCCATCGCCGTGCTCTCGTTCGATCTCCTCCGCTCGAACCGATCGCACCGCGAGCGCCCTCGAGTCCTCCCCGTCCTCGCTCGATTTCCCGCTCGTCGACGTCGGTTCGCTCGATCGCTCGAACGCCTCTCGCGCTCGCGCGTGTCTCAGCGCATCAAGCGTACACTACGATAAAATCGCGCGTCACGCGCGCGCGCGTCGTCAGTCACGTCGTCCCGATCGTTTCCTTCCCTCTTCCTCCGCTCGGCGTCGAGATATTTCCTTCTATCCACAACCGCCTCGGCGTTTGAACCATCGTCCCGTCCTTCGCCGTCGTCCGCGCGTCCTCGCCGACCCTCTCTCTCGCTCGCGCGCGTCGCGCAACCTCCCCGCGCGTCGTTCATCGCGCGCCGTTCGCCCGCCTTCGCCTCGCGCGCGCGCCTCGGCTCGATAATCCATCGCCCCGCGTTCGATCGATCGTCCCTCGCGTCGTCGTCGTCGTCGTCGTCGTCGTCGTCGTCGTCGTTCGCGCGCGTCGCGGCGCCTCGCGCGCGCGCCGCGACGCGCCGCGCGATCGTCGCGCCGAAGTCGCACCTCTATCGCCAGGCGTATCGCGCCCCCGCGCGCGAGCGCGTCGCCGTCCGCGCGCATCGCTGTGCGGTGCCGCGCGACGCGGCCGACGCCCTCGCGGGTTCCGCGCGAACAACGGGCGCGAGACGGCGCAGAGTACGCGTCGTCGATCGGGTCGAGTGTTTATGCACACGGGGATTCGTTCGTATTGTAGTTAGGGTCGTTAGGGTTTATGAAAAGGCCGCGACGCGCCGGCGACCGCGCCGGGACGCGCGCGCGCGGCGTCGCACGCCGACGCGCGCGGCGCTCGAGCGCCGTCTTCGCGTCCGTCTCGCGCGATGCGCGTCGCGTCGACGCGCGCGCGCGCGGGCGTCGCGGCGCCGCGAACGCGCGACGCGCGAGACCGCGGACGCCGCCGGGACGCGACCGCGCGCGCGCGACGCGGGATGCTGGGCGACGCGATGCGCGAGCGCGACGACGCGAGCGAGGAGAGAACGGGGAAACAACGCGGCGCGTCGGGGTGCGCGTGCGGGAAAGACGCGAGCGTGGCGTACGAGGCGTGCTGCGGGCGGGCGCACGGGGACGCGAACGCGGCGGCGGCGCTCGCCGCCGAGGACGTGATGCGCGCGAGATTCACGGCGTACGTCGTCGGCGACGCGCAATATATCGTGAGCTCGACGCACGAAGAGTCCAAAGATCGCGCGCGGGAGTCCCTGCTGAGGGACGCGGAGAACACGATCAAGCGAATACGATTCCACTCGTTTCGAGCGAAGCGGTCGAGCGAGAAAGACGGCGAGGCGTACGTGACGTACGAGGCGGATTACACCCAAGGAAAGGGAAGGGGAAAGATGAAAACGTTAGCCGAACGCGCGCGCTTGCGAAGAGACGCGGAGACCGGAGGGTGGAAATTTGTGGACGCCGTGGCGTTGGGCGCGAACGCGTCGCTCGACGACGCGGGCGACGCCGCCGCGCCGGGCGCGCCCGATCCCAGCCGCCGACCGATGTGACGACGCGACGACGGACGCGTCTTCCGCTTGTGATGTAATGCACTCGATATTTGGTGCGCCCGCGCGATCCGCGACGCACCTCGAAACGTCTCCGCAGACGCCCGCGGCGCCGCACTTTGCGACGCGCTCGCGTCGATCGGTCCATCATGTCCACGCCATCGCTCCGTCGCGCCTCCGCCGCGGTCGCGCGCGCGGCGTCGTCGGCGCTCGCGACGACGCGCGTGTCGTCGTCGCCCGCGATCTCGATCGCGCGCCGGGCGTTCGTCACCGCGCCGCGTCGCGACGATTTCTTTGACGCCGCCGTGAAATCGTCGTCGACGACGACGTCGTTCGCGGCGTCTCTCTCGCTCTCGCGCGCGTACGCGAGCAAGGGAAAGAAAGCGTCCAAGTCCAAGTCGTCGCAGGGCAAACGGACGAAAGGCAAGGGCATGGGCGCGCTCCCGATCAGCGCCAAGGCTGAGCACACGACCAAGGGCAATAAAAACACGTACCTCGAGGCGCTGACGAAGCTGGACGCGACGGAAATCGAGGAAAACCTGACGCCCGAGGAGCTCGCGGAGTACGAAGCGCGAGCGAAGGCGTACTCTCGAGAGAAGATGCGGGCAGAGCGCGCGTTTGCCGCAGATATTAACGAAAAGATTAGGATTAAAAAGGCGGCGATTGCGGCGTTGCCCGCGGGGGCGACGCGAGACGCGGCGATGGTGGAGGATGAAGATTTGTTTCCGTTGAAGCGTAAACTGCCCATGTACACGCCCGCGATTCCTGGGTTCTACGAGGATAAACAGAGGTTAGCCGAAGAGGCGGTGAGCGGTGGGGCGGCTTTGAAAAAGTAGAAGCGAAAACGCGAGAACGTTGCGATGAAGAATATTACTCATAGATTAGATTTCAACTTGCAGATCGGCGACAATACTAACGAGCACCAGCTTCCATCGCCGTAGTCTCCTATTCTCGTTTTCGTGTTTGTGCTATAATTGAATTCAGACGTTCTCGCGAACATCTAAATGTTCTCGCGAAGGACCTTGACGACGGACTTGAACGCGAACCACTCTGGAATGTCCTCGCCGCCTCTCAACATTTGGCGGAACTTGGTGCCGCTGAGCTTCTTGATGTTGAGACCCTTCTCCTTGGCGACATCGGCGGTGACGTAGCCTTCTTCTTCGGTGTACACGACGTTCAAGCTCGGGACGGTTTTCATGCCGAGCTCAGCCGCGTTCGCCTTGGCCAAGTCTTGGGCGTCGTACGCGCCGTAAAAGTCTTCTCCGTCGAGGGAAGACTTGGAACCAGCCATATCGCGACCGATGATGAAGTGCGTGCAGCCGTAGTTCTTACGAATGATCATGTGCTGAATAGCTTCGCGCGGACCCGCCATGTGCATGGAGTACGGGAGGTAGGCCCAGCGAATTTGCGGGTTCTTCACCTCTTCCGCGAGGACGACGTACGTCTTGTATCGCACCAAGCCCGAGATGTCGTCGTCTTGGGTCGGACCCATGGTCGGGTGAACGAGGCACACGGCGTCCTTACCGACGTTTTCCGCGTGCAAAGCGCGAGTGAAGAGCTCGTAGTGCGCGCGGTGCACCGGGTTGCGGCACTGGAACGCCACGACATCCTTACCCGCGGGCAACCCCGCGCGCACCTCGGCGGGCGTCGGGCACGGAAACGGTCGCTGCGGAATGTTCAAACCCTCAATCTTACCACCGATGTAATACTTGCGACGCTCCATGGAGATCATCGCCACGCCGGGATGCTCGATGGAGCTCGTCCCGTAGCACATCTTCGCCTCTTTCGGCTTATTCGGCTTCCACTTCGACTCCACCGTCAGCACGCCGACGTCCTTGCCCTGATACTTGAGCAACACTCTGTCGCCCGCCTTGGTGTCCTCGCAATTCGTGTCCAACACGATCGGCAGCCCGAACAACAGCTCGCTCCCCTTCAACCGCATCGTCTCCACGCAGTGTTCGTACTCGTCCTCGTTCATGAACCCTCGCAGCGGCGAGAACCCCCCCGCGCTCAGCAGCTCGACGTCGCACGCGTTTCGATCCGACAGCTCGAGCGCCCGCGTGCACGACGCGATCGCCCTCGCCTTCGCCCCGTCGTCCTCGAGCATCAGATTCACCAGCGCGCCGCCGTGCGGCGCGATCAACCCTTCGCTCTGCGACGCGAACGTCCGCTCGCGCGCCGTCATCGCGCGTCGCGCCGTCGCCGTCGCCGTCGCCGTCGAACCCTGAGGCGTCGTCGCCGCCGTCGCGAGCGCGTCGCGCGGCGCCCCCGGCGCGGGCCGCGTCACCGCGCATCGCGCGCGACGCAGCGCATCGCGCGCGAGTCTCGCGCGCATCGCCATCGTCCGTCGTCGCGCCGTCGTCGTGTGTCGCGCCGCGCGCGCGGCGGCGATCGATCGCGGCCCGCGCCGCGTCGCCGTTCGAGCGTTTCTATTTAGACATCCACCTACCCGGAATACGCGCCGAATGGAGATATCAGAGCGATCCTAAACCCTAAACCGATCCTCAACCCTAAACACCCGGGCGTGGAAAAAGGCCCCCGACGCGACGCGTCCCACATCGCCACGCGACGACGCGACGAACGGCGCGATGCGACGACACGCGACGCGCGCGATGCGAGCGCTCACGCGGTACGACGACGACGACGACGACGAACGCGTGCGATGCGCGCGAGCGCGACGAACGAACGAACGAACGAACGAACGAACGAATGAATGAATGAGTGAATGAAACAATCGAAGCTTCGATCGCGGCGGCGGACGGGCGAACGAACGAAGGACGAACGGACGATTGACGAAAGACGCGAACGACGACGCGCGACGCGAAAATAGGATGGAAACGGTGACGACGGCGAACGGACTCGAGGGCGCGGAACGCGCGATCGGGCGAAGGACGACGGCGCGGACGATCGGGCGAGGCGCGACGCGCGGGTACGCGAAGGATTTGCGATTCGGCGTGGAGGCGAGGGCGTTGATGCTGCAGGGGTGCGATAAACTCGCGGACGCGGTGCAGGTGACGCTTGGACCGAAAGGGAGGAACGTGGTGATCGAACAGCAGTACGGACCGCCGAAAATCACGAAGGACGGGGTGACGGTGGCGAAGAATATTGAATTCAAGGATCGAATGATGAACCTGGGGGCGAACCTGGTGAAACAGGTGAGCGTGAGCACGAATGACGTCGCGGGGGACGGGACGACGACGGCGACGGTGTTGGCGAGAGCCATCTTTAGCGAAGGATGCAAGAGCGTGGCGGCGGGGATGAATCCCATGGATCTCAGACGAGGCATCAACGCCGCGGTGGAGCACGTGGTGGCCGAGTTGAAGAAGAACCGAAAGATGATTTCGACGACGGAAGAAATCGCGCAAGTCGGCACGATTTCTGCCAACGGTGAACGAGAAATCGGTGATTTGATCGCGCGCGCGATGGAAAAAGTGGGCAAGGAAGGCGTGATTACGGTGGCGGTGCGTGACGCGCGCGAGCGATTCGACGACTCGACGACGACGCGTTTTTCTCAACGTTTTCGTCGCGTTTGCGCGTCCGTCTTCGAGAGTGATGATAACAAATCGAGCTTAAAGCCTGTGAGACATTCGTGTCATACACTTTGCGCTGCTGTGGGCATTATGTCATAGTTACACTGACTCGAGAGACGACGCGGACGCGAGACGAAAACCAAAACCAACCAACCGACTGCTAGGTAGTCGTCGACGACCGACGAACACGACACTGACCGCACGCACGCGCGTACGTTTTATTCACTCGCACAGGATGGTAAGACGCTCGAAAACGAATTAGAAGTCGTCGAAGGGATGAAGTTTGACCGCGGTTACATTTCACCGTACTTTGTGACCAACCCGAAGACGCAAAAGTGCGAGCTCGAAAACGCGTACATTCTCATCGTCGAGAAGAAGATCTCGGGTCTCACCCCGCTCTTGCCCGTGCTCGAGAGTGTGTTAAAGACGCAACGTCCTCTGCTAATCATCGCTGAAGACGTCGAATCCGAGGCGTTGGCGACTTTGATCGTGAACAAGCTTCGCGGTGGCGTGAAGATTTGCGCCGTGAAGGCACCCGGCTTCGGTGACAATCGCCGATCGAACTTGCAAGACATCGCCATCTTGACTGGTGGCACCGTCGTCAGTGAAGATCTCGGCCATAAGCTCGAAAATGTCGAACTCGACATGTTGGGCTCCGCCAAGAAGGTGACGGTGAGCAAGGACGACACCATCATGTTGGACGGCGCCGGGGAATCGAGCGCCATCGAAGAGCGATGCGAACAGCTCAAGGAAGCCATGGCCGAGACAACGAGCGATTACGATCGCGAAAAGATGCAAGAACGACTCGCTAAACTGAGTGGTGGTGTCGCCGTGCTCAAGGTTGGTGGTGCTTCCGAGGTTGAGGTGGGCGAAAAGAAGGATCGCGTCGTCGACGCGCTCAACGCCACCAAGGCTGCCGTCGACGAGGGCATCGTTCCGGGTGGGGGGTCCGCGCTCTTGCACGCGAGCAAAACTTTACAAGCGCTCGAAGATTCGTTGGAGGTTTTCGATCAAAAAATTGGCGTCCAAATCATTCGCGAAGCAATCAAGCGCCCTCTTCGTACCATCGCTCAAAACGCCGGCGTCGAAGGCTCCGTAGTCGTCGAAAAGGTCTTGGCGCAGACGGACATTGGCGTGGGTTACAATGCGGCGACGGACGAATACACTGACATGGTTAAGGCCGGCGTGCTTGATCCGCTTAAGGTTGTCCGCACGGCGCTCACCGACGCGGCGTCGGTGGCGTCGCTCATGATGACGTCCGAGTGCATGATCACCGACATCAAGGAAGACAAACCAGCCTTTTTGCCCGGCGATTCCGGCATGGGCGGCATGGGCGGCATGGGCGGTATGGGCTTCTAATCATACTTGACTAACGCTGCTTTTGTGAATCACAAATCTACAAATTATTTACATGAATAAAGCGGTCCTATCTAAAAACATTTTTCGAGCTCGTCGTCGCCTATTTCGTCAAACGTTGGGGCGGCAAGCTCTTTGTCGTCTATCTCGTCAAAAGTCGGGGGCTTGTACAGCAACTTCAACAGTTCATGCGACTCATCCAATACATCTTTACTCAATTTGTGCCACGCACCTCGGATACCACGGCAGTCGGGATCGTGGCATCTCTGATAGTACGCGTCCTCGCGGAAATCGATGACGAACATCACATTGTTGCTCTTGTGCGCTCGTTCGATGTTTTCGCAAAACCGATTCCCAAACAGATTGAGGATTAACACACCATACTCTGGAAACGCCTTCCACGAGCGCACGGCCGCACCGCCGTGACCGCTCCAGCGATCAAAGTCTTTGCAAACGAACGAAGCCGTGCGAGGACAAGGTCCGATTGCGTTGCCGTTGAACTCAGACGCGGTGCGCGCTAGGTGAGACCCGGTTCGATATCCTTGGAATGCTTGTCCGCGCAATACCGAAGTATGCGTGACGCCTTCGAATCGAATCACTTTGGCTTCCAAAATCAAACACGTCGCTGACACCAGCGATCGTTTGAAAGTTTCAAAACTTACTTCAGATTTACTCTTCCAAAATCGTCCGGTAGTCTTCAGAATCGGTTTATTCGTCTCTTCGCTGTGCTTGTTCGACAAGTAGAGGCGAAACACTCGATTTCGGGTGTACACACCAAGATCGATGAACGGCTCGGTCTTTTCGACGTCGTCTCTCTCTTTGCGTAAGAACATCGCGTCGCATCGGTCGTCCTCGCCGCGCCGCGACTCTACGGTGTGCCAAAGTTTTCTGACAAAGTGCGCACAATGCGAATTGTCGGCAAAGACTTGATCATCAGGAAGTTGTATGATCAAGTGACGACTGAACTTGGTCTCGCTTTCGCTATCGAGCTCGACGATGTGCTCCAGCTCATCAAACTTGGACGTGTCTATCTCCGGCGTCGCCTTCAGCTCCTCTACGATGAGCTGAACCAACCAATCCATCATTCGCACGCCGTCGACGTCTGGGTTTGAAACCTTGGAAAACTCAACGTCAAAGTACAAATGACAATGGGTATCTTCTCGCATGAGTTCGTAATAGTGGCGCTCCTTCAGACTTTCGTAATATTTCCAAAACGTGCGCAAGTCTTTCGGGCCGAGCATTCGAACCCCGACGTATTGTCGAAGCCCGCCTTTCTCTTCTAATTGGCGGCAAAAGTACATGTAGGGCTCTTGCACATCTTCCGAAAGTCTCCTTTGATCCACAGCTTCGAACAATTCTTGCTGCCTGTAACTTTTGATCCAGAATCGGTCTGGTTGCTTGCTCTCTCTTTCGTCCTCTTCTCGCACGACTCGCTTGCGCCTTTTCCTCGTGTCTTCCTCCTCTTTCTTTCGTTTCGTGTCTTCTCCGTCGTAGAAACTGCTGGGATCATACGGTCTTATCGCGTCGAAATCTATGGATGTACGCGCTTTCGTGTTCTCGTCCTTCTTCGGAGGCGAAAGCCGTGGATCGTATATTTCTCGCATCTGCCGTCGTTCGTAAACCGTTGCGTCGCGGTCAGTCGCCGTCGCGTGTGAAATCGCACGAGTATGTAGACCAATTATGGCTCGATACGCCATATTTGTAGGCGTATCAAGATGGAAGGATGGCCATTGAATTTACCGAACGTAAATTATTCTCCCAAAGACGTGTGCGATGGGAAAGACTCAACAGTTCGGAGAGCGAGAAAAACCGCGCAAAGATCAGATTTTCCTCGGATTACGGTTCATAATCACAGCAAAACTCAGCTGACACGCATGAATGATTGTTGTGCATTGTTCATCATCGGAATCTCTCTCTCTCGCGCGTCGCATTCAAGAAAAACCGTCCACCGGTGAGCCGGAAAACGCCGTCGACGCGTCAGACAAGGCTGAATGTTAATCCACAGGAGTGTTCAGACACAAACGTATACGTCGTATGGTATATCGTCATCAGCCGCGTCGACATCACGTTCTCCGATCGCCTCACCGCCGCCTCCCTCGCGCGCGTTCCCGGTGTCCTCCCCGTCGTCGCGTTCCGAAACGGCTCAGTCTTATGCATAATGAGTTCATCGAACAATGGCCACAAAGTCTCGTACAAGAGGTGTCAGAATGTGGTGATCATCATCGCCGTTTCGCAATCGCACGCCGTGGTCGCATTTCCTCGCGCGTCGCCCCCTCGCGCGTCCCGAGCGACCGTCCAGACGCCGCGCGAACGATCATTCACCGATGCAAACCCATCGCCCGCGCGCATCTTCACCGCGCTCGCGCTCTCGTTCGCGCGCGTTCGAGCCATCGCGCGCGCGCCTTCGCACGCACCGTTATCGCGCGCACCGCATGGTCGCGTCGTCGTCGCGACGCGCGTCGACGCGCGTCGGAGTGGCGGTCTTCAGTCGCGGCGGCGGCACATCGCGACGACTCGACGCGACGCGACGCGACGCGACGCGCACGACCCGCGGGACGACCGCGCGCGACCGCTCGAGATCGAGCGCGCGACGTCCGTCACCAGTCCTCACCGTCGCGAGCGCGTCGAACGCGAGCGAACGCGCGAGGCGCGAGTGGCGGCGGCATGGGTGGCGGCGGCGAAGCGAAAAAGGCGAAAAAGGAAAAGCGCGCGAAGCGCGACGGCGACGACGGCGAAAGGAAGAAGAAGGCGAAGAAGAGTAAAAAGACCGACGCGGGAGCGGGCGATGCGGACGATTCGAGCGGGCGCGAAACGCGCGAGGAGGAGGCGGTGGAGAGAATCGAAGCGCCGGTGGATGGAATACTGAGCGAGACGACGTTCGAGTCGCTCGAGTTGAGCGCGCCGACGATGAAAGGGATCGAACAGATGGGATTTAAGACGATGACCGAGGTACAAGCGCGGTGTGTGCCGCCGTTGCTGGCCGGGAAGGATGTGTTGGGGGCGGCGCGGACGGGGAGCGGAAAGACGCTGGCGTTTTTGGTGCCGAGCGTGGAGTTGTTGTACCACGCAAAGTTCATGCCGAGAAATGGGACGGGAGTGATGGTGCTGTCGCCCACGCGTGAATTGGCGCTGCAGATTTACAACGTCGCGCAACAGCTGATGGAGAAGCACTCGCAGACGCACGGATTAATCATCGGAGGCGCGAATCGACGCGCCGAAGCCGAACGCTTGATCAAGGGCGTCAACTTGCTCGTCGCCACGCCTGGACGGTTGCTGGATCACATGCAGAACACTCGTGGATTCACGTTTAGCTCGCTCAAGGTGTTTGTCATGGACGAAGCCGATCGCATGCTCGATATCGGGTTCGAGGAGGAGATGCGAACCATCGTGAAAATGTTGCCAAAGGAGCGGCAGACGATGCTGTTTAGCGCGACGCAAACCACAAAGGTTGAAGATTTGGCGCGCTTGTCGTTGAAGAGTCCGATTTACATCGGCGTTGACGACTCGCGCGCGGTGTCCACCGCCACGGGCGTCGAGCAAGGGTACTGCGTCGTCCCGAGCGAGCAAAGGTTTTTGCTCTTGTTTACGTTTTTGAAGAAGAACTTGAAGAAGAAAATTATGGTTTTCTTTTCGTCGTGTAACTCGGTCAAGTATCACGCCGAATTGTTGAATTATATCGACATTCCCGTGAGCGACATTCACGGCAAGCAAAAGCAACAGCGAAGAACGACGACGTTCTTTGAGTTTTGCAAAGCCGACCGCGGCGTTTTGTTGTGCACCGACGTCGCGGCGAGAGGCTTGGACATCCCCGCGGTGGATTGGATCATTCAGTACGATCCTCCAGACGACCCAAAGGAGTACATTCATCGCGTCGGGCGCACGGCGCGAGGGACGGACGGAAAAGGACGCGCATTGCTCTTCTTGATTCCAGAAGAGTTGTCGTTTTTAAAGTATCTCAAGTCGGCGAAGGTGCCGCTCAACGAGTACGAGTTCCCGACGAAAAAAATCGCCAACGTGCAGAGTCAGTTGGAGAAACTGGTGGAGAAAAATTATTACTTGCACACCAGCGCGCGCGACGCCTATCGAGCGTACATTCTGGCCTACAACTCGCACACGCTCAAGGATGTGTACAACGTGCACGCGCTCGACCTCAACGCCGTGGCGAGCTCGTTCGGTTTCCACAAACCTCCCAAGGTCCAACTCAACCTGGACTCCAAGGCGAGCAAAGGGCGCACGAAATCACGAGGCGACGGCGGTCCGGGAAGCGATTACCGTCGCCAGAAAGGCACCGGTCACAATTTTAGCGCGGAAAATCCATACGGTAAAAAGGATTCGAGCGATTCGCGTCAATTCGTACGCATGTAGTAGCCCGCGTATCACTAGCGATCAAAGACACCAATCACTCAGTATTCATCACTCTCGTTTTACAAACTCACTTATCCATCGGTTCCAGCACGACGGGCGTCGCGCTCCCCTCTCGCGGCCACGCCTTCATGCGCGCCTTCGTCGCGTCTTCCCACTCCTTCGTCATCGTCGACGGCAACGGATCGCCTGCTCGCGCGCGCGCGCGCCCATCGTCAGTCCCCACCCCCTCCCGCGCGCTCGCGTCGATCGACCCTCCGCGCGCGCTCGCGCGCGTCCGTTCGCCCGTTCGTAGGGTCGCGCCTCGACCCCCCTCGATCGCGCGCGCGCGCCCGTTCGCGTCGCCCTCGCCGCGTCGCGCACCTCCGAACACTTTCGCGACGTTCACGGCGTAATACGTCACCCCCGCCGCGCCGCACAGCGCCGCCGTGGCGCTCGCCACCTGCGCGATCGACGCGCTCGTCATGGCGCGGCGTCGCGGTGTGGCGTCGCGCGCGGCGTCGTGATCGACTCGTCACGTATTTAAGGACTCTTCTTGGGTCGCGAACGGTCGATCGTCGTCGCGGCGTCGTGCTCGAGTCGTCACGTATTTAAGGACTCTTCTTGGGTCGCGAACGGTCGATCGTCGTCGCGGCGTCGTGATCGAGTCGTCACGTATTTAAGGACTCTTCTTGGGTCGCGAACGGTCGAATTCAAAGCCCGCGACGACAGACGCGGCGTCGCGCGGCGTCGCGGCGCATCGCGACGCGCGCGAGCGGACGCGCGCGAACGCGCGAGCGCGCGACGCGCGACGCGCGCGTCGTCGTCCCGACGCGTCGAGAGCGCGGCGCGAGCGACGACGCGCGACGACGACGCGACGCGAGGGGCGACGACGGGACGACGAGACGAGACGAGACCACGACGACGCCGACGACGCCGACGACGACGCGCGAGCGCTCGACGAGGGAAGGGAGCGAAATGAGCGGGAAGAAACGCGCGCGGGGCGGGCGGCGGGTGACGGTGGACGCGGAGGTGGAGACGTCGCAGCGGGAGCGGGTGACGTACGGGGCGCCGAGCGGGACGACGACGACGACGACGACGGCGACGGCGACGACGACGACGGAGGCGAATGGGAGCGCGCGGCACGGTGATAGCGCGGCGATGGAACGATTGTTCGCGTTAGGCGCGGGAACGGTCGCGGGGGGGGGCGAAAACGATGCTGATGATGGATTAGGGGTGTGGTTGAGCGAGAGCGAATTCGGCGGCGGCGGCGGCGGCGCGAGGGGGAAGTCGAACGCGGTGGGCGCGAACGGCGAGCGTGGGAGGCTTTCCGTGCCCGTGGCGCCGGCGTGGGAAGAATCATCGGCGGAGAAGTCACCGGGGGGGCGGAGACGACGGGCGAGCCGCGATGGCGAGGAGCGAAGACGATCGGAGGATTTGTTTGAGGAATTGTTGACAAACGTCGAGCGCGGCGCGCCGGCGCGAGACTCCGCGCCGGCGACGATGGAAGTCGCGACGACGACGACGGCGTCCGCGGTGAATACACGCAAAGAAGGTGACCACACGCTTGCGCTGGCGTCGATGGATCCCGATTGGAACGACGAGGATGAGGATAGTCAGGCGCTCATCGACGCCGTGACGCTCGCGGAGAAGCGCGCCAAGATGGCAAAGTCGGCTTCTGCGACGACGACGCAAGCGAGTAACGCCGTGCCTTCGCTGAGCGATATAACCCTAGACGATGGCGATGACGACGACGACTTATTCGCCGCCGCGGTGGATATGGCTGAAAAAGCGCGCGACAGTCGCGTTGAGTCCGGAACGCCGTCCACGGCGACTTCCCCTAGGAAATCGCCTAGGAAATCCGCCGCGGTCGCGGCTTGCGCGCGCACGCAATCGGCGACTGCGCGAGTTAAAATTGAAGATGGCTTTATGGAAGATTGCAAGGCGGAGTTGCAGAAAGCGTTGGAATTCGCGAGAGAAGAAGCGGAGGCAGAGACTGAAATTCTAGGCACCTGGTTCGTCGAAAGCGTCGCGTCGCCGCGGATTGGCTGCGTCGAATCCCTCGTCCTGACGAAGGCTAGCGGTGCAAAGAAGACTGTCGTGCTGAAGGGTTATTGGCGAGAAACCCTGGTTTCAGTGGGAGATTCTCTGATCTTGTACTGTTTGCCCGGCGTGGCGCGCAAAGAAGACGTCGCGAAGGATATTGTCGAAGTCACTGACGATGGAGGGGTGATGATTATTCTTTTCCCGGCGTACTTGATAAGTGCGACGACGATAGGGAATGGTATGGACTGCCCTCGACAATCAGTGTTGCAGCAACAACTGCAGACGACGTGGGGTGACGCGAACGAGGCGGCGACGATCGGTACTATTATGCACGATCTCGTTGAGCACGCGCTCCTCGTCGGATCGAGCCGAGCACTCGTGCCGATGGCTTCCAAGGTGAAGAGCGTGATCGAAAGCAACGTGGACAATATATTCGCCATCGATTCAACCGAAAAGAAGCTGCAGCAAAGAATAGATGCGACCATTCCAGGTGTGGAATCATGGGCTAACAAGCTCACGGCGGCGTCTCGTGTGCCAAAGCTTGGTCGCGCGAAGCCCGGCGGCAACGCCCAGGTGCGAATGAACAGAAAAGCTGCGCACGATAAGCTTCGAAGAAAGTGCACTGTGGGCGTCGAGGCAAGCTTGGATTACAATACGTCTGCAACGTTGCAAGTTGACGACATGATTGACATAGAAGAACTCATTTGGGCTCCAAAACTTGGATTAAAAGGCATCTTGGACGGCGTCGCAAACGCCGTCATACGTCAATCGAAGGAAGATTTACCATTGCCGAGCGTCGTTCCGATCGAGTTGAAGACGGGTAAGTGGAAGTCTGTCGGTCACGACGCACAAGTCTTGTTTTATAATCTTATGATCGGCGAACGCTACGGCAAAGTGTCTCCTTTCGGCGTATTGCACTACACCACGGACGATAATGACGACGAAGGCACGAGTAAAATTTTCACGAATAAGCCGGCTAACATCAGCGCTCTGATGCAGCGTCGGAATCACCTTGCGGCAATGTTAAGACCGACGCCCGAAGAAGCGATGCAACACAACGCTCCAGTCCCGCACGGCAAGGCCCGTCTCGGGAACGGTAAGCTGCCGAAGATGCAGCCACAAAGCTGGTGTGAGCGTTGCTTCTCACAGCACGAGTGTTTCAGCTTGCATCGCGCGCTCGAGGGAGGAGACGGCGAAACAAGCGAGCTCGGCAATTTGTTCATCGGCGCCACCTCGCATCTGAACCAGACTCACGAAACAGCAATCCGTCACTGGATTCATCTGATTGATTTGGAATCTTCCGAGTCTTTGCGCAAGCGTGCAACTCCGTGGCTTCCGGTTGAACTCGTCAATCGTCGCGCGAGCGACACGTACGCGATCGACGACCTCGCTTTTGTTCGTGAAAGCACGCAAGAGAAGTCTGCATTCGTCGGTGATAATCACTATTACATATTCAAACCCTCAAGTTCTGTCGCAGAAAGCGTTCTGAAGAGAGTTGGGATCGCCGATCGCGTCGTCTTGAGTCGCGACAAAGGCTTGACGGTGATTTCTCGCGCACAAATCATTCGCATCTCAAATGATTCTGGCGAGGTCGTCATCGAAATGGCTACAGAACGACCATTACGCCGGGATACCGCAAATAATGCGATGGCACCGTTACCGGGATCGTCCGAAGAGAGCGCGCTATGGAGAATCGATAAAGACGGGGCTTCTCTCACCATGGCCGCGAGGACTCGTGGAAACGTTCTCGCGTTGTTTACCCAAACAGAACGCGCCGCTATCATTCGTCGACGCATCATCGATTTGGAGCGACCCAAGTTCGCTCCAATTGGTGACCATAAGAGGAAAATCGAAGTCGCACTCAAAGATCTCGGCTTCCCTTTGAACGACGAGCAGCTTTTGGCAGTCGAAAAGATCGTTACGGCTGAAGATTACGTCCTCGTGCAGGGCTTTCCGGGTGCCGGCAAAACAGCCATGCTCGTCGCCGCCGTGAAAGCTCTTCGAGCGCAAGGAAAATCGGTGTTGATCACGTCCCACACGCACAGCGCCATCGATAACGTCTTCTCTAGGCTTCCAGGAGTTGGAGTTCACGAGTTTATGCGCATCGGCGACGAAGTGAAAGTCGTCGACGCCGTGCAAGAATACAGGCTTGGATCAAAGCGATGGCCGTGCTCGAATTCGGATGACTTGCGTAAGGTATCAGAGCGCGCTATGGTCGTCGGTGCAACGTGCCACGCCATGGGTCACGCGTATTTCCAGCGTAAAATGTTTGACGTTGTTCTCATCGATGAGTCGGGGCAGATTACGCTTCCGAGCATTCTCCCTCCGCTCTTTGCGGCAAAGACGTTCGTGCTCGTCGGCGATCACCATCAGCTCCCGCCGCTCGTGAAGTCAAAACAGGCAATTGCCGGTGGACTTGGTCGATCTCTTCTTGCCATGCTGTGTGACGCACATCCAGACATGGTGACGAAATTGTCTTCGCAGTACCGCATGGCAGAGCCGCTGACTCGATTACCAAACATTTTGACGTACGACGGAAAGTTGCGCTGTGGTACGGAGTCGGTCGCGAAACAGTTACTTTCGCTCGCGCCTCTCAAAGATGCTTTCTCCTGCGCTCCGCAGTGGTTAGCGCACGTCATGAATCCCGCGAATCACACCGTTTTCTTGGATACGAGCGCGCTCGGCGCCGCGGCGCGCGAAACGCCTAAGCCGTATATTAATGAGGCAGAGATGGACTTGGTGCTGACGACAGTCAGTGCGCTCACAACTCACGGCGCCACGAGTGTGTGCGCATTATCACCATTTAACGCCCAGGTCGACGCCATCAAAGCTCGCTTGAACGGATTCAAAGCGCTCAGCGGCGACGACGCGCCTCGAGCGCTCACAATTGACAAAGCGCAAGGCCAGGATATGGACGCGGTGTGCATCTCCTTCGTCTGTTCGAACGATGAAGCCAAGGTGAACGTTTTGCTGAATGACACCAGTCGCTTTAACGTTGCGATCACGCGTGCAAAGAAAAAGCTGATCCTCATCGGTAACGCCGAAACGTTGCGATCCTCTCCGGTGCTCGCGCGAGCGCTCGAATTTTATCGCGCCGAGGGGTGGATCGTGCCGCTCACCATCGAAGCGCTGGATTTCACGAACTTCGTCCTCGGGACGTTCGAACCGAGCGTTCTCTAGCTTATTGACTACTATAGATCTAAAAATTATCTGTTGTACACACTACTCCTACGTCTTCGAGCGAGGACTCAGAACAGCAACTCGTCCAAAGTCTCTGTAATCGTGCACGCCCCCGGCTCGTACCGCGCAAACTCAAACGCGCTTCCATCATCCGCTAACGCCTCGATCGCTTCCAGCAACCCCTCAGGCACGCACCACCGCAAGCACTTCCTTTCCCCGAGCTCCTCCGCGAGCTCGCGTTGATGATTATCCATCAGCGTCTCGTTCACCACGACCAACAGCGGCCGTCTCGCGCGCAGCGTCTCGAACACCGACCCAGCTCCCGCGTGCGAGATCACCAGCGCCGCCCGCGCGATCTCACGATCGATGCTCGGTAAGTAGTCGACTATTTCGACGTCGAACGCGCGCGCGTTCGCGATGCGTCGAGGACGGTAGGCGCCGCGTCCGATTTGCATCGTTAATCCAGTAAAGCCTTTACGAACGAGCGCGTCGACGATTCGAGGGTCGTCCATCGCGCGCGCGAGGGCGTCGAACGACGTCGTGCCGACGGTGACGAACACGCGACGCGACGGGGGTTTGGCGCGAGGGGGCATGTCGCGCGCGGCGGCGCGGCGCGCTTCTGGCTGTGCGGTCGGTTACAACGTAACCGAACGTTTCGTCGTGACGGCGCCGCGTCAAATAATGTGTCTAATAGCGTGTCAAATAGCGTACCAAACAAGGAATCATCATCCATGCCGAGCGCGCGGGCGTGGATCAGTCGGAGATGAGAATCACGTCGGCGTCTCGGTCGAGTTTCTGCTGCTTCGCGCGGCGCGCGTTCTCTTCTTCGTCTTCGTCTTCGTTTTCGCCTTCGTCGTCGTCGTCTTCTCGCTTGTGCAGAGAAAGGTGAATCATGCAGTGATCGGAATCCATGAAACAAGACATAGGCATCGATTGTGCCGTGGTGTCGTCGAATCGATCGGTGGAGGTTTCGCACGACTTGATGCGCGCGACCAACTTACGCGGCACGACGAAGTAGTCTAATCGCATGCCCTGCCAACCGTCCAAACCTTGACCTCGCGTAGAACGCCAAGTGTACGTCAAACGATCGCCGTTAAAGGCGCGATAAGTGTCCACCATATCCGTCGCGGCTAAAATGTCGGTGAATCGTCGGCGTTCCGGGAGCGTAAAACCGCCCACCCCCTCGAAGAGCCGTGGACTCGGTCCGACGTCATGATCCTGGTGTGCCACGTTCAAATCACCCATCCACACCACATCCTTCTTCCCTCTGTAGTTTTCCAGAAACCTTTGAACTCGAAAGTCCCACAGCGCGCGCTTTTCGTACCGCTCGGCGTTGCTCCCGTTGTGCGGCACGTACGTGTTCAACACAATCATCTTTTCGTATTCGAGCATCAGCACTCGCCCTTCGTTCGTGTCGATTTCATCGGGCGTCACGTCCCGCCCATCGAGCGCCAACGTCCTGGCGACTCGAATCGGTTTCGCCAAACATTTCTTCACCATCGTGATGACGCCGGCGCGCCGCGCGTTCGCCAAACAATAATACGCGTCGTAATTCTTAAACGGCCGTCGCCCCATCAGTGCCTCGATGAATGCCTTCTCGTCTCGTAACTTTTTATCCTCAGCCCCCATCTTCGCGTGATCCCTGCGCGTTTCGATCGAATCACCGTCAGTCCTTCGTCTCGCGCGTCTCGCGCGTCGCCGACGAATCAAAGCACATCGAATCGAATCTCGCACCATTTGCCCGTTCCCTTTCCCATCTCCTCGCACTTCAGCCACACCTCCTGCAACGCTATCACGTCCGGTCGTTTTCGCATCACGTTTTCGCTCAGCGCGAGCAGCGCACGCGTGCGTCGTCCGTTCGGGTCGCTCTTGTCTCTGATTCTGTTGAGCAATCCGTTCGCGTTCCACGACGCGAACGACAGCGGCTCGGACGCGTCCTCGACCGTGAACGCCTCCGTCATCGCCATGAGTTCGCGCTCGAGCGCGCTCGCGCCCGACGTCGACGCGTCGCCCATGTCGAGTTTAATCGACGCTCGCGGCGAAGTGTCGTCACTTTTCGACGGCGTTTCGCGCGCCATGACGCTCTACGGCGCGTTCATGGCGCTCGTCGAGCGCAACGCGGTGCCAGACGTCGTGCTGCGCGCGGGAATACGCCGTAACCTGCGCGTGAAGTGCCTGAAAACGTTCGCGAACGTCGAAGATGAGCTGCGATGCGAGCAGGATTTCATCGAGGATTTGCGCCGACGGGAAACGATCGCGATCGAGACGGACAAGGCGAACGAACAGCACTACGAGGTGCCGACGTCGTTTTACGAGCTCTGCCTCGGGTCTAAGAAGAAGTACTCGTGCTGCTTGTACGAGGACGCGAGGACGACGCTGGACGACGCCGAGACGGCGATGCTGGAAAAGTATTGCGAGCGAGGCGAATTGAAAGACGGGATGGCCGTGCTCGAGCTCGGGTGCGGATGGGGGTCGCTGTCGCTGTATCTCGCGGAAAAGTACCCGAAATCGAAGATCTGTGGGGTGAGCAACAGTAAGACGCAAAAAGAGTTTATCGACGGCGAGGCGGCGAAACGAGGGCTGACGAATTTGGAAATCGTCACGCAAGACGTGAATAAGTTTGAACCGCCGGGAGGGTTGGGGTCGTACGATCGAATCGTTTCCATCGAAATGTTTGAGCACATGAAGAATTACGACACGCTGTTCCAGCGGTGCGAGACGTGGTTGAAACCGGGTGGGTGCATGTTCGTCCATATATTTTGCCACAAGACGTACCCGTTTCACTACGACGTCGAGGACGAGAGCGATTGGATGTCCAAGTATTTTTTCACCGGTGGCACGATGCCGACGGATAGGATGTTTGCGTACTTTGCGCGAAAGTTGCACTTAAAGCGACAGTGGCGCGTGAATGGAAAGCATTATTCGAGGACGTGCGAGGATTGGCTCCGAAATCTCGACAAAAACTATAAAAAAGCGGCGCCGATTTTGGACGAAACGTACGGCAAACAAAATCGCACGAAGTGGTACGTGTATTGGAGGTTGTTCTTTCTCAGCTGTTCCGAGCTCTTCAATTACAACGACGGCAATGAGTGGTACGTCGGGCACTATTTGTTCGAGAAGCTCGCGTGAGACGACGACGCCGCGGCGTCTTTCATTTAATATTTCACAGTTTTACAACACAGCTGTACAACACTAGCCCCCTTCGCGATTGATCTCCGCGAGCTCGGCACGAATCATATCTTGAATCGTCTGCGCGCCCTTACTCTTGACGTTCATCGTGAACGACGATTCGTCGTCCCAATCTTCGTCTTCGTCTTCGTCGTCCCATTCGTCTTCGTCGCCGTCGCTCGCGTCGCTCGTCGGCTTCTTCGCGCCCTCCTTCTTCTTTGGACGAGACTTCCCCATCGCCAAGCCTTTAGCCTCGTACTTTGCGTCTTTGACAGATTTTGCCTTTTCTCGCCGCTTCGCCTTCTTGCGCTCCTCGTTCCGCTCGCGACGGTAGACGATTAAACTGCTCACGAATTTGAGCACCTCGTCGCGACCCTCCGCGGTGACGCTGCTCGTGGAAATCATCGACGGCAAGCGATGCCACTTCTCGTCCAACTTGCGCCGCAGCGCCGCTTTGTTTTCATCCACGCTCGGCATCCCGGGTTTGTCTCGATCACACTTCGTGAACACGATCGTGAACGGCGTCTCGTGTTCGATGAGCCAATTCGCGTATCGCTCGTCGTTCTCCGTCGGCGGCACGCTCGCGTCCACCAACAAAAGCACCCCCGCGAGATTTTCCCTGCGCACGAAGTAATCCTTCGTGAACGCGTCCCATCGCTCGATCGCCTCCGCGTCCGCCTTCGCGTATCCGTACCCCGGCAAATCCACCAACCGCCACTTTTTATCCACTAAATAATGATTCATGCTCACCGTCGTCCCCGGCTTCGCGCTCACCGCCGCCGCGCCCGCGCCGAACGTGATCGAATTCAACAGCGACGACTTCCCCACGTTCGACCTTCCGATGAGCGCGATTTCCGGCAATCCATCGCTCGCCGGCGCATCGCTCGCGTCCTCGCTCGAGCTTTCGAACGCCACCTTCGCCATCTTCTTCTCCCGCGTCAGCTTTTCGTTCGGCGGCGGCAGCGTCTGCGCGCGCGCGCCCACGCGCAGCACCGGTCGCGCGTCTCGCCGTCCCAGCGGCGCCGTCGGATCGAACCCGGCCACGAACACCGCGCCTTCCCTCGCGCCCGTCGTCGTCGTCGTCGTCGTCGTCGTCGTCGTCGTCGTCGTCGTCCGTCCGCGCCCACCGCGTCCCGGCGGCGCCGCGCGCCCGCGTCCACCGCGTCCACCGCGCGCGCCGCTCGCCCGCGCGCGCGGCGCCGCGAATCCTCGACGCATCGCGCGCGTCGTCGTCGCGCGCGTCGCCATCGCGACGCGTCGACGTGTGCGCGCTCGCGCGAACGATCGATCGTCCGCATTCCGCGCGCGCGGCGACGCGCGGCCGACCGTCGCGTCGTCGCGCGCGACGCCGCGTCGACCGCGCGCGCGCGAGGGTCGACGCGAAAAAAATTCGCGCGCGCGACGCGGCGACGCGGCGTCGCGTCGCGCGTCGCGTCGCGGCGCGGACGCCGCTCGAGCGTCGCGCGCGCGGCGGACCGCGACACAACGACGCGCGACGGGCGTCGATGGGGAAGCGCGCGGCGCCCGACGCGACGACGGGCGACGCGGAGAGCCGACGGGTCGAGCGCGAGGCGAAGTGTCGCGGGACGGTCGAGGCGCTGAACGCGCAGTTCGCGGCGTGGATCGCGCGACGCGCGATCGAATCGCCGATCGTGAGTTGGCGTCGAGGGTGCGAGGATTACTTGAAACATCTCGATCGCGTCAAGGTGCGCGAACGCCCGGGCGATGCGATGCGCGCGCGCGAGTTTTTGCTCGCGACGAGGCGACGCGCGACGCGACGAGGCGACGCGTCGACGCGAACGTGAGGACTGAATGAATGAGACGACGACGCGCGCAGGTTGATTTCGGCGACGTGTTGGAACGCGTCGAGGACGAGAACGACGGAGAGACGACGAAGGCGACGACGACGGCGAGCGATGGGCGCGTGGACGCGAAGGGGAGCGTGAATCCGTTCGGGGGGGGCGCGGTGGCGGCGGTGCCGGCGGCGGGATCGATTTTTGGGAGTTTGCCGACGGCGCCGGGATCGACGTTTGGCGCGCCGTTCGGCGGCGGCGGGGGGCTGTTCGGCGGTGGGACGGCGCCGGGCGCGGGGACGGCGGCGGACGACGAGGACGAGGATGAGCCCGCGCGACCGAGCTCGCCGTCGTATCAGGCCAACGAGGCGGTGGAGGACGAGAAAGAGGTGGTGCTCTTGCGCGTCGGCAAGGTGAAATTTCACACGAAGAAGGACGCCGGGGATAAAAATTGGGCCGATCGCGGGGTGAATAGCTTTGAGTTTAGACGCGAAAAGGCGCCGAGCGAGGGCGACGTGAAGCGCTGTAGGTTGCTGATGCGAAACACCATCGGTAAAGCGGTGTTAAACGCGGGTTTGTACCCGAAAATGTCCTCGCAATTGACTGAAAAGAAGATGAAGGATGGGAGCGCCGTTCAAAACGGCTTGATCGCCACCGTGTTCAACGCCGAGGAAGAAAACCAAAAAGTCATGGTTTATTTACGTTTCGGCAAGGAGAGCGACGCGAAAGAGTTACACAAGCTCATCTCCGAAAACGTGGCGACGCTTTAGCAAACATAATTATTGAACCGCGTGCTTCGCAATTAATTACAAGAGAAATCGAGCGACGACGTCAATCGAAACTCAATTAATCCCCCTCTCGGCGCCCACCGCCCCAACTCGTGAGCTCCTCGACCTCCTCCCACGCGATCGCGCACGCCTCTCTCGTCGCCCCGCTCGCGCACAGTTCGATCGCGCGCGCCACCGCCGCCTCCACCGCGCTCCGCCTCGCCGCGCTCGGATCCGCCTCGCCGCTCGTCGCCGCGTCTCCGTCCTCCTCTCTCGCCATCAACCGTCCGCGCGCCTCGAGCGTGCCCTCCGCCACCGTGCACTCCCCCAACCCTCGACACGGCAGCGATCCCATGAGCGGATCCTTCGCTAATCGTTCGCGCATCTCCTTCGCCTTGGCCCGTTTCGCCGCCTCCTCCGCCTTCGTCGTCTTCCCGCGCGCGTTCAAATCCAAATCCTCCCCCTCTCCGCGCGTTCGCACCCCCGCTCGAGACGCCGCGTCTCGCACCTCCGCCACCTCTTCCCACGCCGTCACGCAGCTCGCGCTCGCCGTCCCCTCTTCCTCGCACGACGCCTTCGCGCGTTCCACGGCTTCGCGTAAAATCATCTCCAGTCGTCCCCTCCGCGCGTCGTCCCTCGCCGTCGTCGCCGCGTCCTCGTCCGCTCGCGTCGCGCCGTACAGCGTCTCCAGCGCCACCGCCGCGATCTTCGCCTGCGCCGCGCTCAGCTCGACGCGCCGCTCGACGCGCGCGCCGTCGTCGTCGTCGCGGGACGTCGCGTCGGCTTTGAAATCGTCGAAATCATCGTCTTCGCGCGCGCCTCGCGCTCGACCCGTCGCGCGTCGCGCTCGACGGCTCGCGCGCGACGCGCGGGAAGGGCGCGCGAACGACCTCGAGCGCTGATTCGGCGCCCGCACCGCCGCGGGCGTCGCGAGACGCGTCATGAGACGCGGCCGGTGCGGCGCGGAGTGCCGCACATCGCCGCGCCGCGACGCGCATGCCGTGCGCGCACTGCGAGCGCATCGCGCGCGTCGCGGACGACGCGCTCCGCGACGCCGCGCGCGCGCTGCGAGCGACGACGCGCGAGCGCGACGCGCTGGCGCGAGAGCTCGCGCGCGCGCGCGAGACGGTGACGGAGACGCAGCGCGCGGCGAACGACGCGCTCGTCGCCGCGCTCGAGGCGGCGACGAGGCGCGGAGGCGCGGAGGCGTTCGCGCGCGATCGGGGGAGCGAGACGAAGGCGCGCGGCGTTCGGGCGGTGTTCGACGACGTCGGGCCGGTGCCGACGACGCCGACGGGACGCGACGGGCGACGGAACGAGTAGAGAGGGAACGGGCGTCGTCGATGCGATGCGTCGCGTCGGTAGCGTGTATTATTATTATTAGATTTATCGCGGTGCGCCGTCGGTGGACGTCGGCGCGTCGTCGTCGTCGTCGGCGGTCGGCGACGCGTCTTCGTCTTCGTCTTCGTCTTCGTCTTCGTCTCGCGCGCGCTCGGCGTCTTTGATTTTCGCGTCCGCCTCGTTCGATCGATTCGCGATTTTCACCACCTTGCGCGCGGGCACGACGGCTTCTATGGCTTCGCCCCAATCGCCGCGCTCGAGAAACGACGTCAAGACGTCCGCCGTTTGGTTCACGGTGAGCACGGGCGCGCCGCGCGTCTCGAGAAACTCGCCGATCGGCAACCGCGCGTGTTCGACGCCCAATTCCCGAGCCTTGCGCAGCGTCAGCCCTTTGTGTCGATTACGATCGATGAACCCACCGATGACGTACGTCTTCCCCGCCTCTATCTCGCGCAGTTCGCGCTCGCTATCGGCGGTGAGATACACGAGCGACTTCGCCGTCGTCTCGCTCTCCGCCGCCGTCTCCCTCAACGTCTTCCCCAACCGCACGACGTGCCAATTCTCCCACCCCGCGTTCATCCTTCCCATCTGTTCCTCGAACGCTTCGCTCATTCGCGTGAAGCTCATCTTAAACGGCGCCGTCGTCTTACAATTCCTCTCGTACGCCGCGCGCAACTGTTTCATCAAGCTCCCCCACCGCTCGCGTTCCATCGTCGTCGTCAGATCCTCGTCGCAATCGATCGTCAATCCGTACGCCGACGAGAGCTGCGCCCGTCGCCTTTCCTTCCTCTCCGCCGTCTCGCGTCGTCGCGCCTCGATCCTCGCGCCGCGCTCGACGAAAAACGCGTCCCGCGCCTCGCTCGACATCGCGTTCACTTTGGAGTGAAACGCCGCCTTGGTCGACGCCGCGACGTCGGCTTTGCGCCTCTTCGCCTCGGCGCGCTTCGCGAGCTTGGCGTCGCATCGTCGCTGTCGCTTGAGCCGCTTTTTCATCGCGCGCTTGCTCTCGGCGCGCCGGACGACGTCGCCATCGTCGCCGTCGTCGCGGGTCGCCATGACGCGCGCGCCGCGCTCTATCACCGTCGTTTTCGCTCTACATCCGTCGGCGGACGATAACCCTAAATCAGAAGGAGATTATTTGTTACACAAAATTGTTCACGACTACGACGCGAAGACATATAAATAGAGCGCTCAAGACTTGGTAAACGACCGTCCGCGCCCCGAAACGCGGCGTCACACGCGCGCGCGGGACCACTCGCGAGCGAACGAACGAACGAGCGACACGTTTCAAATTTCTTTTCTTCATGGCGTGCGATAAGTGCGGCGACGCGTGCGCGTGCGGCCCGGGTGCGTGCGCGTGCGCGAGCGCGCTGACGTGTCATGCGTGCGGGCACAAGAGTTGCGGCTGCGCGCGATGTAGATGCGCGTGCGATTCGTGCCAGTGCCAGACGAAGAAGTGATGATTGCGTCACTTTTTTCGTCGGCGCATTCCGCCGCGCGCGCTCGGGGCGCGAGTTCCGAGGGCGACCGCGGAGGATGCGACCGAGGGCGACCGCGGAGGATGCGACCGAGGGGAAGGATGAAAGTTACCGTGGCAACACTCAATAGCAGTGCTTTTCAATCAATCAATACACGATTTTCCACTGAAACAACTTTTTAATGAATAATACTAAACCCTAAACCCTAAACTAAGTAAGGCGTTAATGAATAATAAGGCGTCGCGCGCGTCTTTGTATGGGTCGGTCGGTCGGTGTCGCGTCGCGTCCTTCGCGCGTCCACGGCGTTCGCGACGCCGAAATCCGCGTCGCACGACGACGCGGATTTCGGCGATGCTGACGGTGGCGCGCGCGTGTCGACGGCGCGCCGCGCGCGCGGTCCGGCGCGGCGTCGCGGACGCGCGCGCGACGCGCGGGGCGTCGACGACGACGGATCGCGCGTGGGACACATCTTCATCATCTGCGTCGGCGTCGGCGCGGACGTCGACGGCGCGGACGACGAGGCGCGGACGGGCGACGGAGCGCCTGGCGTTCCGCGCGGAGACGAAACGATTGCTGGACATCGTGACGAACTCGCTGTACGAGGACAAGGAGGTGTATCTGCGAGAGCTGGTGTCGAACGCGAGCGACGCGCTGGAGAAGGCGCGACACGCGGCGCTGACGGAGACGCCGAACGAGGAGGAACTCGCGATAAAGATCGCGACGGATGAGGGCGAGGGGAAGGTGCTGGTGGTGTCGGATAACGGGGTCGGGATGACGCGGGAGGAGCTGATGGAGAATTTGGGGACGATCGCGCGGAGCGGGAGCAAGGCGTTTTTGGAGGGGTTGGACGCGGACGCGGACGCGGCGTCGAACATCATCGGGAAATTCGGCGTGGGGTTCTACGCGAGTTTCATGGTGAGCGATAAGGTGGAGGTGATCTCGAACGCGGGCGCGCGAGGGGATGGGAAGGCGTGGAAGTGGAGCTCGACCGGGGATGGAGAGTTTACGATTGAGGAGGCGACGGAGAGCGACGAGGCGCCGACGCGGGGGACGAAAATCGTGATGCACATCAAAAGCGACGATAAACACTTGACGTCCAAGTGGGGGGTGGAGACGGTGCTGAAAAAGTACAGCTCGTTCGTCGCGTTCCCGGTGCTGTTGAATGGGCACAAGATGAACGACGTCGGGGCGCTTTGGATGAAGGATGAAAAGGACATAACCGACGACGATTCCATCGCGTTTTACCGCTTTGTGAGCGGCGCGAGCGACATGCCGCCGTTTCGCATGTCGTTCAAAGCCGATGCGCCCATGACGATTCGAAGCTTGCTGTACTTTCCCGAAGAAAATCCCGAACGCGTCGCCGGATTCGGCGGGCAGACGAATTCGGGCGTGTCGCTGTACGCCAGGCGCGTGATGATTCAAGAGAAGACGGAAAAATTGCTCCCGGCGTTTTTGCGCTTTGTGCGCGGCGTGGTCGATTGCGAAGACATCCCGCTGAACATCTCGCGCGAGTCGCTTCAAGATTCCATGCTCGTCATGCGGCTCGGCCAAATAATCACAAAGCGCGTGCTCAAGTTTTTGGATGAAAAGGCGAAGAAGGAGCCGGAAAAGTACAACAAATGGTTCGCCAATCTCGGCTTCTTCTTGAAGGAGGGCGTGTGCTCGGAGTACGCGTACAAACTCGAACTCGCAGAGCTGTTGCGTTACGAATCGAGCTCGACGGAGACTGGAAAATTGACGTCTTTCCGCGAGTACGCCGCGCGCATGCCCGAGGGACAAGACAAAGTGTATTACATCGTCGCGCCGTCGCGGCTGCAAGCCGAAGCGTCGCCGTATTTGGAAGCGGCGAAGTCGCGGGGCTACGAAGTTTTGTTCTTGTACGCTCACATCGATGAGTTCGTGATGCAGCACTTAATGAGCGTCGCGGGCAAGCAATTGGTGAGCGTTGAAGCCGCAAATCTCGACGTCGACGGCGAAAAAGCCGACGGTGAAGAGTCAAAATCAAACGACGCCGCGGCGTTGGACGACGCCGCGGGCGCGGAACTTTGTAAGTGGTTCAGCGACGACGCTCTCGCGGGAAAGCTCAAGGAGGTGAAGCTGAGTAACAGATTGGTGAGCTCTCCCGCGCTCATCTCCGGACACGAGCCCGAAGCCATGAGACGGTACCGCATGGTTCAAACCATGGCGAGCGACGCGGCGGCGAGTAAAAAGCTCGCCGAGATGTCCAACGACTTCTCCATGATGACGCTCGAGTTGAATCCGAAACACGAAATGATCAAAAGGATCAACGCCGCGCGCACGAGCGAAGACGCCGGCACGCGAAGATTAGCCGCGCTGGTCGCCGAACAAATATTTGACAACGCGCGCGTCGCCGCGGGATCTTTAGACGATCCTCGAGCGATGCTCGGTCGTCTGAACGAAATTCTCGAAAAGACGCTTCCGGCGAAGGAGTAGACGCGTCGCACGTGCGAGAATCGTAGCGACCTAACAACACATTATTTAATCGATCACAACGATCCTTGACGCTATTCGCTCAAACGTCGCCGAAGCCTCGCGCGCGTCAGCAGAATTTCCACCGGTTGCCGCACTCGACACACGTCACGAATGTCGTCATAGGTTCATCCGCGGAGCGCGTCTGCAGTTGATAATACGTGCACTTGCGCTGTTTGCACTTGCCGCACTTGAACGCGTCCGTGCTGGCTTCTTGTTGTTGCCCGCGCACGGCTTCCCACTCCGCCAACTCGCGAATGCGCTCGTTCGCGTTCCGTCGCTCGTTCGAACCCAACTCTTCGGGAGACAAATCGATCAACACCCCCGCACTAATCTCACCGGTCGCTAAGTTGGTGCGCAGATCCGGATTCTTCGCATCCTTGAGATTGAAGGCCAACTGCCGCACTTTCGCCTTGTAATCCTTGCCGCCGCTCGGCCACTTCGCCGTCATCGAGTTCTCAATCTGATCCACGATCGACGCCAACTTTTTCGCATCCACGCTCTCAATCTTACCATCCGTCACGCACAGCGCCAACGCGTCGGCGAATATTTCCCGCGTTCGATCCCTCGCCGCGTCGTTCACGCGCGTCAACCGCTTCTTCACATCCGCCCTCGCCTCGACCAACGCCGCGTCCTCCTCCTCCCCCCCACCGCGCTCTTTCGCCGCCGTCTCGACCTCGCGCTTCACCTCCTTCGTTTTCTCGCTCTTCCCGCTCGTCTGTTCGACGATCATCGCCGTCCATCTCGCCTTGACCGCCGCCGCCGCGTCCCGCACGCCCTCCGCCTCGTGTCGCTTTCGCAGCTGATTCACAATCTTCCCGCACGCCGCGAACCGCGCGTCCAGGAGCGTCTCCCTCGGCAGCGCTTCCTTCGACAGCGTCAACACCCGTCGCAGCGCGTCCACCGCTCGGCCGCTCTCCCCCGCCTTCGCGTCTCGCGCCGCTCGACACAGCGTCGCGATCGTCTCGAGCGAACCCTCCCGCGCGTCTTCGTCCGCCGTCCGCGCGTCGCTCGCGCCTTCTTCGCCGCCGTCGACCGCCATGTCGACGCCGGTCGTTCGCACGCGCGCGCGACTCCGCGCGAGCGCCGCGACGCGCGACGGATCGCGACGCGACGCGTCGATGAGTGACGACGCCGCCGCGATCGGGGGAACGACCGCCGTCGTTTCGACGCGGCGTCGCCGCAGAGCGCGACGCCGCGCCGCGCGCGACCGCCGTCTCGCCGCTCGAGCGCTCGGAAACGGTCAAACGTAAAATCCTTCGCGCGTCGACGCGCTCGAGCGGCGCGACGCGCGCGACGAGACGCGTCGAATCGCGCGAAAAGACGAAAGACGACGGTTGGTGTCGCGGCGCCGACGATGGCGCCGCGACGCGCCGCGCGGCGACCGGCGACGACGGCGGCGACGACGATGACGCTGGTCGTGATCACCGGACCGTGCGCGGGACGAGAGTTCGAGCTGCGTCGCGACGGCGAGAGCGCGATCGGGCGAACGAAGCGAGGGAACGCGGTGTGGATCAAGGGCGACGGCGCGGTGTCGCAGTCGCACGCGACGTGCCGGTGGTGCGCGAAACGCGAGGCGTGGACGATCTCGGACGCGGGGTCGTCGAATGGGACGGAAGTGGACGGGAAGGACGTGGAGGAGGGAGGCGAGGGGGCGACGCTGAGGGATGGGAGCGTGATTAAATTGGGGACGGAGACGACGGTGGTGTGCCGAACGCGAGCGGCGGACGAGAGGGGCGAGGCTGGAACGGTGGGTGAGGAGGAAGATGAGGAAAACGGAAATCGTGAAAACGCAGTCGTGGTGAACGAGGGAGGTCGAGGCGCGGTCGGCGACGGCGGAAAGGCGTCGGCGGCGAAGACGAAGAGCGGCAAGCGAGACGCGTACGCGTTCGATTTGGACGAACCGAAATCGGTGACGAAAGTCGCCGCGGCGCGGAAACGCGCCAAGGCGACGACCGTGACCGCGAAACAAGCGCACGAGTCGACGACTGCGGCGAGCGAAACCGCGGAGGTTGCGACGAAGGCTGAGTCCCGAGCCGCCGCCGAAGTCGGCTTCGACGTTCCCACCGTGCACGAGTACGCCACCGCGCAGCTCGAGCGCCTGCAAGCCGTCATTCGCGCCGACGCGCGCGCCAGCGTCGAAGCCTTTCGCGCCGACGCGCGCGGATTGCTCGCAGACCTTCTCCAGGACATCAAAGCGTAGCGCGCGCGTCCGCGCCAATCGGCGCCGAGCCAGCTGGCGACATTCGCGCCGCGCGCGCCGTCGTCCATCACCCGACGCCGCATGTAACACCGCACCCATTCAATTCGCACGAAACACTCTCGATTTAATATTTTCTAAACCACCAGAGCGCATCTCGCGCCTCGTCGACCGCGCGCGTCGCGCATCCGCGTCGCGCGCTCGGCGACGTCGTCCGCGGCGCGCGCCGAACGACTGCGACACTTCGCGGCGCGGCGCCGCCGCGCGCGATGTCGAGCCTCGTCCGCGCGCTGTCGCGACGCGTCAGTCGCGCGGCGCGCGAGGCCGCGGACGCCCCCGAAGACGCGCCCGCGCCCTCGGCGCCGCCGTTGAGCGCCGAAAGCGCCGACTCGGCGAACGACCACCTGACACCGTCGCCCGCGCAAGAAATGACGAAAACCGCCGCCGCCGACGGCGACGCGGCGTCGAGCGACGCGGAAGAGACCGCGCTCGACGCCGGCGAGGTTATTCTCGAGCGAGACGACGCCAGGGTGCCGGTGCTGCTGAAGCAAACGTCGTCGACGCTGCTGCCTCGCGACGAGGCGAAGAGGCTCGAACGAATGTTGTCGACGGATGTGCGGGACATGATGGCGAAGGAGGTGTGGGCGTGTCGACCGTCGACGTTCATCAGACTCACGATGCGGGCGCCGGTGCTGATGATGATTTTGTCGATTATTTTTTGGGTGGCGGCGGGCGCGTACGCGCTGGTGCGGAAACCGCCAAAGGTGGAGACGGATGTCGCGGGATTTAGCATTCGCGATCATCCCACGGCGAGGCTTAAGGATGCGATTTGGAGCGCGGAGAGTGAGTCGGAGTTTAATTGGGACGCCATGTTGACCGCGGGTGGGTCGGCGAGCGTGGGGACGATTCCGTACGTGACGAGTTGGCTCGATTCGGGTGGATATTTGACGTCGCCTTCGGCGGTGCGAAAGATGCGTCGATTGCAATCGTACGTCGCGACAGAAAGACCGAGCTCATATAGTTCGTTTCAGCTCGTTTACACGTCCACGCGTGGGGAGAATGTGTTACGCGAGGAGGTGATGAAATTCGCGTTGGATTTGGAGGGCAAAATTACGCGACTCCCGGGCTACGCAGAGACGATGTGCTTGCAGATCGCAGACACGGAGTATTTAGGCTCGAACGGATGCACGCCGCCAAATTCCATAGCACCTTTATTCTTCGCGACGACGGTGAGCGGGACTTACTACAGAAATACCGTCGATGTCACCATGAGTTTGGCGTCGAGGGGGTTGTATGTCTACGTCGACAAGGATTTCGACGCCGCGAACGGCACCGCGTCGTCGTTTAGAACGAGCTTTCCAATCGGTCAGCCTAGTAAGGCAGTGTGGAAAAAGTGGATGAAGAGCACTCTAGTTCCGTTTTTACGAGCAAACACGAGAGATGAGGCAAAAGGCATTCGATGTCTCTATGGGGGCAAAGAAATCACCCAGTATGAAGCCGATTTGGCAATCTTGCACGACGCGAAACTCATCATTGCCGGCTTGTCGCTCGTGGTCGTGTACACATACTTTCACACCGGCTCTGTTTTCATCACGTTTGCGGGAATATTTGAAATTATTCTATCTTTTCCCGTCGCGTACGCGTTTTACGCATACGTTTTGAAGTTGGAGTCGATTAGCGTGATGCAGTTTTTGGCGATTTTCATCATACTCGGCATCGGCGTCGACGACGTCTTTGTATTTTACGATTCTTTCGAGGATGCTTCGCGCGCCGTGGGGATACGCGGTGACACCCTCGAAGCACGATTAAATTATGCTTATGATCACGCTGGAAGAGCGATGCTGGTGACTTCGATGACTTCAGGCGCGGCATTCGCCGCAAACCTCGCCTCCGCCATTCCGGCGGTGCAAATATTTGGTGTCTTTATCGCTGTGATGGTTTTGGTAAATTACTTCCTCGTCATCACCTGGTTTCCCGCATGTTTGTGCGCGTACGAGCGATACTGGCGAGTTTCCAAAGATTTCAACTATTGTGGCCTCGGAGGCTTGCGTACGAAGCACCTCCCTTCCGCTGAAATGGATGCTCGCGCGGCGCAACGCGCCGAATCTTGTTTGAGCTGCATCAAGCGTGTCGCTTGCTTTGGTCAAAAGTTGAACCAATATCAAAACGTCATGGCAGCGCAAAAGAAGAAACGTTCGATCTTTACATGGAGAACTTACGGTGCATACTTGGATGTTTTCAAGTACATCTTGCTCGTCATTTGCCTCGGATCGATGGCAGTGACTGGATATTTCTCAACCAAGACGGAGGCGAGCGGGCAACCGCCAGAGCTGTTTCCGGCAGACTCGAATCAGCAAATGTTCATCAAGTGGACGGAATCGCAATTCGAGAGCGATAAATTCGCCTGCACGAGCTTTGCGCACTGTCAGCAACAGGCTGGGACTGTGCTACAGCAAAACGGTGTGACGCTGTCGCCGCCGCCACCGTCGCCGTCTCCTCCTCCTCCTCCCAGGTCGCAAGTCGGAACCATCACTTCTCCAGAGATTGATCAATTAGCAGACGTAGTATTCAATACTTTCGACAGCGACGCGAATGGTTGGCTGGACACGACGGAGTATGACTCTTTCGCAGCGGCGGTAACGACGACGACGAGCCTACCACCCGCGAACACCGTGATGAGCGCGTACGGCACGCCGCAAGGTGTCACAAAACCGGGATTTGTTCTCGCCCTGGATACAGCTGCTGGCGTAAACGACGCACCGGTACTAGATGCGTATTCGCTCCTCGTCTTAGGCACAGCAAGATCGAGCCCTCCTCCACCAAGTCCACCGCCGTCACCCCCGCCTTCGCCGCCGTCACCGCCGCCACCCCCGCCTTCGCCGCCGTCACCGCCGCCGCCGCCGTCACCGCCGCCACCCCCGCCTTCGCCGCCGTCACCGCCGCCGCCGCCGTCGCCGCCACCGAGTTCCAATCCATCATCGTCGCCGCCGCCGTCGCCGCCGCCGCCGCCGTCACCGCCGCCGCCGCCGTCACCGCCGCCGTCACCGCCGCCGTCGCCGCCGCCGCCGCCGTCACCGCCACCGTCGCCACCGCCGCCGGAGGCGCTCCAAGCTGCCGAGCGCGTCGCGGGGACGAATTACGAAAAGGCGCAACTCGTGTGGGGCATCGAAGATATTCAAGACGATTCTGCGCCATATGCTCCGCGAGAGGTTGACGCTAATCCGGTGGTCAACCCCGCGTTTAACATCGGCGACCCCACGACTCAAGTCCGCATGTTGAAGTTCTGCGAAGCGTTGCAAAACAGAACGGACCTCGCGAGTTCGTTTAAGGAGTGCCCGATGCAGATTCTCAAAAACGTTGGAACGACGCTTTCATACCCTTGGCCGATGAGCTCGGCGCAAATCTTAAGTGTCATCACGTCCATCGCGACGCAGAATCCCGGGTACAGAAAAATCTACGGCTTACAGACGGTGACGTCGGGCGGCGCCTCCACCCAACGCGTCGCTTGGGTCAAGGCGAACTTCTTGTCGGGGATTCCATTTCGAATGTCGGCGACGAAGCTTGAACAAGAATATTTCAAGTTTCTCGATTTCATCGCCGAGTTTGAAGCAACAACGTTTCAGTACTCCGCGACGAATGCGAACGGGTCGGTGACGCTCCATTCCGCCCCTCCCACGGCGTCGGCGACAGTGAGAGTGACCTCCGAGTGTTGGGTGCGCATGGCAACGGAGCTGCAAGCCATTCGAGGCACGGTGAGCTCGATCGCAGTGTCCCTCGCGTTTGCCGTTTTCGCCACGCTCATTTTCACCGGCGACGTCTTTGTGGCTCTCATGGCGCTGCTGAGCATGCTCGCCATCATCCTCGCCGTCATCGCGATTCTAGTCGCGCTCAAGGTGAAGTTTGGCATCGTCGAAGCGATTTCGCTCACAATTCTCGTCGGCATCTCTGTCGACTTCAGCTTGCACTTGGCCGAGTCGTTCACGCGCTCACACTTCACGAGTCGCGGCTTGCGCGGCGTCGACGCGGTCTCGCGCGTCGGTTATCCGATTTTCTCCGCCGCGATGACGACCATGTCCGCCGTCATACCGATGCTTTGGTGTCAAGTCCAAGTTCTCGTGCGCTTCGGACAAATCATTCCTCTGTGCATCGTGATGTCGTTGGTGTACGGCGTACACTTCTTCCTCCCGATGCTCATGTCGTTCGGGCCCAACGTTCCCGGCGGCGGCGCCGGAAAATGGTTGTGCCACATGGGAAAGCTTCCCGGCTTGCTCTTCAGCACGCAAACTCGCCGCATGATTTTCCTCGTCGCCTCCGGCATGATCTTCGGCTTTTTGCTCCCCGCCACGCGCGCGCTCCTGTACGAGGACGGCGGCTCCGCCTTCGCCGTCGTCGCCGGCGGCTTCGCCTTCCTCTCCGCCGTCGCCGTCTTCGTCGAGCGACGATGTCATCTCCGCGCCGTCGCCGCCGCCGACCCCTCCGCGCGGTCCCACGTCGCTCGCGCCGCTCGACTCGCCGCCGCTCGACTCGCCGTCCCCGCCCCGCGTCCGCGTCCCGTCGACGCGCGACCTTCGCCTTTGCCCTCGCGCGCGTGAAAACACTTCAGACTTTTTTTCCCGCCAAAAAGCGAGTCGACGTCATGGCGAACGCGTCGCGCGTCATCGCGTCACTCTCCCGCGCGTGTCATCGCGCTTCGCGCGCCGCGACCGACGCGCGCGACGCGCCTCGGACGCTCGCGTCGACGACGCCCGCCCCTTCGCGCGTCGCGATCGCGCGTCGAATCGCACGCGCGATCGATTCGAATCGATTGTTTAAACAATCTTATCGCGTCGCGTCGCGATCGCGATCGCGCGGCGCGACGCGATGTCGAGCGCGCGCGCGACGACGCGCGCGACGATCGCGTCGAGGTCGGTGACGGCGAGGCGCGCGCTCGGCGCGAGGGCGGCGCGAAAGACGACGCGGCGACGCGCGAAGGGCGACGAGGCGACGACGGCGGAGACAGCGCTGGCGGCGACGAATCCGACGGATAAAAAGTACGTCGCGTTGAACGGGGTGAAACTGGTCGTGGACTTTGAGATGCACTACGAGACGAAGTTTGGGGAGACGGTGTGCGTGCTGGGGAGCCACGAGGCGATGGGGGCGTGGGAATTGGAGCGGGCGACGGCGCTGGAGTGGCACGAGGGGTCGGTTTGGAAGCTGAGCGTGGAGTTGCCGGCGGGGGGGGTGTTCTTTTACAAGTACATCGTCAAGGGCGCGAACGGTGAGGTGTTGCGGTGGCAAGACGGAAGTAACTCCATGCTCGTGCTTCCGGAGAGCTGGAACGTGCCGAACGGATCGCACTACCTCGTCGAGGATAACTTTGCGGGCGTGCCGAACGAAACGACGGAGATTTCCGAACACTTGCTCGCGGGTAAGCTCGTGGACGCGCAAGGCGAAAAGACGCAATTGTTGCAACAACTCGAGGTGCAAAAGACGATGACGCAAACCGCGCTCGAAGAACTTTTGCTCGCGCGCGAAGATCTCGCCAGAGCGCAATCAAAGTTGTTGTCGGCGTCTTCCGAAACCGCCGCCTACGACGTCAACAATGGCAACCAAAACGGATTCTCCCGCTAATTGCGCGCCGCGAGGCGCCGCAACCGTCGATACTTTCAAGCAACGCGATAAACTGTATTTCAACGAAGTAATATCCAAGTCAAGCAGAATCATTTCAACATTAAACGTTTCTTTCTTCTAACGCATTCGCCTCGAGCGCGCGGCGCGTCATCGAGCGTCTAGCTTTTCACGAATCGCGCGCACGACCTCTTCCGCATTCGCCTTCGCGGACACTTTCCCAGCATCGATTGTATCCGGAATTGGGGCGGGAAACGGCGGAAGGAAACTCAAACCGGCTAAATTTTGTGCCCACTTGTACGGCTTGGCGTTGGATGGCGCGCACGAAGCGTCAAACGTAAAATTGGGTGCCACCACGGCGACGGCGTGATTCGGCATCTCAGACCCGTCGTCATCTGGAAACAATTCTCCGAGAAATTTCTCATCTTCCGGTTTCGATGACACGACGACGACGTGTAATTTCGTGAGATAGGTGAAGAAAACTTTCGTAGCACCAAAGCCGACCTCGACTCGGAGTGGATGTTCCTCATATAACGACGACGACGCACTCGCCGCTTGCCGCCCGCCCCTCGCTTTCCGCTTTTTGCTTCTACGATTATTCTCAGCACCTTCGTCCACGAGTTCGCCCTCCTCTTCGCTTGCCTTTTTCTGCTTGAAATTTTGCGCGTCGTCGATTCTCCCCACCAGTTCGACTTTGATTTCCTCTTCGTTCTGCTGCAAGTGCTTCAACTGCGCGTACAGCACGTGCAACGGCACTGGAAGTAGTCCGATCCGCGCGTCGAGATCTTCCGTGCTCGCGTACGCGAGATCAAACATTCGCCTCAACGGTTCGGCAGATTTGCGCACATTCGTCATCGTCGCCTCTAAACTCCCCCCCAACAGCTTCTTCTTCTCCGCTACCTGTTGTTGTAACGCCGCTAACTCCGCTTTCAACGCGTTTTGTTCCTCTACCATCTCCCTCCGCACGATGAGCTCGTGCGCTAACCGTCGCGTCATCAGTTCGTATTCGTCCCGCGGCTTCTTCGTCGGCAAACCGCGTCTCTTGGCGTCCGCCTCGTACTCCTTCAATTCCATCAACTCGATCCCTCCCGCGCTCACTCCCCCACCACTTCCCTCTGCATCCGCGTGTCGCTTCAGCGCGCTCTCTCGCCACGCTGTCTCGTACGCCACCGTCGCCGCGCGCACTCGCGCCGGGTCCGTTTCCTTGTCCCGCCGCCGCGTCCCCGCCTTGAGGTATTCCAGTCCCATCAACGCTCGCCTCTGCGCCGTTCGCACGCTCGCGAGCGTCTTCATGCACGTCTCTACGGTAGGTTTACGCGCATCGCTCGTCTTCGTTCCCTCTTCGACGAGCTGCGCGACGTTTTCGCGCAATTCTTGCGTGAGCTCTTGAATCAGCTCAAACTGTGCTTCGGTGCTCTCGGGCGTCGCATCCTCGGCGTTGGGCGCGGGCGAGGGCGCGCCGACGCGCGAAGGGACGTCGAGAGACGTCGTCGTGCGATGGGCGGCGACGGGGGAGGTTGGTTCGCTCGGTGCGCTCGCGGCGCGCTTGCGCGGCGGCATCGCGCTTCGCGAAGTGCGGGCGGCGCGCGCGGCGAATGTTGGTTTGACCGAGATTGGTCGATTCGTAATGATAATGATACACGTCTACGTCGAATGCAACTAGTCTTGATCTTCGTCGTCGTAATTATCGTCGCCGTCGTCGTCGTCGAGCGCGCGCGCGCGTAAGTCTTCGGTCTCCATGCGACTGCGCCGGCGCGATACGCGACGATGGGACTTGGTCTCGAGCTTGGCCTCGGTGCGCGTCGCGTCCTTGCCCGCCGCGGATTTAGTTTTCGTTCGCGATTCTCGACCGGACGCCATGCGTTCGGTGTCGGCGATCTGCTTGACCTCTTCGAACAGGTCGTAGTATAAATCGTAGCGACGCTCTTCCCAGCACTCGTCGACGACGACGCATCCGGGCTCGTGACGATGGGTGCAGTCGGAAAACTGGCATCGCGCGTCAGAGCTCGCGAGGGCGTCGCGAATCTCGGGAAAACACATCGCGAGCTTGTCGGTGTCAAAGCCTTCGAGGGAAGGGTAGCCGAACCCTGGTGTGTCCGCGAGGAAACCACCGACGTCGAGTCGAAGCAAGCTGACGTGCCGCGTCGTGTGTTTACCTCGACCGCTTCGCGTGCCCACGCCCTTGACGGATTGTAAATCTAAGTTTGACAGATCACTGCGCCACTTTTCATCCTCGATCGAGCGGCTTCCACGCTTGATGCCCCCGCCTCCACCGCCTTCTATGTCCATGTCGGTGATATATTTAGCATCCGGCGAGTCGCCGTCGCCTCGCTCCGAAGATGCCGATGAGGATTCCACGCTCTCGAGCGCACCGGCTAAAGCGCTACCGAAGCGAAATCTATTGATGAGCGAGCTTTTACCCACACCACTGGGGCCCGCCAAGACGGTGGTCTTGCCTCGCAGCGCCTCCTCGAGCTCCTCCACGCCTTGACCCGTGGCGACGGAGATGACCTTGGCGTCGTATCCCCAACTCTCTAACCGCGCGCGCCAATCCGCGACTTCGACTTCGCTCAACAATTCGCATTTATTCAATACCAAAGTAAACGGCACCTTGGTCGCCTCCATGCTCACTAAGAACCGCGTCAATTGTTTCACCTCGAGAGGCGGCTGCTCGAGCGCGAAGACCAAAAGCGCCTGGTCAACGTTCGCAATCGGCGGTTCAACGAGTTCACTTCGCCGCCCAACGACGTCATCAATCATACCCCGACTTTGCACCCAATCTACACCGCTCAGCACGACCTCGTCACCAACGAGCACACGCTTTTTAATCTTCTTCAACAGCGCTCGAGCGACGCACAACAGCTCCGTCGTTCGATCCTCCTCGGCTAGCATCGCCTCCAATCGCTCCACGTCTTCCCTCGCCCCCGCTTCGCTCGCCCGCATTTTCGCCTCTTCGAGCTGTCGCTTCCTATCTTCATCGTGCGCACCGACGACGACGTCACCATCGACGACGACGCGCAGAAAGTTGGCTTGCGCCGTCACCACCGTCCCCGTCAGCGGCGTCCCGTCCGCGTCTCCGGCGCTCGACGCCGTCGTCAGCGCGCGCGCGCCGTGCGCAGCGTGTCTCACGAATGCACTCGCCGTCCGCGCCGTCCGCACGCGCGCGCGCATCGCTCGCGCGAGCCGCACCGACGCCATTTCGCTCGCGAAGCGCCGCATGCTCGACTCACTTTTAGAGCGACGTCGACGCGGCTGGCGTCGCCGCACGCGCGAAATCGCGCGTCACACGACGCGCACGCGCGACGCGAACACCCGCGCGTCGTTCGAAGCGGCCTCCCTCGACGGTGATGGTCGACGCGCGCGGAGGAGTGCGGTGCGGGTCGCGCGTCGACGAACGCGCGTCGGCGGGCGGCGAGCGGCGCGAACCGTCCCGCGCGGAGGCGAAGCGATGCGCGACGCGACGCGCGAAATGTACTGATGATCGTTGTTAAACGCTACTATTCTTCTTCTCAACTCAGCTTTAAATGTAATTTAATGTGGTGGGTTCGTGAATAATGCGAGCGAGCGTCTCGACTCGCGCCGCCGCGCGCCTCTGGAGTCTTCGCTTATTTAAAATCCGTTCTTTTTTTGGAACTTTTGGATCGCGTCGAGCGCCATCAGAGTGAGCATGGCGTGCGGAGCGATTCGAACGTAATACGTCGGGAAACCGGTGTAAAACTTGAGCGGACCGCCGCTCGCCATGGTTTTCCCGCAGCAGTCCATGAAGCCTTTGAACGGCATCGTGCCATCCGGGTTCGGCTTTTGCTTTTGCAATTGCGTCTTGACGTAATCGAACGGCAAAGAGAAGAAGGAGGCGAAGAAACCGGCGATAGAGGCCGCGCCGAGCGTGGCCGGGAAACCGGTGATCTGGTTCGCCGCCATCATTTCCTTGGCTTGGTCGTTCGACGCGAGCATGCCCATGTTCAACGCCATCGCGCGAATGCTCGTCGTCCCGGCGCCGGTGAATAATCCGCCGACACCATCCTTCTTCACGATGTCCACCAAAGCGTGCGCGACGCCTTTATAGTTGCGACGCTGATCCGGCGGCAACGTACCGTCCGCTTGCATGCGAATGAGCGACAAATCCGCCGGCGAACCGACGATGGCGCCCAAACCGCCCGCCGCCAGCCCCGCGCCCGCCTTTTGCGCCAGCGACAAGTTCTCACCCTTATTCGATTCCTTCAGCGCGTTGACGAATTGCGAGTGCAACCCCAATCGCGCCGTCGTGTACGTCGCCTGTCTCAGCAAGCCCGCGGACAATCCGGTGTACAGCGCGCCGAAGCCTTCGTTCTTCACGATCGCCGCCGCCGTCCCGATCGGTCCCCCCGTCGACCCGAGTTGCAATCGAACCTTGATGACTGTCGTCCCACCGCGTCGCTCGCCTCTCCGTCAGTCTTTCCCGCGTCCCTCTCGCGCCGCGCCGCGTCTCGTCCTTCGTTTTCCATCGTCTTCTCGCGCCCATCGTCATCATCAATCATCATCGCGCGTCGTCCCATCGCCAGGTCTTCGTCGCGCGCGTCGCGTCGCCGACGCACTGTCTAACGGCTGAATCACGCACGTGGCGCCCATGCCGGACAAACCACCGTTCATGTACGGCTTCACCGCGCGCCACACCGCGTTATCCGACATCGTCGTCGTCGTCGCGTCGCGCGATGGCGTCGTCGCCGCCTCAGCGCGCGACTCGTGGCTGGCAGACAGAGTAGGGTTTAGGGTTGATCTCGACGGGTCGTGACTCGCGCGGGGGGGTCGGTGTTCCAAACTGAGACTAAAAGAGACACACGGACACAGACGCGCGACGCGAGGGATCGCGCGCGCGCGACGCGCGGCGGTCACGCGCGGACGCGCGCGGATCGAGACGCGCGCCGACGGACGCGCGCGATGGTGCTGAATGACCTCGGGAATAAAATCGCGAGCGCGCTGCGATCGCTGAACGCGCACGTCGTCGTGGATGAGGAATTACTCGACGCGTGCCTGAAGGACATCACGAACGCGCTGCTCGCGAGCGACGTCGCGGTGCCGCTCGTGGTGCGAATGAAGAAGAACATCGTGCGAGAGGTGGATTTGGATAACATGGCGAGCGGGATGAACGCGAAAAAGGTGCTGGAGCGGGCGGTGTTCAAGGAGCTGACGGCGCTGCTGAACGGGGGCGGGGACGCGAGCGGGACGAAGACGAGCGGGACGAAGACGAGCGGGACGTGGACGCCGAAGAAAGGGAAACGGAACGTGGTGATGTTCGTCGGATTGCAGGGGGCGGGGAAGACGACGACGTGCACGAAGTTTGCGCATTATTACGCGAAGAAGGGGTTTAAACCATCGTTGGTGTGCGCGGATACGTTTCGAGCGGGGGCGTTTGACCAGTTAAAACAAAACGCGACCAAGGCGAAGATTCCGTTTTACGGGAGCTACACCGAGAGCGATCCGGCGACGATCGCGGCGGCTGGGGTGAAGCGGTTTGAAGAGGAAAAATCGGACCTCATCATCGTCGATACGTCGGGGAGACATAAACAAGAAGAGGCGTTGTTCGAGGAGATGCGAGAAATCGCGAGCGTCACGGAACCGACGATGACGATTTTCGTGATGGATAGTTCCATAGGTCAGTCAGCGTCGGATCAAGCGAAAGCGTTCGCGAGCACGGTTGACGTCGGTGGAGTGATTATGACCAAACTTGACGGTCACGCCAAGGGCGGGGGCGCGATCTCGGCGGTGAGCGAAACCAAGGCGCCGATTTTATTCATCGGTACTGGAGAACACATCGGCGAGCTCGAAGCGTTCGAGACGACGTCTTTCGTCAGTAAATTGTTAGGAATGGGAGATATCAAAGGTTTAGTCGAAAAGATGAACGAAATCGTCCCCGAAGAGAGCGCGGAGAAGCTTATGGAGGCGTTCGGGAGCGGCACGTTTACGATGCGCCTTCTTTACGAACAGTTTCAAAACTTGCAAAACATGGGTCCCATTTCGTCCATCATGAGCATGGTGCCCGGAATGGCGGACATGATTCCCAAGGGCGGCGAAGAGCAAGGCACGAAGCGCATGAAGTCGATGATGGTGTTGATGGATTCGATGACGGATGCCGAGCTCGACGCCCCCAACGCTTCCAAAATTTTCAACGTCAAGCGCATGGAGCGCGTCTGTCGCGGCGCTGGTCGCTTACCGTCAGAGATGATCACCCTGCTCGAAGAACATAAACGTTTGGGTAAGATGATGGGCAAGATGAAAGGCATCAAAATGCCCGGCGCCGGCGGCGCGCGCGGACGAGGCAACCCCCAAGCGATGCAACAACAAATGTCCCAAATGGCCAACGCGCTTCCGCCCGACATGCTTCGCATGATGGGTGGACAGCAAGGCATGATGAACATGATGAAACAATTCGAGGGCATGGATCCGAAGGCGATGCAGGGCATGATGAAAGGAATGATGTAATCCGATTGACAATTCTTGTAGTTTCCGCGTCGCCGACGCCACAACGCGTCCCGAAGCGCCATGCTCGCCCCTGCCCATCGCGCTCTGGCGCGCGCCATCCGCGACGCGCGGCGACCGTTCGTTCGCGCCTTCGCCACCGGTGAGAAATCCGCGATCGCGTCGGCGATCAACGAGATAACGAGCCCGCGCGAACTCGACGAAATCGTCCCCGCGTCCCACACCACCGCCATCGTCTTCGACTTTTACGCCGACTGGTGCGGGCCCTGCAAGCAGCTCACGCCCACGCTCGAGCGCATCATCAAAGAGCGATACCCGAAGGTGGCGCTGGTGAAGTTGAACGCCGATGCGCCCGCGCTGGCGCCGGTGATGGAACAATTGAGAATCAGCTCGCTGCCGACGGTGATGGGGCTGTCGCGCGGACGCTTCGTCGATCAATTTAAAGGCGCGATCGGCGAGAGCGACGTGGTGAAGTTCGTCGATGGATTGATTCGTGACTTAGAGCTCGACGATGGGGCGACGGGGGAAGACGAGGAGGTGGGAGAGGAAGACGGGGACGCGGCGGCGACGCGAGAGGACGCGGTGGCGGCGACGTTCGCGGCGACGTTCGCGGCTGACGCGACGACGAGAGAACGCATCGCGAAGACGTTGAGTGAAGTGATAAATGCGAAAGAAAATATCGGACCGGAGTTAAAGTGTCGAGCGCTCGCGGCGAGCGCGATGTTGGCGATACGAGGGGACGCGCCGGACGAGGAGGGAGCGAGACGACTCGTCGACGCCGGAAGAGGATTAGTCAAGGGATTCGCGGAGCCGCGAGAGTTGGCGTGCGCCGAGGCGTGGATTGGGTTGGTGAGCGACATCAAAATGTTCGGCGTGTCGACCGATGTCGGCGCTCTCGAAGCCGTGCACGAGGCTGAACCGAAGAATTTTGACGCCGTGCGCGCGCTCGCGTTGGCTCGCTTCGCAAGCGGCGACCAATCGGGCGCGTTCGACGTCGCTTTGCTCGCGGTGAAAGCTGGATTCGGAGCGAACGAGATCAGAGAGGAGGGTAAAAAATTAGTCGTCCAGCTCATCAGCGCGTGCGCGCCCGGTGACCCGCTCGCGGAGGCTACTCGCAAGCGACTCGCGAGCGCCTGGTTCATTTAAATTTGTTACACTTCAATTCATCATTTTTTTACAACACTCATCAAGCCTCTGCGACGCGAAGGCGCGCGTCGTTTCTTCGTCCAACCATCGGACCTTCGTTCAACCACTTCTCGACTTGCCCAACGATGATGGCGCGCGCCTCGACGAGGGCATCCGTGTCGGTGTCCTTGGGTGGATGCGTCCAAGCGTGATGACTGGCGCCCTTGACGATCAACGCGGGTTCAAATCTCGGTGCAAACGTATCGGAAACGAAACTGTTTGCGATCCAAGGGTCGATACTTCCAGATGGAAACATGATGCGCGTGCCACCTGGGGTGATGCTCCCGTAGCGCGCGTTCGAACGCTCCACCGCCAGCCTTGTTTGTTCGGCGCTGACGCCGAAGACGTCGGCGCAAATTTTGTGATACGCCTCTAAAGGCATGGTCGGAGGATCGAGCTTAAATGGGCACTTCGAACTTTTTTCGCACGTTTGGAAGAAGGCGAACTCGGTGCACGTCTGCCAAGTCCACTGTCGCTCACCCTCGCCCTTCGGATTTGGAATTTCACTCTTCAATTCGCGCATATACGCTTCAGAATCGAGCGACACGCATTCGCCGCGAAACACCGCGGCAACGTGCGCGGCGAGCGCAGCGAGTTTGTCCTCTCCGTGAGACGTCATGATTGTGCACGCCTTGGCGATGTTAAAGCACGAATCATCGTCGGCTAAGCACGACGGATCGTTATTTTGCGCGGGAAACATCGCTCGGAGGACGTCGGCGAAATCGTCCCTCGCGCCGACGCCGTCCAACGCCTCGTCGCCGCACACATTGAACTGCTTTTCTAATGCCCGACGACCGCTCGATGTTTTCAAAGCCTCGTTCAAACGTACGGTAAACGCGTTCTCTACCGCGGTGTAACACGCGTCGCTCCCGCCCACGTCCTTTTCTCGCAACGCGTCGCCGACGACTTCGTAGTATCCGCGCATGTCAATTTGCGCTCGCACCGGCGCCGAACTCGCGACAGCGGCGTGAAATACGTGAGGAAACTTCACCCGCGACCAAGCGGCGAGCATGCCCGGATACGATCCCCCGAAAGCGATCACCTTACTGTACTTCCTCCCGTCGTTCCGCGGTTCGATTTCCAATCCGTACGCCGCCGCCGCGAACCTCGTAAACGTCACCAAATCCTCCAACGCCTGCGCGCTGCTCAAAAACCGCAGCGACTCGACGCTTAAATCCCCCGTCGGTTGACTTTTCCCATAAAATCGATGTTCCAGCGCGAAGAACAACCCTCGATGCTTCTTCGCGAGCGCCGTCGCGATGGCGCAGTGCTCGCCCCCGTCCACCGCGACGTCGACGTCCAACGCCGGTCCTTCGCCGCCGACGCACACGAACACCGGCGCGCCGCGTTCCGCGCTCGCGTACGCATCGTTCACGAAGTAACGCTGCGTCCAGCTCGCGTTCAGCGCGTTATCAAAGTGATCGAGTCGTTGTTCGGCGAACCAGCGCTCGTGCGCGCCGATCGATGTTCGCGCCGATGCGTCGTGACCACCGCCTATTCCGCGTCGAATCGCGCGCGCGCGCAGCGCGTCGACGCGCCATCGCGCGTTGACCGATATCGCGTCGCACGACGCCGCGGAAAGCGCGAGCGCGAGCGACAGCGCGGCGACGACGCGCATGATTTGACGCGATCGAACGACGCGTCGTCGAGTGACGCGCACAACCCGACGCGCGCGTCGCCGCGTCGACGTCGAAGGACCGGCGGAAGGGTGGAAAATAATTTACGCGCGCGCGCGCGACGATGTCGAGGCGAAGAGGCGCGGGCGCGAGGACGCGGACGAAGGATGGTGAAGCCGACGCGAGAAAAACGCTCACGGGAAAAACGCTCACGGGACAGACGATGGAATCGCTCACGGATCGCGCGTTCGCGTACGGGTTCGTCCCGCCGGTGGTGGAGGAATACTTTTTCCGCGGTGGACACCGCAGGGCGCGGTGCGCGCCGCTCGACGCGGGAGTGACGGCGGATGCGGACGGCGCGAACGCCGGCGAGGAGGCGCCGGAGGAGGACGCGGCGACGCGCGCGGCGATTCGGAGGTTGAATCGAGCGATCATGGCGAGTTGGCGAGACGATGGCGACGGTGCTTACGAACCTGATGTTAAGGATGAGTGGACTCGGGTGAAATACGAGTTCGGGGAAGCGTGTGAGGCGGATGACGGTGGAGAGGAGGAGGATCCCGAGAGCGAGACGGCGCGAGAGCGTCGGTGCGCAAACCGATTGATGGATATGGTGGAAAAGGATGTGCACGCGTGCGTGCCGGCGCTGGAGATGATGCAAAGGATGGATCAAAATATAGATGCGTTTGAGGCGTTCGTGGACGATATGGAGCGACGGTTCGCGCTCGGGACGTTACCTAAAAGAGACGTGCTCGGGGACAAGTATTTGTTTCGATGGCGCTTCTTCGTGCTGAGCGTCTTCGTCCTCTGCATCGCAATCGCGGTCGGTGTCGCGCGTTCGCTCGCTCGGTTGATTTTCGGTTGATTTTGTGAGCGCGTAAATTTTTCATGCGTAACTTTTTCGTAACAATTTCATCGTTTAATTAAAGTCGTTTCGTTCAGCCCTTAATCGCCTTCGAGATGATTTCAAAGAGATTCGGCGACAACTTTTGCGCAAGCAATCGTTCGAGTTGCGCCTTCATCAGGTTTTGGCGATTTTCGTCGTACAACCGCCACTTCGTGAATGGTGAAGCCATTCTCGAAGATGCCTGCGGGTTAATGGCGTCGGTTTGCAGCAAAACATCGGCGACGAATTCGTATCCGCTGCCGTCGGCGGCGTGGAAACCTTCGATGTTGCCGCCGGCGAAGCCGCCAATGAGGGAGTAAAATTTGTTCGGATTCTTCGCGTCGTATACGTCACTCGCCATGAGTCGCTTCATTTCGTCGATGGCGTTGGCGCCTCCTTTACCGGCATCAGAAGCAACCATGCGAAGCCAAGTGCAACTGACGTTGTTGTCATCCTTCCACTTGTTCAAAAAGTCATCAAACGCCTTCTTCTTCGCGGCGGAAGAATCGTCGTGTCCGCACAGACCAGTGAGCGCGGAGACGGTATCTGTCATGTTCTTCGCGCTCGAGTACGCGCTTGCGATGGAGCTAGACACGTCATCACCACCGATAGAGCCCAACATACGAATCGCGTATCCACGCAAGGCACGTCGCGAGACCTGCGGTCCGTCCACGTCGTACGCCAAACCGGCGGCTTCGGCATCGCAAGTCGCCAACGCCGCCTCGAGCTCGACGCGAGATTCCTTGGCAAACGCGCGAGCAAATGCCTTGCACACCCTATACGTATTCACCGGATTCACACCAGGGGCGAGATCTTGAATCAACTGGCTAGGTCCAGGAAAATTCAGTGCTTCCTCGACCCACGCACGATCGAGGCGATTGGCGGTCGCGTCCTTCACGATCAGACAGCAAGCCGCGGAGTATATCGCCCATGACGGATCCGAAGTAACATCCACATCTTCAATTTTGAGCGCTTTGTCATCGTTGTGCTTTTTGCACAAGCGAATCAAAATACTCGTCGCAATCTTCTGCGCCGCTTCCCATCGGTTGAATTCATCGCTATCGTTGGCGAGCAAGAACAACAACTCATCCGTGGTGAGTTCTGGAGTCATCGTGAGCTTGACTGGCGCAGAGAACCCGCGCAAAACGCTCGGCACTGGCTTGGACGTTATGTTGGTGAAGGTAAACGTCTGTTTGAACTCAGTCAACCGACACACCGCCGTCGTCTTCGTTTCGTCCAAAGTCGCCTCGGCGTCGCCTTCACACTTGATATCGCCATCAAGCACCATATCTTTGCCATCTTCGCCGAGCAAACCGACAGCGACGGGAATGAGCTGCGGTAGTTTCTTATCCGCCGCGCCCTTCACATCATTCGTCTGTGGTAACGTTTGCGTTAAAGTCAACGCGTACGTTTTCGTGACGGCGTCGTACGTGCCTTCGGCGTTGAGCGCCGGCGTGCCCGCTTGAGAGTACCAACGCTTGAGCTTTTCAATGTTCGTCGAGTTTGCGTCCGACATGGCTTGGAAAAAGTCCTCCGTCGTCACCGCTTGACCGTCGTGACGCTGAAAGTACAAGTCCATGCCCTTGCGAAACCCGTCCTTGCCCAAGAGCGTCGAGTACATTCTAATGAGCTCCGAACCCTTCTCGTATACAGTGAGGGTGTAGAAGTTGTCAATTTTTTGATACGCCTCGGGTCGAACTGGATGCGCGAGCGGCGACGCATCCTCCGCAAACTGCGCCGCACGCAAGTATCTCACGTCTGCGATACGCTTGACCGCGCGAGAGTGCAAATCGGACGTAAACTCATGGTCTCGGAACACAGTCAGACCTTCCTTGAGCGACAGTTGAAACCAGTCGCGGCAGGTGACGCGGTTGCCCGTGTAGTTGTGAAAATATTCGTGACCAATGACTCCTTCGATGCGCTCAAACGTCGCATCTGTCGCGCTCTCTTCCGACGCCAACACCAAGCGAGAATTAAAAATGTTCAAAGACTTGTTTTCCATCGCGCCCATGTTGAAGTCGTCCACGGCGACGATGTTGAACAGATCCAAATCGTACTCCAAACCAAAGCGATCCTCGTCCCACTTCATCGCTCGCTTCAAGCTTGCCATGGCGAAATCGCATCGATCGATGTTCTTTGCCTGCGCGTAAATCTTGAGCGCCACTTCGCGACCACTCATGGTCGTGAACGTGTCCTCGACCACCGCTAAATCGCCCGCGACGAGCGCGAACAAGTAGCACGGCTTTCGCCAAGGGTCTTTCCACGTCGCAAAGTGCGCGCCGTTCGCCGCGTCGCCTGAATCAATCAAATTTCCATTCGAAAGCAACACCGGATACTTGGCCTTATCCGCCGTGATCTTCGTCGTAAACACGCTCATGACGTCCGGACGATCGGGATAGAACGTGATGGACCGAAATCCCTCAGCCTCGCACTGCGTGCAAAACGTTCCGCTCGATTTGTACAACCCACTCAGTTCCGTGTTATCCTGCGGCTTAAACTTCGTCGTGATCTCCAACTCAAACCTCACGTCGGGCGTGTCTTTGATTATCATCAGCGTGTCGTCCCCATCCGCCTCAATCGAGTACCGATCCGCGGGTAACGTCTCGCCGTTCACGCGCGCGCCGAGCAGCTCAAAGAACGGCATCTTCCCGTTCAGCACCAGCCCTCGCGTGCGGTCGCGTCCTTCGATCGGCGTAATCACCGACATCGCCGTGACGGTGGCGTACTCACCATCGAGCGCGAAATCGAGCGTTACCTGCGCGCGCGCGCGCGTCAGTCGTCGGTTTTCTTTAATATTTCTCAGAGTTTCAGATCGCATCGCGTCGCGTCGCGTCGCGTCGCGTCGCGTCGGCGCCGCACCTCATCGTACGCGTACGGGAACGGGGCGTAATCACTGAGCCTGATTTCTTTGGGTTCGGCGGTGGCCGTCATCGCGTCGGGTCGCCGAGTGTGGACGCGGCGGCTGCGGTCCAACTGTCTCGTCGTTTCCAGATGGTACTACGCGCCGGTACGCGCGTCGGTACGCGCGGGCAATGGGCAATCGTCGTTATTACAGCGCATCGTCGAGAAGCAGCGCGCGAAGGGGCGCGCGCTCGACGTTTTTATTCTTGAGCGCACCTCGAAGGACGCACGGGATGGGAAGCGCTCGCTCGCGCGCGCGCGACACGTCCGCGCGAGCGCCGCTCGAGAGGCACGTCAAACCGCCGGCGGCGGACGCTAAACGCAACGCGTCCGCACACGTCGCGTCGCTCGCCATCGCGGCGCAGAAGGCACCGACAAACGCATCTCCCGCACCGACGGTATCGATGACGGTTTCGTCGTCGCCGAAACGCATCGCTTCGACGCGCGCTTCGTCTTGGGAATTTCCATCGCCGTCGCGAACAAACGCCTCGCGAAACGTCAGATCTCGCGTCATCACCAATCGCGCACCAGCCGCGCCCATGGTGTACACAATCGCTCGATTCCGCTGCGGTCGATCGCTCGCCCGCGTCGGCTCGTCGAGAATCTCGTACGCCTCTGAGATTGCTCGAGCTTCGCTTTCGTTGACGACGACGCAATCCACCTCCTCTATCAATTCCAACGATATCTCCGTCGCTGGCGCGTAATTCAACACCACGACGCACCGAGGGTTCACCGTTCGCATCATCCGCACCGCGTCTAAGTTTGCGCTCACCGGAACTTCTCCCTGAAGCGCCAAAACCGCGCTCTCGTCGCCCTCTCTAAAGCGCGCGCGCGCCGCGTCGTTCGCGCCGGCGCACACGACGATCATGTTTTCCCCCGACGCGCGCTCGCACAGCACGCACGCGGACCCAGTGGGCAACGCATCGTCGCGCGTGACTTCCCGCGCGATCACGCCCGCGCGCTCGAGCTGCGCGACGCTAAAATCGTCGTCTCTTCCGACGCGTCCCCAAAAGTGCACTTCGACTTCGACGCCCGCGCGCGCCGCCGCGCACGCCTGATTCGCCCCTTTCCCGCCCGCGAGCCTGGCGTACGCGCTATCGCCCCCCACGGTCTCGCCCGGGCGCGGAAACGCGTCGACCGCGAACGCGTGGTCGACGTTCACGGAACCGAAGACGGAGAGTCGCGGCATTGTGACGCTCGGGACAGCGCGCGCCGAGCGTTCGCGATGGGCGCGCGCGCGCGCGCGTCGCGCGACGCGCGCGACGACGACGACGCGAACGACGCCGACGTCGACGCGCGCGCGGCGCCGGCGCGGCGCGCGCGCGAAGAAGACGAAGAGACGACCGCCGCCGGGAGCGCAAAGAAACCGACGCTCGACGCGAAGGCGCTCGAGCGCGTGCGCGCCGATCACGCGCGACGAGGGGTGGTGTTCCTCGGGACGATCCCGCCGTTCATGAAACCGACGAAACTGCGACAGTTGCTGAGCGTGTACGGGGAGACGGATCGAATGTACTTGGCCGCGGAGGACCCGGCGACGCGGGCCAAGCGGAAAAAGTTTGGAGGAAACACGGGGAAGAAATACGTGGAGGGATGGGTGGAATTTCGGAATAAGAAGGATGCGAAACGCGCGGCGGAGATGTTGCACGGGCGGGAGGTCGGAGGGAAGCGCAGGAGCGCGCATTATTACGATTTGTGGAACATTAAATACCTGCCAAAGTTCAAGTGGGACAACTTGACGGAGGAGATGGAATATCAAAAAGCGCTTCGAGAGAAGAAGCTGCAGCTCGAGCTGTCGGTGGCGAAGAAGGAGCGAGACTTTTATCTGGCCAAGTTGGATCAAGGCAAGGCGTTGGAGGCGATGAAGGAACGGCGGGCAAAACGGCGAGCGGAAGCGGGCGCCGAGGATGGCGAAACCGAGGAGCAGGCCTTGGCGAGATACGAGCGAGAGAAGGCCGAGGAAGACAAGGCGGAGAGGAAGAAAATTATTCGCACGTTCAAGCAAAAGGCCGTGGAAAACCCGACGTTCGTGGATACGAGTAAGGAACTCGCAAATATGGATTTGCTGAAGAGCATTTTCACATCGTAATCGCGTCGATCGATCGATCGACGTCGCGTGTAACACAAGAAGATAGCTAAAACCCTACAGACCCTACAAGACTAAAGACTAGCTAAGCAGTCACGCGCCCGGCGCCGCCGCTGCCGACGTTATGCGAAAGATGACAATTTCTTTGCCTTCGTCTTCGCTGCGTTGCCGATGGAGCGCCTCCACCGAGCAACCGGTGCTCTCAAACTCTCGCACGACTTCATTCGTGTGCGGGAAAGCCTTACCGCTCGACGCATCTTCGGTCGAGCTACGGTCGCGCACGCTTAGGATGAGTTCGCGGACGCCGCTGCGGAGCAACGTCGAGGACGTCGTCACGAATGGAAGCAAAAGCTCTCGCAACCACACGCACTCAGCCGCGATCAAAATATCGGCGTCTCGAAACGTGAGCGCCGAATTTTGAAACGGATCACTCGGAATTTCATCCATCCAATTTAGCGTCGCGCGCGACGCGCTTCCCGATCCAATCCTCGTCGCGTTCGGCCACGCGCCGAGAAGCTCCGTCGCCGGTCCCGCTCCATTCTGTTCGATATTCCTTCGTATCACGTTCTCGCACACCGCGCGCACGTCCGTCAAAAGAACGTGCGCACCGAGCGCCGCGCACGCGAGTCCGCATTCCCCCACGCCCGCGCCCAGCTCCAAGACGCGCTCGCCCCTCCCGAGTCCCGTTCGCTCCAGGTGCGCCGTCAGCGCCTCCGCGCCCTCCCACACCCTCGCGAACCCAGTCGACGCCGCGACGTCGTACCCATCGTCGAAGAAAAACGGATCCACCTCCACGTCCTCGTCCTCGTCCCCGTCGTCGTTCGGCTCGACGTCCTTCATCCCGATGCGCAGTTCGTGCACTTTATGCGACTCCGAACCATCCGCCGCCCGCTCCCGCACGCGCACGCGCTTCGTCCTGTGCCTGTGTCCGCACCCCGCCCACGCGTCTCGCGCGTCCACCGCCGCGCGCGCGGCGTCGCGCGCCATCGCGTCGCGCCCTGCGGTCGACGCTTCGAGGATTATCCAACCGCGCGAGGTTTTGTCCCGCGCGCGCCGCGCGTCGTCACTCACGCGCGCGCTCGGCATGCGTCGCGCGCTCGCGGCGATCGCGCGCGGCGGTCGCGCGCGCGCCGTCGCATCGCCGCGCGCCGACGACGTCGCGCTCCTCCGCGCGCGCGATGCGCCGACGCCGACGCGGACGCCGACGCGACCCTACGCCGCGGCCGCGGACGCCGCGCGCGCGACGGCGCCGCGGCGCGAGCTCGGCGCGGTGTACAACGATTGGACCAAGGACGAGGTGCGGGCGCTGTACGCGCGACCGCTGCTGGAGCTGGTGTTCGACGCGGCGAAGACGCATCGCATGCACCACGACCCGAGGCAGGTGCAGCAGTGCACGCTGCTGAGCATCAAGACGGGAGGGTGCCCGGAGACGTGTAATTACTGCGCGCAGAGCTCGTCGTGGAAGGGGGAGACGAAATTGAAGGCGGAAAAACTGATGGGCGTCGAAGAGGTGATCGAGGCGGCGAAGAGGGCGAAGGAGGCGGGGAGCACGAGGTTTTGCATGGGGACGGCGTGGCGAGGGCCGAGTCAAGTCGGCGCGGGACAGTTTGAACGCGTCCTGGAGATGACGAAGGAGGTGAGGGACATGGGGATGGAGGTGTGCGCGACGCTGGGGATGTTGACCCCGGAACAAGCGCTGAAGCTCAAGGATGCGGGGTTGACGGCGTATAATCATAACTTGGATACGAGTCCGGAATATTACGACAAGGTGACCTCGAGCCGCAAGTACGAGGATCGGTTGAACACGATCGCCGCCGTGCGCGAGGCTGGTATTTCCGTCTGCTGCGGTGGAATTCTTGGTTTGGGCGAAGAGGAGTCGGATCGGGCGAGTCTGATGACGGTGTTGGCGACGCTTCCCGAGCATCCGGAGAGCGTTCCCATCAACGCGCTGGTGCCCGTGGAGGGAACGCCGTTCAAGGACATGACTCCGCCCAGCGGTCTCGAGATGGTGCGCGCCATCGCCGTGGCGCGCATTTTAATGCCCGCCACCGTCGTTCGATTGAGCGCCGGGCGTGTGAACATGAGCCCGGAGACGCAAGCGTTGTGCTTCATGGCTGGCGCCAACAGCGTCTTCACGGGCGATAAACTCTTGACCACGCCGAATAACGAAAAGAGCGAAGATTCTTTCTTGTTCGAAGAGCTCGGTCTCGAGGGCCGTCCGGCTTTCGTGCCGTACGCAGCGGGCGCGGCTTCGAGCGATGGAAGCGAGTGGAAACACATGAAACACGAGTTGTAATTTTCTGAATTTCTATCTGAGAGTTCATACATCCTCCTATCGACCTAACCAACGCGCGAAACGCCTAAAGCGAGCGGCGAAATAATATAATTCCTCGTACGCGAACAGCACGACCGGCAAGGTGTAATACGTCGTTCTGTACATCACCAACGCCGAGAGGGACGCAAAAAAACTGCCTTGGATTCCGGTCAAGTATTGGAAACCGTCCTTCATAAAGTCCAACGCGCTCAGCGCCCAATCACCAGCGCCTACGAGTTTTGCAAACAGCACAAAACCAATCATTCCAAACACACTCACGCACATGCACGCCGCGTACGACGAGCAACACGCCAACACAAACATCGCCGCAAACGGGGCGCCGTAAAACCGGATGAAGAATTTCACGACTTCAAATTTGTTACTATACAGCTCCGCGAACGCCAGCTTCTTGCTGAACGTCCGTCTCCATCGCTCTCGCATCGTGCTCCCGAACGTCTCGTCCGCCCGCGACCTGTGGCTGCGATGGAAAGTTCTAAACTCCAGCCCCGCGAGCGCGGCCAACTCTTCCACCGTCGCCGCGCCCCTCGCCGCGAGCGGGACGTCCACCTCCGCGTCGTCACCGCTCGTCGACGCCCGCGCGCTTTCCCGCTTCTCGCGCGTTCCGACGTCACCGCCTCGGTCACCGTTCCCCACCGCGCGCGTCGTCGACGCCGCGAACGCGCGCGCATCCGCGACGCGTCGCCGCGCGTTCGGGACGCTTTGCGCCGCGACTGGAGCTCGCGCGGCGAGCGCGCCGCCGCCGCGCCACGCGCGCGCGCTCGTCGTCGCGCTCGTTTCGCGCGCGAATCGGGCGAGCGCGCGCGCGAGACGACGCGACGCGGCGGACATCGCGCAGTGACGCGCGCCGAGCGTTACTTTATGGTACCAAAGGCGCGGAGTTGGATTAAAAGTCACGCGCGCGCTTCTTCTTGCGCGCCTTCGCCTTGGCGGGATCGAAATAAACCCCCGTCGTGGTCGTCGTGGACTTTTGCGCGCCTTTGAGCATGGCGCGGACTTTGGGATTCGGGCGCTTTTGCAGGCGCTGTTGTTGAGGCAGCGCCTCGTCGAGCGCGGGGACGGAGCACGACGAGTGCGCGGCGTACTTTTTAAGCCACCACGCGCGCTGCTGCTGCGCGTCCAGGACGCCCGCGAACTCGATGTACCAAAACGTCTCGAACGGCGTCGTGCCTTTGGCGCGAATCTCGTGACCCTGACGTCCGGGCGCCCAATACCGGTACGGCTTGGCGTCGTCGGGAATGAGAAACAGCGGTTTCGCCGCGTCGCCGATGGACGGGGCGTAGTACGATTTCCTGCACACGAAATTCGGCAAAAGCAAAAGCCACGGTTTATTACTGTCGCGACAATACGACAAAATTCGCTTGAAATGATCGCCAGAGTACGGAGGATTGGTCACCAGCACGTCGAACTCTGGCGTCGATTTCGTCGCCACCTTTTCGTAAAAGTCCTCATTCCGATTGTACACGTTCTCGAACCCGAGGGCGTTGAGGTGGGCCACCATGGAGCCTTCGCAATAATACGGATCGTATATTCGCAGCGTCTTCTTTTCTTTCTTCATCGCTTTCGCCAGATTAAACAAAAACGGTTCCACGTCGCGGTACGCTCTAAACGGCGTCTCGCAGTGGTCCGCCTCATCCGCGTCCGCGAACGCCAGCGCCGCCTTCGTCGCCGGCGTGACGACCCCGCTCGACTTCACCGACAGGTGCGCGAGCACTCTCTCGCGCTTCGCGCGCTTCGTCGACTTCGCGCGTCGCTTCGGTTCCGCCGAGCGCTTTTCGCCCTCGCGCGCGCCGTCGCCCTCGCGCGTCGCGCCGCCCTCGCGCGACGTCGACGACGCCCCACCGCGATTGTGAGATTTCACGCGCGCGTCCTCGTCGCGCGCGGGCATGCCGCGCGCGCGCGCGACGCCGCGCGCGTCGTTTTAAAGTAAAGTCCCGAGCGCGGCCGAGCAACCGTCGACGCACATCGCGCCGCCGCGCGCGCCGCGCGCCGTCGATTCCGCCGACGTCGCGCGCGATGGTGGACTACTCAAAGTTCGATCGCATCGTCGCCGACGCGAGCGACGACGAGGACGAGGCGCGAACGCGCGCGACGCCGAACGTGACGAGACTGGATGCTGGGACGAAAATCACATTCGGAAACGGACGCGCGACGATCGCGACGCGCGCGGACGCGGACGACGACGACGACGGCGATCGCCGGGAGCGCGACGCGGACGCGCGCGGCGCGAACGAGGGCGCGGAGGGGACGATGAGCGAACGGGAGCTGCGCGCGGCGCTCGAGGCTCGGGACGCGGCGGCGGCGCGGGACGCGGCGCGAGCGACGCCGAGCGCGCGCGGCGACGACGTCGCCGGCGCGCGAGGCGCGAATCGGGAGACGTGTTTGACGAAGATGACGCGGAACGGTGGGGTGGTTCTGGACGCCGGGACGAAGGAGGAGCGGTATTATTGGCGGCAGGACGCGAGCGAGGCGACGCTGAGCGTCGTCGTGGCGCCCGGGACCAAGGCGAAGGACGCGCGCGTGCGCGTGACGGCGACGGAGGTGGAGATCAGTGTGCTGAATCGCGAGACCGGGGCGAGTGAGGTGGTCTTACGAGGTGAGTGGGCGCATGAGATCGACCCCGAGCCGCGCGACGAGGACGACGAGTACGCGCCGACGACGTTCGGCGACTGGGAAATCACAGATTTTGAAGGCGCGGACGCGCGTCGCGTCGTGCGCGTCACCGTGCGCAAAAAAGCTTCCCAAATGTTGACGCACTGGTGGCGCTCGTGCATCAAAGGCGCGCCCGAGGAGGATCCCTCGACGTTTGAGGATCGAAATTCGTCTCGCGCGGAAGCCGGGCGTCGCGCGTGGGAGGAAGCGCAGGAAATGTTTCGCGAGCGCGTGAAAACCCGGGAAAAAGTCGAAATCGACGCGCACGATTAACCGCGCGCGTCACCGTTCGATTCGTCACCGTTCAAAATCTCATTTCTTGTTCTACAACGCTATCGTCGCGTCGCGCCGTCGCCGCGACCCGCGGCTCGCGTCCGCGCTCACTTCTTCCCCAGTTCCACCTCGAGCCCGTTATACGGAAACGTCTTCGGCGCAAACGGCGTCGTCGACGGTTTATCCACCATCGTCGCTAATCCGTACACGCCGCCCAAGAACGCGAACGCGCTCGCCAGGTACGTCGCCGCCCGCGCCTTCGTCACGATGCGCGCCGGCACGTCGTCCAGCGCCGGCTCCGGGTGCGCGTCTCCCGCGTCCCACGTCAACTCCGCCTCCTCGGGTATCTATCTCGCGTCATCGCGCCCCCGTCGTCGTCGTCGTCAGTCTTCGCGCGTCGCCTTCGTCGGTCGCCTTCGTCTTCGTCGTAGGGCTCCGCGATCGCCCCCGTCCGTCCCGCGTCTCCCCTCGCTCGCGCGTCGTCGTCGTCGCGCGTCGCGTCGCGCCGTCTCGCCCCCGTCGTCGTCGCGCGTCGTCGTCGCGCGCGCGTCGCGTCTCGTCGCCCTCGCGCACCTCCCGCACCGGCGCGCGCGTCGGTTCGATCGCCGGTCCCACGCCCGCGCGAGCGCGCGCGCTCGTCGCGACGCCGCGCGTCTTCGCGCCCGCGCGCGCGAGCCGCGTCGCGAGCTCGATCGCGCGTCCGCGCGGCATGCGTCGTCGCGCGTCGTCGTGTGGCGTCGAGACGACCGACGCCGCGGATTCGCGCGACGCGACACGTCGACGCTCGACGCGACGCGACGCGACGCGACGCGCGACGCGGGACGCGCGTCGATCGCGCGCGAGGCGACGTCGGACGCGCGCGTCGAGCGCCGCGCGCGTCGCGATCGAGCGCGCGCGCGCGGCTCGCGAGATTCGAACGCGCGAGATTCGATCGCGTCGGTTCGGCACCGCGCGACGCGCGCGGCGACGCGCGACGAGCGGCGCGGCGAGGGACGTCGGGACGTCGGGACGTCGACGGAGGCGAACGATGGAGGGCGGCGCGTCGATACGCGATAAGGCGATCGCGTTCGTGCGAGAGGCGGTGAGGGAGGACCAGGCTGGGGCGTACGAGGCGGCGTTTAAGTTGTACTTGGTCGCGCTGGAGCACTTTGGGGTGTATTTAAAGTACGAAAAGAACCCGCGGATGGCGGAGACGGTGCGAGGGAAGTATAAGGAGTATTTGGTGCGAGCGGAGGAGCTGCAGAAGATCGTGCAGGGGCGGAAGAACGCGAAGGAGGTGAGCGGGACGGGGGCGAGCGGGGCGCAGAGAGAGAAGAGCGGCGACGCGGACGGGGACGCGGAGTTGGCGAAGATGAAGGGCCAACTCGGTGGAGCGATCGTGACGGAAAAACCGAACGTGAAGTGGGATGACGTCGCGGGGTTGCAACTCGCGAAGGAGGCGCTCAAGGAGGCGGTGGTGTTGCCGGTGAAGTTTCCGCAGTTTTTCACCGGGAAGCGCAAGGCGTGGAGCGGGTTCTTGTTGTACGGACCCCCGGGGACGGGGAAGAGCTATCTCGCCAAAGCCGTGGCCACGGAAGCGGATTCGACGTTCTTCTCCATCTCGTCGAGCGATTTGGTGAGTAAATGGATGGGGGAGAGCGAAAAGTTGGTTTCCCAACTGTTCAGTTTGGCGCGCGAGCAGGCGCCGTCCATCATCTTCATAGACGAGATCGACGCTTTGTGTGGCGCGAGAGGGGAAAACGGCGAGTCTGAAGCGTCTAGACGCATCAAGACGGAGATTCTAGTTCAAATGCAAGGCGTCGGTAACTCGTCTGGAAAGGTGTTAGTGCTCGCGGCGACGAACACGCCGTACGCGCTGGATCAAGCCGTGCGACGTCGGTTCGACAAGAGAATCTACATCCCACTTCCAGACGAAGCCGCGCGCGCGCATATTTTTCGCGTGCACGTCGGGGAAACCCCAAACGATCTCACGGATGAGGATTACCACGCCCTCGGCGCCGCCACGGAGGGCTTCAGCGGTTCCGACATCGACCACGTCGTCAAGGATGTCCTGTACGAACCCGTGCGCAAGGTCCAAGAGGCGACACACTTCATCACCGTCCAGAATCCACCCAACGCCCCCTCCGAGGACGCCCCCGAGACTGAGTACTACATTCCATGCTCTCCCGGCGCCGCCGGCGCGTGGCCGTCTTCGCTCGAGGAGCTCGCTCGACTCGGCTACGCCGCTCGCGTCCTCCCGCCCCCGATCACCGCAAACGATTTCCGCAAGGTGCTCTTACGCGCGCGACCCACCGTCGCCGCCGCAGATCTCGAGCTTCACGAAAAGTTCACCCGTGAATTCGGCGAGGAGGGCTAGTTCCTCTCCTTCGCTCGCTTGTTGTAACAAAACATCCATCCGTCGCGACGCGTCGTTCGCCTCCCAAATTTGAAAATTTCGACAGCTCGCGCCCATCGATCGAACGTTCCGCCGCACACTCGCGCGCGCCCGCGCGCGATGGCGCCGAGCAACAAACAACAGACACTAGCCGGGTTCTTCGGCCTGCCCAACGTCCCGAAAGTCGTCGACGAGGCGTCGCCGGGGAAGTCGAGCGATGAGAATGAGATTCAAACTCAAACGAAATCGCCGATGAAGAGCGACGCCGCGTCGCCGATGGCGAAGAAACAGCGCGTCGACGACGCGACTGCGGTGGCGAACGCCGTCGCGGATGATGCGGTGCGAGCGAAGGCGGGAGATGGCGGCGCGGTGGAGGCGACGAAGGAGGCGGAGGCGCGAGCGGCGCGCGAGGACGACGGCGAGGACGACGACGCGATTGAAATGGATGAGGATGAGGATGAGGATGAGGATGAAGACGAGATGGCGAACGTGGGAGAGCGACGACGAAAACGGGCGGGCGGCGGTGGTCGGGCGTTGCCGGATGATTACGAAGAAGAGTCGGAAGAGGAGTCGGGCGAGGAGGAGGAGGACGACATCGAAGACGTTGAAATCGGATCGCCGAAGACTGGGAAGATGCCCAAGGCGAAGGCGAAGGCGAAGACCAAGGCGAAGAAGGAAGAACCGGCCACGGCTGGGCTCGGAGACAAGTCCGTGGAGGCGGCGGAGCGGTATTTGGAGTATGATCCGGTGTCGAAGGTGACGTGGAAGCTCGGCGACGCGACGCCGTATTTGTATCTCGCGAATATTTTCGAGTCCATCGCGGAAACGACGAAAAGATTGGAGATCGCGGAGCTGCTGACAAATGCTTTCCGGACGATTTTAGCGAGTAAACCGACTGATCTCTTGGCGGCGGTGTACTTGGCGTCGAACACCATTCATCCGCAGCACGAAGGTATCGACCTCGGCATCGGGGATGCGACGCTCATCAAGGCGCTCGCTGAGGCCACGGGGCGGAAAGACGAATCGATTAAGAATGACTATAAGGAAGCTGGCGATCTTGGAAGCGTGGCCATGGCGAGTCGTTCGACGCAGCGCATGATGTTCCCGCCGCCACCGTTGACGGTGACGGGCGTGCTCAAGGAGTTTAGAGCCATCGCCACGACCGATGGCGAAAAGAGCGTCGATCGCAAGAAAGGTATGATCAAGAAGCTCCTCGTCTCCGCGCGCGAGTGCGAGGCGGGTTACGTCATTCGCTCGCTCCAAGGTAAACTACGAATCGGCCTCGCTCAACAGACGGTGACGCAAAGTCTCGCGCACGCCATCGTCTTGCACGGCGACGCCGGAAAGAAGAAGAAGGGCGCCGAGCTCGCCGATGCCTTGGGTGCAGCATTCGACGTGCTCAAGCAAGTATTTAGCGAATGTCCGACTTTTGATCAAATCGTCCCGGCGCTACTTGAGGTTGGTATCGAAGGCTTGCAAGAGCGTTGCAAATTCACCCCGGGTGTCCCCGTCAAGCCGATGTTAGCCAAGCCTACGACTGGGGTGTCTGAAGTGTTGAAGCGCTTCGAAGACATCGCGTTTACGTGTGAATACAAGTACGATGGAGAGCGCGCGCAGATTCACCTCCAAGAAAATGGCAAGGTGTCCATCTTCTCCCGCAACCAAGAGGACAACACGGCCAAGTTTCCCGATCTCATAAACGGTCTCAAGCGATACATCAAGCCTCATGTGAAGTCTGTCGTCATCGACTGCGAAGCCGTTGCATACGATAGAGAACAAAACAAGATCTTGCCGTTCCAGATTTTGAGCACGCGAGGAAAGAAAAACATCGTTGAATCGGAGATCAAAGTCAAAGTCGCTCTCTACGCGTTTGACTGCCTGTACCTCAACGGCGAACCGCTGTTGCGCGAGCCGATGCACAAGCGCCGCGAAGCACTTTACAGCGCATTCCAAGAAGTTCCCGGCGAATTCTTCTTCGTCACCGAGAAGACATCTCGCGATATCGATGAACTGCAAGGATTTTTGGACGAATCTATCGCAGAGAACACCGAAGGTTTGATTGTCAAGACGCTCGACGCGACGTACGAACCGTCCAAGCGCTCCCTCAACTGGCTTAAGCTCAAGAAGGATTACATGGAAGGCTGCGGTGACTCATTAGATTTAGTTCCAATCGGCGCTTGGCTCGGACGCGGTAAGCGTACGGGCGTTTATGGCGCGTACTTACTCGCCTGTTTCGACGAAGACGGCGAAGAGTACCAATCCATCTGTAAAATAGGCACCGGCTTCAGCGAAGTCATCCTCGAGGAATTGGCCAACGCCATGAACCCACACGTCATAGACGGTCCGCGTTCGTACTACAAGGTATCCGACGCCATGAAACCCGACGTGTGGTTCGAACCGAAGCAAGTGTGGGAAGTCAAAGCCGCCGACTTGTCAATCTCTCCGGTTCACCAAGCCGCGTGTGGATTGGTCGATCCGCAAAAGGGCATCGCGCTGCGCTTTCCTCGCTTCTTACGTCGCCGCGACGACAAAGAGCCCGAGATGGCGACCAACTCCGAGCAAGTCGCCGAGTTTTACAACGCCCAGGCCAACAAGCAAGAGTTTAACGCCAACGGAGATGACGATTAATAGAACGCGCGCCGCGAACGTTGTCAACGCAAAAACCAACCGTTCCTCAGATGCCGCCGCGCCGCGCCCGCGCGCTCGCGCGCCGCGTCGTTCGCACCGCCCATGGCGAACAACGCCGTCACTAACTTCCACGCGAACAGCCGTCTGCACTTCATAGGCTCATGGCGCGCGCGTTACGATGTGTTTCTCGACGCCAAGCTCGCCCAAAAGCAGCACGATTCCGCGACGAATCGCACGCGCGACGTCGCGTCGACGTCGCGCGCGACGCCGCGCACGATTTTTCACGTCGACATGGACTGTTTCTTCGCGAGCGTCGCGATGCGCGCGCGACCGGAGCTGTCGACGGAGACGCCGCTGGCGGTGTCGTGGGGGACGAGCGCGAGCAAAAGAGGCGAAGTGTCGAGCGCGAATTACGCGGCGCGCGCGTTCGGCGTGAAAGCCGGCATGTGGCTCGACGAGGCGCTGCGACTGTGTCCAGAATTAGTGCTCGCGCCGTATGATTTCGCAGAGTACGAAAAAGTGGCGCTGGAGGTGTATGAAATTTTGTTTGAAGCGTCGCGAGGAGAGTGCGTCGGGATTTCGTGCGACGAAGCTTTCATCGACGTCACGAGTCGATGCGAGTCCGAGGACGCCGTGGCCGTGGCGGAGCAGATTCGCAGGGATGTTTACGCGAAGACGAAGTGCGCGTGCTCGATAGGGATCGGGTCTAATATGTTGTTAGCGAGGTTGGCGACGCGAAGAGCTAAGCCAGATGGCGCGTTTCGAGTCGAGCCGAAGGATGAGCGCGAATTCATCGCGAAGACGCGATTGGCGGATTTACCGGGATTCGGACGACACGCGGGTGAGAAGTTGCAAAAGTCCACCAAAATTCGCGTCACGGATACGTGTGAAACGCTCCTGAAAGTTCCAGTGGCGACGCTGAAGAGCGCACTAGGCGCACAGAAAACCGAAAAACTCCTCGAAGCGGCGCGAGGCATCGACAAGACGCCGTGGTGCGTGCGACCACAGCGCAAGAGCATCGGCGCGCAAATGTCTTGGGGCGTCCGGTGTGCATCAAATGAAGTAGCGATGGACTACGTTAAACAACTCGTGAGAGAGGTAGCGTACCGCATGCAACGCTTGAAAATTCGCGGTCGCGCGCTCAACTTAAAGCTTTGGCGGGCTATTCCAGACGTGAACACGATGCGAGATTATCAAGGTCACGGCGCATGCGATGTGCTGACGCGCACAAAAGCGATGCGGGAGTTGAGTAACGACACCGAACTTATCATCAGCGAGGCTCTAACGATATTGCGAGAGTTGAACGTCGAAGCGACGTCGATACGCGGGTTAGGTGTTTCGATTACAAAGTTGGAACACGGCGCGGAGACGGCGACGTCTCCGGGCGCAAAACAACCAACTCTTTCGCAAATGTTTGCCAAACGCACAGCGGAGAAAGCAACACACGAGGAAGAAACATGTGTACTTGCGGCGAGCGATGAAGAGTTGGCGGAGACGGAGTCTGAGGGCGACGACGACGTCGCGGACACGCAGTCGCAGCTGACGCAAAACGATTGCGACTTTACGTTGTTCAACTCGCAGGCGGAAATAGATAGCGACAGGGAAAGATCGATACGCGACGCATTCGAAGCCGCAGCGCGGGCGTATGCATGGCAAAGATTCGAGCTCGGACGCTTAAAACTTAGCAAGCGAAGACGCGACACGTTGAGCGAGGACGAGTACGCGAGACGCGCTTGCGCTCGAGCTGCCGATGTCATCGCGACGCAAGCGCGGAGATCATACGCTCAGGATGGTGAAACCGGTCTGAACGCCTTACTCAACGACGCTCGAGCGCTGTGTCGATCGCAAGAGCTATTACACGAAACGTACTCATCACAGGGCGCCGCGTTCATCGCCGCCTGGCTCGATCGAGTCGACTCTGTGGGCAAAACAATCGTCATCGGGTCTAGCAGTCTTTAGTTCAAATTAAGTAAATGCGCTAACATTCCTGACTAACAATCCATCTCTACGACCTTTGGCTTGGACGCACAACACACGAACATCGAGACCCGAACGGATTTCTTCTCCATCGCCGGCTCGCCGTCCAAATCCTCCGCGTACGCGTCGTCCCGCAGCGCCGTTTCCGTAGCGGTGTGAAACGAAGCCCCCCCGAGCGTCGACCCGCTCCCAGATCGCTTCACCGACGACCTATTCGTCACCGGGAACGCCTGCGTCTTCACCGGCGCGATCTCTCCCGACGCCACCTTGGCCTTATACTCGATCCACTCGCGCGTGATTTCCGGCAGCAACTCGTACGCCTTTCGAATCCCGTCCACGACGATGTTTTCAATAATCCCTCCGATCCCTCGCAGCGCCACCTGACACTCACCCTCCACCTCCACCACGCACGCGCGCGCTCCCATCTCCCTCACCGTGATCGTTCCCCTCACCACCGAGTGTTTCGTGATGTTATTCACCGTCGTGAACGCCTGCGCGAACGGCGTCGTCTTCTCCGCCCCGTTCAAATACTTCCTCGTGTCCACGAACTCCACCTTCCCGTTCGGCACCACGCGCGCCACCAACCGCGGCAGTTTTATCCCCGGCACCGTCCGTATCACGATCGTCCGCTCGTTCGTCTCCCGCTCTAAATCATCGCGCACTATCTCCAACTCTCGCGTCCCCACGCGCTGCATGTGAAAGCTTCGATACGCATCCGTGTCCTTGTCGTCGATGAACTCGCGCGCGCTCACGCACAGTTCGCTCGTGAATTTAAACTTCTTGCACTTTTTCTTCTCCCGCATCGCGCGCGATCCGCGCGCGCGCGGGAATCGCGTCGAGAAGTCGCGATCGGGACGCTTCGAGTCAACGCGTTTCAAACTGCGTCGCCTCACATCGCGGCGCGTCGCGATGCAGACGCCGCGAACGCGCGCGCGCGGGCGCGAGACGATCGATACGAACACGCCGGACGGGTCGATCGCGCGCGGGGGCGCGCGCGGCGCGAGTAAGGGCGCGCAGACGTCGCCGTTGTCGGTGCTGCTGCTGCCGTTGAGCCCGGCGAGCGCGTCGCCGGCGAGCGCGCGCGGGATCGGCGCGAGCGGCGAAGGGACGAATCCGGCGCACGTCGTCGGGGCATTCGCGCGGGAGGACGAGGACGGCGAGCCGCGGACGCCGCGGGGAGAGGATGCGGACTTTGGACCGTTCGCGAACGAAAACGACGGCGCGGCGCGATGGGCGCCGACGTCGAAGAGCGTCGAGGTCGAGCGACGGCGCGCGAAGACGCGAAGCGTAGATTTGGATTTTGATTTTAGGAGCGATGGACGCGATGGGGACGCGGGTGAACCGATGTTTCGGGTGTTCGGGAGGGATATCGGGAAACCGCCGCGGGGCGGCGGCGGATTGTTCAACTCGTTCGGCTCGCAGAGAGAGGGATCGGGGAGCGAAGGGATGAACGATCTATCGTCGTCGTGGGGATCGAGGAATGAACGCGAATTCGGGTCGTCGCTGTCGCGGATGAACTCGTTGGCGGAGACGAAGGTGTTGACGTCGACGCTGTTGGTGCGCCAGACGAGTGTTTCGAGCGACGCGGTGTTTGAATTTGACGAGCATTTTCAGTACGAGCAGCAAATTGGCAGCTCGCAAAACTCTGAGGTATGGTTGGTCACGAGTAAGACGAGCGGGCGCGCGTTCGTGGTGAAGAAGTGCTTGCACGCCTTCACGACTGACGCGCAACGGGCCAAGTTGCGGCGAGAAGTCGAGGCGGCGGCGTTGCTCCCAGAACATCCAAACATAGTGAGGTACTTCAGAAGTTGGCAAAAAGAGCAACTCTTTTACATACAAATGGAGCACTGCGCGTGTGGGTCGCTTTCGAGCGTGCTTGCGCGCTTGCCCCAGGGAAATTTGATCGCCGAGTTGGACGTCTGGCGTCTCGCCGCGCAAGTCGCGAGCGGCTTGGCGTTCATGCATGCGCACAAGATTATCCATCTAGACATCAAGCCGGACAACATTTACATCGATGTTCATGGTACGTGTAAGATTGGCGACCTCGGTTTGGCGTACGTGCAAGACGCGGGATGGGATTGGGAAGAAGGCGATGGAGGTTACGTCGCGCCAGAATTGCTCAATATGCTTGGAAGCGACGCGCCGGCGCCAAGCGCCGACGTCTTCTCTTTAGGTGTCACGTTGTACGAAGCCGCCAGCGGATTGCGATTCCCGAGAGGTGCGACGCCGCGCGCGTCCCTCCCGCCGCTCCCGGAAGGGAGATCGGCCGAGCTTGCTCGCCTTGTCGACGGTTGTCTGGCGACGGATCCAGACCAGCGCGCGACGGCGCAAGACGTCGCGACGTTTGCGCAAGAAACAGTCGCGCTGCTTGAACAAAACGCGGCTCGATGACTTGTACGATATCATTGTAACTAGCTTGTGTGTTATAAAAATCACTTGACTTTATCAAGATGTGGTGCTACAACGCGGCGCGATGCCGCGTGACGCTCGACGTATACCATTCATGTGTTCATTCGCGACAGCTGGTTCATTTTTTCGTTTTCGACGACGGGGCGCTTTTCAGCGCACAGGAATTCACCTTAGCCGCGAATCGCAAAGAACATATGGTCTCCTGAGCGCTTTCTAGAGACGGCGAGACGTTGACCAACATCAACGTTTTACAATCGCCGCCGAGTGAATTTTTGAGCAAATACGTCAACTTTGAGTTGCGGAACGGAATGTGCTTTTCCTTGCTCGCCAAGGCAAAGATGACGTCACCAAGACTTGAGAGAGATTTATTGATGGCTTGCGCTTCTTTGAGACGATCACCCGTGGCGCCCGTGCGGCTTAATCGTTCGCTCCCGGCCAAATCAACCAAATTGAGCGCGCCGTGGATTGGTTCACCCGCTTCGTTGACGCCGTCCAAGCAAAGTCGCATAACCATGTGCGATCGCGAGCTTCGATCGTTCATATTCGTCTTCGCTACAGCGCGAGCAGCGTTGGCTTGTTGCATCAATGACTCAACCTCCGCCGCAGAAAAAACCTCAACTTCGCACAAGTTCGTCACGCGAGTGTTTCCGTCGTCGTCGTGCTTAATCTTGTACTCAATCTTCGCACCCGGCGACGACGCGAGCAAATCTCGAATGTCTTCGTTGTAAATCTCAAGCAGTGTGGCGGTGATGGACACTTTCAAGCCTTTGGACTCGAGCAAAGATTGTGAGGCGAAAATTTGTTCCATGGACCTCGGAATCAACCCACGCTCTTCGCCCTTACCGCCCAACATCGTGTACGTTTTACCGCTACCCGTTTGACCGTAAGTGAAGATGCAAACTTTGTAACCGTCCAACGCGCTTTGCACGAGCAAAGAAACTTCATCGAAAACGTGCTTTTGACTGTCTTTCTTTGCGAAAACGCGATCGAACGTGAAATCATATTTTTTCGGCGCATCCGGAGGCGTGATTTCGAGTCGTCGGCCGGCAAATTCACCCTTGCGATCGATCGCGAGATTGGAATCGTCAAACGCACTCTCGTCTTCGGAAGACGGTCGAATGCGGCAGAACACTCGAATGTTGCCCTTCAACTCTTGAATGGTGTTGTGCAAGTGTCGGCGGGTCACCATGGCATGTAGAAGTTCTTCTTCGCGCGCGGCTAGCTGATCTTTCACCTCTTGCAGTCGAGCGATGAGCTGAGATGTGCTTCGCTCATCATTCACGATGTTGGCGAGCTGCATTTTGCACTTTGCCATCTCGTTTCCTTGCGCGGTGTGCGCGCGTTGAAGCGCGTCGAGCTGCTGTCTTACCGAGTTGGCGTCGTCGATAGCGTCTTGTGCCGCCATGGCTCTCGCGCGCTCATCCGCGGCACTTTGGTTTGCTTTTGCCAAAATTTTCTTCGCTTGACGCAGTTCTTCCTCCATCTCCCGTCGAGCTTCGACTTCCGAGCGCAATCGTTCGTCCAAGGTGGACTTTTCGAGGTTCAGCGTCTCAACTTTAGATTTGAAGCTCAACTTTTCTCCCTCCACGGTTTGAATGAAGTGCTTGAGCGATGATATTTCGTTTTCCATTTGCTCCTTATGATGCTTCAACTGTCGCGCCTCCGCTTGAGCATCGGCGAGCTCGCTACCAAGTTTTGACAACTTGGGATCAAGCGCGTCTTTGCTCGCGCGAGTGGCGATTAATTCTGCGTTCAAACGCGTAGATTCAAGCTCGGATGCGTTGGCGCGTTCGGTTTGCGTGGCAACCTTGTGCTCGGCCACGCGCAAAGATTCGGTGAGCTTGACGATTTTCGCATCAAGCGACTCTTTTGAAGTCGTCATCGATCGCAGTTCGCGCTCTGTCGTCTCGACGCGTTTCGCGCTCGCCTTGAGCTTCTCTTCCACCGCCGCGAGCTGCGGCTTCAACTGTTCAATCTCAGCAGTCAGGGTATTAAACTGCTCCTGCGCGGTGTTTCGTTCGACGCGTGCGCGTTGTAAATCAGCTGTTGCGTGATTATGTGCGTCCTCTGCTCGACGCGCGCGTTCCTCCGCGGCTTCGGCTTCGCTCGCGCTTTTGGCGGCTTTTGATCGCGCGTCGACGGCGTCCTCGAGCGCTCGCGTCATCGCCTGAGAACTCCCATCTTTCTCCGCGCGCGTTTTCGCGAGTTCATTGTGCAGACGATCAGTCTTCTCGCGCATACTCTCCCGCTCCGTCGCGTGTTCGTTCGCTTGCTGCTGCAAAGCCTCGACTTGCATCTCTAATCCACTCTTTTCCCCTCGAAGGGTGCCGATGTCTGTCGTTAACTTTGACTTATCCTCTTGCAACATCGCATTCGACGTTTTCATCTCTTCCATCTCCGCATTCGTCTCGCTCAATGTCTTCTTTAACACCGCAATTTCCTGCTCCAAGCGCTCGACCTCTTCTTGCAATCTATCCGCTCTCTCCACCGCGGCTTCGGCTTCGACGCGCGCGCGCTCCGCCGCCTCCTGCGCGTCTTTCCGTTCACGCTCAGCCTCTCCTTTCGCCCGCTCGCTCGATCTTACCCCCTCGTTCGCCTTCTTTGCCCGTTCTTCCAACCGTTCCTGTTCCTCGATCGCCTCTCGCAACCGTATCTCAACGTTCGCCTTCCCCTCCTCCGCGACGCGCAACGACTCTCGAATCGCCGCCGCCGCGCGTTCGTGCTTGGCGTCGCAATTCGCCAGCTCCACCCGCGCATCCATCATCCGTCCCATCAGTTCCCGCACCGCCGGTTTCAACTCCCCCAAGTACGCATCACACGCCTTCGCCTTACCGACCTTATCAAACTTATCCTTCCCTCGCGGATTCTTTCCCAGCAGCGCCTCCAGCGCCTCGTCTCGCGCGTCCGCCGTCACTCGCACCGCCACCTCCTCCCCGCCTCCCACCGATCGGCACGACGCCGTCGATCGCGCGCACGACTGCAACACCATCCCTCCCCGCGTCGTCGCGCTCACCTCGCGTTTCGTTCGCTTCGGCGTCGTCTGTTCCGTCGTCGTTTCGTTTACTCGTTTCGTCGTCATCGTCCCATCTCCATCGCTCTCGACGCCCGTTCGCGCGTCGTTCTCCTTCCCGCGTCGTTCGCGCGCGTCCAAAACGTGCGTCTGCGGGCGCGGGATGCGCGTGCGGAAGCCGCGGTCGCGCCGCCGGTCGTCCATGCGTCGACTTTTGGCGACGATTCGTCGTTTGAAGAGAATGTCGCTTTAGTTCCCCCTCACTGACGCGCGATGTGCGCGCGCGCGAATCGTCCGCGCGTCGCGCGGACGCGCGCCGCGAGCGACGCGCGCGCGAGCGATGACGCGCGCGGCGCGCGCGCGCGAGCGACGGCGCGCGCGGCGCGGTCGACGCGGCGGGAGGTTTTGATCGGGACCGGCGCGGGCGCGATCGGCGCGGCGACGAGGGACGCGCGCGCGGCGCCGAGCGCGCGGCTCGCGAGCGTCGGCGAACTGGGAATAGGGACGTGGAGTTGGGGAAACACCGCGGTGTGGGTGCGTCGCGACGACGCGACGACGCGATGACGCGGGAGCGATGAGTGATGGACGACGCGACTGACGAAGCGCGAGGGCGCGACGCGTAGGATTACGACGAGTCCATGGATCCCGAACTCGAACGCGTGTTTAATCGCGCGGTCGAGGCGGGGGTGAAACTTTTCGATACGGCGGATTCGTACGGAACCGGGGCGGGATTCGACGGGCGAAGCGAGACGCTGCTCGGGCGGTTTCTGAAAAACTGCCCGAGCGATGAGGCGAAGGATGTCATCCTGGCGACGAAGCTGGCGCCGTTTCCGTGGCGGGTGACGAGTGGAAGCTTTGTGAAGGCGGCGAGGGAAAGCGCGGCGCGGTTGCAGTTGGAGAAGATTCCGCTCGGGCAGTTGCACTGGTCGACGGGAAACTACCAACCGTTGCAGGAGGGGGCGCTGTGGGCGGGGATCGCCGACGCGTACGATGAGGGCGTCATCGGTGCCGTGGGGTTGTCGAATTACGGACCGAAACAATTAAGGAAGATTCACAAGTACATGAGCGCGCGAGGGGTGCCGATTTCGACGTTGCAGGTGCAATATCATTTGCTGAGTCGATTTCCAGAGCTGAACGGCACCAAGGAGACGTGCGACGAACTGGGCATTAAGCTCATCGCGTACAGCCCGCTCGCCTTGGGGTTACTCACCGGAAAGTATAGCGTAGAAAATCCACCACCAGGGATTCGTGGGGTGGCGTACAAAGGGGTGCTACCGCCGCTCCCGACGCTTTTAGAAACCATGCGAGAAGTCGGCGATGCGCACGGCGGCAAGACGCTTCCGCAAGTCGCTCTCAACTGGTGCATGTGCAAGGACACTGTGCCTATTCCGGGCGCGAAAAATATGCGTCAACTCGAAGACAACCTCGGTTCGCTCGGATGGCGCTTGAGTGCGAGCGAAATCGAAGAGCTCGATCGCGCGGCGGTCAAGGTTGGTAAGTCGACGTCGCAAAACATATTTCAAACGTCTTAGTTTTAGCACACTGTAATCAATACAAACAATGCGTGCGCGCATGATTCGATTTCATCATTCGATTTCGTCGAGACCCGTGCGCTTGAAAGCGTTCTCGACGGGATCGGTCTCGCCGGCGACTTTGCACCTGAACGGCACAAAGGTGCCGGGTCCTTCCACGTTCTCGTTTGCGAATCGAGATTTGTTGGCCTCCCCGCTTTGAACGTCTTCGAAGCGTTGAACCAGCATCGATTCAAATTCCGCTTCTTCCTCCTTCTTGATTTCGTCGTACGATGAACCACCGGCGGCGAAATCCTGATTCACCGCGTGCTCGGGGTCACGAAGTGGATCCGTTTTCGCTGGATCGAAACCGTAGAATTCTCCTTCGTCGTTCACTTCAGGATGGATTCCTAGCTTCTCCGTCAGGTATCGCGCGTGCGCGCTCCACAACACGCCGACGTTTTGTCGATATGATTTTCCTTTCGTGCTCTCATCATCGCCCCCGGTAATCCTGCAAAAATGCACTAGTCTTGCGGCCTTGCGACGCGCTGCGACGACGTACGGATTCCTGGGCGGGTACTCTTTTCTCAGGGAACCATCGGGCCAGCGGAACATTTGCTCGAGCGGATTGAAACCAGCCACGCGAGGCGCATCCGGGACTTTGATGGTACCGTCATTATTGAAACCGGTTTCGGCTTCGGTCAAGCGTGGCATGTGCACGTGGTTGCTCGACTTGCGCTCCCATTTTGGTTCTTCGTCTTCATCGGTCGTGTACAGTCTGTGGAAATTCTTCTCGCGTGTTCGGGTCGGTGTGGGTGAATCTACGGGTGCGGCGACTGGTGTCGTCGCATCGTTCTTTAGCGCCGACGTCGTCGACGTGGACAAGCGAGGCATCGCGTCGAGAAGTGGCGCAAAAATCGAGGCGCGACGACGGGACATGCTCGTCGCGACGGCGATGGAAACAACAACACCTTTGGTCGCTAACATGACTACGCTGTTGCTGGCTAGGTTACTAATTTCTGAACATCTAACTCATCGGTCTTTTCCTCGGTGATTGCGTCTCCCACTTTGAGATCCCGGTGTACTTGCCAATCTTTATCGGTTTCGGCGCGTCGAGCCGGCGCAAGCACCCGTGCGTCACTAGAAACGCCATCGTGAGCAACATCGTCGTCGACATCGCCGCCGACGCCTTGGTGTACATCATCACAAACCAAGAAATGATCGTCCCGATCATCTTCAACGCCTGCATTTCGCTCGTCGCCGCGATGTTTCGATCCATCCACGCGTACAACTTTGCGCTCGCGTACGCGCCGACGACAGCCGTCGGATTCCTATACAACATCACCCCCCCGAACACCAGCGCCATGCGCGCGTAATTCCCCACGTACTCGAACGCATTCCCGTCTAATCGTATCTTGCACTCCAGCATCGTCTTCGGCACGGAATACGACCGTCGAAGGTGATCCGTGCACAGAAACTCGCGCCACGGCTTGGGCGGCTTTTTCAGATCATCCACCGTCATGTACGGCGTCTTGAACCGCACGCTCGCGCGCCCTCCCGAATCGCTCCCGCGCCGATCGGGGACGTCGGCGCGTCGGTCGCGGTCGCGCGAGCTCGTCGCGGGCGCGCTATCGCCGTTTTTTCGGTGCTTGACCCACTGAGTGAAATCATCTCGACCGAGGGACAGGGAGAGTGGATTACCGCTGAACACGCCGTTCGCGGCGCCGTTCGAGGCCATGACGGACGCGCGCGACGTCGCTCGCGCCGCGCGTCGATTCGGCGATGGCGCGCGCGGAAGAATGACGAGTGGTCAGCGGTCGCGACGGCGGTTCGCGCTCGAGTCGGCGGCGAGCGCGAAACGGGACGGTCGCGCGCGCGTGAGCGATTCGTGCAAGCTATGGCACTCGTGATGATACATGATTCACGGCGAACGCACCGCGATGGGGTGATTGAGGCTACTATAACGGACGCTTCTTCGCCATGCCCGCGCGACGCGGATACTTGTCCGGCGTCGGCGATAATTTCTCGCACACCACCGCCGTGCGCTTGTTTCCGTCGGGTCCGATGGAATCCACGCTCTCCGCGCACATCGCACCACCGCCCAAAATCGTCACCGCGTTCACGGCGTCCCGAATCTCATCCGCCACCGCCGCGTTTTTCGGAGAAATCCAATACCCACCGACGCGCGCCAGCGGAACGCAAAACTCCGCCAAGACCCTCAACTCCGCCACCGCGCGCGCCGTGACGACGTCAAAACTCTCTCTCCACTTCTCATCTCGTCCTAAATCCTCCGCCCGTCCCCAGACGACGTCCACGTTCGTCAATCCGATTTCCCGCGTCGTCGCCTCCAGAAAATTCGTCCGCTTTCGCAGCGTGTCCAACAGCGTGAACCGCCATCCCGGTCGCGCGATCGCGAGCGGGATCCCCGGCAGTCCCGCGCCGCTGCCGACGTCCAACACGCGCGTCGCATCGCTTCCGATCGTCTCGCTCGCGTCGTCGAAGACTTTCAGCAGCGCCAACGCGTCGCTCGCGTGCGACTCGAGCACCTCCTCCGCGCTCGTCGCGCCCGTGAGCATCCCGTGCTCGCCCTTGTTCTCGCGAATCAGCGCGCGCGCGTAGGCGAGCATCTGTTCGCGCTGTTTCGCGTCGAGCGTCGCGGCGAGCGCGTCGTAGGGCGACGCCGCGCTTCGCGCCGTCGCGAGCGGTCGCGCGTGGAAATCGACGCACCGTCGCGCGAGCGGACGACGCGCGGCGCGCGGGCGCGCGGGCGCGACGCGCGCGATGCGCGCGACGACGCGGATCGCGCGCGCGGTGCGCGCGGGCGTCATCGCGCGCGCGCGCGGGTGTGTGCGGTCGCGTCGTGCGCGTCGATGTCGACACGCACCGCGGCAGAAGCGCGCGCGCGCGGCGCGCGATGCGCGTTCGCGACGCGAGAGTCGACGCCGACGGCGCCGACGCACCGCCTGGGGCGGTGTACGCGCCGCGCAGACGCGCGAGGACGGCGGAAACGTCGAAGTCAACGCGGATGGAGATTTTGAAAGATTTCAAAGCGTCGACTTTAACGCGACATTTACGCGTCGTCGAGGGCGACGGCGCGGACGACGCGCGCGCGTGGGACGATAAATCGTCGTACTTTTCATCGGCGCGCGAACGAGGGAAGGAGAACGATCGCGTGGCGCGCGGGGGCGGTGATGTTGCGAAAGTAGTTGGGACGGTTGACGCGCCGGCGCCGGCGCCGGCGCGAACGCCGCGAAGGAAAAGTTCGGCGCGGTTGGCGCTGGTGGCGATCGAACAGTGGCGATGGGTGGTGCGTCACGGGAAAGGGGCGCGTTCGACACGCGCGCGCGAGCACAGGGAGGTGCGGTTGATGAAGACGGCGTTCACGGCGATGCGCGCGCGGAGGCGAGAGGGCTCGCATCGAGCGCTGCGGGCGAAGATTTATTGGCGTCTCGGGGCGACGCAGCGCGCGTTCGCGAGTTGGCGCGGAGAGGTTGAGCGCGCGCGTGATAGTGTAATGCAGGCGCGCGTACGGCGTTGCGTGCGGAAGTGGCGGGAGACGACCGAGGCGAGAGCGGAGGCGCGCTCTGCGCGCGCGCGAACGTCGGAGCAAATCGCGTGGTATCACGATTGCGTGACCTCGATGCGTCGAGCGTTCGGGACGTGGCGACGCGCGTGCGAACCCGAGGCGCGCGGCGCGCGCGCCCGGATGGAGTTCTACGATCGATACGCGAGGAAGACGCTGTTGAAACGCGCCATCGACGGATGGAGGGACGCCGCGCGCAGGCAAATGGACGAGCGAACGAATGCGCTCATCGCAACGTCTTTCGACGAAGTGAAGACGCTTTCGCGAGCGATGCGAGCGTGGAAAAGCGCACACGCCGATTCATCAAACAGCGACGCTGACGACGATAAGGTGGAGACGTTTCGCGCGTTTCAAGCGGTAAACGCTCTGTCGAGCGTGTTTTCGGCGTGGGTTGACCAAGCGCGCGAAACAAGCGAACGAGCGCGCGCGTCACAGGCGACGCCGGCAAAAACGCGCGCGGGCCGTACGAAGCACGCGTTATACGCGTGGCTCTTCGACCGCTCGAAAGCGAACGATTATGAAGAGGAGGTGCTGGATTTTTTAGAGACGCGCGAGGCTGCCGCCGCGATGGAACAGGATAAATTAGACTTAGAAGATTTCGAACAAGCCGTGGACGAATACGAGGAGCTACGCGAAGAGGCAAAGCGATTGATCGCGGAGGCGAAAACGTTGAAAAACGCGAGCACGAAAAAGGCGATCGCTCGACGTAGAGTGTTAAAGGCGACTGCGGCGTATCTGAGCCAACGCCGCGAAGAACTTTTGCCAGTGATTCGCCGAGCCGCGGGCGCCGAGAAATGGCGCTCGCGCTCGGTGGGCACGAGTTCGTTAGGATTCTCCATTCTTGATGACGCCGACGCCGCCGACGATGCCGCCGACGATGCCGACGACGCGTTCTTGCGACGCAAATATTGAACGCGCACTTAGACGATTATTGTGACTAAAAACCGTGATACCGCGAATGCTAACGTCTCTTCGCAGGCTGTTTCCTACCTCCTCCGGCTCCTCCGCTCGACGACGGTGGAGGTTTCTTCTTCTTCTTCTTCGCTCTCGCCTCCGCCGCTGATTTTCTTTTCAGACTTCGCTTGAAAACTATGCTCGCGCGAGGCGCGTCGTTACCGTCGCCCTCTGCTGTCATCACGCAATGCTCGAAGTCGTCTTGACAATTCGCGAACATCCAAATCGCGTCGCCATCGAGCGTTCGGATCCAATGCGACTCCGCGTCGGTCGAACCTAGAGGCCTAAAACTAAATCGCCTGGTCTCACCTACGGAGACGATGATGCTATCCGTGGCGTACCCGATGCCCATGAACGGATCGGTATGATACGCGCACGCCGCCGTTTCGCTCGGGTACAAATTAATCAAGCAGCAATCGAACCTCTCGCCCGTCTTCTCTTCCAATGCATCGCGCACTCTCGCCACCGCCGGGCACATCGGCACGGGTTGCATAATTTTCCCACTGTACGCGTACGAACCAACGTGTTCTTCGCCCATCCAACACGTCTCGCGGCGCTCGTCCACGCGCCTGCCGTCCCGAGTCGTCAACTGTTCGCGCTTGAACGGCACTTCGCGTTTCAAAGTCTCCAAATCAATCAATCCCGCCGTTAGATAGGGTTGAAAACGAAACGGAACCCCACGCATAGCGATGTCGACTTCGTTCGGCACCGCGCTCCCGCACCGCGCGAGCGCCCACGCGACCACCGTCGCGCAGCGCGGCGGCAGCGTCGCCGCCGCCGCCGTCGCGTAAAAATTCACTCTCGCCGCTTCCTCCATCTCAAACGGCGCCAAGCTCCCGAGCGCGCGCGCGGTTTCGGTAAACAACACACCAGCCTCCGGGTCGTTCCTCGTCTCGTCGTCGTCGTCGATCCACAGCGCGCCCGCGACCAACCTCGCGAACTGCGTCGCGCTCGTCGCCTCCCGCCGCGCGTCCTCCCGTCGCGTCCCGACCAGCATTTTCGCCAGCCTTTGGAGCGCCCGCGAGCACGTCTTTTTGCGTTTCCTTCGGTGGTGCAGCTGGGACTCGTGCGGCGCGAGCGACGCGTCCGTCGGCAGCGGCAACGAATCCGCGGCGGTTAAAATATCCAGCGCACTTTTCGCGTCGTTGACGAGCTGCGCGGCGCTCGGCGCGGCGGCGGTTTCGCGATCGCTCGCGTCGGCGCGACGCGCGACGACGCGTCGTCGTCGCGCGATGCGGTGCGCGCGCGCGGTACATCGCGCGGGATGGTGGCCGCGCGCGGCGCGCATGGCGCGTTTTGAGGCGACGCGGCGACGGTCGAGGCTTTACCTACTGCTGAGTGTCGGTTCTCACAACGGCTAAGTGATGATGACGCGAGCGCGATGATTGTTAAATCGACCACTCGGCGGTCTTCTTGAACTGTCCCGCGAAGGCGTCGAGCCAACGCGCGGCGTCGGCTTCGTCGACGACGCGTCTGTCGACGCTCACCGTCGCCGTCATCGTCTGTACGGTTGACGGTTGGCCTTCGACCAAGACGACGCGATCCTTCCCGGCACCGATGGCTAAGATGGCACCTTGCGGCGGGTTCAAGATTGCCGAAAACGCGTCGACGCCGAACATGCCGAGATTCGACACGGAGAAGGAACCGCCCATAAACTCGTGCGGCTTCAACGCGCCCTCGCGCGCCTTCTTCGCCAATCCCTTCACGTCCGCCCCGATCTCCGTCAGCGTCTTCTCATCCGCTCGCGTGACGATCGGCGTGATGAGCCCATCGTCTGTGGCCACCGCCACGCACACGTCCACGCTCTCGTACGCCCGCCTTCCGCCCGTCGCATCGTCCCATCCCGCGTTCAACTCCGGCACCTCCCTCAACGCCCGTCCCACCGCGTACATCACGCAATCGTTCACGCTCACCTTCACCCCACTCGCGTCCATCACCCGTCTCCTCAGCGCCGCGACCTCGCTCAGATCGACGTCCGCGCTCGCGTACGCGTGCGGCGTCCTCGTCTTGCTCTCCGTCAACCGACTCGCGATCGTCCGTCGCATCTTCGTCGTCGCCGCGTCCTCCGCGCGCTGTCCTCGCGCCAGCCCGTACTCGTAGTCCTCCAGCAGCGTTTTCGGCCGCTCGTCCCTCGCGATCGCCGGCGGTCGCAGTCCTAATTTTTCCAGCGTCGCCGCGTCGACGGCGCCGACGCGCCGCAGGACGTCCGCCGCGATCAGATGCCCCCCCGGTCCGCTCCCCGGCACCAGCGTCTCCGGGTCCACGCCGTGCTCCTCGCACAGGCGACGAACGCTGGGCCAGAGCTTCAGCGCCCCGATCGCGCGCGTCGCGTGCGCGCGCCGCGCCGCGCGGTCGAGAGATCTTTCGAGATTTCGCGAAATTCTCTTCGTCGCGATTCCGACGACGCGCGCCGTCGCGCGACGCATCGCGCGCGCGCGACGCGCGTCCGAGCGCGCGTCGCGCCCGCGCTCTCGCGCGCGGCGCGCTCCGCGGCGCGATCTCTCGCGCGCGGCGCGTTTTGACGTTCGATCGCGATTCCCGGCACCGCATTGATTCGCGCGCGCCGCCCGCGTCTCGCGCGCGCGACGCCCGCTGACGCGCGCGCGACGTCGGCGCGCGCGCGCGCGACCTCGCGCCGCGCGCGCGTCGCGCGAGACGCCGCGCGGGCGTCGCGCGCGCGCGAGATGTCGCGCGAACGCGACGGCGCGCCGGAACCTCTGTTCGCGCGTCGCGTCGTCGACCGCGCGCTCGATCGCGCGCGCACGCGCAATCCGAGCGAACGCGCGTGCGTGCGCGCGCCGGGGGCGATCGCGCGCGCGCTGGATCGATGCGCGAGGGCGTTCGCGGAGGAGAGCGCGCGGGCGGCGGCGCTGCGAGACGCGCGAGCGCGCGCGAAGAGAGCGGCGACGGCGCGACCGGACGCGCGCGCGCTGACGGTGCTGCTGGGACAAGCGATCGAGACGACGGATCGACGACGGCGCGGGACGCTGGCGGCGATCGCGGAGTGCGTGAGGGAGGGAAGGCGAACGGCGGAACGATTGCGGGCGTTCGCGGAGGCGAACGAGTGGACGGCGACGGAGCTGGAGAGTTCGCGCGCGGAGGAAGCGCGGGCGATCGGCGCGACGAAAAAGGCGCTGGCGAAGTCAGAGCGCGAAGCGTCGGCGGCGCTCGAGACGATCGTCGGTGGAAAACGCGGAGGGAAGAGGAAAACGGACGCGGCGTCGGCGGACGCGGACGCGGCGCCGCGAACGCCGGGAGGGAAACGGCGCGCGCGAGCGGGACCGAGAATCGTCGCGTCGAAACCGGCGGCGAGCGAGGAAACAGCGGATGATTCGGACGAGGAACCGATGATGACCGCGGAAGGGCCGCCCGAGGAGGAATCGCCGGCGGCGACCGAGGTGACGCAACCGACGCAGCCGGCGAGCGACGAAGACTCCGACGGCGAACGCGCGTTGGAGACGCTCACGTCGCCGACGACGAAAAATGTCGTGCAAATTCTCATGGAGATGGATCTGCCGAATCACGGCGTTTCCATCAGCGAGAGCCCGGAGAAGGACGAGGATGAAAATTGATGCTCGCGTCGTCATTGCAAATTCTTCGCGTTTTCGAGCGCCCAAGCTAGCGTGTACAATCCAGCGAAGACTTTGATCCCTTGCGCGCTGAACTCATCGAGCGTTCGCAACAAATCCTTCTTTGGACATCGAATCACCGTGATAAACTCCGAGCCCTCCAATCGCTGCGACGGATTCGCGTTTTCCGCCGCGTCCAAATCGACGTCCACGGTCACCAAGACCACCGATTCGTCCGACAACCCGGGCGACAGCACGACCGCCGGCGTCACGTTCGTCACTCGCCCGACGTACCCACACTCCTCGTGTAATTCTCTCAGCGCGCTCGTCTCGGCCTTTTCGCCGTCATCGATCAGTCCCGCCGGCAACTCGATCGTCTCCGTCCCGCACGCCGGTCGAAACTGTCTCACTAAGAGCACCTCATCCTCCTTCGCATCACCGCCTCGTAAGGTCGCGAACACGCACACCGCGTCCGCTTCCGCTTCTTTCGTCGTCGTCGTTCGTCGCACCGCGTCCCAGGTTCTCGCCGCGCCGGTCGGGTCGACGTAATCTAGCCGCACGAGTTTAATCCACTTCGCCGCGTGCACGTCCGTTTCGCCCGTGACGCGGCTCGCGCTCGAGCACGGTCTGTCCGAGGACGACACCACCGGCATTTGTCCACGAAGATTCGTCGCGCGCGCGCGAGCGCTCGGGAGGAGTCTCGGGAGCGTTCGCGTCGCCGCGCGCATCGATTTGTGACGCCCTCGCGCGTCGCCGGACTTCGGCGTACGCGCACGCGAGACATTTCCCCGCCTCGCGCGCCTCGCGAAGGGTCTCCAGGCTCACGCCGTGGCGCGCGGAGAGATTCACGAGCTCGAGAAGGTCGTTCTCTCGAACGAGCAGCGCTCGAACGTCGCGTTCGATCGTCTCCACGATGTCCAGAGGTAAGTCTCGCAGGGCGAACAGACGCAGCGAGATGCCGCGTTGGTCGAAAAAGCGCGCTCGAAGGAGCCCGCGCGACGTCTCGGGCGCGACGGGCGCGTCGTCGGCGCTGAAAGGGTCTTTCGAAACGTTCATCGAGCGCGGCGTCGCGGAGTGCGCGGCGACGCTGAGACGTCGACATTGGGACGCTCGGACGCGAAGAGACATTTCGCGTCGACGCTCTACAACTAATGTTTACGACGGCGATGCGGGCGTTAGAGCCTCGATCGCGGCGGTTTTACGGCGCGTTCGAGCGCACCGACTAATTCATCGATGTCCTCGTCTCGATGCGACGCGCTGAGCGCGACGCGGAGTCGACACGTTCCCGCGGGCACCGTCGGCGGGCGAATCGCCGGGACGTGGAATCCTTGGCGTAAGAGCTCTGCAGACGCCGCGAGCGCGGCTTCGGGCGCGCCGACGACGATCGACCCGATCGGACTCACCAACGGTTGCGTCATCGTCGCGAGCGTGGGCGACTTCGCGAGCGCGGCGTTGAGGCGATCGACGTTGCGCCAGAGCTTGACTCGAATCGACGGGTCGTCGGCGAAGACGCGCAAGCTCTCGAGCGCCGCCGCGATCACGGGCGCGGGGAGCGCCGTGCTAAACATGTGACCACGCGCGCGCGAGACCAAGAAACGCTTCATCTCGCGCGAGCACGCGACGAATCCACCGTGCGCACCGACGGCTTTGCTCAGCGTTCCGACGTGCACGTCGACGTCGGCGCATCGCCCACGCGCCTGCGCCACGCCCCCGCCGCGCTCACCGCACACCAAGGTCGCGTGCGCCTCGTCGAGAATCAACAAGAAACCGTACTTGCGCTTCAACGACGCCAAACGCTCGACGTCGGCGTAATCACCATCCATGCTGAATAAACTATCGCTCACCACCGCCGTGCGCTTCGCCGAACACGTCTTCAACTCGCGCTCCAACTCGTCGTAATCCCTGTGCGCGAACGTCCGCACCGTCGCACCGCCCTGTCGCGCTAATCGACACCCATCCACGATCGACGCGTGATTCAACGCGTCGCTAAATATACAACAATCCTCCGATCCGCACGCCGCCGGCAGCGTCGTCGCGTTCGCGGCGAACCCGCTCGGGAACAACACGCACTCTTCCGTCTCGCAAATCCTCGCCAGCTCGCGTTCGAGCGCCCTGTGCATGTCCGTGTATCCACACACGAGCGCGCTGCTCCGCGGTCCGCACCCGTACGCCGCCGCCGCGTTCGCCGCCGCGCGACGCGTCCGCGCGTGCTCGCCCAATCCCAAATAATCGTTCCCACTGAACACGCGCAGCGCGCGCGACGTCCCCGCGCCGTCGCACGACTCCCCGAGATCATCATCGTTCGTTCGCCACCGCTCGAGCGTGCTCTCGCGCGCGTCGCACGTCGCCGCGGCGTCGTTCGCGTCGCTTTGGTCGATTCGCCGCCGGCGCGGTTGAACCGGTCGCAGGGCGCGCGCGACGCCCTCGCGCGCGAGTTCGGCGTTCGCGACGGTGAGCCATCGCGTCCAAGCGTCGGGCGTGGACGTGGACGGCGCGCGGGACGAAGGGCTCGGGTCGTCGTCGGGCTCGGCGCGCATGGCGAGGCGACGTCTGCGGCGCGAGGCGTCGACGAATGAATGATGATTTGGATTAAGAATTAATGCGCGCTCACGCGCCGCCCATGGCGTACCAAGCGATCTTTCTGCGAACTGGACCCGTGGCGTTCACCGCGGCGAGACCGAGCGAGCGCGCGAGGGCGACGGGGTAGGTGTCGTTGGCGAAGAGCTTTTGTAAACCGTCGAGCGCCGCCATCATCGGCGCGTTGGCGGCGACGCTCGCGCGAGCGTACGGATTCAAAGCGTTCACGCTGCCGATGTCTTGTCCGAGCGCGCGGGCGTCGGCGATCGCGTTCGCTAAGAGCTCGGCGTCGCGTAAGCCGAGGTTTAAGCCCTGACCGCCGAGCGGGTGGACGACGTGCGCGGCGTCGCCGATGAGCGCCAGACGAGGCTTGATCAGGCGCGTCGCGTGGTGCGTGGACAGCGGGAAAGATCCACGCTTGGTGCCTTCGCCCGCGGGCAATACATCGGGCGGGTAACGAAACGGAGGCGCGAAATCGAGCCGCGCCGCTTCGTCCGCGCCCTCAATCGCGGGGACGCCGACGACTTTGCTCATCGTCGTCCTCGCCGCGCGCGCGAGCGGCTTAAACACCTGATTCGCCACGTCTTCCACGAAACGCAGCGTCGCGAATCGATTGAAATCTTCTTGGTACTGCGACTTGTACGCCCCCTGCCCTTGCAACGCGTCGTGCACCGCCTGCGCGAACTCGGCGTCGCTCGCGTCCTCGGCTAAGCGTTTCGCCTCGCTCGGCGTCGTCGTCCAAACCACGTTCGAGTACGTCCCGTCTCCGATCGGCAGCAGCGCGATCGGTCCCGTCGGCAAGAATCTTTGCCACGCCGTCGAGTGCGCGCGATCGGTCCTCACCGTCCCCACCACCGCGCGTTGCCCGTACCCCCACCCCCCGACTTTTATCCCCGCCGCCGTCCGCGTCGCGCTCTTCGGCCCATCCGCCGCGACGATCAACCGCGCGTCGATCTCCATCGTCCGCTCGCTCGCTTCACCACCTCCCGCCCCCCCCTCGCGCGTCGTCGTCGCCTTCCCGCCCTTCCCCGCGTCCTCGACGACGACGGTCGCCCGCGCCGGCGTCCCGCTCGCGTCCTCCTCCGGCGTCTTCGTCGCCGTCACCCGCGCCCTCGCGACGCGTTCGACCCCCAGTCGCTCGCCCGCGCGCTCCAGCGCCCACAGCACGACCCGATTCTCCGCCACCGTCCCCAGGGACGCCGCGCCGAGCTCCCGCGCGTCGTACGTCGCGTGTCCGCCGCCGACGCCGTCCCACGCCTGCATCGCGTCGAACGCCCTCGCCCGTCCCGCGCGCTCGATCTCGTCCCACGCCCCCCCGCACTCGTGCGCCAGAAACGCCCTCGACCGCGGCGTCAGCGCGACGCACCGCGCGTCGATCGCGTCGTCGCGCTTCGGCGCCGGATTCGCGTCCCCACCGTCGACGACGACGACGCGCAGATCTTTCGTCGCGTCGCGCGCGCGGAGCGCGCACGCGAGCGCGGCGCCGGCGACGCCGCCGCCGACGACGAGGACGTCCGCGACGTCCGCGCGCGCGCGCGTCGCGACGCCGCGCTGAATCGCGCGCATGATTCGATTCGATTCGATTTCGCGCGCGCGAGTGACGACGCGAATCCGCGACGCGCGCGCGCGACGACCGCGATGGCGCTCGCGCGCGCGCGCGCGAGCGCGACGCATGATCCGCGCGCGCCGTCGCGGCGGCGCGACCGCGCGACGGCGCGACGACGCGCGACGACGCGACGACGCGACGGCGCGACGGCGACGGCGACGGCGACGACGAGAGACGCGGCGACGGCGACGGCGACGGCGCGACGACCGTCGGCGCGCGCGCGCGGACGCGCGACGACGCAACGGACGCGCGCGTCGACGGAGGACGACGGCGACGTCGGGGCGTCGGCGCGCGGCGACGGCGCGCGCGCGGCGACGACGCTCGGGCTGCCGCGAGACGTCTACGAGCCCCTGCGCACGCTGCTCGCGTCGCAGTTCGTGCTGTTCCTGGGCGTCGGGGCGCTGCTGCCGGCGCTGCCGCTGTACGCGCAGTCGATCGGGCTGTCGAGCTCGGCGAACGGGGTGGTGATCAGCGCGCCGGCGCTGGCGATGCTGACGCTGAACCTGCCGCTGGGGCGGGCGACGGATCGATACGGAAGGAAACCGCTGATGATGGGAGGGATGGTGGTGATGGCGCTCGCGGACGTGGGAACGGCGATGTCGAGGAGCGTCGCGGCGCTGGTGCCGATGCGGATGCTGCTGGGAGTCGGACGCGCGGGGTGCGAGTGCGGAGACAGGGCGTATCTGGCGGATTTGTGCGCGCGGGTGCCGGAGAAGCGAGGAATCATCGTCGCGGGACAGAGCACGGTGCACGCGGTTGGGTTGGTGATAGGACCGTTGTTAGGAGGGAGATTGATGGAGGCGTACGGTGCGCCCGCGGCGTTTTATTACGTCGCCGCGGCGGCGGTCGGGACGGCGATCGGGTATTCGTTTTTGCCCGAGACGCTCACGGAGGAGACGCGCGAGGCGGCGGAATTAAAGGCGACGATGGACGAGGAGGACGGAGGAATGTTTGAAGGGCTTAACCCTTTCATGTCGAGCGACGAGCGCGAAGAGTTGCGGGAACGCAAGAGTCAGCGCGAGTCGAGCAGTTGGTTGACGCTGTTGGCGAATCGCGAGCAGCGCGTGTTGTTGTTGTGTGCGTCGGCGAATTCCCTGGGTTTCGTCGCCAAGCTCACCGTGATTCCGCTCTACGCCTCCGGGCACCTGGACGCGTCGCCCGCGGAGGTTGGAAACTTGTTCTCCATCACCGCGTTGTTAGGTCTGGCGACCGCCCCGCTGAGCGGTTTGGCGGCGGATAAATTTGGCAAAAAAGTCGTCGTCGGCGCCGCGCTCGCCGCGTGCGCCACGGGTTTGTTCTTCGGCGCCCAGTCGCAGACGCAATCTGAGTTGATATTTTTCATCGGCGCGTGGGGCATCGGGACCGCCGCGGCCGGTCCCGCGATCAACGCCCTCGCGCAAGAGCTCGCCCCCAAGGGTGGCGAAGGCGAAGCCCTGACGCTTCCGAAATCCGCCGCCGATTTCATCTTCCTCATCGGACCTCTCGTCCTCGGCGTATTGGACGATTTCATCGGTACCGACAACGCCGGCATGATCTTATGTTCCTCCGCCGCCGCCATCGCCGCCGCGAGTTGTTTCTTTCTCCCCGCCGCCGTCGAGCGCGTCGACCGTTGAGCCCGTCTTCGCGTCTTCGCGTCTTCCCATCCCTCCCCTCGCGCCCCGCGCCCGCGCGCGTCGCGCGCTGCGTATTTTTCCTAGTTTATTCCCGCCTTTTTCCGTCGCGTCATCGCGTTTCGCGTCGTGTAAAAGATTCGAGACTTTGTTCGTTCGCCTCGCGCGCGCGTCCCGGTCGGCTGGACAGTCTCCGGGTCGCCCGACGCATCGTTCGTTCGCGCGCCGCACACCACCGCGCGCGGTGGCGCCACCGCGCGCGCACGTTCGCGCGCGAGAGCGATCGTCGATCGTCGCGCGCCCGCGCTCGCGCGCTCGCGCGCTCGCGACGCCGCGCGCGCCGTAAAAGCGACGCATTCAATCAAAGTCGTTAATTCCAATCGGCGCGGAGATGACGCCCTCGCGCCGCGCCGCGCGCGTGTTCGCGAACGCCGCGGCGGTGGCGCGCGCGTCGGGAACGCTCGCGGCGCGGGACGGCGCGCCGGGGACGCGCGCGGCGACGCTGACGACGTGGGCGAAGGTTGGACGCGCGAGCGGGACGCGCGGGACGACGCGGGCGGACGCGACGAGCGCCGCGCGAGCGACGCGAGCGTGGATCGGACGGACGCTGACGTCGGCGAGCGATGCGACGTGGAAGAGAAACGGCGGTAACGATAATCAGAGAGCCGGGGGAGGCGCGGGTGGGGTCGGGGGCGGGAACGACGGCGCGGCGGCGGCGAGGAACGGCGCGACCGGGGACGCGGCGCCGGGCGACGGGAAGGATAAGAACATCTTGGATAACTTGTTAAAGTCGCACGATATCGTGCAGATGCTGGAGGCGCTCGAGGACATGGGGACGACGAAGGATACGATCTCGTTGGGCGAGCTCGAGGCGTTCGTGCGCGATCAAACGTCGCCGCCGCGGTCGGCGGAGGAGACGGCGATCAAAGTTAAACTGCTCGAAGAGTGCGGCGCGGTGCTCATTCTCGAAGATATGGTATATTTGCACCCACGAGACGTCACGAGCGCGGTATTGCGCGTGCTGCCGGGCGTTCCCTCGAAAGTATACGGCATCACCGACGCCGATTTGCAAGCCATGACGAACGAGTTTGAGACGATGAAGGAAAATTACAAAGTCGCTCGACGACGCGCCGAGGCGCGCTCGCGAACGATCATATCGAGCGGATTAATCGTTCTGTGCCTACAGCTCGCCACATTCGTGCGATTGACGTATTATGAATTCTCGTGGGACGTCATGGAGCCGTTGTCGTACTTTGTCGGCCTCTGCAACGCGATCCTGGTGTACGTGTACTACTTATGGAACCGCCGAGACTTCTCCTTCGAGACTTGGCAAAACTCCCTCGCGGGTAAATACGCGGACAGTCATCTCAGACGAAGCGGCTTCGATCTCGACCGTTACGTCGCCCTGAGCAAACGTCTCCGCCGCTCCGCTCGCAAGTGACGGACGCCCTCGTCGACGCGTCGGGGAATCGACGACCCCGCCTCATCGCCTCGCGCGCGTCTCCGCGCGCTCTCGACCGCGCTCGACCGTATTTTTTAATACCAACGATATTTCGAGCCGCGCGCACGATTCCCGCGTCGCGCGTCGCGCGCTCGGTCGCGTCGTCTCGCCTCGCCTCGCCGCCGCGCGCCTCGTCCGGGTTTCCGGGACGATCTGAGCCTCACTTTTCCGCGCGCGCGTCCACGCGCACGCCGCGCCCACGACGCCCGCTCGCGCCGCGCGCGCGCACGAACCATGCCCCAAGTCCCTCTGGTGTGCCACGGGCACTCTCGACCGATCGTCGCGCTGGAATACTCGCGCGTGACGCCGGACGGGGTGTTTTTGATTTCCAGCTCCAAGGATGGCCAACCGATGCTGCGCTGCGGCGACAGCGGAGACTGGGTCGGCACGTTCCAGGGACACAAAGGATGCGTGTGGGACGCCACGCTGAACGGAGAGGCGACGCACGCGGCGACGGCGAGCGCGGATTTCAGCGCGCGGCTGTGGAACGCGATCACGGGGGACGAGTTGCGAACGTTTCAACATAAACACATCGTGAAGAGCGTGAATTTTTCGAACGATGGCGGAAGGTTGTTGACCGGGGGAAGCGAAAAGTTACTGCGGATATACGATTTGAATAAACCGGAAGCGGAGCCGTACGCGATGGCGGGGAGCGCGTCGCAGATTAAGACGGCGAGTTTCATCGCGAACGACGAGCTGATTTTGAGTTCGTGCGCGGAGGATAAGGGGATTCGCGTGTGGGACGTGCGCACGAATACGGTGGTGACGACGCTGAGCACGGAATCGCCCGTGATGTCGATCGAGGTGAGCGCGGATGGGAAGAACATGACGACGGCGGACGGAAAGGACGTGACTTTTTGGGATTTGCAAAACTTTTCCAAGGTGCAAAAGTGGACAATGGAGTACGAGGTCGAGAGCGCTTCGGTGAGTTTGAAGCACAAAAAGTTTGTCGCGGGAGGTCCGGACATGTGGGTGCACTTGCACGACATGGAGACCGGCGCGGAGGAACAGACAAACAAGGGGCACCACGGGCCCGTGCACTGCGTGAGGTTCGCCCCCGATCAAAACAGCTACTGCAGCGGGTCCGAGGACGGTACGATTCGTATTTGGCAAACGATCGAGCCTAAAGATTGAGTCCGGTCGTGTTGTCCTTCTATTAAATTAGTTCTAGTTCTCTAGTGGATTTTGTGAATTGTTGAATCGGAGGTAGACGAACCACCCGACGAACCACGCTCGTCACGCAAATTTCTTCTTGATGTTTTTCACGATCGTCTCCACCCAATCGAGCGCGGAAAACGCGAACCAACCGATGGCGATGATCAGCGCCGAATGTAGCACGCTCAGCATACTCGGCTCAGCCTTGAGAAACGGCTCAACGTACCTCAAGCCGACGAAGAACCACGTGAGCGCGGTGGTTGACCCCACGGCGTAACCCACGATGACTTGCGGTGGCGTGTGATACCCCGTACTCACGCGCAAATAACTCAAAAACATCCCCATTATCACTAAAACAAAGCTCGCCACGAGCTGTCCCGCGTATCCGAGCGCCGGCGCCGCGTCTCGAAAGTACGCCAACGCCGTCGCCGCGTACACGCTCAAATACGACAACGACGTCGCGTGCGAGCTCGGCATCCCGGGATCAGCCTTGATCGCCCCATCCGGTCGCTCGTGATTCAAGACGCGTTTCAAAATCTTCCCATTGACGCTGTTCACGACGCTTCCGAGCAGCGCCCAGCACGTCCCCGCGCTCGGGTCGCGCAGCAAGACCCCCAGCGCCGCGCACGAGACGACGAATTTCGTGCTCTCGTTCACGTACGCCAGGACGGGCGTTTTTTTCGACGAGGGATTTCGCGGCGACGCGCGCGCGTCAGCCGCGTCGTGGGCGCCCGCGCGTGGCGTCGCCGCGCGTCTTCTGGACATCGACATTGGGGACAGTTTAGGAGCGGTCGTCGCGTCGACGACGCGCGAACGGTGGCGAACGAAGGCCGCGCGTGAGCGGAAACGCGTCGTGGATGACGCCCGTACGAGAACCGCGGATGGCGCGCGGACGCGGGCGATTGACATGCACGCGTGGTTATGCCGCGATATCGACGCCGAGGCGCGCTTTATCCGCTTTCGCGTCGGTTGAATTAAATGGTGTAGTGATCGCTAATGACGTCTCGCCTCGTGTTTCGTGTGTCTTGGATCTCAAGCCGCGCGGTCGTAGTATCGATCGAGCGTCTTGGCGGGAATGCGCTTCAAGAGCTCGCGCGGGAAAATTCTAAGCAGCGACCACGCGAGGTCCAAGGCGTCGTAAATGTTCCGTCCTTCGTTACCCTGATTGATGAACTTGCGCTCGAATTTGTCCAAGAACTCGAGGTAAAGCAAATCATCGGAGCTCAACGCTTCTTCGCCGACGACGGCTTTCATAGCCAAGGTGTCTTTGCCGATGGCGTAGTTGGCGTAGAGCTGGTTGGAGACTTCGCCGTGGTCGCGACGCGTCATGCCTTCGCCAATCGCAGACTTCATCAAACGACTGAGCGATGGCAAAACGTTGATGGGTGGGTAGATTTGTCGGTTATGCAACTGGCGGTCGATGTAAATCTGCCCTTCGGTGATGTATCCCGTCAAATCTGGAATCGGGTGCGTGATGTCGTCGTTCGGCATGGTTAAAATCGGCAACTGCGTGATTGAACCTTTTCGTCCTTTGATTCGACCCGCTCGCTCGTAAATCGTAGCTAAATCGGTGTACATATAACCAGGATAACCTCTTCGCCCCGGGACTTCCTCGCGCGCCGCGCTGACCTCGCGCAAAGCGTCGGCATAGGAAGACATGTCGGTTAAAATCACCAAGACGTGCTTCCCGCACTCGTACGCCAGGTATTCCGCCGTCGTCAAAGCGATGCGCGGAGTGATGATTCGCTCAATCGTGGGATCATTCGCGAGGTTCAGGAACAAAACAACTTTCTCCAAACTTCCAGTCCGTTCGAAATCACGACGGAAAAAGTTTGCCGTCTCCAGGTTGACCCCCATCGCCGCGAAGACGATGGCGAAGTCGTCTTCGCCCGCCGACGTGCCCGCGTCTCCCCCCTCCACCTCTCGCCCCTCATCGTCCCGCCGTTTCACCAATCCAGCTTGTCGACAAATCTGCGCCGCAATCTCGTTATGCGGCAAACCCGCCGCACTAAACAATGGAATCTTTTGTCCTCGAGCGATGGAATTCATCACGTCAATGGTCGATATTCCCGTCTGTATCATCTCCTCCGGGTACGTCCTTTCGCTCGGATTGATGCTCGCCCCTTGGATATCCAAATATTTCTCCGCCATCACCGGCGGTCCACCGTCGATGGGATTCCCAGATCCGTTAAAGATCCGTCCCAACATATCCTCGCTCACCGGCGTCTTCAGCACTTCCCCCGTAAACTCCAACTCGGTCCTTTTCCCATCGATCCCGCTCGTGCCTTCGAATATCTGCACCACCGCGCGTTCACCATCGACCTCGAGCACTTGTCCGCGCCTGAGCGTGCCGTCGCCGAGCTTCACGTTGACGATTTCGGCGTACTTTGCGTTCGAAACTTGATCTAAAATCACCAGCGGACCCGCGACGGCGCGCACGGTTCGATACGTCAGCTTCGGGTCGATCGCATCGATCGCGTCGATCGTCGCCTTCGCGGCGGCGATCTGCGTGCGCGCGAAATCGCTCGCGAGCGCGTCCGCGGGCGACATGACGTCGGTTCGCGCGCGCTTCGCGGTGTGAGGTCGACGTCGCGCGCGCCGCGCTCGACGCGTCCGACCGACGACGCGCCGCGCGCGCCGCGCGCCGCCGAATCGCGTCGACCGAATCGCGCGCATCTTCTACGTCGATATTATTACAACGATCGCGCGCGATCGTTCCCTCGCGCGTCGCCTCGCCCGCGTCCCGCGTCCCGCGTCCCGCGTCTCGCGCCCGCCCCTAGTTAAAGTACAGCTCCAGATTCATCCCGTCGTGAATCTCGTAATCGTCCAGCGTGATGTGATCCTTATAAATCGTGTACCACTTCTGTATCCGTATCTTCTCCGGCCGCGTCCCCGTCTGCGCGGCGACGAGTTTCTTTAAATCACCGATGGTGTCGTCCTCGCTGCGCCGTCGAAACAAACCGCGCGCGCGTCAGTCGCGCGTCGCGCGCCCCGTCGGATCGTCGACGCACTTGCACTTGACGCGTATCTTCTTCCCGAGTCGGTCGTTCAGCGTGATCTCGATCATCGTCGCGCGCGCGAGTGTCGTTCGTTCGTTCGTTCGTTCGTTCGTTCGTTCGTTCGGCGTCGCGTCACGTCGCGACGCGGCCGTCGCGCGCGTCGCGCGTCGCGCGATGTCCGGCGCGTTCCAGGCGTACGAGCGCGTCGTCGCGTGCGCCCGCGGCGGCGGTCTGCGCTGGGACGAGATCGCGTTCGTCGCGCGCGGGTCGGGCGAGCGCGCGCGCGTCCCGGCGCGCGACGACGTCGAGGCGACGATCGACGCGACGTGGGCGCGCCGCGGCGCGACGGTGTACGACGCGGCGAAGTTTCGATTCGCGAGCGCGACGACGCGCGACGCCGACGCGACGGACGGCGCGATCGCGCGCGTCGAGTGCGGGCTGACGGATTACAAGACGCTGCAGGGGACGAATTTGGCGGCGAACTGGGACGCGTTCGCGGCGACGAAGACGAGCGACGACGCGACGACGCGGACGACGTCTGGGTGCGGACGAGCGAGCGCGGCGATTGGAACGGCGGCGCGGTTCGCGCACTACGGCATGGCGCTGGGGAATTGCGTGTGCCTGCGGGCGAGCGATGGGAAATTTTTGGCGTTGCGTCGATCGCGAGACGTCGGCGAGGCGCCGGGGGCGTTGGTGTTTCCGGGAGGACACCCCGAGCCGAAGGACGTCGGCTTCGACGGCGACACCGACGCGATGGATGTGTCGAGGTACATGTTCGAGAGCGCGCTGTCGGAACTTCGCGAAGAACTCGGGGTGGACGAGGAGCGCGTGCGGCGTCTGCGATGTCTCGGCGTGACGCTTCGCGTCGTCAACGCGAGGCCGTGCGTCGTGTTTTACGCTCGAACGGCGTTATCGTCGGACGAAATACTGCGGGATTTTTATCCGAACGCAGAGCACGCGTTCGAGAGCACGCGCGCCGTGGCGCTCGCGATCGATGAGTTTGATCGTTCCGCTATGCCGGGCGACCACGTCGGCGCGCTCGATTTCGTCGCCGTCGCGCTCGCGCACGACGACGGCGCCGTCGCGCTCGCCGACGACGACCCGCCCTGGCGCCGTAGTTCATAGAATATATTGTTTGCGTTTCAGTCGTAGTCTCTTTCATCGCGCGCGCGCCGTTCAGCGCGCGTCGAACCGCTTCCGCGTCGTCGTCGCTCGTCGCGCGCGCGCTCGATCCTCGGGCTTCGCGCCGGACCTCGAGCGCCATCGCCGCACTCCTCGATGTCTCCCGGCGCCGGAGCCGCCGCGCCCGCGCGAACGCCGACCAAGCGTTACGCGCAAGACGGTCTGCTACCCCTGAACCACGCGCGACCGCCGAAGACGCCGCAAAACGCGGAAGATGGCGCGCGATCCAACACCGCCGCGGACGATCAAAATCTAAAGTCGCCCGCGGATGACGCGACGAACGAACCGAGCGTGCGCGACATCGTGCGCGCGAACGCGGAAAGAGCGGGGGCGCGGCTGCGCGCGGAAATGCAGGCGAATGCGCGAAGGGAGGCGGCGAGCTCGAGCCAGACGCTGGAGGAACAGCACGCGCGGGTGACGGCGTTCTTGGCGACGCACCCACACGCGGGACCGTCATTAGACGCGCACAAGCGCATATATCAATTGATAGAGGGATTTCCGACCGTGAAAAAGATGATGGATCGCTCGCCAGGGTTGCGCGGGATGCTCGGGAGCGAACGAGGATTGGCGGAACTGACGCGCGTGTTGTCCAACGGAGGCGAAGGCTTGGCCGAATTGGCGCAAAGTTTCGGGAGCTTGGATGCGAACGAGAACGGGCACGCGAAGAGTGCGGATGATTACATCGCGGATTTAAAGATTCTGGAGCAGGCAAAGATTGAGTTGAGGACGTTTCGCGAGCGACAGGAGAATTACATCACCACCGGTATGGCCGCGCCGGTGGTGGCGCCGAGCGCCGACGACGACGAGCAGTATTTATTAAGTATCGCGAGACGCGGGACGAACGAAGAAACACCGTCTTATATCGACGTGCATCTTCGCGCACAAGCGACGAACATGGATACCGCGGTTCCTTTCGTCATCGCGATTGTAGGCTCGACGCTCGCCGCATTGGGCTTAAATCTATTTTATTTCTTGGTGTCTTTTGTCACGATCACGGCGTTGATACTCGTGGCGCACCGACATGCGAGTTCGCAAGTGACGTACATGTACGGCAAACGAAGGATAGGTACGTCGGCCGCGATGACTGTGCATGCCATAGTGCTCGCGTGTGCGTTGCAGTTTTTCTTTGTGTACGTGCCGTTGTTCTTCGGCGTCGCACCGATGACGTGTTTGATCACTACTTTTGAGTTTGTTTTCACGCCCTGGTTGTTTTACAAAACATATGTTATCGGTCCGGGCTTCGTGCCCACCGGTGTGAGTGATTTTGCGTCGTGGGCGGCGACGATGGAACGCGTGAGCGCGACGCAGGGTGGATCCTCGGTCGCGGAGAACGCATCAAAGATGATGATCAACAACCGATATTGCAAGACTTGTCACTGCGCCAGGCCGCTGCGGTCGAAGCACTGTCCCTTCTGCAATCGTTGCGTGGAAAAGATGGATCACCACTGCCCGATTACGATGACGTGCATTGGTGCGAGGAATCAGCGCTGGTTCTTCATGGCAGTACTCTCGATGTTCATCGGTCAGTGTGGATTTCTGCACGTGAGCCACCTGTTTTACAGGATGCTCGTTGATATCGAAGCTCCGCGCGTCGGTGGCACTGGATTTATGCCCACAGTCGTGACACATTTTTACGTCGTGTTCAACCGCCCGTTCGGCATGATTTTGTACGCGATTGCTTTCTTGTTCACGATTTACTGCGCCGGCATCCTCGTACGCATGTTCATCGGCGTCTGCGTGAATCTCACAGTGAACGAGATGGAAAACGCGGCAAGATATGAATATCTCCAATCGGGCGATCCTGATCGTCCGTATCGCAACGTCTTCGATGCCGGGCCGCGGATCAATTGCATTCAGTTTTGGCGCGACACCGATAAAAAACGCGACTGGGACGGATTTTACGTCGCCGCCAAGGAGAAAAAGGCCGACTTACCCGTGGCGCCAAAATTTAGCTATTCTTGGTTTCACAGCACCGCACCAAGATTCTTGCGCGCGGTGTTTCAATTTCACTCCGATACCGTGCGATCGCACGGTCACGGTCACTCGCACGGCCACGGTCACTCGCACGGCCACGGCGACGAATGTCAACACGACCATCCGCACTCACTGAACCACCCGGGCGACAGCGCGGTGTGAGTGCGCCAATAGAAACTGATAGCGGGCATAATAAAAAGAGATTGTGTAATGACGACCTAATACGTCGCGCACGATTCACTCGATTCACTCGATTCGCTCGATTCCCCGCCGCGCTCTGCTTTGCTGTATCCGCTCGTCTCGTACGCGCGCGGCCGCACATGTCGGCTTCGAAACGTCCCGGCGCGCGTCCGCGTGCGCACGCGCGCCTCGACGATCGCACCGCCTTCGCTTACGACCTTGAGGCTGCCAATTACGACGACGACGCGAGTAAGTACGGCAAACGTCGTCGTTCCAGTCGCCATGGATTTGCCAACTGTAATCAGTTTTTGAACACTCTGCGCGCGCTATTCGCGCCCACGAGTCGCGTCAACGTCGCACGTTTATGCTGCGCGATCGCAGTGACTGTATTGCTCGCGCAAGTGGCGTCGAAATCGTCGGAGACGGCGTCGCCGACGCGCGTGGGTACGGAATTAGATTTGGGTTTGCTGCAGGTTGAACCTCCAAAGGGACGCCGAGGCGAAGCCTTGGCGCCGAGCGCGACGAAACGATACGCGAAGAGCGCGGATGATTTGCGACGAACGAACGGAGGGTACAGTAGTGGTGCTCCGCGGAACAGGGCGAAGCTGATCCCGCGAATCGTGCATCAGACGTTCAAGTCGCGCGGGACGCTCACGGAGAAGGACAAGGCGATGATGCAGACGTGGCGAGCGCAGAATCCAGAGTGGGAGATACGGTTCTACGACGACGAGGACTGCACGCGGTTCGTGCAGGAGCATTTTCCGGATTATTACGATGCGTATGCGGCGTTGGTGAAGAAGGTAGAACGGAGCGATTTCTTTCGGTATTTGGTGATTTTGAAGCACGGCGGCGTGTACGCGGACATCGACACTGAGTGTCGAAAGCCTTTGGATGATATGATCGATGCGAAGGACACACTGATCGTCGGCTGGGAGAACGAGTTCGAATCAGACGCAAAGGCGTACTCGAGACACTTCGTGCGAAGACGACAAGTGTTGAATTGGGCGTTCGCGGGCGCGCCAGGGCATCCCGCGCTCCTCGCCGTCGCCGAACACATCAACGCTGGTGCGAAGCGAGTGTTCACCAAGGCTTCGAATCGTAACACGCTAGAGCGTACGGGACCGGGTGCGTTTACTGATACCATCATGTCGCACTTTGAAGGGCTTCGTACGGGTGGGAAGACGTTTTGGAACGTTCGAGTGTTGCCGAAAGTCGTGCTCGGCACGCATCCGCTCGGCGAGGAGGGCGTGAGCCAAAAACACCCAGACGTCGTCATCGCGCACAGATACTCGGGTGGGTGGAAGAAAAAAACTGGCTGGAATGGGAAGAGGCGCTGGTATGACCACATCGCGATTCTCTGGCACTCGATCATGAGCGATCTTCCGGCGTACCGCGAGAAGCTTGCGGCGCGAGACGAGCACTTTCAAATGCCCTTGGTCGATCCGAAGAGGGAGTACCCGGTGACAGCGCTCTGGGAGCCCGCGTTCGATCTCATGACGCCATTGGTTGGCACGATGGAGGAAAACGACGCGTCATCAAAAAGCGAGCATCGCAGCGCGGAAGGGTACTGGTTGACACTGTACGGTAGACCGAAAGTGGTGACGCACAGCCCTCTGCGCGCCGGGCAAAATCCGGCGGAAATCCTTTTTGCCGGTTTGGAGCGACACGCAGGGAAACACATTCCTGAGCGCGCCGTCTTTATTGATATTGGTGCCGGTTTAGGGTATTATTCCAACGCAGCCGCATCCCACGGGGACGACGTGTACTCGTACGAGTGGGATGAGACGTTATTAGCAAACTTTAAGACGTCAGTTGAGTACAACAACTTTGGCGACCATGTGAAAATCAGCGCGGATTTGGGCGAATTGAAGAGCGGCGAGGCGTTTAGGGATATGCTTCTCAAGACGAAAAAGATAGACGCCATGCGTATCGCAGGTCGAGGGTATGAGATGGACATTTTAGACGGTTTCAAGATGTTTGTGGCGGCGGGTGATTTTCCTATGGCGTTACTTTTGGAGATGCGCCCGGCGCTCATTGAGGCGTCAACAAAGCATTCGACCGAGGACATCATCGCCATGTTTCAGTACTTGTGGAGCAATGGCTACACTGATATTGGGCACGTGGGTCCGGCGTGTGATGGGCGGGGCGTGCGCAAAATCAAGACAAAAGGGCTTAAAAGTCAGTTTGAGAACACGGCGTGGTGCAGAATCGACATTGCGAGCGTCAAAGGCGTCCTCAGCGCCATGAGCGAGGATGAGTTTGAAACCATCATCATGTTCTCAGATAGACATTGAATCGTTTATTTATTTATTCGCGTTGGACTATTGAGATAAGTCGTGCGCGCCTTCGCCGCGCGTCGTTTGAAACTCACCTCACGGCGTTCGGCGTCCTCCATCGCGCGTCGCCGCCCCTCCTCCGCGCGCGCGTCCGCTTTAAGTCTGCGCGATCTTGCGAGTTCTATCTCGTTTCGACGCTGCTTTCTGACCTTGTTTTCGACTACCACCTTGTGTGGCGCGATCGGAAGTGCGACGATCGCGTCGGACATCTTCTCTGGGGGGCGCAGCGTTCGTGCGGCTTCGCGAAGTTGATCGTCGGCGACCAGGCGCAACGTCTGATACACCTCTTCCTCCCACGAGCGTCCTCGCCGACGTGCACAATCGAACGTGCGCGCGCACTCTGACTTGACGTGTGCGCACGTCGCATCGCGATCGTCCGAACACTCGCTCTCAATGCGCGCGAAGACGATGGCTTTGAGCGTCAACGTCGCGAGCCCACTCGCTGGCGCGCAGTCGAGCTCGACGAATCCTCGCAACAAGCGAAACAATCCACCGCGAGCGAGGCGCGCGACACTCGGGGCTGGATCGCGACACACGCGCGCGCATACTCTGATGACGTCTCGAACGACAGTTTCGTCGTCACCCGCGACCGTTGCAGACGCTACGCACGCGCACGCCGCCTCGAGAGCCGCGGTCAACGCCGCGAGGCGAACAGCGATGGGTCCGTCAAGGTAGCGCGTCGCACTTTGCACGCGCTCCGCCAACGACGCATCACATTTGTCAATTCCTGTAATCGCTAAGATGGCACCATGCATACGAAGACGCGCGGACGCGTCGCGTTGTGCCGCACAACTAAATCTTCACACCGCTGCGTTTATTTTTACATGCGTCGTCGTCGTCTCAATCGTCTATCCATGTCATTCGTTCCTGATATCGCTCAGGATGTTTTCGATATCATCCTTCGTAACGACGCCATCGGCGCCCTTTTGCGCAGCCAAACCGGACAGTCTCTGCATGAGCTTATCCTTGAACCCGGCGAACGCGCTCGCCATGTTCATCTGCTGATTCATCGGAAGCGTGGCGAACGCCGCCATCGAGGCGTTTTCCAAACTCTCTCCACTCGCCGCATCGAGCGCACCTTGCGCCTCCAATATCTCCCGCATCGTCGTCGGTACGTCCGCGCCGCACCCATCGCCCTCGCACTCGTCGTCATCGTCATCGTCGTCGCCCTCGCGTCGCCAACGAAACACCCCGTCCTCGTCGGCGTGCGTCAGCTCGCGCGCCTCTCCGCTCAGAAACGACACCTTCCGCAATTCCGCCTCGAACCCATCCCGCGCGTCGTACAACAACGCGAACGCCGTCCCCGCCTTCGCCTCCCCCTCCGCGTCCCCTTCGCACACGACGCACGGCCACCACGTCACCGCGACTTCGGTTTCGTCCTCGTCTCGCGCCTCGCCGTCCTCGCCCCCCTCCCCCCGTCCCGGTTCCACCTCCCACTGCACCTCCAACCGATCGCCCGCGCGCACGCGCCTCCCGAACCGATCCACCGCCACCTCGACCGCCGCGCGTCCGTCGCTCGCCGCGTCGTCCGCCCTCGCGCGCTTCACCGCCGCCCCGTCGTCCCTCGTCGCGTCTTCGCCATCCTCGCGTTCGCGTCGCACCGTCGCGCTCGACATCCTCGCGCGGTCCTATCGCTCGCGCGTCGCGCTTCGGTCGTCGCGTCCGTCCGCGTCGCCGTCGCCGTCGTCGCGCGTCCGCGTGTCGCGCCGCGCGCGCCGCGCAACCATCCGTCGCGTCGTTCGAATCGCGTTTTGAAATTTGAATTCAAACCGTCGGTGCGAATGCGAAAAAAACGCGATACGAACCGTCGCACCCCTATTTTTTTAGGGTCGCGCGAAACGACGCTTCGCGACGCTTTGCCGCTTTGCCGCGCGTCGACCGCGACGCGCGACACACGACGACGACGACGACGATGATGACGACGACGACGACGACGACGACGCTGACGACGCTGACGACGGCGACGCGAGGGACGGCGCGACGCGCGACGCGAACGGTCGCGCGCGTCGCGCGACCGACTTTCGCGAGGGCGACCGCGGTCGGCGGGGCGTCGCGGACGCGAACGACGCGCGCGCGACGGGGCGGCGCGGTGGTGACGCGCGCGGACGCGCTGGCGCCGCCGGCGGTGTTCGACGCGGCGTGCGCGGCGAGCGAGAAGAAGAGCGCGCAGGCGCCGACGACGACGCTGACGCTGGGGTTCGCGGCGGGGGCGTTGATTGGCTTGGGCGCGCTGCTCATGACGTGCGTGGGGGGGGCGTCGCCGGCGTTGGCGGCGAATAATCCCGGGTTGAGCGCGTTCGTGAAAGGCGCGATCGGGCTCCCGGCGGGGCTGACGATGGTGATTCTGACGGGCGCGGAGCTGTTCACGGGGAACGTCTTCGTGATGCTGAGCGGGGCGCTGAACGGCGTCGCGAACGAGCGTCAAGTGGCGCGGTCGTGGGCGCTTTCGTACGCTGGGAACTTTGCGGGCTCGGTGTTCATGGCGTACATGGCGTACACGGCGATGACGGCGGCGTCGCCGGCGGCGAGCGCGGCGGCGGTGGGGATCGCCACGGCGAAGGCGTCGCTGCCGTTTGTCGCGGCGTTCACCAAGGGCGTGTTGTGCAACTGGCTCGTGTGTCTCGCTGTTTGGGGAACGATGGCGACGACGTCGGTGGCGGGGAAGATTTTGGCGATCTTTTGGCCCATCACCATGTTCGTCGCGCTCGGTTTCGAGCACAGCGTGGCGAACATGTTTTTGATTCCGCACGGGATGCTCCTCGGCGCAAACGTTTCGTGGGCGCAGATGATGACGGGCAACATCATTCCGGTGACGCTAGGGAACATCGTCGGCGCCGCAGTCTTCGTCGCGGGCGTGCACTGGCTCGCGTACGGTAAGAAGTGAAAGATATTTTGATCGTTCGATTCGATTCGCAAGTAACCCCTGGTGTAATTAATTTCAACGACGACGATTTCTATGACTGTACGAGGCGCTCTTCTAATAGCGGATGATGGCGTCTTCGGGATAACCGAGCGCTTTCAGCGCTGGAATGCACGTGTCTTCCTCGAACGCAGGTGGCCCACACATCACGGCGATGTGCGACGAACCGTTGGACGGGAAGCCGTGTTGTTGGATGATGGGCAAACTTATGCGCCCGTACGTGACGCGATCCGAGCTCCACTCCGGGCCAGTCTTCCTGTCCGCCGCCCACGTCTCCTTGGAAATCATGTAGTGCACTTTAAACCGCCCCTTATGCTCGCGCTCGAGACGATCGAGGGTATACTTCAATAGCACATCGTCTTCCGTTTTGTTGGCGTAAATGAAGGAAAGTTCCGTTTCGTCCTTCTCGTCCGCGAGAACGGCGACGATGAGTTGCAACATCGGCGCGACGCCCGTGCCGCCGCCCAAGAGCGTCATCTTCTTCACCGGCGGCAAGTCTTTTTTGTCGATGCTAAACAATCCCTGACCGAGATACTTGATGTGACCAACTGGGCCTTTGACGTCAATCTTGTCACCCTCGTTGAGATGGTGAAGGTATTGTGTCAACGCCCCGCCCTCGGGGTACGCTTCGTGGACGTCGGAATAATAAATCTTAATCACCAGTTCCACAGCCCCAAGGGTGCCGTTGAGCGAGGAAGGCGTGTACGCGCGCATCACCTTCTTGCCATTCCACTCGCCTCGTAAATATACATGATAACCCACGGGCATACCACACTGATGCTCGTCGCTTTCGAGCTTCAAACGCAAAAGAATGGAATCGTGCGACAGCGGAATTTTGTTTTCAATCTTGAGCTGTAACCATTTCTTCGGGTTCAGCCCGAGTGGAGCGTTTTCGGGCACGATATGCTTTGCACCCGCCCACATGCGATCGAAAGCCGCCGCTTCCGCGGCTTCACCGAGTAACATCTGGCCGAACGCCTCCTTGTGTTCTTCGTAAAACTTGACGAGATGCACCGGGCCACGTTTGGGCATCGCCGGGAACTCACGCCTGGGCTCGGTTTCGACTCGCTCAATTTCGACCGACACATCACTTGAAGCCGCCTGATCTTCCGCACTTCCGACGTCGCCGATATAAAAAGGTTCGAGCTGCTTCCAAGCCTTGGCGCTGTGCACGGCTTCGAAATCCTCCGTGGTGTCTTCGCCCGCATTCATGGTAATACTCGCATTACCTCCCGGATGCAGACCTTCCTTCAAGTACGCGTTGACGTCATACACCTTACCTTTAACGACAATCCAGCAGTCGTCTTCAGTGTTGTGTTTCTCCACCTCCTCCATGGTGATGTATCTGACATTTTTCTTCGGCGCGGCGGCGACGACGGGCGCTTCGTCGGCGGCGTCATTCTTCTGCGAAACTTCTACTTTCTCCGTGTTTACGATCGTCACTTGCACTTCTGAGGCACTCGCACCCACATGCCGTTCTTCACCCGCTCGCGCGGCTTCGAGCGCTTCGATCACTGGCTTCCATCCGCCGGCTTCGTTACCCATCCAGCCACCCTTGAGCGCGCCCGGCTCCGTCGGATGTTCGCATCGAATGTACTTTTGTGCTCTATCGCTCAGCGCCGCGACCGACAGCTTCACGCGGAAGTAGCAATTATTGCCCATACCCATGAGATTCCACGTAAAATCTCGCGGCTGCGTGTTGTTCGCTTCGTCCCACGCCCGACACATCACCTCCTTGGCGCTCGCGAGTTCGACGGTGGCGACGTCCAAATCCCAAAAGATCCAGCACCAGTGCTTGCCGTACATCGTCGGTGCGAATGGACGACGAATGTTGGCCAATCTCCAGGTGTAACCACCGTCAAGGCTCACCTCAACGCGCGTGATCGCGCGTCCTCCGCCCGTGTACGCGTACCCTTTCACTTCGTACCGCTCGCGGTCGAGCGGCACGCACTCGTCGTGCGCGGGCGACGCGATGGCGCTGTTGATGTTGAGCTCGTTGAAAATGTACTCCGGCTTCTCCCACCAGTTTTGCTTATCCGCCATCGCCGCGTCCACGCCTGGAGGCATGATGCGGTTATCGCGGAAATGATAAAAGTTGTCGCTCGGATGCTCCGTGACGCGAATCGTCGTGAGGTACTTGATCATTCTGCCGCCGATGTAGCCGGGGATGATCAAGCGCACGGGAAACCCGTGATCGGGTCGAAGTGCCTCACCGTTTTGCGCGTAACACACCATGACATCTTGCGCCGGGTCGAGCGCCTTGCTCAAGGGAATGCTCGTTCCGTACGTTCCATCCTTACCCTTCGGCAGCTCCCCCTTCGGTCCCTCAAAGCACACAAAGCGTCGCTTCGCCGTCACCTCGGTCACCCCGCACTCGGCGAGCAAAATCCGCAGCGGCACCCCGGTCCAGAGCGAGTTCGACAATCCAGCCGCGCCCCATCCGAATCCAATCGTCTTTTCATACATATTCTGCTCCTTTCTCCGATTTCCCGCGCACACGAGCAAGCACGGCATCGTCATCGCCGGCTTGCGCAACAACGCGTCCATCCCGTACGTCCTCCCCTTGCCCGAGTCGCTCACCTCCACCCTCACCTCGTGCGCGTCCCACGCGATGTTCTGCGCCGCCCCGTGATTCCTGACGAAGTGCAGCTCCGCCGGCGTCACGCTCCCCGCCTCCATCAGCGCTCGCAGCGGAGGCTCGCAGTTGAACGGGTGCGTCCCCGTCAGGCGCACCAGGCTCGGGTGTCTCGCCACCCAGTGATCGGGCGTGTTCAGGTCGCGTCCGTCCGCGCGCGCGCCCTCCGCTTTGGCCCTCGTCAGCGCGCCGCGATGTCCATCGCACGCCAGCAGCGCGCGCTGCACGTCGACGTCGTCCATCGGCAGCGCGCGCGGTCCCGCGCGCGCGCATCGCCCGTCCTCGTTTCCCTTGACGCGCGCGCCGCGCGCGCCGAACGCGCCCATCGCGACTCGCGCGCGACGCTCGACGCCTCGAAACGCTCGACGCTCGACGCGCGTCCTCGCGCGTCGTCCGTCGTCGTCGCGTCGCGTCGGAATCTGCCGCCGCGCGCGTCGTCGCGTCGTCGACTCGACGTCGTCGACGTCCCGCCGCGCCGGTTCGACTCCGCCGACGTCGCGACGTCGCGGTCGGCGCGACCCCGACGCGCGCGCGCCGACCCGACGGCGCGATCGCGCGAGTCACGATTCGTCGCGCGCGTCGTTTTTTTTTTTCTCGCCGGCGTCGCGTCCCGCCGCGCCGCGCGATCGGTCGACGCCCCGGCGACGGGTCGCGCGACAAAGCGTCGCGAAGCGTCGCGACCGCCGACGCTTCGCGTCGCTTTGACCTCGTATGGGCAAACAGTCACACGCGTGTGTCGACCGCGCGTCCGACGCGCGTCGGCGCCGCACACCGCGACGCTCGGTCGCGAGCGCGCGCGCGTCGACCTCCGGACGCGAGCGAACGCGCTCGAGCGCGCGGCGCGTCGAGCGACGCGAGGGCGCGTCGAGCGACGCGAGGACGCGGCGCGAGGGATCGCGGGACGACGACGACGACGATGGACGCGGCGCGAGGGACGGCGACGACGGCGACGACGGTGAGGCGCGCGGTGCGGGCGCGCGGAGGACGCGCGGTGCGCGAGACGCGCGGCGCGCGGGCGCGGGACGCGCGACGAGGGACGCCGCGGGCGGTGGTGGAGCCGGAGGGGGCGTCGGCGGGCGACGCGTCGGCGTCGGCGTCGGCGGGCGACGCGTTGAAGTGGCAGGCCGAGGACGCGGCGAGCCTGAGGGCGCATAACGAGGAAGCGATCGCGAAATATGCAAACTTTCCGGAGTTGGATAAGCCGGACGCGCACGTGGCGCGAGATGCGGATGGGTACTACGTCGTGAAGGAGGAGTGGCGAAAACCGACGAATCCCTTTGAAAAGTTGAAGCTCGCGAAGGATCCGATGCGAGAGTTGATCGGGATGAACGGGATCGAGGAGATGGCCAAGGCGAGCGCGGCGGATTTCAAGGCTTGGGACGAGGCGTTGAATGACCCGGACGAGACCGATCAACGACCGAAGTGGGCGGGTTTGTTTCATCGACGCAAAGGACACTACGGGCGATACATGATGCGACTCAAGCTTCCGAACGGACTCATTAACTCGACGCAGATGCGATATTTGGCGAGCGTGATTAAAAAGTACGGCGAAGATGGGTGCTGCGACATCACGACGAGACAAAACATTCAGCTTCGTGGGGTTGAGTTGAAGGATGCGCCCGAAATCTTGCGCAAACTCGAAGAGCTCGGTATGTGCTCGTTGCAAAGCGGGTTGGACAACGTGCGCAACGCGACGGGGAACCCGCTCGCGGGTTTTGATCCGCAAGAAATCGTCGACACGCGACCTTACACGCTCGCCATTCAAGATTACGTCACCGGTGGTGGGCGCGGGAATCCAGCCATCGCTAACTTGGGGCGTAAGTGGAACGTGTGCGTCGTCGGCAGCAGCGACTTTTTCGAGCATCCGGACATCAACGACTTGGCCTTCATTCCAGCGATGAAGGATGGCAAGTTCGGATTCAACATGATCGTCGGTGGCTTCATATCTTCTCAGCGCGCAGCGGAGTCGGTCTCTCTCGATGCGTGGATCCCTGAGAACGAGCTTGTCGCCGCGACGCACGCCGTGTTGACGACGTTTCGCGATTACGGCCATCGCGGCAACCGCCAAAAGTGCCGCATGATGTGGCTCATCGACGAGATGGGTTTGGAAACGTTTCGCACCGAAGTTGCGTCGCGCATGCCAACGGGAGACTTGGCGCGCGGCGCCGAAGTGGATCTCATCGACCGAGAGTCTCCGCGACGCAGTTACATCGGCGTGCACGCGCAAAAGCAAGAGGGCTTGAGCTGGGTCGCCGCTGCCGTGCCGGGCGGACGTATGCAACCGGAAGATCTCGCGGAGATGGCTGATCTCGCGGACAAGTACGGCGAAGGTGAGATTCGACTCACCGTCGAGCAAAACTTTATCATTCCCCACGTGCCGAACGATAAGATTGACGCCATTCTCCAAGAGCGTTTGTTTCAAGAGTACACGCCGTTCCCGGGCAAACTTGTGTCCAACATGGTGGCGTGCACCGGAAATCAGTTCTGCGGATTCGCGCAAATCGAGACGAAGCGACAAGCGCTCGAAATGGCGGAACACTTGGAAAGTTGCTTAGAACTTTCGAAGGACGTGCGCATGATTTGGACAGGTTGCCCGAACTCTTGCGCTCCGGTGCAAGTGGCGGACATTGGCCTCATGGGCGCGCAGGTGAAGAATCCGACGGGCGAGAAGGGCATGGTACCAGGGGTGAACATCTTCATCGGTGGTACCGTCGGGCCGAACGGCCACTTGAAGGAAGCGCCAGAAATCGCAAAGGTCCCGTGCTCAGAGTTGAAGCCGGTTCTGGAACAGATTATGATTGAGAGGTTTGGCGCGACGCGCAAGGCGACGCCGACGCCGAATCCGGGGCGAGCGTCGCGCTGGAAAATCAACAAATCTGCGCAGTATACCAAGGGTGTCCCTAAAGCCATGGGTAAGGCGACGCACATTTGCACCGGATGTGGTTACATTTATCAAGAGACGAAGAAGTTCGACGAGTTGCCGGATGACTACGTCTGTCCGTCGTGCAGCGCGCCGAAGTCCAAGTTTGAAGCGATGAAGCAGGAAGAGACGCCCACGAGCGCTCGCCCGGTCGTGGAGTACCCCGAAGGCACGCTCGCGACGCTGAAGAACGGCGAAACCGTTGAATTGAAGCTCGTTGAGAAGGAACAAGTGACGTCGAACACTGTACGCCTTCGATTTGAACTCCCGTCGCCGGAGCACATCCTCGGACTTCCCGTCGGGCAACACGTGACGGTGACCATCGACGGCGTGTCTCGTCCGTACACTCCGATCACGCGCGATGCGGACAAGGGTTTCATGGACCTTCTCGTGAAGATTTATGATCAAGGCGCGCTCACGCAAAAGCTCAACGCCGTGGCCGTGGGATCTACCGTAGCGTTCGAAGGACCGAATGGGTTGGTGACGTACAGCGCTCGCGGCGAATTTTCTACGCGCAATCCGGCGACGGGCTCTGTGGCGAAGAAATCATGCAAGAACATCGCCATGATCGCCGGTGGTACTGGCATCACCCCTATGCTTCAAGTCATTCGCCAAATCTTCAACGATGTCGGGGACACGACGCGGGTCAACTTGTTATTCGCCAACGTCTCCTCGGCGGATATTCTCTTGAAGAAGGAGCTCGACGAGCTCGCGAGCGCGCACAAAAACTTGACGGTGCACTACGCGATCGACAAGGATGAACCAAACTGGAACGGCGAGGTTGGATACGTTTCAGAGGAAATGATCAAGAAGTGCGACTTGCTGAAGCGAGGTGGCTTGATGGACAAATTGTTTTCATCCGCCGACGACACCGCGGTCCTCGTGTGCGGCCCGCCGGCGATGGTTGAGAAAGCCGTTGTGCCCGCGTTGGACGCACTGAATGTCTCTACAGATTCTCGAATTTTCTTTTAAGACAAAGCGAACAACTACATAGTTTACTCACAATTCATCAGCTCACGTCGTTTGTCATTTAAAATCAGTCGACGTCTAAAACATGTTGCGCGGCGCGCGACTGCTTCCGGCGTTCGTTTGCGCACATGAGACTCGATAAGTTAGGAAAGAAGAGGAATAAGAAAATTACAAGCAACGTCTCCGTAACAAGGACGCGTGTGCACGGTTCATCTATCTACAATTTGTTTTCCCGATGAAGTTGATCGCGTCGAAAGTCGCGCGTTGCGCGCTTACGCATATTGCGCTGCGGCGGCGTTTTGCTTCTTGTAATCGTACATCGTACCGGCAGTGGCGACGATGATAGAGAACGCGATGAAGAAGCTCATCGTGCCGACGAGCGCTTGCGGCAAGCGGTCGTAGGTGACGACTTCGAAGGTGCAAGAAGAATCGTCGCCGTATCGCACGTAGCCGCTGGAGTCCGATTCCAAGACTTGGATAAAGTACTTGGCCGGCGCGATGTTCAACGGGAGCGGGATGTCGACGTTACCAGTCGCCGACCCGCCCGTGATGCCCGCTTTGAGATAGTCGGCCTCGACCACGGTTTGCTTGCATCGCTTGTTCTTGTTGACGATGTCTTTCTTCTTGCGCCACGGCTTGGAGGCGAGTTCGGAGTCGTCGTAGCACAACTTCACCATCATCGTGTTCCCCGACGTCGTGGAAGCACCGGTCCACGCCACGTTGATGGAGTTCAAACCACCCTGCGCTTTCTACGAACGTGAAAAACAAATAATCAAGTCAGTCTTCGAATCACGAACGAAATCGCCAGCGTCGCCGCGCCCGACCCCCAAAGGACACTCGCGCCGGTCGAACGCTTATCCGCCCTCGCGTCGTCTCCGCCCGCGCGTCGTCCCCACGCCACCCACGCGTCCACTCGCGCGTCGAGCGCGCGCCCGAATGCGTTATTTCTCGCGCGGTCGCGCGCACACGCACCGAACCAGCCGCGCACGCCCCGCCGTCGATCGTCGTCGTCACGCCGAGCGTGTTCGACGACATCTCGCTGTACTTGGTGAACGCGTGCGCGCCGTCCGCGAGCATCGCCGTGGCGGCGAGACCACCGATCAAGAGCTTCTTCAATTCAACCATCGTCGTTCGTGCGTCGTTCGCGCGTCGTCGTCGTCGTCGCGGGCGCGTCGAGGAGTGTCGACATCGGCGCGACGCGCGGCGTTTCGGGACGCCAAGCGTCGCCAAAGGGCGACCGTTGGTGACCCTTCGTTCCAAGCGTCACACGGCTAAACATCGTTTATATACGCGCGTCGACCCGGTTTATTTTATTAACTATTACGCGTACGCGTGTAAGTTGTATTTTTACCTTGAATACGTAAAAACACGATGAGGGTTTCGTGAATGTTTTATGCGTCGTCGCGACGGGACGCGACGCGGTGCGACGCCGCGCGTCACTCCACAGCGCGTCAGCGAGCACGCCGCGACCTCGAATCGCGACAGCGCACGCGCGAAATGGCGATCACTAAAGAATTCAATGTCCCCGTGGACAGGTGCGTGTGGTTCGAGGCGCGCGCGAACGTGGGGGGGGGTTAAAGCGACGACGATGCGTCGCGGTTGTGTCGAAACGACGTGGTCGAATCGAGCGCGTGTGCGGTCGCGCGCGATGGCGACGCGGCGCTCGAACGCGTCGATAACGATGAAAGATATATTTGTTTATGCTTTCATGCCCGCGAGACTGACGTGTAACGCGCGGTGCCGTCGTACGTGGCCACAGCGAGCACAAGGCGATGAAGCTGAACGTCTTCAGCTTTGATCGCCCGCACCACTTGTCCTTCCACATGTCCTGGTTGGGTTTCTTCATCTCTTTCGTCTCGACGTTCGCGGCGGCGCCGATGATTCCGGTGATTCGTGAAGACTTGGGTCTCACGAAGCCGCAGCTCGGGAACGCTGGTTTGGCGGCGGTGACGGGTACTATTATTTGCCGCGTGCTGATGGGTACGGTGTGCGACCTCATCGGCCCGCGACTCGGTTTGTCGGTTATTCTTTTGGCCACCGCGCCCTTCTGCTTCGCCATGGCCATGGTGCAAGGCTTCGAAGGTTTCCTGATCTGCCGTTTGGGCATCGGTCTGGGTCTCGCCACGTTCGTGGCGTGCCAGTTCTGGATGTCTTGCATGTTCAACAGCAAGTGCGTCGGTCTCGCCAACGCGACCGCCGCGGGCTGGGGTAACTTGGGCGGCGGAGTCACGCAATTCTTGATGCCGGGCATCTACGCCATCTGCTACTCGGCGACCAACAGCCGTGCGTTCACTGCCTGGCGTTGGGCGTACATCTTCCCGGGCATGTGCCACACCGTAGTCGGTTTGATGGTCATGTACCTCGGCCAAGATTTGCCGGATGGTAACTACAAGGTGCTCACGACTTCGGGCGCGCTCGAAAAGAAGTCCTCCATGAAGGTCAACTTGATCGGCATGAAGAACTACCGCATGTGGTGCATGGTCGCCACCTACGGTTTCTGCTTCGGCGTTGAACTCACGATGAACAACATCGTCGCCGGTTACCTCTTTGATCAATTCGGCGTCTCCCTCTCTGTCGCAGGCGTGTTGGCGTCTTGCTACGGTATGATGAACTTGTTCGCCCGCTCCGTGGGTGGCATCATCTCTGACTGGTCTTCTAACCGCTTCGGTATGCGAGGACGTCTTTGGACTTTGTGGTCCACCCAAACGCTCGAAGGTGTGCTGTGCATCTTCATGGGTCTCTCCAAGGACAACTTGGGCGCCACCATCGCGTTCATGGTGTTCTTCTCCATTTGCGTGCAGGCGTCCGAAGGCGCTTCTTACGGTATCGTGCCGTTCATCTCCCGCCGCGCTCTCGGTGTCGTCTCTGGTTTCATCGGTGCTGGCGGTAACGCTGGTGCCACCATCGCCACCGCCGCCTTCTTCACCAAGGATTCCATTGAGACGTACGAAGGTCTCCAGTACCTCGGTTACACCGTCATCGGCGTCACCGCTTTGGTCATCCCGATTCACTTCCCAATGTGGGGCTCCATGTTCTTCCCGGCATCCAAAACGGCCACGGAAGAGGACTACTACATTCACAACGAGTTCACTCCGGAAGAAATCAAAGCTGGTCTCGCCGCTCCGGTCCAAAAGTTCTGCAACAACTCTCGCAACGAGCGCCCGGTTTGGAAGCGCGAGCAAGATGCGGTTGAAGCCTCCGCGTAATTCTTTTTTACTCTCGCGTCGCAAGAGTGCATCGTTTATAAAAAATCACCTCTACGTAGTGTGTAACATAACTCTTATTGCAAACTCTCCACGAACAGCCGACGTCTGGGGCGACGCGCGAAATTGATCAACAAATTGTCTTCCTACAAATTCAACTCTACGCTCTATCGCTGCCCGCCTTCGGCGGACGGTCCCACTTCGAGTCTACGCTGCACCTCCATCAATATGTGCGTCCCGATCCCCGCGGCGAAACCAATCGCCGTACTCTTAGTCGCGATCGTCACCGCAGCGGTCACCATGACGAGATACTTCTGGTGCTGATGCCATCCGGGTTTCGTCTTCAAGCCCATGCCAATGAGCTCCAAACTCGACGAAAATAACATGACTCCTAATATAGTCTTCGGAAAGTGCTCCAAGAGCTTCGTTAATGAGCTCCCGAATAATAAACCGAGGGCAAGCTTGCACAAGCCGAGGAACACGATCGATCCTCCGCCGCGAGCACCGAAAGCGTACTGAGCCGCTAAACCGCCAGCGCCGTGGCACGACGGCATCGCGCCTACCCAACACCCGACGATATTCATCATCCCCACGCTCGTCGCCACTGAGCTCGGCGACGCGGGAAAATCAGGAAACAATTCTTTGCTCAGTGCACACACGGAGATCACTGAATTTAACGTCGTCAATGGAAGTTGCGGGACGCCGGCGTTTACGATGCCGCGCTTTGCCTCGGACCACGACGCGCTCAAAATCTTTGGCGTGGCTGGTCCAAACTTCAATCCGCTCAGCGCGCCATCTTTCGTCATGGCCATGGTGATACCGAGCACAACGAGAATAAGCGCCATGGGAATGTAGTGACGCATGCGTTTCCGACGTTCGCCATCCGCCTCAAGTTCGCCTCGCTCGTCGCGAATTGCCGGATACTCGGGCGAGCACACATACATGACCGCACACATGGCCACGATGGTGACCAGTAGGCCATCCGTGCCAAACATCCCTCGCACCACACTAGCATCGCTCGACGTGTACACCGCGAGTAAAAACCCTTTCCTGGCGAGCAACAATCCAAGTCCCACTTGCATGCCTTGCACAACCGCGAGCGGCGTCACTTTATTAAACGTGTCCATCAATCTCGTCGTTCCAAGCACCAACACGATGGAAGACACGAACAAACCGGCGACCATAATTTCGTTGACATTCAACGGCGACTCTCCCAACGCCACCGCCGCGATCGTCTTCATCGGCTGCACGGGCATGGGTATCTCGTACAGAAACGCCGTGAGCACGTTGTACAATCCCGTGAACACGATTGTCGTCCCCGCGTCCACGCCACACTCGATCGACATCCCGACGAGCAGCGGTAAAAAAGTCCCGAGATCTCCAAGCGCGCCGCTCGCCTCTCGCCAACCGAACTCGCGCCAAAACTTTTCCGCGCGCGCGCCGACGACCGCCGCCGTCCCGCCGACGCGCCCTCTCGTCGCGCGCAGCTCCGACGCCGTCGTCTCGCCGCGCTTCTCGCGCGCGCCCGCGTCCACGACGCGAGCGTCATCATCGTCGTCCGCGATGCGAATCTCGTACTCACCCGCGGACGTCATCGCGCGAGGGCGTCGTGACCTTTCGCGTCCCGCGAAAAGCGCTTTTTCGCGTGGATGCTCGACCCGCGCGCGTCGCCGCGCGCGCGGATGCGCGAGGAACGCTCGAGGAGATCGTGTTTAACCCAACCCGTGCGCGTGCGCGTCGCGCGCGAGGCGTAAGCGTCGCGCGCGCTGACGTGTGTGGACGCGAAATGAGAACGTGGGGACGCGCGCGCGCGCGCGCGACGAAGACGAAGACGAAGACGAAGACGAAGACGAAGACGAAGAGACGATGGAAATCTCGCGCAACAGGCTAACCCCCTATCTTGATCATCGCGCGATTATCCTGCGCCGCGAGCTCGTGCATGCCCGCGTGCGCGGCCTTCTTTCGCTTGACCGCAGCGCCGATGACGCGCAAAATGTCGTCGTCCGACGCGCCCGAGCGCATGGCGTCTCGCAAGCTCACCTCTGAATTGCCGAATAAACAAACCTTCAAATTACCGTCCGCCATGATGCGTAAGCGGTTACATCCGCCGCAGAATGAGTTCGTCATGCTCGTGATGAAGCTCACCGAACCTTTGTGACCGGGCAGGGTGAAGTTCTTCGCGACTTCCTCGCGCGGGTCGTCGACGCGCGTCAACGCGCCGTACGCCTCTTCTATTCTCGCGCGCATCTCGGCGTACGACACCATCTTCTTCGTGCTCCACTTATTGCCGTCGAACGGCATGTACTCTATAAATCTCACATTAATCGGCTTGTCTTTCGTCAACGCCACGAAATCAAGCAGCTCGTCGTCGTTTTGCCCGCGCATGACGACGCAGTTCACCTTGACGCTCTGAAATCCGAGTTCGCACGCCTTGTCGACGCTCGCCAGTACCCGATCGTGCCCTTTCCTCCGCGTCATGAACTCAAACTTCGCCGGCACGAGCGTATCAAGCGACACATTCAAACGCGTCAATCCGTTCGCTCTAAGCGCGTCTAACCGCTTCGCGAGCGTCACTCCGTTCGTCGTGACGCTCGTCTCGCGCACCCCCGGCGTCCCGCTCACCCGTCGCACCACGTCTTCCAAATCTTTTCTCAGCGTCGGCTCACCCCCGGTGAGCCGCACTTTATCCACCCCAGCCGCGGCAAATATTTTAACCACCCTCCCGATCTCATCCGCGGTGAGCAACTCATCCTTCGCCGTCAAATCCACGCCGTCCTCGGGCATGCAATACCCGCACCGCAGGTTGCACTTTTCCGTCAAGCTGATGCGCAGGTAATTATGCCCTCGCCCGAACGCATCCACGAGTTCCGGCGCGACGTTCGCCGTTCGCGACGTCATCGCGCGCGCGGCGACTCGCGGATCGATTCGCGCCCTCGCCCGCGCGCCCTCGCCCGCGCGCGTCGGTTCCTCCACCGCTCGCCGCGGTGCACTTTTTGTCCCGAGCGCGCTCACCGCGTCCTCGCGCGCGCGTTCGACGCCCTGATCGCCGCGCGCGATCGCCGCGAGCGTCGCGCTCGCGCGCCGCGCGCCCGGGCGCGTCCACGCGCCGCGCGCGAGCGACATCCTCTGACGTCGCTTCGCGTCGTTTCGCCCTGTCGACCGGACCGCACCGCGCGTCACTCCGTCGCGCGCGCTCGCGATGTCGCGCGCGCTCGAGGACGACCACGGCTCGTTCGCCGTGATAGATCTCGTCGCGCACCTGTACCGCGGCGGCGCGGAAGATCGAGGCGCGCTCGCGAAGATTTGGTCGCGGTACAGCGATGCGACGGTTTCAGAGCGGAAGACGACAGGTTTCGAGATGGTGCGCATGCATCACGCGACGCTGACGAGGATGTTTCGAGACGGTGCGTGCGACACGCTCAATTTTCGCGAGCGCGACGCGCGTCGGGACCGAGGGCGCGCGGTCGAGGGACGGGACGCAAAACGGCGCGAGACGGGACGACGACGAGGACGGGCGAGCGGGACGCGACGGACCGACTGACGACGACGACGCGTTCGAACGCGAAAAGACCCGGATGGGGATTACTTAGATATCGAAGACGTGCGCATGACGTGGGAAGAGTTCGTGGACGCGCTGAGAGACGCCACGGGGGCGTCGGCGGATGAACCGGCGTCGCCGGAGAACGCGAAGTCGTACGACGCGCTCGAACGACCGGTGATGCAAAGAAATCAATCGTTCTCGAACTTGGCGAAGGATTTGGAGGAAGTCATCGCCGCCGCGCGCTCGCCCGGGACGAGCGCGGACAACACGCCCGAAGGTTCGACGCGTGGGATTCAGAGAATTTCATCCTCTGGGATGCTTTTGGGCATCGGCTGCTCGAGCCGCGAACCGTCGCTTCGAGGCGGCAACGCGTTTCACGCGGGCATGACCGTGCGCTCGGAAGATTTGAAGAGTCGCCTCGAGAAGAACGCGACGCAGTGATCGTTTCCGCGAAATGCGCCGCATCAATACGCGTAATACGTCAATATAATCTATTGTACCTCGCTCCCGCGCCGAAAAGCGCAGCCAAAAGTCGCTTCGCCCCACAAGTCGTCGGCGTCGACGCGCGCGCGTCATGCCCGCCGAAACCGAAACCGCGCGCAAGTACCACATCGTCGGCGACTACGCCACCGCGCTGAACCCTCGAAACGACGCGCGAAGCGTGGAAAAATACGCGCGACACTTGGTGCTGCGTCCCCACGGCGCGCGCATCCAACGCGCGCTGTGCGCCGCGCGCGTCCTCGTCGTCGGCTGCGGTGGCCTCGGGTGCCCGTGCGCGATATATCTCGCCGCCTCGGGCGTGGGAACGCTCGGATTGTGCGACGCGGACGCGGTGGAGCTGAGCAACTTGCATCGACAGGTGGGACACTCGACGGCGGCGACCGGGACGTCGAAGGCGAAGTCGTTGGCGGCGCGGTGCGAGGGATTGAACGATGGCGTTCGAGTCGTGGTGCGAGAAACGTTCGCGACGACGGAAAATGTGATGGAACTTGTGGCGGGGTACGACTTGGTGTGCGATTGTAGCGATAATCCGAGGACGAGGTATTTGTTGTCGGACGCGTGCGCGAGCGCGGAGATTCCGCTCGTGAGCGCGGCGTGCGTGGGATTTGAAGGGCAGCTCACGGTGCTGTGTGGCACGCGAGCGTGGAATGATGACGATGAATCGTTTGGGGAGTTTGCGCCCGCACCGTGTTATCGATGTTTGTTTCCGACGCCGCCGGCGTCGGGAGACGCCGGGACGTGCGGGGCGTCTGGCGTGCTCGGACCGCTGCCTGGCATCGTGGGTACTTTTCAAGCGCTCGAGGCCATGAAAACGCTGGCTGGGGTAGGGGAGTCCATGCGAGGAAAAATGTTAACGTTCGACGCGTTGAGCGCGAGACCGACGATGACGTTGAACATGCGGGAACAGCGAGACGCCGCGTGCGCGTGTTGCTCGACGTTGACGTCTCACGACGGACGCTTCGACGTCGCGACGTACGATTACGACGCTTTCTTATCGTCGACGCCGTGTCCGATGCGCGGAAGAAAAGCGAGACGCGGTGGCGTTGATGTGAACGCGCCGCCGAAGTTTGGGGCGCGAGAAATGCCGGAGCGCGGCGGCGGCGGCTGGCGACGCGTGGATGCGAAAGCGGCGACGACGTACGTCAAAGATGAGGGCGTCACCGTAGTCGACGTGCGTCCCAAGCACATGTACGACGCAGCGCACATACCTGGATCTATTTCGTTACCAATAGAAACGCTCGACGTCGAGACGTGGAACGGCGCCGTGGGCGCGGCGGTTGAAGGATACCGTCTGTGCTTCGTGTGCGCGGGAGGCAACAACAGCCAAAGAGCGGCGCAATGGTTCGTGGACGCGAAAGTCGCCACCGCTGCCCCGGCGAGCGTCGTCGACGTTTGTGGCGGTCTCGCCGCGATGCGCGACGCGGGCTACGACGTCCCGAGACTCGATTGATTAAAATTGTTTCAACGCGCGGCGAGCACTTTATTTCTACAACAACACGCCTACGATTCCACGCGCGCTTGCACGATCTCCGGTCGTTCACCCTTGGATTCCGCGGTTTGCATCGTCGCGAGCGCCGCCTCGACGACGCCCTCGGTGAGTTCGCCGCTCGCGCTCATCGCGTCCACCACCTCCTGCGCCTCTTCGGGCGATTGCGAGTTCAGAACTTTGTAGTAATTCGAAAAGTCGCGGCGACGATCGCCCCACCCACGATTCGCCGCCACCACCGTCCACGCCGCGGCTTCTCGCCCTTATCCGACGCGGCGTCGCGCGTCGAGAGCGCGACCTCCGCGACGACGTCCTCTTCCGACCGCCCCTGCGGGCATCCGTTCGCCTCGAGATATCGCAACACGCCCTCGCTCGCGCCGCCCGCGTACTTGACCCAAAAGTCTCTGTCTTTCGCCAACCACGCCGGCACCGGCGACGCGCGCGTCGTCGTCTCGCGCTCCGTCTCCGCCTCCGTCTCCGCCTCCGCCTCCGCCTCCGCCTCCGCGTCGCCCTCGCGCGTCACCACCCCGATCTGAAAATCTCTCAGCTGCGTCCACGCCCGCGCGCTGTGAATCTCCTCGAACTCATCGCTCGCCTCTTTCCCGAGCGCCCGCGCGATCGCCAGCGCCGTCGACACCTGCCCCGCGTTGTTGAATCCCGGGTGCGTCGTCGCGAACGCCGTGATGTCGAACACGCGCTCGCGCACCACGATCCATCCGTCCGCGAGGCGCGCGTGCGCCGCGACGTCCTCGCGCGTGTACTTTCGCCACCTCGCGCGCTCGTCGTCCGTCGGCGCGCGCCGGAGCGCGTCGACGACGGCGAGGTCGACGGCGACGTCGCGCCCGGACGCGTGCATCGTCGCGCCGTTCGAGCGCGGACGACCGGACGCGTCGTCGGCGGCGCGCGGACGCGCGGCCGCGCGCGCGCGGACGCGTCGCGCGTCGCGCGCGCGCGTCGCGCGTCGCGTCGTGGCGCGACGACGTCGACGGGCGCGAAGCGTCACTTTGGTAAAAAAGGAAAAAATGCGTATGGGCAAACAGTATGACGCTTCGGCGACGCTTGGAGATTCCGAAACGACTCGGTCGACGGCTGGCGTCGACGCGACGCGACGCGCACAACGCGGCCCTCGCGCGGTCGACGCGGCGTCGCGAGACTCGAAGCGTCGTCGTCGAGTCATGGCGAACGCCGTCGTCGCGATCGTCGCCGCGGGCGCGGGCGCGTTCGCGGGCAAGCTGCTCGACGGGAAAAAGCGCGAGACGTCGCGAGGCGCGGACGACGCGGACGACGTCGACTTTAAGACGGACGCGAAGTCCAACGTCGATCACGCGGCGGCGGCGAAAAAGCATCAGTACCTGGCGCAGAAGTACCCGGAGGTGGACGAGCGAGACTTGAAGACGCCGGATAATTGGGTGAAGAGGCATCCGTGCGTGCGAGACGCGAGGCGACGCGAACGCGGGACGACGAGGACGCGGCGAACGACGACGGCGCGCGTGACTGACGGTGGTTTGCGTCGATCGTGGTGATAGGAATTTGATTCGTCTGACCGGGAAACACCCGTTTAACGTCGAGGCGTCGCTTCCGGAGTTGTATGATTACGGATTCATCTCGCCGGTGAACTTGCACATCGTGCGGAATCACGGCGCGGTGCCGAAGTGCGATTGGGACACGCACAAGATTAACATTTGTGGCAACGTCCCGAAACCGTTCGAGATCGGTATGGACGAGTTGGTGAAAATGCCGAGCGACACGTTCCCGTGCTTGGTGGTGTGCGCGGGGAACCGTCGGAAGGAACAAAACTTGGTCAAGTCGTCGATTGGGTTCTCGTGGGGGCCGTGCGCCATCGGAAACACGTACTGGACGGGCGTACCGCTGCGAGTGTTGCTCAACAGAGCGGGCATTCATAAGCCCGGTCCGGGTGCGCGATACGTGTGCTTGGCTGGTCCGCAAAACGAATTGCCGAAGGACTACCCCGATCAAGACGGTGGTCCGGGATCGTACGGCACATCCATCGACATGGAAACCGCGCTCGATCCGACGTGCGATGTCATTGTGGCGTACGAACAAAACGGTGCCAAGCTTCACCCAGACCATGGATTCCCAGTGCGGGTGATCATTCCCGGTTACATCGGTGGGCGCATGATAAAGTTTTTGAAGGAGATTAAAGTCACCGACAGAGAGTCAAACAACTTTTATCACTTCAACGATAACCGCGTGTTACCGCCGCCAGTTGACGCTGAGCGCGCGACCGAGGAGGGATGGTGGTTCAAGCCCGAGTTCATCATCAACCAACTCAACATTAACGGTGCCATCGCGTACCCGGCGCCCGAAGAAGTCATTCCCAAGTCGCAAAAGACGTACGCCTTCAAAGGTTACGCCTACTCTGGCGGCGGTCGCAAGGTCATTCGCGCCGAGCTTTCCTTCGATCAAGGCTTGAGCTGGGAATTGAGTGATATTCACACTCGCGAAGAACCGCGATGGGCCGATTTCAGCTCCGGTGACAAGGCCAGGCACTGGTGCTGGTGCATGTGGACTCTCGAAGTGCCGATTGAGAAGCTCCTCGACAAAAAGTGCGTCGAAGTGTGCTTCCGCGCCGTCGATCAATCCATGAACAAAATGGACGAGCGCCCGACGTGGAACGTCATGGGTATGTTGAACAACCCGTGGTACCGCGTCCGCATCCACCACACGCCCACGGGCGACGTTCGCGTGGAGCATCCGTGCATCGCCGGTCCGACCCCCGGCGGCTGGATGCAAAAGATGGCGGCTAAGGAACCCACCGGAGAACTTCTCTGGGGCTGGGGCGGCCAAGGCACGCCGGCCGCGCCCCCGAGAGAAGAATAAATTATTCGTGATGTTTTTCGATTTATTATGACCTCGTGTAAGATTATCACCATCATTCCTTAAGTCTCTCTCTCTTCGCCGTCGACGCTCGGCGTCGACGCTCGCGCGCCTCACACGCAGCCTCGCGTCCGACTTCGCTTCATCCCACGACCGCGCGCGCGATGGATCTCATATTCATCCTCCGTCAATACATCGGCATCGTCCTCTCCATGGCCGCCTTCGCCGGCTTCGCCTTCTGCACCAAACTCGAGCGACGCTTCGACCTCGACCAAACCAAAATCATTCACGTCTCCGTCGGTCTCGCCGTCGTCGGCCTGCTGTTCCACGAACTGCGCCCGTACAAGCGACAGGCTGGATTGACGTTTAGCAAAGAGCAGGCCGAGGAGGAGTGGAAGGCGCGCGAGGAGGAGATCGCCGCGGCGAAGACGAAGAAGAAAAAGTAACTTTTCGACGGCGCGCGCGGGACGCGTCGAGTTCGCCGCTCGAGCGGCGCGGCGCGGCGTCGCGACGCGCGTAGGTTGTAATTCGATTAGCGTCGCGCTCGCGCGCCGCGCGTCCGTCCGCGTCGTCGTCGACGGCGTCCGCGAGGCTTCGGGCGCGACGTCGACCCCGCGCCAAGGGACACGAAGAGGCGCGAGGAGACGGCACTCCGCGCCGCGACGCATGGGATGCGCCGCGTCCTCCGCGAGCGCGTCCGCGCCCGCGAGCGCGCTCGCGCTCGTCGACTTCAACGCGCGATTCGCGGACGAGTACGTCGTGCGGGAGAAAATCGGCGTCGGACAGCAAGGGACGGTGTACCTGTGCGAGGACGCGGAGACCGGGACGACGCGCGCGATGAAGGAGACGCACATCGGGGTGTTCGGCGCGAACGCGAAGCGACGAGAGGCGTACTGCGAGATTGAATTGCTGTCGCAGATGCGACATCCGAACGTGGTGAGGATGGTGAAGGCGTACCAGACGAGCGCGGAGGTGCAGGTGGTCATGGAACACGCCGGGCGAGACACGTTGTTGACGTACCTCGTCGCTCTGGACGACGCCGAGGGGATGACGGAGGAAGAAAAGATGCACATTAAACATGAATTGATTCGGCAGTTGGTGGACGCGGTCGCGCACGTGCACTCGAGGGATGTGGTGTTTCGGGATTTGAAGCACGAAAACGTCATGGTCACGAGCGACGACGATTTGAGAAACGCGCAGATTAAGCTCGTTGATTTCGGTCGCGCGGCGTCGCTGCGCCGGGAAGATCGACTGAATAATCAGCCACCTCTCGGGACGTCGTTATTTCAAGCGCCCGAAGTAGAAGAGCGTCGAGAGTATGGACAAGCGGCGGATATGTGGGCCGTCGGCGTCTTCGTTTACTTTTTAGTCACGGGGCAGATGCCGTTCGAGCACACCGTGGCGGGGCTTTACAAGGTGCTGCGAGGAGAATATGAACCCATGGAAGAGTCAATAAATAAGCACGCGCGCAATTTGGTGGCTAAGCTTCTCGTGCTCGACCCGGCGAAACGAATCAACGCTGCTCAAGCGAGCACGCATCGATTCTTGCGGCAGAGAAACGCCGCGCACGTGCACGTCGGCGAGGGCGACGCGCTCAGAGTGCCGAAACACATGGAAAAAGCGGCAAAGAGACAACTCCGAGCGCTCGTGATGCAGGACAGTCTGGAGCTGCACACGGTGGGATTGCTCGCGGAGAAGCTCACGCCCGAGGATTTGAAGACGCTTCGGCGTTGGTTACGCATGAAGGCGGAAATGTCTGTGCGCGGAGGAGTGGCGAACGCGCGCGAAAAAAATGCATCTCATAGTATCTCTCAGCGACAGTCTCCGGATGCTTCAATCCGAGCGGGTCACACGTACACCGACGAACTCCAGGCACACGTGGCGCTCAACGCGTTGTACAATGAAATGACGAAGGATCAAGGGAGTGAGTCCAACAGTAGAGAAGTGAGCTTCCATGGCGGCGCACTTACGAAAACGCAGTCGTACCAGAAGCTCACGGAAGCACTGGAAAATTTAGAAGAAATGAGTTCTGGTGACGAAGCCGATGTGCACAGGCCGTCTCCGCCAAAGAAGATTAGCAAAAGCTCGCTGAGCGACGCCGCGCGGCAAGAGTCCGCACAAAAGACTACTGGCACGAGTGATATCGCTACAAGCCGCAGTTTCGTCGGCTACGCGCATCAGAGCGGAATGTGTACGGTGGATGAGCTCATCACTGCTTGCATTAGCGCTGGCCTTCAATCCGTGGCGGACGAGTTGCAAACCGTTCGCGACGATTTGAAAAAAGAACGCTTGGCGAAGCTCGCGGCGACGGGCGCGGATACGCAGACGCAGAACGAGAGCGTCCTTCTCGACATCATGCTCTTCAGATACGAAGACTTACTTGCGAAGGTCGAGAACGCGCACTTAGACCAAGTAAAGGACTGGTCAGTTCGAGCGGGAGTGATGGAGAACGGGCTGTAGTTAATATGTATGATTTCGAAATGAATCACAACACGACGAAGCTAAGCGCTAACACTCTTTTTTGTTTTTTCGATGTTTTTGCTTTGTAATGTACTCTCACGCTCTCACATGTAGCGCGGCCCGTACGCCGACGGCGAGTTTGGATCCATGCGCGCTCCCCATTGGAACTCCGTCATCAGACAGACGTGGTCACTCGACCACTGCGTATTGGGTAAACCACCATACTTGGCGCGAACCTCGCGCTCACCGGGAAGTTCAAGTAAACTCACCGGCGCGAGGGCGTCTTCGGTATAGAAGACGTAATCCAGCGCACCGTTGAAGTCTTTGGTGCAATTGGTGAACAACGGCTCGCCGATGACGTCCACACGGTCGCGCTGGCGCTCCAGCGCCTCTGAATCCAAACATGGTTTATGCAAGTTAGTGTACGCCGACACGAGCGGAAGCGGGTGCGATAACTTCGTAGACGGTTGCAAGATTCCAAAAGGATCGATGCCAAGTTCTGGGTGGTCCGCGGGAACGCGACCGTTCGACAGGAGCGAGTGCGCCGCCGATCCTGGAACCGAGTTGAAATCTCCGCACACCACCATGGGAATTTCCGCAGACGTCGCAATCTTTTCCAAACCCTTGAGCAACGTGTGAACCTGCCATAACTTAACGTCGTTGTGCTCGGTGTTGGCATGAATGTGCGTATTCGCCACGCATAGCAACTGCCGTTTCCCTTGCAACAGTTGCTGGTCCACGTCCAACGCCTCGAGGACGACGATGAGAGCGATGTTATCCTTCATCAACCGGTTTAGCGCATCCTTCTTCTGCGTCGCTCCGCCGAGAGACTCGACCAGACTCAGCGCAGCCTTATTGAATTCTACCTCGTACTTCTTAATCAACGCAAACTTGTCCTTCTTGAAGAAGATGGCGCAGCCGTCGATGACAAATTTCCCTTCACTGAACACTTGCGCCGTCTTCTTCTTGTAAACTGAAGCGTAACCGTACTTGGCCATTTCACCTTGAAAAAAGTCCTCGTAGTGGTCGGATTGCACTTCCTGCAAGCAAAGAATATCTGCATTGTAGTTGACAATCTCCTTCAAGATGTTCTGTCGGCGGTACGCCCACGCCAACGCCCAGTCGGGGACGTACCCGTACATGTCGCTGTTACAGTATAGATCAGCAAGCACGTTGTACGTCGCCACCGTGAAAGTGCGAGGTTCTGGAGTGCTATTGTGCGAAATCTTCACCAAATTCCTTCTCGGTGGCTCCGGCGCTGGAATCACTCTGCCGGTTATCACATTTTGCGGCTGCGCTTGCTCGTTCCCACTCTTCGCGTCCACGGGTACGACTTCCAACTTCAACACGTGCCCGACGTCATCCGCGCTCACCGTATAGTTCCTCGTCTGACAAACTTCAATCCAAGGCTCCACTCGTTTCTTCTCATCGGGTTTGTCCTCTGCCCGCTCCGCCTTTGCCGCCTTCCATCCATCGACGTCATCCTTCGGAGACGCTCGATCCGCCTTGGTCGGGAATGGCTCCCCATTCGCGATCCGGTTACGATTCCACTCTCGCCACGCGTGCTTGAAGCATTCGGAATCGCAGTGATACGTGCGCGTCGCTATATTCAGAAGCGTAGCCTGTTCCGCCGGGTGCACCGAGCACACGTTCATTTTCGTCTTCTTCCCCGACCGAAACCATCGATACCGCACGTAACTCCCCTCGTGCGCGTTCTCCTTACCGATATCCTCCGTCGTCGACGTCCCATCGCTCTTACGCGTCACGATATACGGCGCGAGCTCCACGCCGACGATGGGCGTGTCGGTGTTCAGCGTCGCCCTCGTCACGGTCAAACTCATGCCGACGACTCCACCCCACGATCCGCACCAGCACCACCCTCGACGCCCTCAATCGATCGTCCAACGCCCTCAGCGCGCCCTCGACCCCCCCCCGCGTCCGCTCGCGTCCTCTTCCTCGCGCGTTTCGCGTGATTTCCGTTCGAAATGTCGATCTTCCCCGGCGATTACCCGCGCTCGATCGCCGTCCCGCGTCGCGCGCGCGCGTTTTCGCGTCGCGCGCGCCGCGTTCCCGACGACGGCTTCGTCGCCCGCGCCGCGACGCGCTTCGCGCGCCCGCGGGCGTCTCGGCGCGGCGTTCTGCGCGCGTTTCGGCGTCGCGCGGCGGCGTCGATCCCTCGCGCGCGCGAAATCACCCCCGGTCGGCGACATCGACGTCGCCGACGGGGGGTTTTCTTCGCGAAAACGAAACGACGATTCGCGTCGTCGCGTCGCGTCGCGTCGCGTCGCGCGCGACCGAACCGCGCGCCGCAGCGCGCGACGCGCGACGGCGCGCGGCGCGATCCTCGAGACGGCGAACGCGCGCGCGATCGCGCCCGGCGTCGTCGTCGCGGCGGCGCGACGGCGCGCGACGCCGAGGCGAACGACCCGAAGGCGCGTCACATGACGGTGAAACAGCGACCTCGGACGGGAGGGCGCGCGACGGCGCGCGAGGACGGCGCGCGCGAGGCGAACGAGGAAGCGCGAGCGCGCGCGAGCGGACGCGCGGCGCGAAGCGCGACGATCGGGAGTGGGTTGGCGTTGGCGTTGTGGTGGGCGTCGTCGCCTCGGTGGTGGACGGCGACGCGGGACGAAGGGAAACCGGCGGTGGACGCGCGCGCGGCGGCGTACGCGTTCGGGACGTCGACGGAGGCGATTTCGGGGTGGTCGCTGCGTGATGTCGCAGAATTTCTGGCGATGAGCGATGCGCGATGGTTGGGGTCGACGGTGGAGGCGACGGAGGCGGTTTCGCGAGACGACGGGCGAAAGCGCGTCGCGCGTCGCGCCGACGGGTTCGCGCGATTCGTCGCGACGCATCATAAAACTGGTACGGCGCTGATGCACGACGTGTTTTCGACGATCGCAAATAGATCGTCTCCGCCGTACACGTTCTTTGACGTGCGAGCGTTCGAAGACGCGGAGCTTGTGGTCAACGAGGTCACGGGGAAGGGACTCGAGCGCGCGGCGCGACGGCGATTCAGGGAAGCGGATATCGTGTTGGATTACCATTTCGGCAAGTCTTTGCCGGCTTTCATCGAGCAGAACGAAACCACGCGACTGCTACAATCCATGATTTCGGTGTCGAACGCCCGCGAATACAGAATTGTGCACGTCGTACGCGATCCGCTCGACGTCCTCGTGAGCGGTTTGGCGTATCACGCGCGATCGCCAAACGACGAACGGTGGCTCTCTCGCGCGCGAGTCGCCGAGCTTTCGTACGCGGAATTCCTCAAAACTGCGAGCCCAAAAGATGCAATTGCGGCGGAGATGTCGTTTTCGGACGACGAAATACGTATGCTCGCGCTGACTTACGTACAGTGCGAGCGAAATCGCGACACGTGCTTGAACTTGAGATTGGAGGCGTTCGAACGTAATTTCGATCGCACGCTCGAGCGTGCGCTTCGGTTTCTTCGATTTCCCTCGCAGAACATCACGTCGATGATTCAAATTGCCAGCGTGCACGACGTCAGCAAGTGGTCGGAGGATGAGTTACGGAAAAACGAACATTACACGAAGCGCATCGATAGGCGGCCGTATTACGAAGCCGCGCGCGAAGACGATGACATATGGCGAACGATCACCGCGCTTCGACGCGCGATGGGGTACGACGCGACCTCGTAGATTTCGTCGTCGCAAGTGGTAAACAAACAAGCGCTGTGTAATAATTACGAAACGGTCCTTCTTCTATTGACGATCGAATGCGTCGAGGCGACCTCGTAGATTTTGTCGTCGCCGCGCTCAGGGGAGCCCTGCTTCGGGGATAGGAATGCCGTTTGGAGACGCGTTCTCCTTGATCCATGGGTGATCTAGCAATCGGCTGAGCGGTATGCGCGACGCTGGCTCCTTGACGAGCAAGCTTCGAATGAGGTCCTTGGCGTTTTCGCTAATATACGACGGAAATTGTAAGTCCACTCGCAAGATGCGCTTGTACGTCTCGCTGTGCCCTTCGGCTTCAAACGGCGGCGTTCCGACCAAGAACTCGTACGCCAATACGCCCAGCGACCACACATCGACGGCGTAATCGTGGTCGCGACCTTCCACCATTTCTGGTGGCAAGTAATCCAGCGTACCGCAGAGCGTCTGTCTTCGACTGTTCGGCGCGTGCACCGACCAACCGAAATCCGCGATTTTCAATTCGCCCTTGATGCCGACGAGCAAGTTTTCCGGCTTGATGTCTCGATGGATGACGTGCTTCTTGTGACAATAGATCAGCGCCCGAGCCAAAGAGGCGATATAAGTCGCACTTCGCCGCTCGCTAAACCGTTTTTGACGCTGCAACTCCTTGTACAACTCTCCCATCGCCGCGTACTCCAAAATCAAAAACACGCGCGTGTTGTCGTAAAAGTATCCGTACAGACGCAAAATATTCGGGTGTCTCAGGTGCGACTGAATCTCAATCTCCCGTCGCAACTGGTGTTCGACGTGCGACGCGCACAGCTGCGTCTTGTGCAACACCTTCAGCGCGACGATGTACTTACTCTTCTTCTCCCGCGCCAAGTACACCGAACCAAACTTGCCCTTCCCGAGCGGTTTACCGATGTCAAAATCTTCCAACTTCCACTCCTTCCCCGCCTGCGCCGCGCCATCCCGCCCGTCCCCTCCGACGTTCCCGATCCGTTCGTTCCCGAGCCCGAGCCCGAGCCCCTCTCCCGGCGTCCCTCTCGCGCCTCTCGGCGTCTTCCCGCTCGCCGTCGCGTCCCCCCGCGCGCCTCTCCCGCCCGTCCCGACGCCTTCGTTCTCCTTCTCCATCCTCATCGACGCGTCCGATCGCGCGCGCGCGCGTCCTCGTCCTCGCTCTTCGCGTCCTCGTCCTCGCGCGTCGCTCTTCGCGCTTCGCCTCGCGCCTCCGCGTCGCGTCGGGGGGACGAACGCGTCGAGCCGTTGGACTTTAAACGACACTCGCGTCGCCCGTTCGGCGCCGCGCGTCGCCGTCCCGCGTCTCCGGTCCGCCGCGCGCTCGTGCCGACGACGCGCGTCTCTTCCGCGCCGTTCGCCGCGATCCGGCGCGTCGGCGCGTCGCGTCGCGTCGTCGTGTGCCGCGTCGGCGCGTCGGCGCGGACGCCCGCGATGCGATGAAAACACGCGCCGGACTGTTTGCGCATACGTATATACGGAAACACACGTCGTACTGTTTGCGCATACGAATACGACGCGAGGCGCGAAAGCCATCCACCGCGCGCGCGCGCGCGTCGTCACTCGCCGCCGCGCGCTCGGACCGCGCGCGACGCGCGACGCGCGCGCGCGCATGTCCACCGCGTAGCGCCATGCGCGAGATCACCGCGGACGAGGCCGCGACGGCGACGAAGCGCGGCGCGCCGTTGGTCAAGCTGTGCCGACGCGGGGCGCCGCACGTCGTCTTCGCGCAGGCGCGCGCGGACGCGCTCACGTGGGTCGGCAGGCGCGAGCGCGAGAAACGGATCGCGTTCGCGCGCGTCGAGCGCGTGCTGCGAGGGAAACACACGGAGAATTTTCGACGGAAGGGTGGGCGGGCGCGGGACGACGCGCGATGCTTTTCGATCGTGTACGACGAGGGACGAGGAAGCGAGAGAAAGCGGACGTGGGACGCGGAGTGCGAGAGCGAAAGTCAGAGAGATGCGTGGGCGCTCGCGGTGGAGCTCGCGGCGCGCGCGGCGAGGGAGGAGGAGGATGAGGGAACGCGACGAGGGAACGCGAGCTCGAGCGGCGGCGGCGCGAGCGCGGAGGGGGAAGAGAGCGCGAGCGGGGGTGGGATCGGGACGGCGGTGACGGTGGCGCGCGCGGTTGGAAAGTTTAAGCAGCGAGGAATGCGTTCGCCGTCGTTGAGGGAGCGGGAGGAGAGGTTGGTGGACGGCGCGACGGACGCGTTCGGCGAGGCGATTCCGAGCGAGGTGTACGCGTGGGGATGGGAAGCGGACGTCACGCGCGAGAGCGCGGCGGCGAGCGCGGCCGGTGGTGGATTCGCGACGAAAACGGCGCGTTGGCGGCGCGTGGACACGCCGCGCGTGCTCGAGGGAACGGATACTTTGGACGTCGTGGAAATAGCCATCGGCGCGCGGCACGGTTTGGCGCGCACGCGCGCCGGCGCCGTGTATTCCTGGGGTGAGGGCGCGGGCGGTAAGCTCGGACTTCCGTCCGCTCAAGACGCAGAGATGCCCACGCGCGTTGAGCTCGACGGTCGCGCCGTGACGCTGGCGTGTGGAGTCGCGCACTCGCTCGCCGTGGTGCGAGACGCGGACGCGTCTTCAGACGGAGACGGCGGCGACGCGTGCGTTTGGGGCGATCCGAACGCGGCACCGGGGCTGCTCGGGCGCCCGGAAGCGCGCGCCGTGACGTTTTTCCCGGGTAAAATATCTTTCGCGATGGATTCAATTTCCGCGGGGGGTGGCGTGAAGGTGGTACAAGTGTCTTGCGGACCGTGTCACACGGCGTGCGTGACGGAGACGGGTGCGTGTTTCACGTGGGGAGAGGGTTCGTTCTACGCCCTCGGCCACGGTGATCGAGAGTGCCAGCGCGCTCCCCGGGAATTAGAGACATTTCGCCGCGATAACCGCGTCGTGCTTCGCGTAGCGTGCGGCGTCTGGCATACGGCTGCAATCGTCGCCGCCGTGGGAAACACGATTCGCAAAGTGCCCGTCGTCGCGGACGACGACGAATTCGACACCGTGGATGGAGAGTTGTTCACCTGGGGCGACGGAGAAAGCGGTCAACTCGGTATACGTGGCGTCGAAGAAGCATCCGTGCCCACGGCGACTTCAGACCAGTTAGGAAAGCCAGGTAGCGAAGTCTGCAACGTGAGCTGCGGACAGCATCACACCGTCGCGTTGACTTCAAAGGGTGACGTGTGGCTCGCCGGGTGCGTGGGCAAAGTAGATAATTCCCTCCGCGTCAAAGTGTTTACGCGATTACCGAATTTCGAAACAGGATCTGTGAGTGCGGTAGAGAGCGGCGATAATCACGTCGTCGCCGCGACACGAGATGGACGAGTCTTCTCGTGGGGCGTCGGTAAAAACGGAAGGCTCGGTCACGGCAAAAACGACCGTGACAAAGCCGCTCCAGAAGAGATTGAGTCTTTGCGCGGGCGCACCGTTCTGAGAATAGCGTGCGGCCCGACGTCGAGCGCTTGTGTACTCAAACCAGCTCGCATGACGACCAAGCAAAAAGCGAGCATGGTGCGTTTGTCCACGTTTTCCCTGAAGCAAGCGATTTCGTCGTTCAGAGCAGACGACACTTCAACGCGAGCTCTCGAACGAAGAGATGGCGACGGTAGCAACGTAGATACCGGCTCAACGTCCTCGTATAGCACGAAACGAGATCAACGAAGTAGTGGTACCAGATCGCGCAACGGTGGCCGCGGTAGTCAAGGCTTGCGAAACGAAAAGCAAGCGCATCGAATCATGAGCGTGCTGAGCCCGACGTTTGAGAACATAGCGAAAACGTCGAATCGAATCGCCGGCGGCGAAACCACGAAAGCCACACCTCAGTCATCGCATCGTATGACACCCGCGTCGCCGAACGCAGTCTTGGCGCAAGCAGTGCAACCGATGAAGTTGGAGTTCCGTAACTCGATCCGAGTCGAGGAAGTTGTCCTTCCTGAGACGCCCGCGTCGCCTGCGATTGAACCGGCGCCGTCCCCGCCGCAGATCGAGAGGGAGCCGCCGCCGACTGAACCGCCGCCAGCACCATCACCAGTAACGTCTAGCGACCATATGCGCGACGTTGACGTCGATAAATACTTCATGGACCGCGCGCGCCGCACCGCAAATGAGGCAGAAGCGCAGCTCATACGCCTCGCGGAAGAAGAGGCCGTGTTGGAGCGCGCGATGCAAGCTGCCATCGCCACCAAGTCAAAGGTGGTCAGAAACGCTCCTCCGCAGTCGCCTTCGAAGGCGACGCGAACGGTGATCGCTAATGTTGGTCGGAGTGCCATGCGACGTGCGGATTGCGCGAGCATTCCAATCGGTGAAGCGCGCGAATGGATCGACGAGGTTGAAAACGGCGTATTCATGACGCTGCGAACGCACGGCGATCGCACGATTCTCAAACGTGTGCGCTTCAGCAAGCGCATATTTAGCAACGAATTAGCCAAACAGTGGTGGGAGGAAAACAAAGAGCGCGTTATACGCGAAAACGATCTCACCATTCTCGCGCCTGCTTAAAACATTGGAAATGAAATTCGTCTGTATTCTACGATCAACTGCTGTGCTATTCTCCTAGTCGTCCGATTCTCGATCGGGCATCCACGACACTATGACGTACAAAAACGCCAAAAAGTCGTACAACGTGTGCGTAAACATCGCACTCCCTAACCCGTCGCGCACACTCTCGATCGAAAACAAAACGCTCGCCCACGTGGCCCACACCGCGTACTGCGGCGTGATGGCGTGCAGCGCGCCGAAAACCAGCGAAGTGCTCGCCAACGACCCCATCGCCGCGACGTCTGCGCCCGCCCCGAGCCCTTCCAACCGCGCGTCAACCCATGGCATGAGAAAGCCACGGAACAGCGCTTCCTCACCCACACCCGCGCCGCAACTCAGCGCCAAAATCCCGAGCACGCCGAGCGGCGCCACCGCCGGGAGCACGCTCTCCTCAAACATTTTCCTCACCTCTCGTAAATACTCGTACTTGTCGCTCTGCGTCACCGCGAACGACAGCGATGCTAACAGAGGTATCATGTACAGCGCCGCCGCGTCGACGTTGAACGCGGCGACGCCGTCGATGACGTCCGGGTGCACGTCCGCGAACTGCGTCAATACTTGTGAGCCCACCGCCATGCCGGCGTAAAACGCCACCGACGCGCGAAGAAATCCGCGCGAGTCGATCGCTCCGGTTCGCGCGTTTACCGAACCGTCGCTCAGAGGCCCTTGATCGTCCGTGGACGACCGCGCGGCGACGAAACCATCGCGCGAGGCGCGAGGGAGGGCGAAACGGATAGACAGGGACGGCGTCGTCGTCGTCGCGCTGCGCGACGCGAGACGCGGCGAGCGGCGCGAACGCGACGTGGACGCGCGCTCGACGCCGGCGCGCGCGCGCGCGGGAGCGAGGGCGACGCGCATCGCGCGCTGAAAAGTGTGGTGGCGTCGCGCTCCGTACTACATGGTGCTTTCGCGCGCGCGTCACGTCTTCTTGGGCTTGCCCACGGTCAACAGCTCGGCGCCTAAGAATTTCACCGATTCCGCGACGCCGATGGCATCGCCCGAACCAACCTTGATCAAACCACCGCGAAAGTGGTCGTAGCCAGCGTCGGCGCCTAAATCGCGCTCCGCCGCCGCGCGCGTCACGTGACTGTCCACCACCGCGAGCGTGCACTTTTCGCTTCGAATCGCGTCGAGCGTCGCGGCACACATCGCCTCGCGCGCCGCCGCACCGTCGGCGGCGCTTCCGATCGTCGGCGGAAGCACTAAACGCGCGCCCGCCGCGAAGGCGGCCAACGCGCCGAATCCAAAGCCCATCGCGTGCCCGAGCGGCACCGGCACGCACACCGAATCCGTCTCCCTAATCTCCAACGCCCGCACCGCGCGCGTCGCCGCGTCCGCGAACGTCATCCCTCCCACCGGCGCGTCCGCGCCACCGAAATAATACATCGCATCGTTCGCCGTCTCCATCGCGTCGCTCGCCGTCTCGCCGTTCGCGTACGCCGCGCGCAGCACCTCCCACAAGATTACTTTATCCCGCACCGTCCCACCGCCCACCGCGATCGGTTCGTGCGCCCCGATCAGCCCTCCCGCCGTCTCCGCGTCTTCGCGTCTCACCATCGTCCCGCGCGTGCGTCCATCGCCGAACGTCTCCCGCAAATCATCCGTCGCCCTCGCGCCTCGCGCGCTCGTCCCCGCGAGCGCCGTCCCCAGGTACGCCACCACGCTCTCTCGCGCGTTCCCCGTCCCGACGCCCAGCGGTCTCGACGACGCGTCGTATCCGAGGTCTTCCAGCGCGCGCGCGAACGTCAGCGCGCGATCGAGCAGTTCGCCGTACGTCCACTCGTCGCGCGCGCGCGTCCCGCTCGCGCCCGTCGTCGTCACCGCCGCGCGCTCGGCGTCCGCGCGTCGCAGCGCGTCGCGCGCGAAGCGTCCGAGCGTGTCCCGCGTCGCGCCGTTCGCGAGCCGTCGCGCGCGCATCGTCGACGCGTCGTCGGTCGCGTCTCGAAGTGCGCGCGTCGCCATTCGTCGTCGCGTCGCCATTCGTCGACGCGATGGCGCCGTCGCACGCGTACCTCGACCTCGACGTCGACGGACACCGAGAGAAACACGCGCGCGCGCGCGCCTTCGTCGCGGCGACGAACCTGCGGTACGGGTTCGACGGCGACGACCTCGACGGATTGGGCGGCGCGCAGCGGAGTCGAATCGTCGAGCTGTACGAGGCGGATCGCGAGTGGGGCGCGCGCGGGGCGATTCGAATCGACGCGCCGACGCGCGAGCGCGTGGTGTTTGAACTGTTCGACGCGAAGAGCGCGCGGGCGTGCGAGAATTTTCGAGCGCTGTGCGAGGGAATGGGGACGTCGAGAGCGACGGGGCGGCGGCGGACGTACGAGGGGAGTCGAATGCATCGGTGCGTGAGGAATTTTATGATGCAGGGCGGCGATTACACGCACGGGAACGGGGCGGGGGGGGAATCGATTTGGGGGAAGAAGTTTAAGGACGACGCGGGAGGGTTGAAGCTGAAGCACGATGCGATGGGCGTGCTTTCGATGAGCAACACGGGGAAGAATTCGAATTCGAGCCAATTTTTCGTCACGCTCGGAGCGTGTAAGCATTTGGACGGGAAACACGTGGTGTTCGGGAAATGCGTGCGCGGGATGGACGTACTGGAGAGAATTAACGATGAGTGCGCGGTAGACGCGGGCGGGACGTCGGAGGAACCGAAGGTGCCCGTCGTCGTCGCGGGGTGCGGCGTTCTCGACGCGCTCGATTAGAGAGGAATTCTAGCACATGTACTGTACGTTACAATCTAAGGCGGGGATTCTTCCGTTTCTTTGAGAAGGCCCAGTGCATCGGGCGTTAGCTCCGAGTCGATCGCGCTCGCTTTACCCCACATCTTGCCCCACAGCGGATCGTCTCTCGGGACGATTTCGCTCGCGCAGAGGACGAGGAGAACATTCTTTATGGCTTCAGGGATCGCGTCCACGAGTTCCTCCGTCTTGGCGTGCTTGCGCAGTAAAGACGTAGCGTCTAAAATGGCGAGCAGGACGCTCGCAAACGCCGCAGCGTCTTCGTTTCGCATCTTTGAGCCGTATTGGAGCAACGTCTTTGATACGCAAGAAACCGCGATGCGCGCCGTGTTTTCTGCGGCGCCACCATCTTTGGCGCGCGTCTTGCGTACGGTTTCCGTCAGCTCCTGGAGCATCGTCAGCAAAACCGCATCAAACGTGGTAAGCCACAAGTCGCCGCCGGCGTCGAGCGATTCAGCGCCGAGCAACACGCGTTGCAACGTTAAAATCGCGTCATCGCGCACCATGGCGCGCGTATCTTCAAAGCTAATGCGACCGAGTTCGCGGACTAAATCGCCCCAAGCGCCGGCTATAATTTCAGCTTTTGCCTCATCAGTCACGGATGCGCTCGTTGCCCACGCGCACATCGCCATGTTTGCGTCCGAGAGCAATTGCAACGCGGCGACGCTTCGTTCGTCACCACCTTGCTCGCTGTCGACAAACGCGCTCGCCGCTTCGAGGCACGATCTCACGTTCGCGGCGTTCACTTTCGCCGCCTCTCGCATGATTCGCGTGAGTCCTGCAAATCCTGTTTCCGCAGCCTCCGCATGTCTCGCGCTCGCCATGAGAAGCTTGCACACCGTGTCCCAACTCTGTCGCGTTTTAATCTTGTCCGCGCCGTTGCTGATCAAAGAATCGATTTCGGCAACGATGCGGCCGAAGAACGCGTCTGCGACCGCGGGTTTGAGCGTGAACAAAACGGGCAGCGCATCTAACAAATCGTCGGCGACGTCCTCGTCGGTAGGAATCAGCTTGGCACACATTCGAATCAAGTCAAAAATGACGATTTCACACGCCGGTGACGGGCTCTCTGACGCTTGGAGAACGGCTCTGAGGTAGCTCAATAGTATGGGTAAAACGGCACGAATACGGTCGCAATTGCGCAAAGTCACCATAAACATGGCGTCGAGACAAAAGAGCGCGGCGTCTTCGTCATCTGCGGTGGCGGCGACGAGTCCGGGGTCCCCCGCGGCCCAAATTAGTGCTCGCATCAGATGTGTCAATGACTCGAGCTCCAAGAACTTTGTGTCGGCGAAAAGTTCTTTCACGCGACACGCTGTCGCACACGCCGTGGCAAGTTCCTCTATGCTCTGCTCCGCCTCGGACGGCGGTGGTAATGGCGAGTCGCGCCCGTCGTCGCCGGAAATCATCGCCGAAAATGACCGCAGCAAAGAAGAACCTTGGTTCCGCTTCGCCGCAGCGATCTCTCGTACTCGCATCGTCTGCATTTCCGATCGATGCGTGAAGTCGGATCCGCTTACAAATATATCCTCTGGAACCAAACCAACCTTAGTCATGCGCAGCACTGTGTCCAGAATATTGCACCATCCTTGACGAAGCGTGTCCCCGTACTTGTGTGCGATGCCAAAAATCGTCCGCGTCGCCGCGCAAGCCTTGATATCCTCACCGAACACCACGAGCGGTCGCAATCGTTCGCCTGACGGCGACATCGCGTCCTTAGCCAAACTTTCATTGGAAAACTTGCATAGCGTGGCGACGAGTTGATCGAGAACTTCAGACATGCCGTGCGCAGCCGCAATGTTTGCCACCGACAGGAAACCTCCGAGGCTTGATTGCAACACTTTATCGTCCGCCGTGTGCTCAAACACGGCCGCAATCGCGGCTGTCGTCGAGCCCCAAACGATGCCGAATAATTCGCCGTCGTACAACGCCGCTTCAGCGAGATTGGGCGTCGGCGGTAGTTTGCCTTGGCCCGCCCCGACGTCGCGCGACAATTCCGCCCATCGGCTTGGCGTCAAGCTCATCGCCCCACCGTCGTCAAGCTTGATCTCGTCCGTGACAATGGAATCGAATATGTTAACCAATACCTCGGCGGGCCAATCATTACCGCCATTTGTTCCGCGATTGTTGCGGATGAACTGTTCGAGCGTCATCTTATTCTTCACCTGCGCATTGTGTTGATCGGTGTTCAGCATAATTATACTGTACGACAGCACGTACGCCGAGTCCGCATCCGCTACGGAGTCCGGGTTCGCTTCATAATAACGCGCAGCAAAACATTCGAGTATGCGAGAAATTTTCTGTGCTTCTCCGGGGAGCTTGAATCCAGACAAAAAGGATCGCAGAGCTCGATCAAGCGTGACATCTCGAAAGTCAAAGAGCTTGGTGTACTCATCCAAAACCGTGATAATGAACGCCGCGGGCTCGCCGAGGTAGTCGCCGACGACTTCCTTATCTAAAGCGGGCGCGAATTTCAAGAATCTCGCCACTGCCGCGGGTTCGAGCGGATCTGCCAAAAGTTTAATCTCTTGCATGAACGCCAAACCCTTCTTGTACGAGCGATTAAAATGTTCCGCCGCGCTCAATAGACGTCGCTTGAAGTATTTAGTCCTTGCACGAGCCTCGAACCGGCTTGGACCAGTGGTATCAGAGCCATCAGACAGCGACCATGGGTCCATGACGACGGTGTTCGCGAATTCGAACGTCGGTCGCGTAGTCGCCGCCGGAGAGCGGTTGGACACAGCTTGCACAATGGACAACAACCCTTCCAAGCTCAACAAATGCACGGGCGCGAGCGTCGCATCTCCTGGATACGATGCTTGCGCCAAAACACTCGTCACCTCTTCAAACACATTAGGCTTTGTGAGCTCGCAATCGTAGTACATGTACAAATCCGTCGCGAAATTGTCGTTCTTGCACAAATCCACGAGCGCCTCGAGTGCGACGCGTTGCGTCTCCTCTTCCACACCATTACGACTCGAGCACAGCGGCAAGAGAACCATGCGAACAAACACTTCTAAGTGTAACTTGAGTTCTTCTCGGAACTCACTGTAAATGATCGTTATGAGAGACGTCGACGCCGCCAACACGTGCGGCGAACACGACGTAACCACTCCGCACAACGCGCGCGAAAGATCATCCAAAACCAAATTCAATAGCGCATGATTCGCTCTGAAGTACTCAGCGTTCGCATCGATCATGATCGTCACGAGTTTTAGCCCAAACAAACTATTCGCATCCTCCGAACCACGACCGTGCGTGTCTGGGGCAATGAGACTCGTGGCGAACCGGAAAATTTCAATCAAAGCGGGCAACCCGTACGGCCCCTTCGCCACATCCGTGTGCTCGTGCGCGGTGACATCCATTCCAGGTCCGGTCGCATGCGGACTATCGACGCCCGCATCGCCTCTCACGACCGCCGGGGGCGTAGCCGGGATCACGATGGCTTGCCTCGGCGACGTCAGTCGCGGTCCCTTCTCCCCCGTCGTCGCCTTTGCCTTTGCCGCGATCTCCCCCGTGCGCCGACTGACGTGATACACGATTTCGCTCAGCGTCTGCTTGCTCAATTCTCTCAACAACGGCGTCTCTTTCCCGCTCTGATGTCCAATACGATAGCACGCCTGAAACACGTCGCACAAATCGTCGTCGCTCAGCGCGTAACCGCAGTCGCATCGCACGCACGCCGCCAGCACATACATAATCTGGCTCAACACCGCATCGTCATCGTCCACACTCGTCGCTTCAAACCTACACAGCGTCACCGCGTCCGCGATGGCGTGCATGATCACCCCTGGGCCACCCGGCGCGTCCCTCGTCGCGACTTCGCTCTTCAAAATCTTCAAGATCGCGCTCAGCGCCTGCGCCGTGATCATCCCTCCCGTCTCCACGCTCCGTATCACGTCCAGAAACGGTTCGAGATATCGCAACGGAGTCATCGCATCGTCCTCTTCCGCGTCTCTCTCTTCGCTTTGCTCGCTCGCGTCGCTCGCGCTCGCTCGATCGCGTCCCCGCGCGCGCGTCCCCGCGTCCGCATCTTGCGTCCGTTCCGGCGGTCGCGCCGTCCGCAGCGCGACGAAGGCGTCCAACAGGGCGTCTTCGACGCCGTCTTCGTCGTACGCGTCGCTCGCGCCGTACAATCCGTACGCGTTGAGCGCGCTCGAGGCGCTCGAGCGACCGCTCCAGCGTTGATGCGCGCGCATCGAGGCGACGACGGCGCGCGCTTCGTGCTTGACGATCGTCGCGAAGCGCGCGGGATCGAACGAGCGATTCGGCGGTGCGTCGACATCGCGCGTCATGTCGGGCGCGCGCGCGCGAGGGCGCGGCGAGTCGGCGTGTGAGGATCGATGGACGCGTCGCGGCAGTCTTGAACATCCAGCGCGCGGCGAGCGGCGACCGCGGCGCGGCGGCTCGATCGGAAACGATGCGCGCGAGCGCGCGGGTCGACGATCGGTTCGTGTGACGCATGATTAATAACGTCTGTGTTCTAGCTATGTGTGCGATGTGCGCGGTCAAGGGTCGATTTCGCCGCGCTCGATGGCGGCTTGTCGCGCGGCGGCGCGCCGCTCGACGTCTTTTCGCGCGAGCTCGTCGGCTTGCGCGCGGAGGTTGGCGTATTCGGGCGGAATGCCGCCGGATTGCTCGAGCCACTTGCGCGCGGCGTCGTCGGGAAGTACGATGGCGACGTCCAAGCGCTCTTCATCGGACATTTGGGTGAGGTAGTGCTCGGCCCAATCCGGAAGCGGGACGCCTTCCTCCGCAGAGGCCATGCTGTGGATTTGGTCCTTGACGAGCCCCCAGAATTTTCCCTTGGAAGGGTCGTCCGACCAAATTGCGCTCATCAAATCGTCCCAATACACTTCTTGCTGTTCACCCCACGCGATGTCCCAAACCCCCATGCCACGATCGCGTGTGATACCAGCCTTTTCGAAGGCTTGCGCAAGCTGGCGACCGCCGATTTCTCGCGCCGTCGCGAGCGACTCCTTGAGCGAAAAGAGCATCTCTCTATTTTTCGGCTCGTGAAGAATCGCCACCGTACGCTGGGCCGCCTTAATCAACGTCTTTCTCACCTCATTGTACACTAATAAATCCAATTCAGGCGATAACTGCCTCATCACCTCGATGTGCTCAGTCTTGCCGACGCGCAGGTAACCTTCTTCGCGCGTAGGTTCGGCGGCGAGGGCGATGGGACCTAAATCACTCCACCCGTTCTGCATCACCATTTCGCACGCCAAATTCGTCGCAGCGGCGACATCGTGCATGCCGCGGGTCGTTACGTTCTCGGGACCGTACAAATAACGCTCCGCCATCTGGCCTGCGAGGAGTACGCACAGCTTGGCTTCGTAATACTCCATGGAGCGCACCGTGCGAGCCGCGGGAGAGTCGACTTCATCCGGCACGTAGACGATTTGACCCGTGGCTACACCACCGTTAAACACCGTCACCTTGCTAATCTCGTCGTACGAAGGCATGTGCATCGCGACCACGGCCTGCGCGGCGTAATAATTCACCACCGAGTCTCGTTCGTACGCGTCGAGTTGCGCGATGAGGGTATCTTCGAGCATTCTATCGCGAGCCAAACTTCCGCTGCCACTTCCGTTGCGAACGAACGCTTGCGATCGTCGAATATCGTCGATGCAAAACAAGAAGTCACCCGTAGACGCGAGCGCCTTCTCGCCTTGCGCACAGCGCATGACGGCCGACTTGGTGAGGTTCTCGATGTCGGCGCCGCTGAAACCGGCAGTTTGTCTGGCGAGGTACTCGTAGTCCAAGTTGGGATCGACACTCGACGCGAACGATGGCTTGTTGCAGTGCAAGAACAAGATTTCTTGACGCGACTTCTTGTTCGGCAGACCCATCTCGATGATGCGATCAAAACGACCGGCACGAATGAGCGCAGGATCGAGTACTTGCGGACGGTTCGTCGCCGCCAACACCATGATGCCCGTGGCGGTCGAGAAACCGTCCATCTCCGTCAGCATTTGATTGATCGTCGCCGTCGCTTCGTCGTTACCGTAAACCTGACCGGATTGTGTCTCAGTACGCTTCGTGCCGACGGCATCGAATTCATCGATGAAGATGATGCACGGCGCAACCTTCTTGGCTTGATCAAACAAGTTGCGAATACGCGCGGCTCCGACGCCGACGAACATCTCCATAAACTCCGTACCAGCGCATGAGAAGAAGGGCACATTTGCCTCGCCCGCGACACAACGAGCGAGCAACGTCTTACCCGTACCGGGCGGACCGCACAAAAGCACGCCTGCGGGAATGCGCGCGCCCATGGAGTTGTACTTTTCGAAATCCTTCAAGTAGGAAATGAGTTCAAACATTTCCGCCTTGACGTTGTCGATGCCGGTGATGTCCTTCAACGTCATCCCTTGGCGAACGTTCGAGTCGTAGTTACGCGTAGTCATGTTACCGAACATGTCTTCCGAGCTATCCTTGTACGTGCCTTCGTAAATAAGCCACGCATAGAACACCATCACCATCGGCGTCAACGCGTTGAACAGGAACGCCGTAATCTCGAGCCAGCGAGGATACTTCTCCATCTCAATCTGAATGACCCCTCCATTACCCGGTCTTTCGGTGACGAGCTTTTTGAACAACACCGGATCGTACGGAAGGTTGCAACCGAACACCTCCTCCGTGTCGTCGATGTAATATCTAATGCTCGTCTCGTTGGCGCGGTACACCACGCGGTTGACGCGCCCGACGTCGAGTAATCTGTGGAACGACGTGTAAGACGTCTCCGTGGGGAATCTATCGGTGCCCATGGTTGAGTACGGATCGCGCAAGTACGCCAAGTTCACGTTGCGCACGAATCGTTCGCCGCGGTTGGAGAAAATCTTCTTGACGGGATTCTTCTTCTCCTGTTCGTACTTTTCGTACCGCTGGATGTCCTTCAAAACCTTTTCCTCCGCCGCGCTCAATTGCCTATTCCTACTCTCGGTGTGCTCACCAGTTTTCAACCCAACGAGTTCTTTCACCCTGTCCGCCATCACCTTCACCTTATCCACCTGTCCTCCCTGTTTGGGGGCCCTACGTTGGTGTTCTAAATTCATTTTTTTCTTCTTCACCGTCCCGCGACGTCGTCGTCGTCTCTGCTTCGTCGGCGCCTCGACGACGCGCGGCTTATCCTCCGCGATCGCGTCGAGCTCTTCCAACAACTTCGCCGTCTCGTCCTCTTCATCCTTGGGATCGGAATCCACCGGCGCGATGTCGATCCCCACCCCCGCCACCTCGCCCACGCACGGCTCGCGCCGCGCGCTCGCCGTCGCCGCGCTCCTCGCCCCCTCCCGCCTCGCCTCGCGCGCCCCAGTCTCCAGCGCGCCCGCCGCTTTCGGCGCGCTCAACATCACCAACGCCGCGATCGCGCCCATCTTCGTCGCCCGCTTCGCGCGCGCCCAGCCGTCGTCCGCGTTCGCGTCCCTCGCCGCGCGTCCCGCGCCGTCGTCGCCGCCGACGCCGCATCGCACCCCTCGTCCCCACCGCGCGCCCGCCTTCGCCCGCGCGACGCGCGCGCGTCGTCGTCCGAGTCCATCCGCGATCGCGCCGCGCGTCGGCGCGATCGTCGCGCCTCGCGCGATCGACATCGCGCGTCCGCGCGCGATCGGTCGAGTAAACCTAAGCCGCGATCGTCGAGCCGCGAATCGCGCGCGCGCGCGTCTCGAGGCGCGTCGAACCCGCGCGCGCGCGTCTCCCGACGCGTTCGCGACCTCGGCGCGCGCTTCGAGCGACCGCGCGTCGCGTCGCGCGCGTCGTCGTGTGCGCGCCGCCGCGCGCGGCGCGAGGGTTCGACGCGCGCTCGAATGATCGCGTTTCGTACGTCGTTTTCGACATACACTAGAGCATTTTAGCGCCATCATTCAAAACGCTCGCGACGCGCGCCGACGCGCGCGCGACGGCGCGACGCGCGGCGACACCGCGACGCGCGACGATGTCGAGCGTCGCGCCGACGCGCGCGCGATGGTCGTCGCGGCGGTTCGCGGGCGACGCGGGACGCGCGCGCGACGCGCGCGCGACGCGACGGCGCGCGCGAGATTTGAACGCGGCGCCGGCGACGCGCGCGGGCGACGGCGACGGCGACGGCGCGGCGCTGGATTTCAACGCGTGCGCGCGCGAGCACGCGCGAGCGTTTCGCGCGACGCCGATGAGCGCGCGACTGACGCGAGAGTTCGGGATGGGGGACTCGGGGACGGACGTGTCGCTCGCGCAGCGGTTGCTCGGGCGGGACGCGAGACGCGCGCACGGCGTGTGCGACCGAGAGACGACGGAGGCGCTGCGCGCGTGGCAGATTTCGCGCGGATTAAAGCCGAGCGGGTTCTTCGGGGCGAGCTCGCGGGCGCAGATGGCGATGGAGGAGGAGCGGTGGCGCGAACTGGGGGGGGGGGCGCTGCTGGAGCGACTTTGGGAGGAGGAGGCGCGCGCGCGGGACGCGAGCGAACGCGCGAACGAACGCGCGGGAGGGAGCGGACGGACGCGCGGCGTGGTGGCGACGTCGACGACGCCGCGCGAAGCGCCGCGCGTCTCGCGCGTCGCGCGCGGCGCGTTGGTGTTGGTGGTCGCGTCGGCGGCTTTGGGCGCGGCGGCGCGTCTGAGAAATCGCGAGCGCTTCGCGGCGTTCGTCGATTCGGCGACGGCGTGGACGCGCGAATCGCGCGCGAAGGTCGCGCTCGACGTCGCGCGCGAGTTTATCGGCGCGTGCGGCGCGCGCGCGCGCGCGCGCTGGACCGAGATCGCCGCAGATTTCGCCGAGCGGCGCCGAGCGCTCGTCCGCGCCGCCGCGACGGCGATTTCTCGCGTTCGATCCGCGGCGGAACGCGTCGCGACGAACGACGCGCTCGACGCCGGCGCACCGCTCGCGGAGGGACACTTCGATGAAAACGGTCGCTGGTGGGAGTCCCCACTGCCCGCGTCCACGCCCAAAGCCGCCGACGCGAGGCCGCGTCCCGCCGAGCCGTCTCCGCGAGGCGGAGCGTCGACGGCTCGCGAGCGCGCCGAGCAAATGCGCGAGCGCTGGGTCAACATCCGTCGCCAACAGGTCGACGTCGGCGCGGACGAGCGTCGAGCGATTGAGCGCGTCTCTAAATTTCTCCGCGACGCCGAATGAGCGCGCGCGCGCGATTTCAATGTACACGCATTCGTCGCCCTCGATTCGCTCCGTCGCCGCGCCTCCGCCGCGCCCGCACTCGACGACGCCATGCTCGGTTTAGACACCTACGGCTCGTCCGATTCCGACGACGAGAACGACGCGCTCGCGAACGTCGCGTCCGTCAAGCGCCCGATCGCGTCCGCGCCGCCCGTCGACGCCGGCGCGTTGGCGCTCGAGCGCGCGCTCGACGGCGATGGCGGCTCGACGGGAATGCGCGTCGTTCCGCTCGCGTCCACGCGCACGGTCGTCGGTGCGCGCGACGCGCGAACGCGATGGCATCGATCGATCGCTCGACGCGCGCGCGTCGCGCGAGGAACGCGCGTGGACGATGGACTGACGGAGATTCGTTCGACGCGCGCAGACCCGACGACGCGAGAGATGCGCGTGAACCTGACGTACGACGAGATGACGGCCCCGATCGAGGGACCGAGGCACGAGACGCGAGAGGATAGACTCACGGGGCGAGGGGCGAGGAATCACGCGCTCGGGCAGGTGGACGCGACGACGGTGAACGCGTTTAGTTTCGACGAACAGTACAATACGTACAATTCGCGGGGGTACGCGGCGGCGCCGTCGGGGACTGGGGTCGTCGGTGACGCCGACGCGATGCGAGCGAGCAAGGGGGAGACGGCGTTTAATATTTCTGCGGCGAAAAAACGAAGGATTCGCGAGGAAGTGCTCGCGGGGGTGGCGACGCCGGCGAGCGGCGAGACGGATACGTCGGCGTGGGCGCCGGCTCGAGCGGCGCAAAAGGTGCTCGTGCACGATGATTTGTCGGAGAAGGAGAAGGAGTACGTGAAATGGCACATGGATAATCGCGAGGCAAAGCTTCGGGCGAAAGGAAAGTTGGAAGGTTTGGAGACGGGTCCGGGCGAGGACGGCGGCGCTCAAGACGACTCAAAGTTTACAAAGTTTCACGGCTCGGAGGAAGTCAACTACGCGGGGGATTCTTGGATTGCGGCGCCAAAGAGCGAGAAGCGCGATGGAGATGGAACTTGCTTCGCGCCGAACAAGTGCGTGCACACGTTTAACGGTCACACGAAGGGTGTGTCAAAGATTGAATTTTTCCCTCACACCGGTCACCTGTTGCTCTCGGCGGGCATGGACAACGTGGTCAAGATTTGGGACGTGTACAACAGTCGAAAGTGCATGCGCACGTACATGGGACACGACAAGGCGGTAAAAGACGTGTGCTTCAACGGCGATGGCACGCGCTTCGTGTCGACGTCGTGGGATAAAAAGGTTCGATTGTGGGACACGGAGACTGGCAAAATAATCCAAACCGTGACGAGCGGGAAAATCGGTTACTGCGCGAAGATTCATCCAAAGCAAGACAACTTGGTGTTGATCGGGCAGAGCGATAAAAAAATCGTGCAGTGGGACATGAACAACGGGGACTTGGTGCAAGAGTACGACCAGCATCTCGGGCCGGTGAACTCGATCACTTTCGCCGACGGCGGCGAACGCTTCATGTCCTCTTCGGACGACAAAACGCTTCGAGTTTGGGAGTTTGGAATCCCGGTGACGACTAAATACATCGCTGACCCGTCGATGCACTCCGTGCCCGCGACTGCGATATCGAACAACGGCAAGTACATCATCGGTCAATCGCTCGACAATCAAATTATCACCTTTAGCGTCGACGAACGCTTTCGAAGAAACAACAAGAAACGCTTTGGTGGTCACCACAACGCCGGTTACGCGTGCCAGCCCGCGTTTTCTACCGATGACAGCACCGTCGTTAGCGGCGACGGGTCTGGTAAGATCTTCTTCTGGGATTGGAAGACGTCCAAAATCATCAAATCCGTCAAGGCGCACGCCGAGGTGTGCATCGGCGTCGCTTGGCACCCGCTCAAGAGCTCCGTCGTCGCGTCGTGCAGTTGGGACAAGACGATCAAGCTGTGGAAGTAGTCTCCGAGCTCAATCTTTGTCGTTGATATATCTCGCGTAGCGCACTTCCTCACGCGCGCGCCTTCTCTTTGCGTCGGCGTCTTCGTGTCCGCGTCTCGCTGTCCTTTCGCTTTCGCGAATTCTGAGCGCATCTCGTCATTGCCCCGCGCCCGATCGTCCAGCATGCGCCGTTCGCGCGCGCGCGCGCTCGCCGGCGCGCTCGCGCTCACACTCGCCTGCGCCGCCCTCCCCCGCGCGCTCGCGCGCGCTGATTCGCACGCGGCGTCGCATCTGCGACTCGCCACGTCGGATGTCCCGGTCGACACCGTCGACGCTTCGGAGCCCGCGCGCGACGCCGTGCGCGAGGCGCGCGCGCTGGTCGCCGACGCCGCGGCGCTCGAAGCGAAGTTCGAGGCGTTCGTGGACGCGTTCGATAAACGCGCCGAGTACGCGACGAAGACGGCGACGGAACGCGCTCGGAGAATCGTCATCTTTGGCGAAAATCTCGTCAAGGCGGCGACGAATCAAGCGAACGATCGAGGCAGCGCGAACCACGGGGTGACGATGTTCAGCGATCTCACCGCGGAAGAGTTTGCGGCGCGGTATTTGGGTCACGTGCGGTTGTCGAGCGAGGAGAGGGAGAAACGGAAGGCGAGGGGAGGGGAGACGCTCGAGACGTTGCCGGTGGAACATTTGCCGGAGGAATTCGATTGGCGATTTAAGGGCGCGGTGACGCGGGTGAAGGATCAAGGACAGTGTGGATCGTGCTGGACGTTTTCAACGACGGGTGCGATCGAGGGCGCGCACTTCATCAGCACCGGAAAGCTCGTTGAATTGAGCGAACAACAACTCGTGGACTGCGACGTCGGTTGCGATCCAGACGTGCCGAACGCGTGCGATTCTGGCTGTAACGGCGGCTTGCCGTCGAACGCGATGGAGTACATCGTAGAGCACGGAGGCATCGATACCGAGAAGTCGTACCCGTACGTCGGCGAGAAGGGCGAGTGCAAGGCGAAGAAAGGCAAACTCGGCGCGACGCTCAAGAACTTCTCCTTCGTCAGCGACGACGAAAAACAAATGGCGGCGGCGTTGGTCAAATACGGCCCACTGTCCATCGGGATCAACGCTGCGTGGATGCAAAGTTACATCGGCGGCGTCGCCTGCCCTTGGCTCTGCGACGCCGAGTCGCTCGATCACGGCGTCCTCATCGTCGGCTACGGCTCGAGCGGCTTCGCCCCGGTTCGATGGGCGCCCGAACCGTACTGGATCGTCAAGAATTCTTGGAGTCCGGCGTGGGGCGAGGGTGGATACTACCGCATATGCAAAGACAAAGGTTCGTGCGGCATCAACAACATGGTCGTCGCCGCGCACGGCGTCGACTGATCGCGCTTCGCGTTCGCCTCGCGTCTTCATGCTTCTCTCGCGCCTCGTCGCCTTCATCGACGACGTCGCGCGCGTTTCTCGCATTTTCATCTCTGTATCTCATCATTCTAAAACTATCGTTACAATCGTATCTCGCCTCGCCGTCGTCGCGTTCGCGCGATAACCCTCGTCGTCTCGCCGCGCGTCCGCCCTACACCGCCTTCGGCCCGTTCGCGTCGAACGCCCCGCTCCACCTCTGGCTCGGTATCGCGTGCGCGGGATATATCGGCCGCTTCTCCCGCGCGCGCGAGTAGTTGAACGTCATCATCGCCAGCGCGCCGAGCGCGACGAATCCCCCGACCGTGTTTCGTTTCCACGCCTTCGGATCCGCGAACCACCCGCCGTACGTCGTCCACACGTGTCCCGTCACGCTCGTCGGTCCGCCGCCGCTCGCGGGCGCGCCCATGGTCGTCGCTGTGCGAACGCCGCCGATGGACGCGTCGTCGTCTGTCGTCGCGGCGCGTCGTCGATCCGCGATCGTCGAACGGCGGATCGTCACACGACGACGCGCGCGCGCGCGACGCTCGACGCGACGCGACTCGACTCGACGGCGTCGCGACTCGACTCGAGATGTTTCAGACGCGCAGCGAGTACGACCGGGGCGTGAACACGTTCAGCCCGGAGGGACGGTTGTTTCAGGTGGAGTACGCCATCGAGGCGATCAAGCTCGGGTCGACGGCGATCGCGATAAAGACGCGCGAGGGCGTGGTGCTGGCGGTGGAGAAGCGCGCGACGTCGCCGCTGATGGACGCGTCGTCGCTGGAGAAGATCGCGGAGATCGACGCGCACGTGGGGTGCGCGGTGAGCGGGCTGACGGCGGACGCGTGGACGATGGTGGAACACGGACGGGCGGAGTGCCAGAATCATTACTTTACGTATAACGAACCGATGCCGGTGCTGAGCTGCACGACGTCGCTGTGCGAACTGGCGATGTCGTTCGCGGGCGAGGGGGAGAAGAGAATGTCGAGACCGTTCGGGGTGGCGCTGTTGGTGGCGGGGAAGGATGAGGACGGGTATCACTTGGTGCACACGGATCCGAGCGGTACGGCGGTGCAATATAAAGCGAAAGCGATCGGAAGCGGGAGCGAAGGCGCGCAGACGGCGCTGCAAGAGGAATATAGAGACGATTTGACGCTCAAAGAGGCGGAGACGCTGGCGTTGAAGACGTTGAAGGCGGTCATGGAGGAAAAGGTCAACACGACGAACGTCGACATGGCGCGCGTGGCGCCGGCGTACGTCAAGTATTCCGACGCCGCGATTCAGGAAATCATCGATCGTTTATGATGAGTGAGTAGATTTAATTTCGGTTCGAGCTTGTAAGTTTCGTGTAAAAGATTCTTCGTTCAATGATTTACATTACGTGCCTTGCGGCGCGCGCGCGCTCAACTGTTTTAAACTAATCGATTATTCATCCAGTATTCCTCTCATTTCTTCGCCTTCTTCGCCGAAAGCGGCGATTTACCGACGCCTTTTGAGGGGGTCGGGGTTTTGCGCTTCACCGGCGTCGCCTTTTGTGTCGTCGGTGTTTTCGACGTCGACGCTTTCGCCTCCGCGCCGCCGTCGTCGCCGACGACGCGCTTCTTGTGCAAATTGATCATCTTCGTCAAGACGTGGAATCCGTCGTGGATTTGGAACGGCGTTCGATTGAAATCAAAGTGCACCGTTCGCTGATCGTCGGATATCTCCACGTCGATTTCCGCCTCGGATTTGGTTTGAATCAAAATGAAAGGAAGCTGAATGCCGGTGGGCGGCGGACCGTCCCCCGCGAGGGCTTTTTGGTTGCGTTCCACGAGCGCCACGAGCGCGTCGTGTTGCTCCACGAGCTCGGCGAGGTAGTTGGTCTTCTGCTCGAACGCATCTATCGACTCCGTGGACGCCAATTCCCGATTCGACGTTCTCGGTCCCGCCGCCTTCGCGGGCGGCGGCGATTCGCCCGGTTTCACGTATCCCTCGGGGTATCCGTTCCAGAATATTTCCTTCTTCTTCTTTCTGATGATTTCTAGCGCCATGAGAACATTAAGCGCGTCGTACACCCGTCGACGCACGTTCTTTTCGTCGAAATCCGCGTTCGTTTCTTCTGCAGTCACGCGAAGCTCCTCGACGAGCTCGTTCGCCACCTCGTTGTAAGACGTGTGCTTCTTCTCTTCAACCTTTTCGCACACGCGCATGCTAAAATGTCGCAACCCTTTCTGCTCGCGCTCGCCCGTCCCAGGAGTTTGCGGTAATGATTTTCGAATTTTGGACGACTTGGGCGTCGCGTACGCCTCATCGTCGCCAACTTCTGCTTTGACGCCCGCGCGCAAGTTCGCGCGCGCCGTGGCGATGATCCGTCGCGCCTGCGCGACGAATTCCGCCGCCTCCTGACACTTCTTTTCGGCCACCTCCGCGTCGTACTTCCCGATCGTAGGCGTCATCGCGCGCATCACCGTCGCTGCGGACGTCCCCGCCCTTTGAAATCGCAACCCGTCGTCCTCCGCCGCCTCGCGCCCGCTCACCCTCGCCGCCAAATCCCCGCGCTCGGGCGTCCCAAACTTCGGCGTAAACGCCCCACTATCCTCAAATCCCAACCCCGGCGACGTCGACTCCCCCCGTCGTCCTCCCTCGACGTCCCCCATGAACGCATTCAACGCATCCGCGTCGGCTAAGCCTACCCTCGCGCGTTCCGCTCGTCAGTCTCTCGCGTCTCTCGCTCGTCTCTCGTCTCTCGTCTCTCCTTCGCCTCGTTCCATTCGCACCTGAATCCCCGAGCACATCGTCGACGTCCGCGTACTCCGACACCCCCTACGCCTCGTTCGCGCGCCGCGCTTCGCCGTCAGTCGCCTCTTCGGTTTCGCCGCGTCTCGCGCGTCTTCGTCCTTTAAAATCTCCAAAAAATCTCCGCATAAAGCCATCTGTCGAATCGTCCGTCGTCCGTCGTCTCGCGTTCGCCTCGCGTCTCGCACGCACCGCGTCTCGCAGCGATCGAAACAGTTCCTCCGCCAGCGCGTCGTCGTCGCGCGAGGTCGTCGCCGTCGCCGTCGTCGCGCGTCGTCGTCGCGTCGACATGTCGAGCGCGAATTCCGAAACGTCGCGTCGCGCGTCGCGTCGCGCGCGCGATGGGACGCGCGCGACGCGCGATGGGACGCGCGCGCGTCGCGCGCGTTCGCGCGGCTCGACGGCGCCGCGGTGCGCGCGCGTGTGACGCGCGCGACGCGACGACGTCGGTTCGAACGACACTTCGCGACCGCGCGCGCATGGCGACGTCGCGCGTCGCGCGCGCGACGCTGGACGTGCGAGGATACGCCGCGGATGGAAGCGCGCATCGCGTGAGCGCGCGCGCGAGCTTCGAGTACGCGTACGAGACGAGGGAGGACGACGCGAACGCGACGGTGCGAGTGATGCTCACGCCGAGCGACGGACGGGCGACGTTCGCGCGGTACGCGTGCGCGCTGACGCGGGAACGGTTCGAAACGATGCGACGGGAACAGTCGTTGACGCTGCGGACGGCGAGGGAGTGCGCGGAGACGTGCGGGAGGGCGCTGGAGAAGGCGGCGCGCGGGGAGGGGCTCGCGGTGTTGGCGTGCGACGCGAAGAGCGGGAAAGCGAGGTTGGAGATCGTGGAGGAGTACGCGAATAGGTTGGTGAGCGTGATGGAGATGGAGTTTGAGATGATGGATGACGTCGAGGTCAGGGCGAGGGTGTCGGAGGAGTACGGGCGGATGAAGCGGACGTTGGCGGCGTACGAAGCCAAGTTTGGTCGGTTGGAGGCGTGAGGAAGACGCGCGCGTTTGATCGTTTGTATTGATAACCAGTAAGAATCTCCGATACTAGTGCTTCTACTTTCCTTCTGCGGTCGTCGCGCTACATCGGATTTATGAGGCCGATTGGCTGAGTCTGGCCTAAGCGGCCGCGCGGAGGCGTCGGCGGACGATCGCGGTTGACGTCTTGCAGCCACAAGTTGTCGTCGATGCGGTCGGAGGGCGATAAAGACTCCATGGCGATCGGTGGTAACGGGTGGATGAGCTTGGGGTATAACGTCAGATCGCGCCCTAACACCAGAATCGCTCCGGCGTTATTCGCGGTCCCGCAATAGTTTGTTGCGCTAAAGACGGTGAGCAGTTGTCCTTGGGCGAAACGCTCGAAACCGTCCATGACGCACTCGTGCGCGCGGATGATCATCTGGATCCCGTTCGTTTCGCAGAACGCCTTCACACGATCTGGCCCGAAAGTCACGAGACCTGGACCCCGCGCGTTCGGGCGTAAACCTTCGATACCATCGTTCTCTGTCGGGTCGCTCCAGAGAATGTCCATGAGCTCGACGCCGCCGTTTTCCATGTTCAACGGTCGCTTCAGCTCATTGATTTGCGAGATGTGCGTCAAGCTACGGCCGATACCACCGTGCATGCAGCAAATACGATCCTCGATGACGGCCGCAAGCGGGAGCCATTCGAACAACTCGTTGAATCTTCGCCAGACTGCGTCGCCCGCGGATTCGCCCAGACGCTCGACGCACTCGATGCGGAATCCAAACAACGCATTGATGTCCGACTCTTCGTGGTTACCGCGAAGTAAATGCACAGCTTGCGGGTGCTCAATTTTCAGCGCGAGCAGCAGAGAAATGGTCTCCAAGGAGTACGCACCGCGATCGACGTAGTCTCCCAAGAAAACGTAATCGATGTATGCGATGTCGCCCGCCGTCGATGGCGCGCCGTATTCGGCGAATAACCGCATCAAATCTCCAAACTGACCGTGCAGGTCGCCAAAGATTTTCGCCGGACCTTTCACCGTAAGTACGGTCTCTTCGTTCTTGAAACAATGCTCTGCGGCGTCGCATAACTCGTTGATGGCGCTCGCGCTAAGAAAGAATCGACGATCCGTGCTCGGCTCCCAGGTGTGCGGATGAAGCAAGTGCGTGAGCACGGCCTTGTGCACGGGTTGCGCCCCGAGCTCAGCGGCGCGTCTCGCGCGCGCCATCTTCGCTGGAGTGTCTCCGGGGGTGAGCATATCCACACCGGGAGTACCGATGCGTCGCGCCTCGTTTTCAAACTGATCGATGGACAGCTGCCGCACCATGCTCGCGACGCCTCGCGGCGTTGACTTCGCGCCAGAATCTGGCGGCGCGGCGGCAACGACTACGGCACGATGATGTAACCTAACTTCCGACGCGGGCGTGCGTAGAGCCGATTCTGGGGAGCCGAAACGAGCGAATCCAGGCGATGGCGTGTGCACGGACGATCCCGGAGAGCCAGAGTCAGATTCGCCCAACGAAAACTTTCTTCGAGCGACCAACTCGAGCGCGGCTGCCGCTTCTTGCGCGCTCGCCGCACGCAGCTCTTTCTCCGCAGCGGCGTTCATGTTGTCGGGCGAATCCGGGGACCCCGGCGAACCTCCGAGCGGTCGCAAGGCGATGCCCTCGGGAGACGAGGGCGAACTGAAGGATCCGTTTGAATACGTTGCGTCTCGTTGCGTGTTGATTGCGAACGAGTCTCGAACGTTTCTCGGCGAGTGCATTCCTAATATATCAGCCGACAGCCCGGTTTCACCGAGCCATTTACGCCAAGCCAAGGAATTCGGATCGATGAGAGTCGCGAGCTCTCGCGTGCGTTCGGCGCGCGTCGAACCGCTCTCTTGCGGCGGCTCTTCGAGCACGACCAAATCATCCAACAACGTTCCGTTTCTCAAACCACCGTGCACGAAAATGAATGGACCATACGCCACACTTGCATGGCGGCACCGTCGTCCGACGAGTGAGCTCGCGTCGTAGGAAAGCTGTGCCTTGCCCTCGGAACTCTTCGCGTCCCGCCATCCCGTGCTTCCACCCGACGACGTGTCCAGCATCGACATCGTCGCTTCGTTCGTGACGAGCTGTCCCCCACCCGACGCCCCACCGGTGATGTGCAATCTCGTGTCCACGAATGCGGTCGCGTGCTGGTATCGACGCGTTGGTGCCTTGCCCGGCGCTTCGGCCCACTCCCAACGCCCGTCGCGGTGCCTAGCCAAACCGTACGCGTCATTCAGCGCGAAACCGTCCGCACCGCGGCCACCGCAGAGCAGCAACAGACCATCGCTTCGAGTACTCGCGCTCGCGTACGTTCTCGCGCTCGGCACGGGCCCACTCGGCGCGCACTTGGTCCATTCGTACGGTTTCGTCGTCGTGTCCAACACCCACGTATCGTCCAAGCACTTCGAACCGTCCGTCCCCCCGATCACCACCAAAAATCTCTGCGCCACGAAACTCAACACGTGCGCGTATCGTTGCCCCGGACCTTGCCCCCGCACGTGCACGCGGTGCCACTTCGGGTCCCTCGTCGCTAAATCCAACACGTACAAATCTTCATCCGCCAACCCGTCCGGCCCGATGCCGCCGAGCACGACGAGCATCCCTCCCACCGTGGCCGCCCCGTGCGCCGCCCGCGGGCTCGGCACGTCACCGCCGCACTCCAACTTCCCCCACTCCCCGTTAAACGGGTCCAAGACGTGCAATTCATTCGTCGCGCCGCTCAGCTTGACCCACGCGCCCGCGTCTCGACCCGCCTGCGGGCTCAACCCCACGTTCGCGCTCGCGTTCGCCCCGCTTCCGCCCTCGAGCTCGGTCGCACCCCCGAACGTGACTATCTTCGTCTTTTGATTCCATCGCAGCGCCGTCATCGTGTGTCCACAGCGCGCGCCCGGCGCCGAAGACGTCGCGAACGTTTTCGAGTCATTCGCGAACGTCGACGCGTTATTCGTCGCGTCCGCGAACCCAGCGCGCGATCGCGTCGCGTCGAACGGCGCGGCGAGCATTCTTCGCCCTCTGCGCGCCCGCGCGACGCGCAGTTCGCCGCTCGCGCGTCGTTCTGACGCGCAGTCGTTCAAGATTTTTGAATTTCAACGACGCGCGCGCGACAGTCGCGGCACTCGCGCGCGCGCATGCCGCCGGCGACGCGGTCGCCGCTCGACGCGATCGCGCGAAACGTCGACATGCGCGCCTCGGCGCTGAGCGCGGTGGAGAAGTTGGCGCTCGAGGCCGACGCGACGGCGCTGTCGCCGATCGACGTCGCGCGCGCGCCGCGCGTCGAGACGACTCGCGCGCGCGAGAGCGACGCGACGGCGCGCGAGAGCGACGCGAACGCGCGCGAGGACGACGCGCGCGAGGACGACGCGGACGAGGCGTCGACGGCGACGACGGAGTATCGAGAGACGGTGGCGCTGCTGCGCGCGCAGACGACGGCGCTGCGCGAGGCGAACGAAGCGCGCGAGGAGCTCGAGGAAGCGCTTCGCGAGGCGGAGACGACGAAGGCGACGCTCGAGGGCGACGCGCTGGAGCGAATGCGCGCGGTGCGGGGAGAGATGGAATCGCTTCGCGCGACGCTGGAGGAGGTGGTGGAGAGTCGGCGACGCGCGCGAGAGGGGGAGGCGAACGCGGTGGCGCGAGCGAAGGCGTCGGAGGAGACGCTCGCGCGCGAGAGGGAATCGCACGAGCGCGCGGTGGAGGAAATGCGCGCGGAGCTGGCGCTCGCGCGGTCGAGCGCGGAAATCGCGGCTCGAGGCGTGCGAACGAAGGACGGCGTCGAAGTCACCGCGGAGCTGTACGAACAGTCGCACTCGATGGAAAAGAAGGCGTTGAAGGATGCGCAGCGGGCCAAAAACGCGCTCGTGGAGCAGAAGAAAACGCTCGAGGCGCTGGAGAAGCGATTGCGCGACACGAGGTCGCGCGCGGATTTAGCCGAAGCCAAGTGCCGAGAATTGAAATCGGCGCAAAAACGATGGGATCGATTGGAAGCCGGTGGTGATAACGCGTTCGCACAGTCCCCTGCCTCGGCAGCTACGCCGCGGACGCTGCGACAGAGCCATCGCGACGTGCGGGCGTACGCCGCCCAGCGCGTGGAGGCGTTGGAGAAGGATGTCAAGACGACGCGGCGCGAAGCTACGCTAGCGACTGCGGATTTAGATTCAAAGTTAGCCGCCGAGTCAGGCACGCGTAGCGCTGTGCAAGGAAGCTTGGAGAGCGCACGCGCGCGTATCCGCGTGCTCGAAGGTGAGCGTGATGCGTTGCGAGCGCGCGCCGAGGCGGCAGAGACTGAGGTCGCAGATTTGAAGATGACGCTCAAGTTGACGGAGGAACGCGCGGCGCAAGCGGAGGAAACGGCGGCGAAAGAAATCGCGGCGGCTATGGACGCGATGCACCGAGTTCATTCGGCAGAAGACGCCCTGATGTCCGCCTCGCACCAGCAAGAGGAGGCGGTCAAGGCGAAAAGTGCAATGAAGCGGCGCGAATACGGAGAGAAGACGCGTGAGCTCGAGGAACGCATCGAAGCCGCTGAACGGGCGCGCGATGCCGCAGCGCAACGCGCACAAGTGGCGGAGGATGCACGCAGACGCGCCGAGTCCGAACTTGCGCGCGCGCAGACGAGCACAGCGCGCGACGGCGACGGCGCCGACGTCCGCGAACGAATTTGCGCCGCCGAGGACAGAGCGCTTCGCGCCGAGGAAGAGCTCTCTCAAGTCCGTAAAGCCGCGCGCGATGCCGCGCGCAACGCAAACGAATCCATCTCGCCGTCGCCCGAACGCGTGGCGCACCGACCACCGTTCTCGCAATCGCGACCGACTCGTCTTGCGCGCGAGCGCGACGGCCAACGCGCCGCCGCCGCCGAGCTCCTGCACAGCCTTCGCGCCAAACTCGAGGCCAGTTCCCCGTCGATCGGGCAGAAGTCGAAAAGTAGATTCACGGATGCCGATCACGACGACGCCTCGTACGCTACGCCCGTGAAACGGGCTTGATAGATATTTAATGTACCAACTCCCGACTCCCAGCGACCTCGACCGCCACTCCGCGGCTCGCACGTCTCCCAACCATGCGCCTGGATCTCGCCCGCGTCGCCAGATTCGCCCAGCGCACGACGGGCGACGCTTCGGACGCGACGCCGAGTCGTCACACCACTCCAGCGCGGCGTAAAACAATTTCAATGACGCTCATGGCCATCGTGCACGGCTTTGGATTACTCACCTTAACCGTCCCGGAAAACGATCTCACGGCGAACGGGTTCGACAACAGCACCGCGCGTACGCTCCTCGCGCTGTTTGCGTTCGATGTCGTCGCGTACTGGCGCGTGCTCGGAAGCGATCCCGGATACGTGGACGCGAGCGAGGACGCGAACGACGACGCCGAGGACGGCGAGCGACGCGCGTGCGAAAAATGCGCCGGCGCGCGCGTGCCGCTGCGAGCGAAACACTGTCACGTGTGCGAAAGATGCGTGCGAAAATTTGATCATCACTGCTTTTGGGTCGGGACGTGCGTGGGCGAGCGGAACCACGGACGGTTTTGGTGGTTTTTGTTGGCGCAGTCGTGCGTCGCGGCGCACGCGTGTTGGATCGCGGTCACGGGCGTCGTGGGAGCGACGGTGAATCACGCGACGTGGTTCGATGTCTGGCGTGATAACGCGTGGAGTGCGATGGCGTGCGGATACACGCAAATGATGACGCTGTTTGTGGGATTTTTATTCGTGTTTCACAGTTATTTATTGCTCAGCGGGCAGACGACGTGGGAGGTGAGCAGCGAGCAGCGGGTGACGTATTTGCGGTCTTTACCGCGCGGGAGCAAGCCATTTGACGAGGGTGCGATCGAAAACGCGCGCACGGCGTGTTTTCCGAGAAAGATTCCCAAAACTTGGCGCATTCCGAGTGTAGAAACGTTGCAGGCTCGAGAAAACGAGCAAACCTTCTTCCAAAACGATCACTATAGCTGCTTCTAGATTTGCTTGTATTGCATAGACTTTTAGCCTTGAAAGAATGTGTGCTTCGAGGGTTCGCTCGGAACGTATTCTATCGGCCCGACGACGACGGCGGCTTCGGGCAACGGCGCGCCAGGTGACGGGATCTTTTGAAAGAAGACCACCTCGTTCTCTTTGACAGCTTTCGCTGCGAGTGCGGCCACACGCGAGGCGAGCTCGCCGTGATACGTCGCCCACGAGACGATTTCTCCGGAGGCCTGCGCGCAATCGCGCACGGCTTCCTCCGCGCGCCTACACGCTGCGATGACTTCGCCGCACTCGTCCGCAGCGCGCCGCGCCTCGGCGTGCGCGAGAAATGCCTCCGCTTCGTGCGTCTTCCAAGCTACCAGCACGCCGGCCGTCAAAAATATGTCCACGCCGTTCCAATCGCATCGACGCGACTGCAACACCGCGTTGGCATCGCGGTACAACTCGCTCGCGCCGCGATGCAGCCGCGCGCGCAAATTCGCCGCGCTTCCGCGTTCGAGCGCTCGCCGACACGCCGCGCCCTGCGCGTCACCGAGCGAAATCAACGTCATCACCTCCGCCATCGACGCCGTGAGTTCATTCGCCACGCATTCACCATCCAACGACGCCTTCAGCGGCGGCAAAACCGTCTCCTGCAAGTGCTTGAACATCCCCGCCGCGACTCTCGCGTTCTTCGAGCAGCTCGCCGCGCCCGCGTCGCCCAATCCTCCCTCCGCCATCCGCGCCGCCGTCTCTCGCGCGCAAAGTCTTCTGTGACACGACGCGAGTCCAAACAGCGCGAACGCGCGCTCGCCGGCCAATCCCGGCGCCGGATACGACCTCGCCTCGCGTCCGCTCTCGAGCGTCGACGCCCATCGCGCCGTCGGCCCCTCCCCGCGGTCCAGCGCCTCCAGCGCGCCCTCCGCCTCCGTGATCACGTCCACGTATCGCTCGTACTTGCGCCTTCCGACGTCCGCGTCCGCGTGCGCCGCCGCGTGCGCGCACGACGCGCGCGCGGCGTTCAACGCGCGAAGTCGTTGGAACGCGAGCGAATCCGCGGCGCCGTCGGCGACGAACTCGATCGCCTCGGGCGTCAGCGCGCGCGCGTAGTCGATCGGCAGGAACATCTCGCGCGTCGTCGCGCGCGCGCGCGAGGGCCCGACGCGCCGTCGCGGCGCGCGGCGCGAGATGGCGTCGGACGGCGCGCGCGATGCATCGAACTTTCGCCGCACCGCGACGCGCGCGCGGCGCGCGACGCGCGCGCGCGATGACGCGCGAATCACCCGCGACGGCGTCGACGTCCGCGCGCGCGTTTCTGCGCGGCGGCGCGTTCGAGCGCGCGGTGGCGACGCGTTCTTGGCCGTTTTTGGGCCTCTTCGCCGCGCGCGACGACGACGACGCGCGCGACGACGACGACGCGCGCGGCGAGGACGACGCGCGCGACGACGACGACGTCGCGAAAGTCGAGACCGTCGCGCGCGCGTCGCTCGATGGGCGCGTCGCGTACGATAAAGCGGCGTTGCTGCGACTTCGGGACGCGGCGGCGTCGAGCGGGACGCCGCCGGGCGCGACGGAGGAAGACATGCGGGCGTACCCTTGGCGCGCGCGCGTGGATGTGGGTCAAGGCGCGAGCGAGGTCGAGAATGACGCGGAGGAAGACGCGGTGACGGCGGCGGCGACGGCGAGGGTGGTGATGGAGACGGAGGCGGTCGCGCGCGCGCGGTCGGCGTGGCGCGAGCGGGAGACGTTCGAGGCGGACGCGGAACAGGCGGCGGTGGCGTTGAGGCGGGTGTTGGCGCGCGAATCGGAAGGTGACGGTGATGCGGTGAGCGAGGGTTATCGGGTGACGTTTCGCGACGGCGCCGTGCGGGCGTTCGTGCGAAAGCTGACGCGCGAACGGTTCGGCGATTTGTCGGCGGCGGATTTGGATCTTCGCGAGACGTCGCGAGAAGGAGAGACAGCGGTTTTGTACGGCACGCGAAGGCTCGCGGAAGACGGCGCGTACGAAGTGAGCGTGGCGTTCGTACATCCGTGGGATGGTGAACTCGAGCACGTGGTTTCGTGGCTCTCAAAACCGGCGGACGATTCGGAAACCGTCGTCTCGCCCGTGGGTTGGCTTCGCGCGAACGCCAGTCTCGGCGCCAGTTTACCCCCGAACGCGAAACGTGCGTACGACGACATCGCCACTGGTCGTGGCGATGCGCATGTGAACGTCTCAGCCGCGCGATTGTTTGTCGCGCTCGACGTCTCGACGAGCGCGTGCGGCCCTTTGGTGATGGAGTGTTACGATTTAGAATCGCGCGCGGGCGTAGAGTACTTCCTCGGGGGTGCCGACGCGGCGGAGCACGACGAGGATTATTAGCGAGATAGCTCGATAGGCTTTTGCAACGTGAATGACAACGATTATTATATGCGTGCGCAGTACGGAGACGAACATCGTTGTCTAGTCGTCGATACCACACTTCAAGTTGGCTGGGAGCGACTCGTCGATTTTCTTTGGGTACGCCAAATTCAAGTTGCTCATGATTTCTACGAACTCCTCTTTGGTCTTCTTCAACCCTAATCGCGGGTTGAGCTCTTTTTCCTCACCGATCGTACTCACCATACGCCCCTTGTAGTCGTGCGCTGGATACACGAGCGTCTCGTCGGGGAGTTCGAAGAGTTGAGTGCGCACCGAGTCGTATAGTTTTTCGCTCGAACCACCTTGGAAATCGGTTCGACCGCATCCACGAATGAGTAACGCGTCGCCCGTGAAGACCATATTATCGCACACGTAGCTCACGCATCCGTCGGTGTGCCCCGGAGTCGCGCGGACTTCCAAGTTGATGACGTTGGAATCGGCGCCGAAAGAAATCACGTCGCCGTGCTTGATGTGCACGTCTGCGCGCGCGCCTGAAGACTCTGCGATGACGCTTTGCAGACCGGTGACTTTCGCCTTCAAATCACCGCTGCCCGTGATGTGATCGGCGTGGCAGTGCGTGTTGATGGCGTACTTGAGCTTCAAGCCCAAATCGTTGACAACCGCCAAATCACGGTCCACCATCTCCTTCAACGGATCGATTAACACCGCCTCCTTGCTCACCGGGTCCCCCAATAAGTACGTGTACGTCGAGCTCCCGCTTGTGTCGAACAACTGTCGGAAAATCAACCCTGCATCCGGGCGCAACCCCTCGCGCACGAAATCCGCCAACGGCGGCTTGGAGAAAAACTTCAAGTCCATCGCTCTCGCGCGTTGCAACGCCCCCGCCTGCGGCCATCGCTGCTCGCGAGCCTTGAACAGTATATACGCCATACTCGCTCGCGTTGCCGTCGAGCACTGCACCATCGTCGGTCGCGGTAACGCCTCCATGGCGTCCGCCAGCTTCTTCGCCAAGCCTCGCGTGAGCGTCGCGCCCTCCACGACGAATTGTTTAAACCCATCGCCGAGCGCTTTCTTCGCCGCCGCCGGAAACGCGGCGTCGCTCTCGGCGTTCATGTATATCCACGACTTGAACTCACCCTCGCTCAGCGCTCGATCGACGTCCGCGGCGGAGAGATCGCCGACGAGCGTGATTCGTTCGCTCGAGAATTCTCGCGCGTGCGGTAAGTCGAGCGGCATCGTCCGCGTGAGACGACGCAGAAGCGCGAACGGGGGCCGGGAGACTCGAAACGAGACACCGCGAGGGTTCGTCGAGGGGCTGGATGCGAGTCGTGAGCACAGGGACGCCGTGACGCGCATGGGTGTGCCTGTGGCGCGCGATGGCGCGTCCGGGCGGCACCGCAGTCGGCACCGAGATGTGGAATCGACGCCGAGGGCGAGTTCGCGAGCGCGAGAGCGCGGCACGCGATCGACGGCGCGCGAAAACCAAACGACACGAGAGGAAGGGTAAAACGCGATGGAACGAGAACGAGAACGAGCGAACGCGAGAGCGGTCGACGCGACGGCGCGCGCGCCGAGGCGCGGAAACGACTACGTGTTCGACGGTCGGCCACCACAAAACTAAACTTAACCGCGCCTACACCGCGCGCATCAACAGATAAATCCTATCATCGATCTCAATCTCCTGCAAATTCTTCGGATCGGCCTTCAAGTTCATCAATAATCCACCGAAGGAGATGTACGCGCTCGCGCGAGTCAATCCTCCCGCGTTTTCGTCGACCTTTTTGTAACACTTCCCGTACATCACGTACTCGTACCCATCCGCCAGCGACGGCTTCCCGCTCTGATCGAACGCGTCGTCTTCCGGAGTTCCATCCAGCGACAGCGTCGGCGCGAGCGCCAGGGAGAATCTCTGTCCGACCGTCAACGGGTACACGTCGACGTTGACGTCGATCGTGAGCTCTGCGTCGAATTCGCTTCGGCACTTGTACCTCGACACGCGATCGAATTTCTTTCCATCCGGATCGCGATCGATGACTTCAAACATATCCTCGTACTTCGTCGCCCCCCCCGCGGTGGCTTTCTGCGCCGTCGCCGCCGCGGCGGCGGATTTCTTTTTACTTCCCGCCATGCGCGTCGTTGATTCTCGTGCCGCGTTCCGCGCGACGCCGGCGTTCGCGCCTCGACGATCGCGCGCTTCGAGCGCGACGACGCGACGCGGCCGCCTTCGCGCGACGCTCGACGTTCGCGCGGGCGGTCGCGCGCGAGAGTGCGGTCGCGGTCGCGGCGCGGAATCTCGCAGGGTTACGGCGACGCCCACCCGCGCAAACAGTGCGACACCGACGACGCCGACCGCGCGCCCGTTTTTCGCGCGTTTTTCGTCGCGAAAAACCGGCACCGACGCGCGGTCGCGTCACACCGCGACGCGCGACGCGAACGCACCATGAGCGAAGACACCGAAACCTTCGCCTTCCAGGCCGAGATCAACCAGCTGTTGTCGTTGATCATCAACGTGCGTCTCGACGCCGACCGCGACCGCGCGCGCGCCGCGAACGATCGCGGCGTCGCGACGCGCATCGCGATGGCGCGTCGCGGGACGACGGCGCGTCGAACGCATCGACGCGCTCGCGACGCGAGCGAACGACTGACGAGGAAATCGTGGATTCGAAACGATCGCAGACGTTTTATTCCAACAAGGAAATCTTCTTGCGCGAGCTCATCAGGTGCGAGGCGCGAACGGCGACGCGATTCGCGCGCGATGGCGATCGACGCATCGCGATGCGATGGCGGCGGTTGACTTTACGCGATGACGATGCGCGCGGGCGGGCGCGGGGGGGACGGACGCGAGCGCGCGATGCGTGAGAATTCGTTTCGACGGGCGCGCGCGCGGGCGAGGACGCGCGCGCGAGGGATGGGGTAGAAAACGCGCGATCGTGATTCGGGCGTGCGTTTTCGAGTCATCTTCCAGAAGGGTGAAGAAGGCGCGACGGCGAGGACGAGCGGCGGCGCGCGCGAGCGAGACGCTTGGACGAACGGTGTGACTGACGACGAACGGTGTGTACGCGCGAATAATAGTAACTCTTCCGATGCGCTCGATAAGATTCGATTCGAGGGCTTGACGGATAAGTCCAAGCTCGAGTCCCAACCCGAGCTGTTCATTCACGTCGTGCCGGACAAGACGAATAACACGCTGACCATCATCGATAGCGGCGTGGGGATGACCAAGGCGGATCTCGTGAACAATCTCGGTACGATCGCGCGTTCTGGTACGAAAGCGTTCATGGAAGCGCTCACCGCGGGGGCGGATATCTCGATGATTGGCCAGTTCGGCGTCGGTTTCTACTCGTCGTACTTGGTCGCCGAAAAGGTCGTCGTGTACACCAAGCACAACGACGACGAGGGCTACCGATGGGAATCTCAAGCCGGTGGTTCGTTCACGGTGACCAAGGACGCGTCCGCGAACGAACTCGGTCGTGGTACGAAGATGGTGCTTCACTTGAAGGATGATCAGCTCGAGTACCTCGAGGAGCGCCGCCTGAAGGATTTGGTCAAGAAGCACTCTGAATTCATCTCGTACCCGATTTCGCTTTGGACCGAGAAGACGACCGAGAAGGAAGTCTCCGACGACGAAGCCGAGGAGGCTGGCGAGGAAGAAGAGGGCAAGATCACCGAAATCAAGGACGAGGGTGACGAGGTCAAGGAGAAGAAGACGAAGACGATCAAGGAAGTTTCTCACGAGTGGGCCATCATGAACAAGCAAAAGCCGATTTGGATGCGCGTGCCGGAAGAAATCACCAAGGATGAGTATGCTGCGTTCTACAAGTCGCTCACCAACGATTGGGAAGAGCAACTTGCGGTGAAGCACTTCGCCGTCGAAGGTCAATTGGAGTTCAAGTCGGTGCTCTTCGTCCCGAAGCGCGCGCCGTTTGATATGTTCGACGGCAAGAAGAAGTCGAACAACATCAAGTTGTACGTCCGTCGCGTTTTCATCATGGACAACTGCGAGGACATCATTCCGGAATACTTGGGCTTCGTTAAGGGCATCGTCGACTCCGAAGATTTGCCGCTCAACATTTCTCGCGAAATGCTCCAGCAAAACAAGATTCTCAAGGTTATCAAGAAGAACATCGTCAAGAAGTGCCTCGAGATGTTCAATGAAATCGCCGAGAACAAGGATGACTACACCAAGTTCTACGAATCTTTCGGCAAGAACTTGAAGCTCGGTATTCACGAAGATGCGCAAAACCGCAGCAAGATCGCTGAGTTGATCCGATACTCTTCCACCAAGTCTGGCGAAGAGCAAACGTCGCTCAAGGATTACGTCACGCGCATGAAGGAGGGCCAAAAGGACATCTACTACATTACCGGCGAATCCAAGAAGGCGGTCGAGAACTCTCCGTTCATCGAGAAGCTCAAGAAGCGTGGCTACGAAGTTCTCTTCATGACCGATCCGATCGACGAGTATGCGGTGCAACAGCTCAAGGAGTACGACGGCAAGAAGCTCGTCTCCGTCACCAAGGAAGGTCTGGAGCTCGACGAAACCGAGGAAGAGAAGAAGCAAAAGGAGGAAGTCAAGGCGCAATACGAGAACTTGTGCCGATTGATCAAGGACATCTTGGGCGACAAGATCGAGAAGTGCGTCGTCTCCGACCGCGTCGTCGACTCCCCGTGCGTGCTCGTCACCGGCGAATACGGCTGGAGCGCCAACATGGAGCGCATCATGAAGGCGCAAGCGCTTCGCGACAACTCCATGGGTAGCTACATGTCGAGCAAGAAGACGATGGAAATCAATCCGGATAACTCCATCATGAAGGAGTTGCGCAAGCGCGCCGATGCGGACAAGGGTGACAAGACTGTCAAGGATTTGGTCCTCCTCGTATTCGAAACTGCGATGCTCACCTCTGGCTTCTCCTTGGACGAGCCGACGACGTTCGGCGGTCGCATCCACCGCATGATCAAGCTCGGTCTCTCCATCGATGAGGACGACGCCCCGGCGGTTGATGACTTGCCCGCGCTCGAGGAAGAAGTCGACGAAGGTTCCCGCATGGAAGAAGTCGATTAATCGCCGCGCGCAGCAGTTGTGTTGACAAAAACGAGAGCGCCGCGTCGGCGGCGAGGATAATAGAAGAAAATACGCACCCCTCCTTACGAGGCGTCGAGATATACACCATCAACGTGATGTAACGTCAGATTCACGCGCACACGATTCATTCGCTCGACCGCCCTCTCGTCCGCTACGCGCTCGAACCAGCCCGGCCCAACACCGTCGCGACGAGCGCGACGCGCCGCACACGCCGCCTCCGTCGGCATGGCGCCCGATCGCCGACCCCCCGACGGCAAATGGGCGCGCGCGCGCATCACGCGGCCGACGTTCGGCGCCATGGCGTCATCCATAGGCGCTGTGGTCGTCCCCGTCGCGATCGCGATGGCGCTCTGCGTGTGGTTGGTGACGCTGTTGCGCGGTGACGCCACCGAAGACGCGGAGGCGACGAGCGGTGGGGTGATCTCGGCGGTGTACACCGAAAAGGTACGACGATTTAAGACGCGCGCGCGGCGAACGGACGATTGAACGACGCGTGGGATGGGAAAACCTGATGTTGGCGCGCCGCGAGAGGGTGTTGAGACGCGGAAACGCGACCTCATCGACGATGATACTGACGCACGCGATGTGATTTCGCGAGTAAACAGAGCGGTGATAGCGAGTACGTCAAATTTACGGGTAGTGTGGAGAACGCGGCGGTGTTCGTGGGGTTCATTACCGCCATGACGTTTGCCCTTTTTCTGCTCTTCAAGTATCGAATGGGCAAGGTGATTTGGGCGTACATGGGCTTCAGCGGATTGTTGATATTCGGCGTGCTCGGGGGAAATATTCTCATGCGAGTGCTGCAAAAGTTAGATATAGCGATAGATATGGTGACGGTGGGGCTGCTGATGTGGAATTTCTCAATCGGCGGCGTGCTGATGACATTTTTCTGGCACGGACCTCTGGTGGTGAAGCAAGGATATTTAATTTGTGTGTCCACGATCGTGTCGTTTTACTTCACGCAGATTCCCGAGTGGACGACGTGGTCGCTTTTGATCGCGATGGCGCTGTACGATCTGTACGCCGTGCTCACGCCGAACGGGCCGCTCAGGTTGATGGTGGAGTTGGCGCAAGAGCGCGACGAAGACATTCCCGCGCTCGTGTACGAATCAAGGGGCGGAAGTTTCGGCGACGCGCGCGCTCGCGCGCGGCAAAATTCTGGTGTATCGGGCGAGGCAGTCGGGGCCGATGGGTCGCCGTACGATCCGTCGTTGGAAGCCGACGACGAAGACGGTGAGTTCGGACTTCCCGATTCCATCAAACTCGGTCTCGGAGATTTCATCTTCTACAGCGTCCTCGTCGGTCGAGCGGCGATGTGGTCTCCGATCACGTGCGCGTTTTGTTTCATCGCCGTGCTGCTTGGTTTAGTGCTCACGCTCGTCGCCCTCGGCATGTACGGCAAGGCGCTTCCCGCGCTCCCCGTGTCCATCGCCCTGGGCTCGGCGACGTACTTTCTCTCTCGATTTTTCCTCGAGCCCGCGATCGTGCAGTCCTACGCCAGGCACTTCCTGTGCGAATAGCGCGCGACTCGAATATTTCCCGACGACTCGCGTCGTCGTCGCCATCCGTAGAATGTAAACTTAGCCAGCCGCGTATTCCGCGCGTCGCGTCCGCCGCGCCCCGACCGGCCCTGGACGACGCGTCCCCACACCCGCGCGCGCGCCCGGTCGCGCCGATCGCCCCGTCGCGCTCGATTTCGACCGCGATGTCCCTCGTCGTCGCGCGCGCGTCGACGCGCGCGCCGACGCGCGCCGGCGCGTCCGCGCGTCCGTCCCATCCGTCCCGCTCGAGGTTTCCCGCTCGAGGTTTGTCCCCAGTCTGTCGAAGCTCGGCGAGCGGAGACGGCGTCCCCGACCCGATCAGCGCGCGCGAGAAAGCCGACGCCGCGCGCAAAGCCCTGCAGGGCGCGCTCGGGAACAAGCGCGACGTCCTGAGCAAGTTCGACGGCGGAGGAAAGGGCGGCGGGCCGCTGGACTGGTTCTTCGGCGGCGGCGGCGGCGACGACGACGGCGAAAACGCGCAAGCGCGAAAAATCGCCAACTGGGTCTTCCTCGCCTTCGTGGTGCTTTTGTTGTTCAAACCAGTCACCGCGGTGATCGTGAATGCGGTGTATTACGCGTTCGGGTGGCGCACGGGACGAGAGGCGCCGACGGAGGCGGAGCTCGCGGCGATGAACGCGCCCGCGGACGCGAGCGTGATATCAAAGTACGCCGCCGATGACGACGACGACGACGACGACGACGACGACGACGACGCGTAGTTAAATTTGTTTGTTGCTTGTATTAGACGTAACATCGTAGGCGGAGGTATTTCCCGCGGCGTCGTTCCGCGGCTCGTCGACGAAGCCGAGCGCGCCGCGCGCCCCTCCTCACATTCGCGCACGCACCATGGTCAAGCAAATCGCCAGCGCGGAAGAATTCGCCGCCATTAAAGCGGCCGGTAAACCGGTGCGTGCGTCGACGCGCGATCGCGCGCGAATCGACGTCGACCGCGACGCGATCGCACTCGGCACCGTCTCGGAATGCGAACGCGCGATCGACGCGCGCGACGCGACGTTCGTCGAGCGAGGCGCGCGCGCGCGGGTCTGAAACGTGCGCGTCGTCATCGCGCGTCGATGCGCGGCGTCGCGCTCGCGCTCCACGCGTCTGGAACGATGCATTCGAACGCGTCGCGCGGCGGCGATCGATCGATCGCCGCGCGAAAACCGACGCGAGCCGAGCGAAGACTGACGACGTCACGCCGCGAACGCGCGTCGCGCGAAACAGGTCGTCGTTGATTTCACCGCGAGCTGGTGCGGACCGTGCAAGTCCATCGCGCCGTTCTTCGAGGAATTGGCGGCCAAGTACCCAGAAGTTGAATTCGTCAAGATCGACGTCGACGAACTCGAAGACGTCGCGGCCGAGTGCGGAATCTCCGCGATGCCGACGTTCCAAGTGTACTCCAACGGCGTGAAGGTTTCTGAAATGACTGGTGCGGACAAGGACAAGCTGTCCGCGCTCGTCAAGGATGCCAACGAGTTGTAGGTGGATGAAGCGCGCGCTAGACGTACGAAAAGTTCAGGTGTAATCAGAGCGTCACTCGCGAACGTTTCAATTTATTTATCCGCTCGCGCGTTCGGGTTCCTTAATATTTCGCATTAAAATGAATCAAGCATTAACCTAGGCCACGGGACTCCCGCCGTCGTCGTCGTCTCCGGACGGGAGCGAGGCCCCGGGCGGGCCCGTCGGACCGCGCGGCGTGGGGGTCAACAGTTTGGGGTTGTAACCGTCGATGTAAGTTTCGGATTGGCGCAAAAACGCGCCGAACGCCACGGCTTCGAGCACAAGGCGACGCTGCGACGCATATGCGAGCGTGAGCGTCTGTACTTTCTTCTCCGCGACCGCGTCGTTCACCGCATCCATGAGCTCTTCCGGGGTCACCGCGTTCATGCCCACCGCGTCTTGCATCTCGCGTTGCAAATCTTCGATCGAACCGAACAACGCGCCGGTTTGGCGCTCGGCCACTTGTACGCCCTCCATGGAAACGATGCGCGCCGTTTGCGCCAACGTGGACTGATCAAAGTTCTGAATGTATTGCTTCAGAGTGAGTTGACTCCCCGTCCCGCTCGAGGGGGCGCTGTCGCTGAACAAGTCGAAATCCTCGCCGCCAAAGTTTTGCGGCGCCGCGTCAGCCTCGTCGATGGAATCCATCGCGCTGGCGCTGTTGAACAAGCGTTCGAGCGCCATGGCGCTCTCCATCGGGTCCATGGGCAAAGTGCCCACCATGCGATCGAGCTGGAACCGCTTATCCGCGCGCGTGACAAAGTATCCAAACATGATCGACGCCGCGTACACCTGCGCCGCCTGAAGCTTGGACATCCGCACGAGCTGCGACGAGTACGCGTTCTCCCCCGCCCCTCCCAACACGGCCATCAGGTGTTCTCGCACCATGTCCAGCGCCTCCTTGCTGTGCACGCCGTCCGTCAACCGATTCAAATCGATCCCCTTCAGCATCGTCGTCTCGTCCAACGGCGGCAACATATCCACGCCGACGCTCAAAAACTTTTGAATGATCGTCGTGTACATGATATCCTCCAGCCCGTTCCTCCGCTCCAGCGCCCGCACGTCCGCGATTCGTTTAAACAGCACCAACTGCTCCGTCTTCGCCTCCTCGCTCGCGCTCTTCGCCTCGCGTTCGACTTCCTCGCCCAGCCCGTCCAACTGCGAATCCACCGCCGCGTCGAACATCTCCGGCGCCGTTCGCAGTATGTACGCCAGCTGCTGCCCTCGCGGGCTCTCCGGCGTGCTCGGCGCTTTCAGTCCCGCCGCTGGATTCGTCTCCGCGTCCCCGAAGCCGTCGCCGCGTCCCGTCGCGCGCGCGCGTCCCGTCGCCCTCGCCCTCGCCGCGCGTCCCGCGTCCCATCGTCCGCGCGCGCGCGTCGCCGTCGCGCGCGCGCGCGCGCGCGTCGCCTCGAGCGTCGCTCGACCGATCGTCGCCGTCGCCATCGCCGTCGCGCGCGTCGTCGCGCCGCGTCGTCGTCTGTCGACGCGCGGCGAAACAATTTCCAAAACATTCGCGCGTCGCCACCGCGCGACGCGCGACGACGGCGACGCGCGCGCGTCGCGCGAGCATGGCGACGCGCGCGCTTCGCGCGATGGCGACGCGCGCGACGCGCGCGACGGCGACGGCGACGCCGACGCTTCGACAATCGATGACGGCGCTCGTGCGACTCGTGCACCCGGACGTGCTCGCGGCGACGCACCCCGAGCACGCGCGCGCGAACGGCGACGCGCTGGCGCACCTGCAGGGGACGCTGGACGACGCGCGCGGGCGAGGGGCGCTGCCGGGGGCGAGGGTGCGGCGATTGCGATTTTACGTGCGGGACGACGCGCGCGCGGAGGGCGTGCGAGACGTCGGGTTCACGCTGCGCACGACGGGAGGGGACTGTCGAAACGTGATGCGACGGGATTTGGGCGCGCTGTTCGCGCAGGTGGGGATCGAGCGGGAGTTCGAGTGGGGGGAGGGCGATTGGGGCGCGACGCGGACGGAGACGGAGGCGGAGGACGAAGGCGCGCGAGGACGCGGGGAGGGCGAGACGTCGAGGTCGAGCGAGACGCCGGAGGTGGCGCAGGCGTACAGAGAACAGACGACGACGAACGCGGGGGGCGGTGGGACGCGGACGAGGGACGTGCACGAGGCGCTCAAGGCGTTGGATCCCGCGTTCGAGGGCGTCGCCGCCGTCGCGTGGTTGCGCGACGCGAGCGAAAACGCGGACGAGGGCGAACGGAAGCGCATCGTCATGTTTGAGGTGATTCCGCATCTCGTGCGCGAGGGATGGAATCTGAAGGGCGAGACGCTGGAGGCGATTTGGCGCGGCGAACGCGACGAGAAGGTTTTATTGGACGGGTTGGACGGCGGCAGCGCGTTGGCCGTCGTGTCCATTTTAAAGCACACGAAGAATCTCGAGCGCATGTACGGACCAGCGCCGCGGAAGGATTAGGACGTAGAATCGATCGTCCGCTAGGTACGAGTAGGTAGCGCTTGTGTAAATAGTTAGCGAAAGATGTCGAGGTGATGTATCGTTACAAACAAGTGCGTCGTCGTGATAATTCAGAATATTTGCGCGTTTCCTTGGCGAAGATTTTCGTTATCGTCTCGTTCGTAAGCGACCACGTAGCACTCGCGTTCGAATTCTTGAAGCGAGTTGAAAATGAGCTCATCGCGCGCCACGTAGGAAGTCACGCGCTCGTCGTCGTAAGTCTTCCACGCCTTCGATTTGCGCTCGCGGATGTGCGCGACGAAGTGCCCGAGCTCAACCGTGTTCCCGTGGTGCGAGATGACGGCGAGCAAGTCGAACGGTCTCGTAGCCGCCACCGATCGCGTGTTGTGACGCTTCACACCCGGGGTATCGGGCGAACTTTTGGACGCGTTGTTAGCGTGTTCGAGATCCGAATCGTCTCCAGACGATTTGGGGACGACGATTTCGGCGGCGGCGGATCCAGCGTGCATCAGCGACATCTTTGAAGGAAGACGAATCGAAGCCGTGAGCTTTTGCAAACGCAACACACCGCGCGCTATCACCGCATTGAATCGCTTGAGGTGCAAGAGGAGGAATTTCGGCTCTGAGACGATTTGTCGAGTCGAGATTGCGAACAAGCATCCACACGAACACTTGCGTTCGAGCTTTTCTGGAATGAAGTACCGATCGAGCAGCGCGTCGACAGACTCGTTCTCGTCGATGATGAGCTGCAACGTCAGCATGTACATCGATTCGTCCATCACGCTCCTTTCGCCGCAGCTGACGCACGATAGCGCGTGCTCGATGCGCCACGCGAAGTTTTGTCGACTCGGACAGTGCGCCGCGTCGTCACCCATTTCGCGCTCGATCGTGTCCAACATTTGCGTCATGAATTCCATTGCGTCGTGTTGATCGAACTCTCCGTACTCGTCCCGCACGCGACCCATTTCGCGCTTCACGCCCGACGCGCTCAACTCGCTCGCGTCCGATCTGAAAAACTCGCCGAGCGCGGCGAGTAACGGTTTACCGTCCTCGTCTCCAGACACCTCGTGAACCGACTCCACGAATCCACGCATGCTTCGCAACAACTGCAAAGACGCGGCGATGTAGCACGAATTCCCTAAATTTTCAATCCCGCCCGTCTCGCGCGCCGGTCGCCGTCGCTCGCTCCGCGCCGTCTCGCGCTCCCACGCCGACATGTGCTTCCCCTCGCTCGCCACCCCTCGCCACATCTGCGCGTCGAACCCCTCGCATCGAGTCCTTTTCTTTCTCTCGTACGTCACGACGTCGTGATTCACGCGCGCCGCGCCGCGCGTGAACGATCGATCCCGGTCGCCGCCGTATCCGCGCGCTCGCGCCGCCTCGGTCGTCTCGGACCAATCGAGCGCGTTCGCCCGCCCCCACGCCTCCGTCGCGTCGCGCCGCATCGCCTCGTCGCGCCGGTACGCGTCGTCGATCGCGTCGTCCGCGATCGCGTCGTCCGCGAACGCGAACCACGCGCTGAGATCGCGCGCGTCGCTCGGCGACGCGTCGTCGAACAATCGTCGATTGGTGTCCTCGGACGCGACGACGGGCGTCTTCAGCGGCAACGCGCCGCGGTTCGCGCGCGGTTCGCGCGGCGCGCGCGCGGCGCGCGCGCGTCTCGATTTCGCGCCGCCGTAGCCGCGGCCGCGGCCGCCGCCGCGCGCGCGCGCGTCGTCGTCGTCGTCGGTGACTCGCATCGAGTCGTCGCGAAGTGACTTCAGTCGGCGGCGCGCGGCGCGCGGCATGCCGCGCGACGACGCGCGCGCGAGAGACTATCGCGTGCTCTACGACCGCGACGCGCGCGCGCTGCGCGATAATCACACCGATCCGCGGACGTTTCTCGCGCGCATGCGATTGAACAAAAGCGTCAAGACGCGGTCGTTCGCGACGAGCGCGCGCGCGGCGTGGACGATCTCGCAGCAGTGCGCGGTGGTGGTGATACACAGCGGCGCGCACGGCGCGATCGCGGACGGCGCGGTGCGCGCGCGGACGCTGGTGCGGTGGGAGACGCGGGCGCTGGGCGTCGGGCTGGCGGCGTGGGCGCTGGGCGGCGACGGATCGAGCGCGGAGGGATCGGTGAAGCTCGGGCGCGCGGGAAGGGCGTGGCGGTCGATTCGATTGGGCGCGCTCACGCTCGGGGGGCTCGTGGCGCTGACGCCGCTGTGTCAGACGATGACGGCGGCGGTGAGCGACGATACGGCGGCGACGTGCGCGACGCTCGCGCTCGCGCTCTACGCCATCACGTACGATTACGCGTTCGTGAATCTCGAGACGAAACAGCTCGCGAGTTCGTTTTCGCTCGGAGCGTCCATGTTCGCGTCGTTGCTCATGGCGAGTCGTTTGGACGATCCCGCGAGCGTCTTCGCCGACGTCTTGCTCGCGCTCGAGTGTTACGTGTTATCGCCGTACGTCTGGCGCGCCATTCGCGCCTTCTCCACGACGCTTCATCTCGTCGTGGTGTTCGCACTACACATCATCGCGTTCACCGTCGCGCGGGCGCGCGACGAGACTTTGGCGTGGGCGTACGTCGTCGGCGTCTTTCTTCTCGCCGTCGTCGCGCCGGCGTCGCTCGTTCGGCTCGCCGCGAGCGGTAAGCGTCAAATCGCCGGTCCGTGGGACGAGGCGTTGCCCAAGCTGTATTTATTCAAGGACACCGTGCGCGCGGCCGGGGTGCCGCGGTACCGCCACTGGGCGGCGAACAAGTAGCCTTAGCTCTCTAGCCGACGTCTCTCGCGCTCTCGCGCGCCGCGTCTGTAATTTCTTTCTTCTAAACCCTCAGTGTGGGTCCGGCGCTGAGATCGTCAGAGCGCGACGCCTCGCGCTTTCCAACTCGCGTCTTCGGCGATCGAGCGACGCAACACTTCCTCCCGCCGCGTCTCCGCGCGCGCGCTCGCCCCGAGCGCGCGCACCGCGCGCGGAAAGTGTCGTCTTCTCGAACGATCGCGCCGAAGCACGAAATCTTGCGCGCGCATTTTCTCACGAAATGAGCGTTCACGATCGGTTCCCGCACTCGACCGCGGAGCTGTGCCGCGTAAACGCGGTGCAGTTTGGGGTGTTGTCGCCCGATGAGATCGTACGTGCATCGAACGCGCGCGCGCGCGAAGCGAAGGCGCGAAAGAGCGCCGGCGCGGGAGATCTTCGAGAGGGCGAGGCGGCGAGGGCGAACGCGCGACGCGGGCGACGAAGGCGAGCGAGCGCGCACTGACCGAACGTGAAACTTTCGCGCGATAGCGTAAAATGTCCGTGTGCGCGATCGAGACGAGCGAGACGTACGAGAAGGGTAGACCCAAGCGAGGGGGTTTGTCCGATCCGCGCATGGGGACGATGGATCGCGGCGCGGTGTGCGAGACGGACGGGTGCGACAGCGTGCAGACGCCGGGTTACTTTGGGCATCTTGAGTTGGCGAAACCGGTGTACCATCATGGGTTCATCAACGTCGTGTTGAGAATTCTGAGATGCGTCGGATACTCGTCTTCGCAATTGTTGCTGCACAAGGACGAGGACCCAAAGTTTGCGCAGTTGATGCGAATCAAGAACCCGAAAAACCGATTGAAGAAACTCACCGACGCGTGTAAAACCAAGAGCGTGTGTCCGTACACCGGGACGGCGCAACCGCAGTATCGTTTGGAGGGAATGAAGATCACCGCCGAGTTCAAGCACCGCGACGAGGAGCTGTTGCCGGAAGGTGGCGAACGCAAGGTGATCGTCACCGCGGAGCGCGCGTTACAGATCTTGAAGGCGATTTCTGACGAGGATTGCCGTGCGCTGGGTCTCGACCCCGAGCACGCGCGTCCGGATTGGTTCATCTTGCAAGTGATGCCCGTGCCGCCGCCGCCGGTTCGTCCGTCGGTGTCGTTCGACGCTTCCACGCGCTCGGAGGACGATTTGACGGTCAAGCTCATGGAAATCGTGAGAACGAATAAAAATTTAGAGAGACAAGAACAAAATGGAGCGCCGCAGCACGTCATTTTAGAATTTACAGAGCTGCTTCAGTATCACATCATGACCTTCATGGACAACACGGTGGCTGGCATGCCGCGAGCGCTCACGCGCAGCGGCCGAAGCATTAAATCCATTTCAGAGCGTTTGAAGGGCAAGGCGGGTAGAATTCGAGGCAACTTGATGGGTAAGCGCGTGGATTTCTCTGCGCGTACCGTCATTACGCCCGATCCAAACTTGATGCTCGACGAGCTCGGAGTTCCGTGGTCCATCGCGTTGAACATGACGTATCCGGAAACCGTGACGCCGTACAACATCGATCGCCTTCAACGATTGGTCGAGAACGGCCCGCATCCACCTCCTGGTGAGACCGGTGCGCGTTACATCATTCGTGAGGATGGTCAGCGACTCGATCTTCGCTTCTTGAAGAAGTCGAGCGAGAAGCGTCTCGAGTACGGTTACAAAGTTGAACGTCACATGGTGAACGGAGACGTCGTCCTGTTCAATCGTCAACCTTCTTTGCACAAGATGTCCATCATGGGTCATCGCGTCCGAATCATGCCTTACTCGACGTTCAGATTGAACTTGTCTGTCACGCCGCCATACAACGCTGATTTTGATGGGGATGAAATGAACATGCACCTTCCGCAGTCTTACGAGACACGCGCGGAGGTGAAGGAGTTGATGATGGTACCGAAAATGATCGTATCGCCCCAGGCCAACAAGCCCGTGATGGCTATCGTGCAAGACACCTTGTTGGGTTGCCGCTTGATCACGAAGCGCGACACCTTCATCACAAAGGACGTCTTCATGAACATCATCATGTGGTTGGAGGATTGGGACGGGAAGGTGCCGAAGCCGGCTATCCTCAAACCCCAACCTTTGTGGACTGGTAAACAAGTGTTTTCGATGATGTTACCGAAGGTGAACTTGCTTCGCACGAGTGCGTGGGCCAAGGACTCCGACGACATGGCTTTCAGCGTGGACGACACCGGTGTCCGAATTGAACAAGGCGAATTGCTCACCGGGACGCTGTGCAAGAAGACTATGGGTAGCGGCGGTGGCGGTTTGATCCACGTGACCTGGGAAGAGTGGGGTCCCATCGCCGCACGCGGGCTCATCTCTCAGACGCAGACGCTCGTCAACTACTGGGTGCTCCACCACGGTTTCACCGTCGGCATTGCGGATACCATTGCGGACGACGAGACAATGTTCTCCATTAACAACACCATCACCAAGGCTAAAGCTGACGTGAAGGAAGTCATCAAACTCGCACAAAACAATGAACTCGAGTTGCAACCGGGTATGACGATGCAACAATCGTTCGAACAGAAGGTGAACCAAATCTTGAACAAGGCGCGTGATAACGCTGGTAACTCGGCGCAAAACTCGCTTATGGATACCAACAATGTCAAGATGATGGTGACGGCCGGTTCGAAGGGTTCGTTCTTGAACATTTCGCAGATGATTGCGTGTGTAGGACAACAAAACGTAGAAGGAAAACGTATTCCGTACGGTTTCAAAGGCAGAACATTGCCGCACTTTAGCAAGGATGATTTCGGTCCCGAGTCGCGTGGTTTCGTCGAGAACTCGTATTTGCGTGGTTTGACTCCTCAGGAGTTCTTTTTCCACGCCATGGGTGGCCGAGAAGGTTTGATCGATACTGCAGTTAAGACGTCTGAAACTGGTTACATCCAACGTCGTCTTGTCAAGGCTATGGAGGACGTGGTTGTCAAGTACGACGGCACTGTGCGTAACAGCGTCGGCGACGTCATCCAGTTCTTGTACGGCGAGGACGGCATGGACGCGACCATGATTGAAAGCCAATCCATCGATACGTTGCGTTTCAGCGTGAAGGAGTTCGCGGCGAAGTTCCACATCGATCCAGATGTCCCGGGCTTTAACAATGGCTGGTTGAGCGAGGAGCAAGCGAGCGAACTCGCGCACACTGCAAAGGTGCGCGAGATTCTTGACGCAGAATGGGATCGACTTCAGCGCGACCGAGTCGAACTGCGAACGATTTGTCCCACAGGGGATCCTCACGTGCACTTACCAGTGAACATGAAGCGTATCTTGTGGAATGCACAAAAGCAGTACGGCCTGTACCGACCGGATTCTGGCGAAGAAGAGGTCAAGGTGACGCACATCATCGAGAGCGTCGCTGAACTTTTGCCGAAGCTCATCGTGGTGCCTGGTACAGATCCGTTATCCGTCGAAGCGCAAAGAAACGGTACGATGCTATTTTTCGCGCACGTGCGCGCCAATTTGGCAGCCAAGCGCGTGCTGAAAGAACACAAGCTCACGCGCGCCGGCTTCGACTGGGTCATCGGCGAAATCGAATCACGCTTCAAGATGGCACTTGCGCCGCCCGGTGATGGTATTGGCACGGTTGCCGCGCAATCAATCGGTGAGCCGGCGACGCAGATGACGTTGAATACGTTCCACTTCGCCGGTGTGTCCGCCAAGAACGTGACCCTTGGTGTGCCGCGCTTGAAAGAAATCATCAACATCGCGAAGAGCATCAAGACGCCAAGCTTGACGATCGCACTCAAGCCAGAGTTAGCTGGTGACAGAACGAGAGCGAAGGACTGTCAAGCGAGCCTAGAGTACACCACGCTCCACAGCGTTGCCGCAGTCACCGAGGTTCACTACGATCCAGATCCCACGGACACTGTCATCGAGGAAGACCGCGAATTCGTTCGCGCGTACTACGAAATGCCAGACGAAGACGTTGACCCGTCGCGCATGTCCCCATGGTTGTTGCGTATCGAGCTTAACCGTGAGATGATGGTAGACAAGAAGCTCCTCATGGCGGATGTTGCGGAGAGAATCAACGAAGATTTCGCCGGCGACTTGAGCTGCATCTTCAACGACGACAACTCTGAAAAGTTGGTGTTGAGAATTAGAATCATGAACCCCGAAGGCGTGAAATACGAGGACGCCTCGACCGAGGACGAAGTATTCTTGAAGCGTCTCGAGACGCAGATGTTGAGCAACCTTGCATTGCGCGGTATTCCAGACATTAAGAAGGTTTTCATCCGCGAAGCCAAACAAAACGCCATCAACAGCAAGACGGAGCTCTTCGAGAAAACCACCGAGTGGATGTTGGACACCGAAGGCGTCAACTTGCTCGAAGTCATGGCACATCCGGACGTCGACTTCACGAGAACTACATCTAACCACTTGATTGAAGTGATTCAAGTTCTTGGCATCGAAGCGGTGCGCAATACGCTCTTGCGTGAGTTGCGTGGTGTGATTGAGTTCGACGGTTCGTACGTGAACTACAGACATCTCGCGATTCTCGTCGAAGTGATGACATACCGTGGTCACTTGATGTCGATTACGCGACACGGCATCAACCGCGTGGAGACCGGTCCGCTCATGCGCTGCAGCTTCGAAGAAACTGTCGACATTCTCATGGAGGCGTCGGCGTTCTCTGAGCGAGACAATATGACTGGGCCGAGCGAGAATATCATGCTCGGGCAGTTCTGTCCGATCGGTACCGGGGAGTTCAAGCTGCACTTGAACGACGAGTTGTTACAAGATGCAGTTGAGTTAGAACTGTTCGGGGATGGATCTAGGACCCCTGGACACGGCGGAATGATGACGCCGGGGCGCGATGGAACGCCCGGTTGGGGATCAAAGTCGCCGAGTTTCTTGTTGAGTCCAGGTGGACATCAAAGTCCGTTCGATACAAGCATGGCATTCTCGCCGTACTCCGATGGCATGGCGTTCTCACCGGGAATGTCCCCTGGTGGTTTTGGAGGTTACTCCCCCACGAGTCCAGCGTATTCTCCGACGAGCCCAGCATACTCCCCCACGAGTCCGGCGTACTCGCCCACGAGCCCAGCGTACTCGCCCACGAGTCCAGCGTACTCGCCCACGAGCCCGGCTTACTCGCCCACGAGTCCAGCGTACTCCCCCACGAGTCCAGCGTACTCCCCCACGAGTCCGGCGTACTCGCCCACGAGCCCAGCGTACTCGCCCACGAGTCCAGCGTACTCGCCCACGAGCCCGGCTTACTCGCCCACGAGTCCAGCGTACTCCCCCACGAGTCCAGCGTACTCCCCCACGAGTCCGGCGTACTCGCCCACGAGCCCAGCGTACTCCCCGAAAGAGGAAGAAGAAAACGAAGAAGAATAGAGGAAAGGAGACAACTGTTTGTTTTAATGCATCACTGCACAGTTACGTTGCACAAGATTTTGTTTACAACAACTTTCGGCGCCGCGCTCGATTATAATAAACTGTTCACAGTTTTGACTGTGGGCGCGTCATTTCTTCAGGCTTTATCCATTCATCGAACTGTTCGTTCGTCAGTAAACCGAGCGCGATGCCAGCTTCGCGTAAAGTTAAACCTTCGGCGTGTGCTTTTTTCGAAATTTTTGCGGCGTTGTCGTACCCGATCTTCGGCAGCAAGCTGGTGACGAGCATTAAGCTGCTTCGCATGAGCGCGTCGATGCGCTCGATGTTTGGTTCGATACCAACGACGCAGTTTTGCGTGAAGCTGATGACCGAATCAGAAAGGAGCGCGATGGAGTTCAGGTTGTTGTGAGCGATCAGAGGCTTAGCTACGTTGAGCTCAAAGTGGGAGCTCGCGGAACCGCCGATGGTGACCGCGAGATCGTTACCGATGACTTGCGCGCACACCTGCATCAGACTTTCGCACTGCGTCGGGTTCACCTTACCAGGCATGATACTGCTTCCGGGCTCGTTTTCAGGCAGCTGAAGTTCGCCGAGTCCGGCGCGAGGTCCAGAGCCGAGAAGACGAATATCGTTGGCAATTTTCAACAACGAAATCGCGATAGTCTTCAACAGACCGGACAGCGCGGACTGCGCGTCGTGTGCGGCGAGCGCCTCAAACTTATTTGGCGCGCTCACGAACGGCAAACCGGTTAATAGGGAGATTTCCGCCGCCATCGCCTCGCCGAAACCTGGTGGCGAGTTTAGCCCCGTGCCGACGGCGGTGCCGCCGATGGCGAGCTCGAGCAAGTGAATGAGCGCACCTTTGGCGCGCACGAGAGAATTCTTGCACTGTTGCTCGTACCCACTGAATTCTTGCGCGAGCGTGATCGGGACGGCGTCTTGAAGATGCGTTCTGCCGATTTTCACTATGCCTCCCCACGCGAGCACTTTCTGGTGCAACGCCTCCTGCAGCATTTTCAACGCCGGAATCAGCCGCTCTTGCACTTCGTGCGCGGTGGCGATGGACATAGCGGTCGGAAACGTATCGTTACTCGACTGCGATTTGTTGACGTGATCGTTCGGGTGAATCGGAGACTTGGTCCCGACGGCGCCGCCGAGCACGCGCGAATTCGCGTAATTCGAGATGACCTCGTTCAGATTCATGTTCGTCTGCGTCCCACTTCCCGTTTGCCACACGGCGAGCGGAAAATGATCATCCAACCGTCCCTCCACCACCTCCCGCGCCGCCTTTCGAATCGCATCCGCCAATCTCGGCTCCAGTCCCCCCGCCCGTTCGTTCACCGTCGCCGCCGCGTACTTGACGATGGCCAAGCTTCGCACGATCGCCACCGGCATCTTCTCCCCCCCGATCCTAAAATTCTGCAGCGACCGCTGCGTCTGCGCCCCCCACAGCTTATCCGCGGGCACGCGCACCTCTCCCATCGTGTCCGTCTCGACGCGCCACCCGCGCTCGCCCTCACCGCTCGCCGTCGTCGTCGGCGCGAGCGACGTCCCGTGCGCGACGATCCGCGTCTCGTCCCGCGCGTTCGACGCCCGCATCAGCTCCACCAACCGCTCCGCGAACGGCATCGCCTCTCGCGCGTCGCGTCGACCCGGTCGCGAGGATTCGATTCAATCCGCGTAACGACCCGCGTCGCGTCGCGCGCGCCGACTCGATCGAATCCTCGCGCGCGCGTCGCGCGTCGCGCGCGTCGCGTCGCTCGCGCGCGAACGGCGCGTCGCGCCCGTTTTTTATTCGCCGTCCGCGGCGTTCGCGCGTCGACGCGTGCCGACGCCGCGTCGCGTCGCGTCGCGCGACGCGTCGACGCGGCCGTTCGCGAATCGCGACGGTCGCGCGCGGCGCGCGAATCGACGTCGCCGCGCCCCGCGCGCGCGCGGCGCGACGCCCGCGACGCGCGCGACGGCGCGCGAAAATTTTTATCGCGCGTTTCGCGTCGACGCGCGCGCGCCGGGCGTCGCGACGGCGATGCGGCGGCGCATCGCGCGCGCATCGCGCGCGCATCGCGCGTCCGCGACGCGCGGCACTGCGCGCCTCGCGACGTCTCGCGCGTCGATCCGACCGACGCGCGCGCGGACGGACGAAGAGCTCGGCGACGCGCGCGGCGCGGACGCACGACGAGCGCGGCGCGCGTCATCGCGCGCGTCGCGCGCGCGCGCGGCGCGAGCGCGAGGGGCGCGCGCGACGGACGGCGACGCGCGGCGACGACGCGCGCGATGACGAACGAGGCGAAGCGGACGAAGGCGCAGACGACGATCGCGACGCACGACGGCGCGTTTCACTGCGACGAGGCGCTCGGGTGTCACCTGCTGCGAAGGACGCGCGCGTTCGCGGGCGCGGCGATCGACCGCTCGCGAGACGGCGAGCGATGGGCCAAGGCGGACGTCGTCATCGACGTCGGCGCGGTGTACGACGCGGAGAAGAGGCTGTACGATCATCATCAGCGGGAGTTCGCGGAGACGTTCGGACGGGGGTTCGGGACGAAGCTGTCGAGCGCGGGGTTGGTGTACAAGCACTACGGGGAGGAAATCGTGCGCGAGGCGTTGACGCGAGCGAAGCGCGGCGAGGCGCCGGATGAGAAGACGGTGGAGAAGATTTACGTGAAGATGTACGAAGAATTCATCGAGGGCGTGGACGCGATCGATAACGGGGTGAACATGTACGATACGGATGCGAAGGCAAAGTACAAGGACAACACCGGGTTGTCGGCGCGCGTCAAGCGATTGAATCCGGCGTGGGACGAGCCCAATTCGCCGGAAAAGCAAATGGAACAGTTCGAAAAGGCGGTGGCGTTGACCGGGGGTGAGTTCGACGACGTGCTCGAGTACTACGCGAGTAAGTGGCTTCCCGCGCGCTCGCACGTGGAGAGCGCGCTCGACAAGGCGAAGAGCGTGCACGAGAGCGGCGAAATTCTTTACCTCGAGACATTTTGTCCGTGGAAAGAGCACCTTTACGAGCTCGAAGCCGAACGTCAGATGACGACGTTGCCGAAGTTTGTGTTGTGGCAAGACCCCAAAGGTTTCCGCGTGAGCACGATCTCCCTCTCGCCCTCGAGTTTTGAGTTTCGCAAAGGCTTGCCTACGGCGTGGCGCGGTCTTCGCGACGATGACTTGAGCAAGGCGTCGGGGATTCCGGGATGCGTGTTCATCCACGCCGCTGGATTCATCGGTGGCAACGCCACCTACGATGGCGCGCTCGCCATGGCCGTAGCGGGCTTACAGATGGATTAGAAGACAGACGATTTTAGAGACGCGCTTGTTGTCGTACGAACCCTCACAACATGCCTCCCAACATCCCGGGCGCGCGCCGCGGCGTGCGTCCGAGCAAAGGTTCGCGCAAAGCGAACGCCCGCGCGCACAAATTCTCCAAGCGCGCGTCCAAGCGCGGTGCGAGCGACGACGGTCGTCCCCGTCCCCGCGGCGGCTTTGGTCTCCTGGCGCTTGTCGGCGCCGGTGTCGCCGCGCTCGTCGGTTTCGTGCTCCATCAAGCCGCGGAGTACGAGCGCGAGAACGAGCGCGTGCGCGCGAGGCTGCGGTCGAAGCCTCGGGTGACGAGCGAGCACGCGGCGTGCCGCATGGAGTGCAGGTTCATCACGGCGGAGGAGGTCGAGCGCACGCTCGTGGACGGGAAAGTGGATGCGAGGCACAGCACGCCCAACGCGCGACCGTGTCCGAAAATAGCTCTAAACATGGGTCGCGTGCGAGCGGTTTGGGCGGATTGCGCGGACAGCACGAGGCTGGTGACGGCGATCGACGCGGAGACGAACCATCCGTGCGGGCCGTGCTGAGACGCGGGACGACGTAGTACATTTCAGAGGAGGATAGCGCGAGAGGAGAGCGATTGTAACATTAAGTAGCGCGAGGTAGAGAGATATCAAATCACTATGCGGCGCGTCGCGTTTTTCCCGCACGAACGGTGGACTTTTTGACATCGCCGTCGCCGCGACTCTTCGTATTCTTCGCGCGCTTCGTCTTGGTCTTCCTCTTCTTCGGACGCTTACGTCCGTTGGCGACCCAACGCCGAAATGCGCGCTGAATCGTGGTCGCCGAACGCACGCGCCGGAACTCTAAGAGACGCGCCTGCGCACGCGCTTCGCGCTTTGCTGCCGCCGCCCTCTCGGCGCGCTCGCGAATCGCTTCGACTTCGCTCGCCAACTGCGCGTTGGCGTTCTGAATCTCGCGCAAGACGTCGCGCGCGCCATCACACTTCACGTCCAATGCCGACATACGCGCGCGCGACGTCGCGCAGTCTCGCTCGGATGCCGCGCCTACTGCGCGCACGGCGGCTCGGTGCCGCTCGAGCGTCGTCGCCGAGCGCGTCTCCAGCGCCTTTAACTCCCGCCTCAAGTCATCAATCTCAGCCTCTCGCGCGCGCTTCGCAAACGCACGCTCGTGCGACAACGACTTTACGCGAACAGATATCTCGATCCTCGCCGTTCGAGCGGCGCGCGCGCGTCTACTCGCCCACATTCGCTCGACCGAAAATAGAAGCCCGGTAAGATTAGAATACCAGGCGTCTCGCGCAGCGGACGCCTCGTCGCGCGCGCGCGCCGTTCAAGGTTAAAATTCGCGAGATCAAAATCGCCACGCGCCGATTCGTCGCGCGGCGTGAGCGCGCGCGACCGCTTGAGGCCCAGCCGCGTCTTGAACTGAGGCTCGTTCGCGCCTGTAGCATACGAAACGCCACTACGACGCGTGACGCGTCATGCGCGCGCGACGCCGCTCCGCGACGCTCGCGTGCGTCGCGTCATCACTCGTGTCCGTCGTTCGCGCGCACTCCGCCGCCGAGTGCGCGGCGCTCGGCTTCGTGTCGTCCGAGTGCTCTGTGGATGCCTGCGATAATTTACGTTCGAAAACAGCGTCCGTCGCGCTCTACGACGAGTGCCGCGCGTGTTGCGCCGCCTCGAACGACGCCGCGGCGCCCGTGACATACGCTCGAGCGCTCGTTCGCGTGTGCTCGTGAAAACTGGGACGCTTTCCGGAGTTGAAGAAGTTTCAAACGGAGAGCTTGCCCGCGTTGCGCCAGACCCGCGACGTGCGGTTCGATTTAGTTCAAGGAATGTCACCGACGCTCACGATGTACGAAGACGCGGCGAGCGATAACAACGGCATCGACGTCGACGTCGGTAGCTGGAGTTCGGACGTCATCGTGGAGTATCTCAAATCAAAGTTGACGCCGAGCCCGGACGCGTCGTCGCGGTCCTCGCGAGACGAGCTTTAAGACGCCGCATCGCGCGAAACATAGACACACGGACATCGCGCCACGACGATCGGTCGTCGCGCGCCGTTAGATTAGCCCGCGTACGAGTCTTGGGCTTTGACGTTGACGAATTCGACGACGACCGCGCGGTGACTCGCGCTCGGCGAAACGCTCTCGATTCCGAGCCGCCGAGCGCGACGATACGCGGTCGTGCGTCGCGTCGCGTCCTCGTTTTCGACCGTCTCGCGCCTAGCGCCGCACCGTGTAATCACGGCATCACATTCGCTCGGCGAACGCGCTTCGTCGCGCGTTTTCGCGACGCCCTCGTCTCGCGTCTCGCCGCGACGTTTGCCTCGCGGCGCGAGAGCTCGATCGATCTTCACACTCGCGCTCGCGCCGCGTCCGCACGCGTCCGATCGTCCGCGCGCGCGCGATGACGCGTGCGAAACATCATCCCGCGCGGGCGCGCGGGCGTCGTTCCCCGCTCGCGCGCCTCGTCGCGCTGATTTCCTTCGCGTTCGTCGTCCGCGCGCGCCTCATCGTGGCGTCGTCGGATGACTACTATAAACTGCTCGGCGTCGATCGCAACGCGGACGAACGCACGCTGAAGAAGAACTATCGCATTCAGGCGCTGAAGCATCACCCCGATAAGGGCGGATCGCCCGAACACTTCGCGAAGATCTCCGAAGCGTACGAGGCGCTGACGGATCCGGAGAAGCGACGCGTGTACGACCAGTACGGCGCGGAGGGACTGCGGAACCAGCAAGCCGGCGGGCATCCGGGCGGCGGAGGCGGATTCGGTGGAGGTGGGTTCGGACATCCGGGAATGCGGTTCGAGTTTAATCAACGCGGCGGCGGGGGAGGTCCGTTCGGCGGGGGCGACCCGTTCGGGGACATTTTCGGCGACATGTTCGGACGCGGAGGCGGAGGCGGACGCGGAGGGCGAAGACATCCGCATCAGCAGCAGCGTCAGCAGCAACAGCGACCGAAGGAAAATTTATTCGATAAAAAGTCACCGGTGACGAGCTTGAGGCAAGGACGGTTTCCGGGGACGGATGCGAAGAATATTTGGTTCATTTCGTTTTACGCCCCGTGGTGCGGGCACTGTCAGCAGATGAAATCGCAGTTTGAGGAACTCGCGAAGGCGCTCAATGGGTTCGTTCGCGTCGGGGCGGTGAATTGCGAGAAGCAAAAAGGTCTCTGCGCGATGGAGGGCGTTGATTCGTACCCGACGCTTAAGCTGAAGAAAGCCGGCGTGAGCACGACGTACGATAGCGGCGGACACGGATTTCAACAAATGTACGACTGGGTGATGAATCAGCTTCCCGTGAGTTTTGCGAACTTGCGAAAGACGGTGCAGTTGGAGAAATTTGTCGCCACGGATTGCACGAAGTGGTCGTCGAGCGGGAGCGCGTGCGTCATCTTTTTGAACGACAAGCACGAGACGCCGGCTTGGTTTAAAGTCACCGCGTACGCGTTCAGGGACAGGATGCACATGGCGGAGAGTAGGAGCAACAATCTCGAAATGGGTTTGCATTTCGACGTCGTGAAGCAGCCCGTGCTCATGGTACTTTGCGACGGTGACATGGACAAGACGGTTGCATACGGTGGCAAGCTCGATCACGACATGAAGAGCGCCGAGGTGGAGAAGTGGCTCGAGTCGTACGCGAAGAGCTACGCGACGGGTTGCGCTCGCGTGAAAGCGGTGCCGAAACAAGGCCTCAAACTCGACCCTTCGAAGAATTACAGCAAGATGAAAGTGAGCGCGATCAAGGCGCTCATGCAAGTGCACTCGATTCCGTGCGTCTCATGCTACGAAAAGAGTGATTTCGTCAACGCGATCAACGCGTACATTGAAGAAAAGTTTCCTAAACCGAAATCGAAGAAGAAACGCGGATTCGGTGCGGAGTACTTGCACTCGTCGTTCGCGCACGACGATTTTTAGATTAGCTACGCGGTAATATTCTTTTACAACACACGAATTCGTTCGAGTTTTAATCGCCACTTCCCCAGGCGTCGCCGAAGGAGGCGGCTCCGGGCGCGCCGCGATTGTCGAACCCGCCCGGCCCGCCCGGAGGACCGAACTGCTGCGGCGGACGTGGGGGCACGGGATATCCCATAGCCTTGAGTAAAATGCGTGACATCTCTCCGTACAAATGCCCGCCGCGGTCTAGGAGCTGCAACAGCGACATGATGAAAAAATGCAACGCCTGCGTGTTTTCGTCGACGAGAAAGGAAATCTTCCCAAACAAGTGCACGACGGACGACAAAGAGTGCATGAGCGCCTGCCAACCCGTCAACGGCGGCGCGCCGGGCGGTGGACCACCGGGCCCATACGGTCCCATGGGTGGCTGCCCGTACATCCCGCCGCCGTACATCCCGCCGCCGTGCCCGCCGTACATCCCGCCGCCGTACCCGCCGTACATCCCGCCGCCGTACCCGCCGCCGTACCCGCCGCCGTACATCCCGCCGCCGTACCCGCCGCCGTACATCCCGCCGCCGTACATCCCGCCGCCGTACCCTCCGTACCCGCCGCCGTACATCGAATTTCCGTACGCGCCTCCCCGATACCCTCCGTACATCGAATTTCCGCCGTACGGCGCGCCTCCGTACGTCGTCCCCGCGTACCCGCTCGGCGACGCCCCGTGCGACGTCCCTCGATTCGTCGTCTCCCACGCTCGACTCTCCGGCGTCGCCGTCGTTCCCGTCGGATTATTCACCGTCGCCACGGGCGCTATCGCGCGAACGTCGTCGTCGTCGTCGTCGTCAGTCTCTCCGCGTTCGCCTTCGCCTTCGCCTTCGCCTTCGCGTCGCGTCGCCCGTTCGCTCGTTCGCGCACCGCTCGGCGTCTGTCCCGCCCCCGGCTTATCCCACGGTTTCACCGCGCTTCCGTCGGCCACCGGCGTGGACTTCACCGCCGTCTCGCCCGCGCCCGCCGCCGCGCGCCACGGTTTCGGCGGCGGCGGCGTCGCCATGCCGATTCCCCTCGACGATTCGATTCGTTCGTCGCGTCGCGCCTTCTCGCCGTCGTCGCGCGTTCGATCGCGACGGCGCGCGCGACGATCAACGCGCGCGTCGTCGCGCGTCGTCGCGGCGCGACGGAAGCGACGCGAGCCGACGCGAGCGCGCGATTGTGCGGCGAGTCAACGGCGTCGCGATTCCGTCGCCAGATCGCGCCGCGACGACGCGCGCGATGCCCGCGCGCGCGCGCGGACGCGCGACGACGCGCGCGGAGAACGCGTTCGTCGTCGCGCGCGATCGCGAGATCGGGCTGCGGCGCGCGCGCGACGAACGACGCGACGACGACGACGACGACGATAAAGGCGAGCGATTAGCGACGACGCGCGACGTCGAGCGCACGCCGCGACGCGACGACGCGCGCGCGAGGACGCGGAACGCGAACGACCGCGCGACGACGCGCGCGCGGTGCGAGGGGCGGATGCGACGATGGGCCGAGGACGACGCGCTGCGGCGGGTGAGCGGACGGTACTGCCCGTTCGAGCCGGCGCCGCGAAGCACGATCGCGGTGGCGTACAGCGCGGACGGGAAGACGCTGGCGAGCACGCACGGCGATCACACGGTGAAGCTGATCGAGTGCGCGACGGGGAGGATGGTGCGGACGCTGGAGGGACACGGAAGGACGCCGTGGGTGGTGCGGTTTCACCCGACGAATTCAGACGTGCTGGCGAGCGGATCGCTGGATAACACGGTGATCGTGTGGGATCGGGCGAGCGGGGTGATGACGGCGCGGTGGGACTTCGGGAAGAGCATCGCGAGCCTGGCGTTCTTTCCAGGGAGCGATATTTTGTGCGTCACGTCGGGGCACAGGCTGTACGCGTGGAAGTATAAAAAGTACAAGTTTAGAGAGCAGGTGAACCCCGATGGGAGCGCGGTGAGCGCGCAGGACGCGATCAAGGTGCTGCTGCGAACGACGCGGTCGCTGCGCGCGGTGCACTTTCATCCCACGGGGGCGCCGATGATTCTCACGGCGGAGGTTCGCGACATGGACGCGGACGCGCTCGGTCCGGCGTACACTAAGGATGTGGAAGGGGGTTATGATCAAGAAGCTGGGGTGTATTGCGCGCGCGACGACGTCGTCGAAACGGCGCGGTCGAGATTAGAGACGGAGCTGGAGCTCGGAACGGCCACGAGCGGCCGCCGACGTAGCCTCAACGCCCAAGGAGACGCGATGTGGCGAGACCGAGCGAACGCGCCGGCGAACGTCGAAAACGCGCCCGAGGCGACGCGGAAGTACGTGCACGAAATGTTAGGGTTAGGGAATCGTAGATACGCCACGTATTCCATGACGCAGATGATGGGACGGATCACGAGCGCGCCCATGCGAGCCGCGCACGAGGAGCGAAACGACGAGGGCGCCGACGCTCGAGGCGCTCGGCGTTTGCAGCCAGAAGCGAGAGCGGGAGGGATGCCGCAACAGATGCCGCAACAGACGGCACCGATCGTCGCCGCGGCGAGCGCATCGACGATGGCGTCGCCAGACTTGCCGTGTATCGTCAAGCTCAAGCTTTGGGAGTTTGAAACGCAATTGGACGAGGATGGCGAGATTGAACTCAAACCTCTCGAGGAGCTACCGTTCGTGTTACCACAAACAGTGCTATGTAGCGAGATGGGTGCGCACTTTTCACCGTGCGGACGGTACATCGCGACCTGCCAGGCGTGTAAACCGCCCGTACCGAGGCAAGATTTACGATTTATTTGCGAGCTGCGAGTGTACTCGCTCGATTCACAAAATTTCGGTCAAGTCCTGAGCGCGAGGGCCATCAAGGCGGCGCAGTGCTTGACGAGCATCCAGTTCAGTCCAACGAGCGCACACGTACTTTTGGCATACGGCCGTCGACACGCTGCGCTGGAAATTCTCATGCCGCATGGTGATTCGTTTTCCCAAGTGCACACCATCCTCGAGGTGTTTTGCACTGAGAACATGCGTCTCGTGCGGATCATTCCATCCGTCGAGGACGAAGTCAACGCCGCGTGTTTTCACCCGATCCCAGGGCAGGGTATCGCGTATGGCACCAAAGAAGGCCGGCTTCGAGTTTTACTCCACGACAGCTCTCCGAAGAGAGCGGAGAAGAGATTATTGGCCGATGCCGCGGGCGACGATTCACCGCTCACCGTGTCCCGTCGCGATTCTCACGCCATGGACATCGACGAGTGAGCGCGACGGGTACACCGAACCCATCCCATAGTTGTATCACACACTGTATCACCCCACCTTGTATTCGAACACGTTTTGTCTAGTCTTCACTTTCATCGCGTTCCCCGAGGCGCTGCTGCCGACGTCGCGGCGTCGCGTCGTTCCGATATCTGGGCCCAACTCCCGCGAAATCCGCATACACGCGCGCGCGACCGCGTCGATGGTGCCAAAACCCTAAGCATAAAATTCCATGTCGATCGACATCGTCACGCGCGCGTCGCCTCGCGCCCGTTCGTCGCGCAAACTGTTTCAGGAAGACGTTGACGGTGGCAACGCCGCGAGCTCCAACGCCACCACACTCGAACCGAGCGCGCGCATGCGCCAACCGTACGCTTGGCCAGCTTTGTGGATATTTCCCGTCGCCGTGTTGTTTCTCGCGTTGTTGTTCCGGGGCATTCGATGCGGTCGCCGTGGTCGCCGATGCCAAAGGCTGTGCTTCGGCGACGATTCAGATTCCAATGACGACGACGTCGAGTTGGGCGATCGACGCGCGAGCGAATCGGGAGAATCCGACGCCGCGATCACACCAATCGTGCCAGACGCGGATGTCCACGAGTTCCTTCGCGTGATGCGACGGGCGGAATCTCGCAGAGCGCCAGGTCGATGGACGCACGACGCCGCGTTCGATCCGGGGACGTGGCGCCAGTTAGCCGTCGCTCGCGAGCTCGAGCGACAACGACGTTTGCGCGACAACGACGAAGCGTCGACGCATCGTCAACCGCTCGTTGGTTTACCCGATCGTCTCGTTCGCCGCGCGAGTACATTTGAAGAGCTCAACAAAGCGCGCGTCGGCCCCGCGTCGAGAACCGCTCTCCGCAGCTTGCCGCGCTGCGTCGTCGGCAGCCCGCGCTGGTTTCAATTCCTCCGAGCGAACGGCCACATCGAAGTCAAGATCATCGACGGCTCGGTTCGCCACGTCAAGGACTGCGCCGTCGCCGAGTGCGCGATCTGCACCGAAAGTTTCGAAGACGAGGACTTGGCCCTCGTCCTCAAGTGCGCGCACGCGTTTCACGACGAGTGCTGCACGCATTGGCTTAAAATTCACGCCTCGTGTCCCATATGTCGCGAGGAGGTCACGCGCATGTCCCTCGTCGACCGTCACGACGTTTTCACGCGTCGGCGCCGGCGGTACGTGCGCGACGACGCCGAGGCCGCGTCGCGCGGCGCGGCGCCGTGAGCGGGACGCTCGCGAACAGACGCCGAGGCACTCGACGTCGCCGCACACGGCCGCGCGCGGTCGACGCCTCGCGCGCGCGCGCGAAACGAAAGATCGAACCAATCGACGACGTTGTGATACGAACGTGCGCGCGCAAACCGAGCGAACGACGCGAAAACGGCGCGCAAACGTTCACGCGGTTGAAATTACGAATCGGTTTGAATGAGTTCTCCCGCGCGTAAACGCGGCGCTGAGAACGCGTCGCCGGGCCTGTGCACGCCCACGGATGCGTCGCCGGAGACGTCGATCGCGACGCCGCACTACGGCGAGCGGGAGAGCGGTAATAAACGAGGACGGGTGAAGAAGGATGATGAGACGGGGGCGAGCGGACGAGAGTCGAGCGGACGAGAGTCGAGCGGCGAACGGGCGTCTCGATCGTCCGTGCGTCAGGTAGCGGTGAAGATGCATCTGGACGCGACCCGAACGCGAATGCGAGAGCTGTGCGCGGATTTGGCGGCTAATTACGAACGGGCGAGGCGCGCGAGGTAGGGATTCCGGACGATTGCGCTCGAATCGCGTCGGGTCGGACGCTCGGCGCGAACGGCGATGACGCGCTCGGACGATCGCGCGCGAGAAAGACACTGACGCGTTGGATGTATTGATCATTACAGTGCCCACGCCGCTCGCGAAGAGGCGAGATTGGCCGCGGAAGATATTTTAGACGAGCTCGAGGAAGTGGAACGGTACGTTTGAACGCACGAAAGACCCGAACCGTTTGAACGGGCACTGACTTCGTTCTTTTTCGCGTCCTTTGCAGGCGACTTCGTGCGATCGGTGACGACGAACCCGCGGTGGCGGCGATGTTGACGTACTTGTCGTTCGTGCGACGAAAGTCGCGAACGATGGTGACGTTGAACGACATCAACGAGGACACCCTGCAACTCATTTTGCGGCGAATCGAAGCGCCGTCGCCGAAAGAGTTACTCGCGCTTTCGCTCGTCAACAAACGGTTTCGCGCGGCGATCCGAAGCCCTACTGTGTGGCATACGCTCGATCTCAGCCGACATGCGGCGACGATGACGAACAAAGTGTTGTACGGGATAGTCAAGGACGACAACGCGTTCGCGTCCATCGAAGTGCTGAACTTGAGCGGGTGTTCGCAACTCACGGATCTTTCAGTGTTGAAGGTGTTGAACAAGTGCCATCACACCATTCGAGAGATCGATTTGAGTGGATGCGAACTCTTGACGCTCGAAACCGCGGAGTACATCGGCTTCCACTGCCACGAGCTCGAGCGACTCGACCTCACGGGCTGCAAGCGCGTGCCGACGACGTTTTTGTTTCAGAACCTTCCCATCATGCAGTTGAACCTCAAAGACTTGCGCGTCAAAGGGACGAAGCATCTCAACGGGCGCGTTGACGAAGTCGACTTTGAAGATCTCGTGGACGCCATCGCGAAATACGTTCGTTGGCTTCAATCGTTCGATGGGACAGTCTTTGACAAGGGTGACGTCCGAGACGTGATGGAGCTCGTCCACGTGTGCGAGGAGCACCTCGAGTTTTGGCGAAGTGGGAATGCGGTCGCGATCTGTGATCACGCGAGTGAATTACAAAACAATGATCCAACGAGCACGCCCATGTGTACCATCTTTCCGGAGTGCGGTCACGTCATGTGCGTCGAGTGCTCGGCCGTGGAGCGCCGAAACATGATGCGCGAGGGCGGACGTTACGTCTACCCGTGCTCACATTGCGCGCACCCAGTGCGTTTCATGCCCGCGCCGGGCGGATTTGAAATTGTCGTTCACTCGCCCGAAGACTTCAAAAAGCTGCTCGCCGAACGGCGACGTTTGGGTGGTCCGCCTTGAACGAGGAGTAGTCCTAGCAAACGCCGACGCCGCGAGCGCGTTTTAGTTCTCTACTAGTGCTTTGCTACTGCTGTACCAATTTTGTAACGCAATGCGTAGATGTATTACGATTCGTACCGTTGTGATCGCGGAGTTACAGGCGAGAGACGAGGCACATTCTTCGGTGATGTCACGAAAACTTCGTATTACAGGTGAAATGCCGCCGCCCCGCTGCGGGGCGCCGCGTCGCCGAGAGCTTTATCGACGGACTAGAAAGAAGTGGGTTGAGCTTTCGCCAGGATACAAACCTGAGCGTATAGATCACGCTTATGAGAAAGCGCGCTTACTTACTGTGGGCAGGATAAAGTATAATGTCGTCAGTCTTTTGTTCGGTTCGGGTTGGGGTCGGCGTCGGGGACGGGAGCTTTCGCTTCTCTTTCGCCTCAAAAGAAAACTTACCTGAGCGCATTCGTCGCGTTGAGATCTTCATAAGCCGCAAGCAACCGGTCGCACGTCGCTTGTTCCGCGGATCGGATCCACGCGCGCGGATCGTAGTACTTCTTGTTCGGCTTTTCGGCGCCCTCCGGGTTGCCAATTTGGCCTTGGAGGTACGCGTTGTTCTTGGCTTCGTAGTTCTTGACGCCATCCCAGAAGCTCCACTGGGTGTCGGTGTCGATGTTCATCTTGATGACACCGTAGCCAACCGCCTCACGGATTTCTTCGCGGGAAGAACCGGAGCCGCCGTGGAAGACAAAGTACACCGGCTTGTCGCTGTCGCCGCCCGTCTTTTCCTTGACGAACTTTTGCGCGTTGGCCAAAATCTTCGGCGTGAGCTTGACGTTACCCGGGGAGTAGACGCCGTGCACGTTACCGAACGCCGCAGCGATGGAGTAGAAGTCCGGCGCGATCGGTTGGAGCGCTTCGTAGACTTGGTAGATCTCTTCCGGCTTGGAGTAGAGGTCTTCCGGCGCGACGTCCGAGTTGTCGACGCCGTCCTCCTCGCCGCCGGTGATGCCGATCTCCATCTCGAGGAAGCAGTTGATCTTCTTCATGCGCGCCAAGTACTTCTTGCAGATTTCCAAGTTCTCCTCGATCGGTTCCTCGCTCAAGTCGAGCATGTGCGACGAGAACAACGGTTCACCGTGCTTGGCAAAGTACGCCTCGTTCGCCTCCAACAAGCCGTCGAACCACGGGAGCAAGTTTTTCGCGCAGTGGTCGGTGTGCAAAATCACCGGCACGCCGTACAGCGCCGCCAATTCCCGCACCATGACCGCGCCCGCGACGCATCCCGCGACCGCGGCCTTCTCATCCGCGTTGCTCGTGCCCTTACCGGCCATGAAGTATCCGCCGCCGTTTGAGAATTGCACGATCATCGGCGCGTTCGCCTTCTTCGCCGCCTCGAGGCACGCGTTGATCACCGGCGACATCGTGCAGTTCACCGCCGGAATCGCGTATCCGTGATGACGCGCGTGGTTCAGCACGTCGATCATGTCCTGTCCCGTGACGACGCCCGTCTTCAGCGTCTTCGGCGGCGCGCTCACCGCCGCGCGCGTCTTCGTCGCGCGTCGCGATCGCGACGCGGTGCTCCGCGACGTCGTCGTCGCGATTCGCGCGGTGTGCGCGAGCTGGCTCGCGTGCATGATGAGAGAGGTGTGCGCGCGCGTGTGCGTCTCGGTTCGGTCGTCGGGCGGTCGAGCGCGGCGATGTGACGACGCGTCGCGCGTCGCGATCGCGTCGCGCGAGCCTTATCCGCGGCGGCGCGGATGACGTCGCGCGTTCGGACATTCGGAGTCATAAAGATGGGCGCATTCGCGACTCTTGTGCGGGGATGTTCGGTGATAAATACGATAAATACATCGTGACTGCGCGCGCATACGACCGTGCGGTCGGTCGCGGTCGGTCGCCGCGAGTCCGAGCGTCGCGCGCGCCGCGCGACGCCGCTCGGCGACGCGCGCGCGCGATGGACGATCTCGCGCGGCACCGCGCGACGCTCGGACTCGCGCGCGACGCGCGTCCGACGCGCGACGAGGTCAAGGCGGCGTTTAAGCGCGCGGCGCGCGCGGCGCATCCCGACGCGGCGGGATGCGCGGTGAAGTTTCGCGAGGTCGTCGCCGCGCGAGACGCGCTGCTGGGACGAGGGCGATCGCGCGACGCGGCGTACGCGCGCGGAGGGGCGGCGGCGGCGGCGGCGGCGCGGGGGGGGTCGGGAGGGCGGCAGACGCGGGCGTTCGCGGCGGTGCTGGCGACGCCGTTCTTCGTCGCGGCGATGGTGTCGACGACGCTGCCGAAATCGAACGAGAGCGGCGCGAACGCGGAGATAGGACGGGTGCACGGATGGATAAACGCGCCGGTGAACGCGTGGTTGAAGGAGGATCGACGCGAGCCGGGAGATGGGAATCGGGAAAGGTTTTGGAAGACGGGTCGCGTCAACGCGAAGTGACGCGAAGCGCGCCGACGCCGAGGCGCGTATTGTAGCGAGCTTAACTGTATGTAAACTAGGTAGTAGTACTAGCGGCAGACACCGAGGCGTCGACGACGACGTTGGCGCCCTCGAGACGTTCGCCCGCGCAAAACTGGCGAAAGTTTTCCGCGGTGTGCTTGGCGATTTCGTCCAGCGCCTCGTGCGTCAAAAACGCGGTGTGCGGCGTCACGAGTACTTGCGGCATCGAGCCTAAGATCGCCATCGTCTCGTCCCACACCAACATGCGCTCGTTCGTGTTCATCGAACTGAAATCCTTGAAGAAGAGGCGATTTTCGTTTTCGTACACGTCCAAGCCGAGCGCGGCGATGCGCCCGGAATACAAACCGTCGATAGCAGCGCGAGCGTCGACGAGCAGACCACGGCTGGTGTTGATGAGGATCGTACCCTCCTTCATCTTCGCTATCGTCTCCACGCAAATCATCCCACGCGTCTCCGGCGTGAGCGGAAGGTGGAGCGACACGACGTCGCTCCGCGCCAAGAGCTCGTCGAGCGACACGTAATCGCCGCAAAAATCGTCCTTCTCGAATTTATCGTACCCGAGCACGCGCATCTGAAATCCATTCTTCAAAATTTCCGCCACACCGCGGCCGATTTTACCCGTTCCCACGACGCCGACGGTTTTCCCTCGCATCGAACTTCCCACCAAGCCGTCGAGCGTAAAGTTTCCCATGCGCAGCCGGTCGCGCGACGCGCACAAGTGTCGATTCAGACTCATCATCATCGCCACCGCGTGCTCGCTGATGCTCAACGGATCGTACGCCGGCACGCGCAGCACGCTGATCCCTCTCTCGCGCGCTCGCTCGCAGTCCACGTTGTCGAATCCCGCGCAGCGGAGCAATATCAACTTCACCCCGCGCTCCGCGAGGGCGTCCACGACCTCGCCGCGCGCGTCGTCGTCGACGAACACGCAGACCGCGTCGTGGCCCTGCGCGAGCGACGCGGTGTCGAGCGATAGACGCGCGCTGCTGTACGTCGCGTTCGGGAGCGCGCGGCGAAGCGTTTCGTCTTCGTAACGGTGCGCGCTGAAAACAAAGCATCGCGCGTCCGAGGACGCGCGCGCGGCGACGATGACGCTCGAGAGACGTCGCGCACCGCGCGCGCGCGCGCGGGACGCGCGGGCGGCGATGAGGGGCGCGCGAACGACGGAAGAAGACATGCCGCCGCCGCGAGGTGAGCTACGTTGTGCGGTTGGATTATTACAGCCGCGAGTGTGTCTTCGATTCTAAAAGTGCGCGCGCGATCGGCGCCTACTCGAACGGTGCGGGAACGGTGTTGGCGTCGGTCTCCTTCTGACGCCGGCGCGACCAGCGAGAGACGTCTTCGCCCGCGAGCGTGTCCGTCGCCGCCTGCCCGCGCTCGAACCGCTCGCGGCGCGTCGCCGCCAACTTCTCGTCCGTGTCCACAAACTTGCGCATGAGCCAGTGCAACGCGATCGTCGGCGGGTTGCGAATGTTCGGCACCAATCCTCGAACGTTTCGTGCGGGCACCCAATCCGACAACCCGTTCCCCCAAACCAACGTGTGTTCGTCCACGACGCCGTTCACCCAGCACTGTCGCATCGTGTTCAACGGCGCCGGTCCACGGCACTTACCCACGCGATCGCGGTAAAACCACACGTTATTATCGTTCGCTGTTTTCGGTCGAAAATTCACGAAACCGTCGTCAGTCGCGCGTTCGTCGTCGTTCGCTTCGTCTCGCCGTCGCCGTCGACCCTACGCCGCGAGAAGGTCCACCGGTTTCCTCGCTTTCGCGCGCCCGTCGTCGCGCGCGTTCGCGCGCGCGCGCTTCCGCGGTGTCGAACGCGCGCTCGCGCGTCGCGCGCGGGCGCGGCGCGACGCGCACCGTCCGTCGCGCGAAGATCGTTCCGCGCTTCAAACTTGTACGGCCCGAGCTTGTCTCGCCACGACTGCAGGTACTTTCTGCGCGATTCCGTCGCGTCCGTGGGGCTGTCTTCGCCGTAGAAGCTCATGGTGCGCGCCTGGGGGGGGCGGGCGGGGGCGAGCGCGTCGGCGCCGCGCGCGCGAGTGCGGACGGGGCGCGCCCGCCGTGAGGGTCTAGGTTTTTTTCGTCTCGAGTCGCGCGAGACGTTTCGCGCGCGCGAGACGCCCGCGGGCGCGTGATTTACAAGAGAGCGAGCGCTAATAAATGATGCTAAATGCACGCTCGGTGCGATCAACGCCAGCGCGAGCGGGCGATGTTGAGGATGATTTGCGCGACGGCGTCGTACACCACGGGGCGGTAGTGGACGCCGTCGACGGAGCACTCCGCGCCGCACAGGGCGGTGATTTCGCGCGCGCGCACGCGCACCGCCGGACCGGCGGGGAGGACGATCCTCGTTGACTTTTGGTCGTCTCGTATTTTGGCGTACCGCGCCAGATTCGTGTCGGTAAATTTGACGCGTTTGTCCTCGGCGACGAGCTTGTCGCGAATCACGAGCGCGGCGTCGATCCACACAATCACCACCTTTGGATGCGCCGCCTCGATCGTGCGCACGCGCGCACCGAGCGCGGCCATCGTCGTCTTGTACCTAGACACCGATTCGTCGTGCAAAACGTGCCACAGCGCCGTGGATATGACGATCAAATCCGGCGCGTCGCGCTCGCCGTACGCGTCCAGCGCGTCGACGACGTCCGACGCGTACGGCGCCCACGTAAACGTCGCCTTCGCCCCCCCGACCAAGTCGTGCGCCCAATCGCGATGTTTCTCCCCATCCTTCGTCGTCAAGCTCACGTCGCTCCACGCATCGCTCGTCGCCGCGACGAATCCCCCGTACGCGTTTCTCGCGCCCGAGTCGCCCAAAAACGCCGCGCGCCGCCCTTCGATCAATTTCCCCACCCTGTTCCCCCGCGCCGTCGCCGCCAACCGCCCGAACCCGCACGTCTCCCCCACGTCCTCGCGCATGACCCACGCCAGGGCGTTTTCTCGCCCCCTTCGTCCTCTCTTTCCTCCGCGTCCCCGTCCCCGCGTCTCCGCGTCGTCCTCGTCGCCGCACCCCGTCCTCGCCAGCGTCCACGCGCGCGTCGCGCACGCGCTCGCGCCGCGCGTCCACGTCCCTCGCCACGCGTGCGTCGCGCACCCGTCGACGTCGACCGCGAACGCGCCGACGTCGACGTCGTCGTCGCGCGTCGTCGTCGTCGTCCCCGTCGTCGCGTCTCGCGGCGCGTCGCGCGTCGTCGCCGCGCGCGCCGCGCACGCGACCGCCGCGCACGCGAGCGCGACGACCGTCGCGACGCGCGCCTTCGTCGCCGTCGCCGTCGGCGCGCGCGCGTCGCCGCGCGCGCGCATGCGCGCCGCGCTCTGCCGCGCGCCGCCGCGCGTCCCGGCACATCGTCGCGCGCGACGGCGCGCCATGGCGTCCGCGCGCGGCGTCGTGCTCGGGTGCGCGCGAATCGCGCGCGTCTCGCGCGCGCGACTGACGACGGCGCGCAGCGCGTACAGAGAGCTCGTGTGGCTCGCGCGACGCGCGCGGGCGGAGGAGCGGCGAAGACTCGAGGACGTCGTCGCGGACGTCGCGCGGCGCGCGCGCGCGGCGCGCGGGGCGAACGCGACGGCGGCGGACGTCGCGGACGGCGTGCGACGATTGGTGGGGACGGTGGGGTACGCGCGAGCGATGACGTCGAGGGTCGGGCGACGACGGTTCGAGTGGGACGAGGACGCGCGCGAGGCGACGCGCGTCGTGGAGCGAACGGGAGGAAAGAGCGGACGCGAACGCGTCGCGAACGGCGTGCTGAGTCGAGAAGACGCGTGGGCGTATCACAATAGGTTGATCGATCGACAACACTTCGGGAGACGGTTGAAAAAGTTTAAGCCGGAACCGCTGTAGACGGCGGGATGCAATAAATACATGAAATGGGACGCGCTCGGCGGCGACGGAGCGCTTTAATCTTTTCTCGTCGCGCTGGCGAGCTCGTGCCTTCGCTGACGCATGCTCTTTTGCAATTCTGATCCGACGTCTGGATCCGAGGCGATCGCCCACGCCATCTCGCGTCGACCCATGACCAGACATTGCACTTCGGTTTGGGCGATGACGTCGGCGTTGCGTCGACCGCCGATCCATTTCTTGGCGACCATTCTCGCGCTCACCCACGATTTCAGTGTGAATTTCTCCCCTTTTTTTCTCTTGGGCGGGCCTTTGGCGAGGACTTCCGCAATGCGTTTATCAATCATCGCGCGCGACGATGAGGCTGACTTGCTTTTCGCAATCAACCGATCGCCGAGAGCCATCTCTCCGATGAATTCGCCCGGCTCGCGCTTGGCCACCTGCGCGCCCTGGTCGCGCAAGATGTTCCGGTCCGCGTCCACCGGACTGACGACAATTTTCACACTGCCGGACTTAATGAGAAACACTTCATCGGTCGCGCGTGCGCCCTGATGAATGAGGATATCACCGGCTTCGTACTTTCTCAACGGAAGCTTCATGCCCTTCGCGAAGTCGCGAAGCTTGGATTTAATGCGCAGAGGCGCCGGTCGCACGCTCTCCACTTGTTGCAACCATGGATGCTTGAGGCAGTTTGCCGGGGTCAAACGATGGACCGGTTTGTGCGCCAGACACGACATGACGAACTCGCGAGCCGTTTCACTCACGGAGTCCCACTCGAAGCAATCAAAACCAAAATCGCGTTGGACGACGCGTCCGTACTTCAACGCGCTCTTCCACAAGCTCCTCGGCATGGCGCCCGTGAGCAACACGTACGTGATGACACCGAGAGACCACATATCGATCGCACCACCGTACGACTTTTGCTCCACGACCTCCGGCGCGGCGAACACGGGCGTACCCACGGGCGCGGTATCGATCCCTCGGCTGTGCGGCAACGACCCCAACCCTTCAGGGTTTTGGCACCGTCTCGCCAACCCGAAATCCGCGATCACGACGCTCGCGAGATCATCGTTCGACCGCAGCAATAAGTTCTCCAGCTTCAAATCTCGATGTAACACAAAATTTTTATGCATGTAATCGATCCCTTGCACCGTGCGCTGCACCACCACCTTCGCCTCCGCCTCGGTGTATCGCTCGCTCTTCATGCGCAAAATCGCGTCCAACACCGCCCCCCCGTGCAGGACCTCCGTCACGACGTACACCTTATCGCCGTACCAGTGGCACTCTTCGAGTCTCAACATCGTCGGCGACGTCAACACGCGCAGAATATCGATCTCACTCGTGACCTCGTTCACGCTCATGCGTTCCTTCCCATGTTCGTCCTTGTCCGCGTCCGCGTCCGCGTCGCCCTCCTTGACGCTGATGATCTTCATCGCGTACGTCTTCGCGCTCTGACGATGGCGCACTTTGCGCACGACGCTGAAACCGCCCGCACCGAGCGACTCGAGGTCGTCGTAGCGCTCCATCGGGTCGCGCTCCGCGCGCTTCAGCTTCACCGGCGGGACGCTCGGCATCGTCTCGCGCGTCGCCGGCGCGCCGCCGTCGCGCGTGCGCGCGCTGCCGCGCTTTCGAGGCTTCGGCGACGCATCGCCGTCGGGTTTGGAGGCGACGCAACCCATGACGGCGGTCGCGACGCGGTGTGGACGCGCGACCGGTCGAAAGACCCGAAGCCCGCGAAGGTGCCGCGAAGGTGCCGCGAAGGCTGGAACGCGGCGAAGGCGAGGCGAGACGAAAGCGACGCGCGATGGGCGTCGCACGGCGGTGGTGCGCGCGATTTGAGATGAAATGCATCTCTGGGTTACACTATTTCGCGCGTTTGAGCACCAGAGCGACGTAGGTGACGGCGACGTTGAGCGCGGCGACGCCGAGCTGAGATTTGCACGCTCTGCCGGCGTGCCCGCGAACGGGCAAACCCAAGCCTTCGAGGACGTCCTCGCCGTTTCTCGGGGGGACGCCCTCGTTGAATCGACGCGCGAGGACCTTTCGAACGCCGCGGGATTTGGCGAGCTTTTTGCTCTTGGCGTCGGTGTCTTCTTTCTCGAAGACCAAGCCCTCAAATTCCGAGCACAAGACGCCTTCAAAGGCGTGGCGAATGAGCGAGAGCTTGGAAAGCGGCGCTAAAGAATCGGGAATTTCTGCGAATGCGCCGGATGCATCGCCGAGCATGATGTTAAGTACCATTACGCACGGTCCGATGGCGAGAGCGACGTCAGCGCTCGGACTCAGGGCGCTTATGGAGAGCCCCAAAGACGACGCCGCGGCGGATTGCAACGCGAGCGACGTCAGAAACATCTTTCGTCCAGACTTGTTTAAACCTACCATGGGCGCCATGACACCTCCGAAAACGACTGGAAACACCATATCAATCGGAGTTTCTATCAAAAGCTTCGATAGAAAGTACGGGCCAGGGCTGTAGCCACCGCTTTGGCGCGCCATCTCGCGTCGCACCGTGGCGCGCTCGCGTGGAAACCCGTTCAAGCTCTTCACCAATGCGAGCATGGAGGTGTTAATGCACGCCTGCATGAGTACCGCGACTCGTCGTTTCACACTACGAGGTCCGAGTCCAAGCTGGAAGTTACATCCGCCAAACATCGCGGCCAGACCGACTGAGGCCACCATGCGGACGCCGTTCACCCACATCTCTCGCTTGGCTTGTCGCCAAGCACGACCGGCGAGTAATCTAAATTGCTTAAGCGGATCACAGGCTTTCTTTCGCACGGCTTTCGAAGTCGAAGTCGATTCAGGCGCCCGTGTCACATCTGCCGCTCTCGGTGCCGTTGTTTTGCTATGCTTTGCCCACTCGTCAACGATGCGTTCTATTCGCGCGCGGCTCTTGGCCTCGGCGTCGTCGCTCCCGACGCCGTCGCCGACGTCGACGCTCACGAGATCAATCAAAAACTCGGCCGGATTAAAATGCTCGGGGCACTCGAAACCGATGCCGCGAAAGTAACTGATGACGTCTTCGCTCGGCCCGTGGTACGCCACACGCGCGCCGCTCGCGAGCAACAACACGTCGTGCACCTTGGCGAACGAGGCGCTCCTCGGTTGGTGCAGCGTGCACACTACGCACGCGTCTTCGCGTTCCGCGAGCTCGACCAGCTTCTCCACCATCTTATCCGCCTGAAATGCATCGAGCCCAGACGTCGGCTCGTCCACGAGCACGACTAAACCACCACCCGACTTCGAATCCGTCGTTCCCAGTCCGAGCGTCTCGCTCGCGATGGCCAACCGCCGCCGCTCGCCTCCTGATATCCCCGCCACCGCCTTCCCTCCGGTATCACCCCCCACGACCGTATCCGCGCACGTCATCAACGACATCTTTCTCAACGTCGAGTTCACGAGCGCCGCGGCGCTCTCCTGCGTCTCTCCGCGCAGCCGCGCGTCCAACTCGAGCGTCTCTCGCACCGTGAGATTGCTAAAGAATTTCGGCTCTTGCTCCACGTAGCTCATCGAAACGTCCTCGTCATCGGCGCCGGTGATGCGTTTCCCATCGTACGTCACGACGCACTCGAGCGAGTCGCCTCGCTTGACGTCCAGGCGATGGGACAGGGCGTTGAGCAGCGATGTCTTGCCGCAACCGCTCGGGCCGAGAATCGCCAAGACGCGGCCGCTGTTGGCGTGCGCGGACGTCCCGCGCAGGATTACGCGCGAAGAGGCGTTGTGGCCGTCGGCATCTTTCGTGCGGACGACGTATTCGACGTCGCGCCAAGCCAGGGTGCCACCCATGGCGTCCGAGAGTGCGGGCGCGACCGTCGTCGGGACGGGACGCGGGCAAAAGTGGTACAGTAATGTTACACGATGCCCCCGACGCGTCGTCGGGCGCGCTAATCAGAATCGCTACCGTAATCGCCGAGCAAACCCCCGAGCCCGGCCGGAGGCGGGGATTCAGCCTTCGGCGGCGCGGCGGCGGCGGTCGATTTGACCTTTGCTTTGACCGCGGCATTCGTCGGACGCTTGACGACGACACTCACCGCGGGCGCGTCCACGCGAGCTTTCTTCGCCGCTGCATGATCGTCGTCGTCGCTCTCGCTCTCGATGCGCTTGACGATTTTCGCGCGCTGTTCCTTAAAAATAGCGCGCGCGGTTTCCGCGTCCAACTCGTCGGCTCTGCGCGCGAGACAAGGTGAAATAAAAGTCAGTCTTCCCGTTCGGAAATTGGCGTCGCGCTCGCATCTGAGGCGTCGACGGCACGGCGCACTCGCGTACCTCTCCTTATCCGTTCTCGTATTCGCCGTCATCGCGTTCAAAGCGTCCGCGTTCGATATTCCGGCGTGTCTCGCGTTGAGCGACCGCATCTCGTCCAACGCCGCCATGATATCCATCTCTCGTTTACTCTCCTCCGTTCGATTCTCCAATCGCCGCATCTCGTTATTTTCCTCATCATCCGCGCGCGCTTTCGCCTCATCTTCCTCCGTCGTGTCCTTCCACGCCTCAAAGTTTCGCGACGCCCCGGCTTCGACGACGTAGTCCCCGTTCTTCGGGTCCGTCTTCATCGCCAACTCCGCGCTGCATCGCGTGCATCGAAAGTAAAACCTAAATATTTGTATTCCCAAGTAGTCTTCGCCCTTGACGTCCTCCTTGCGCGCGTTGAATTTCGTGCCCTTGCAGATGAATTCGCCGCACGTGTTGCAGCAAATCGTCATGGGGAGCATGATTCTGACTTTGATTTGTCCACCCTTCGGCGCCCTGCCGCGCGGGATCTTGGCCGGATCGAAGTCGGGAGGGATGTACTTGTTCAGCACCTTGCGCTCGCCCATGGCGCGCGGACGTCGAGGGCGGGAGGGGAGGCGAGGAGTGCGGACGGGGAGACGGCGGCGTTCTCGAGACTTCCGGCGGCGCGCGGCGGACGAGGGAAGGCGTTTGAAACAAGGCAACACGGACTATGACAATGCGAAACTATATGCGACTAATAATATTAGGCCACTGGGGCGAGCTCGACGCCCGGCTCGTCGTCGGCGTCGAGCTCGCGACCGGCGGTTTCGACGGCGAGCGAGAGCGCGGCGGCGCACGCGACGGCGGCGACGGCGATGAAGACGACGACGGAGAGCGTCAGATGTCCGGACTCAATCAAAGTCACAGCGAATATCGGGCATGTTATTCCACCGATGCGCGCGAACCCGTTTCCGAGGCCGACACCGGTCGAACGGATCGACGTCGGATAGACTTCGCCGGCGAATATGTACAAGACGGTGAACGCCGCGAACGCGGCGCTTCTTCCACCGAAGAGCATGATGTCACGAACCGCCTTACTTATGCTCGATGAAGCCACGGGGAGCAAGAACACAGCGGTGGCAATCACGGTGAACGCCATCGAGCGCCTGCGACCGATCTTGTCGACGATCATAATCGCGACGATCAAGCCTGGAATTTCGCCGAACGAGCTGAGAAAGATGTCGGCGTACTCGCCGTCGCTCAAATGTGGCGCACCGTGCGCTAGACACGCCAACTCTCCCCCACGCTTGGACTCGTCGTCGCGCACGTTGAGTGACGTTGTGAGAAGGACAATGCCGTAGTACAAAAACGCCACACCGAAGAAAATCACCCAAACCAAGAGAGACGTCTTCGCGTGCTTCTTGGACAGCAACGCGCGAACGCCGCTCGGAACGAACCTTTGCATCATCGTAGAAGACGACGCTCCCGACGCGCCCATGCCATACGAAGTACGATCTTCGAACTCGCCACTCGATGACGCGCGATCGTTCGGCCCCACGAGCTCGCCCTGCGGTAGAGATTTACCATTCGTCGCCGCGACGCGACGCAACGTCTCCTTCGCCTCCTCCATTCGACCGGCGTTTACCGAGTACAAGACGCTCTCCGGGACGATAAAGATGCATGCGATCAATCCAAGCAACGGCGCCGCTGAAATCAACAGTAAAACTCGCCACGAATGCCGCGGAAGCACGATCCACGCCAGCGCGGACTCCAACATCGATCCCAGCGTCCAAAACGCCTCAATGTACGACAAGCGCGCGCCGCGATTTTCCCTCGGTAAAAACTCCATGAACAACCCGTACGCCACGGGTACCCCACCCAAACCAACGCCCACGAGGCATCTAAAGAACAACACGCTCCCGAAGCTCCCGCCCAGCGCGCTTCCGATCCCCGCCGCGAGCGTCGTCGTCGAGCTGAACAGCAGCGCCGGCTTCCGACCGCGCGCGTCGCTCACCACTCCCCACGCCGGCGCCCCGAGAGCCATTCCCACGAACACCACGCTCGTCAGCGCGCCTTCCGCGTCGCTCGACACCCCGAATTCGCATCGCATCGCGGGTCCGATGAAACTGAGCAGCATCATCTCCATCGCGTCCGCCGCCCACGCGAAACCGACGAAGCACAGCGCGTGGATTTGAAACTTCCCGAATCCCACGTGATCGAGCGCCTCGTTCGCGGTGTACGTTCGTCGACGCGCATCGTCGCCGTCGCCGTCGCCGTCGTCGTTCGGCGCGTCGAGGGCGACGACGACGAATTCGCCGCGCGGCGTCGCGGCGTCGAGCAGGCCGAGTCTTTGGTCGTCGGCGTCGTCATCGCGCGCGTCGTCGCGCGCGGTGGACGCCGCGCCGTCGGGCGCGCGCGGTGGACGCGGGATGTCGCCGCCGTCGTCGTCGTCGACGTCGGCGTCGACGTCGACGTCGGGCGCGGCGGCGGACATCGCGATGTGGGGACGGCGCGCGCGTCGCGTCGAACGCGAACGCGAGCGAGCGCGGCGACGGTTTAGATGTCGGGTCGGTTCCCGATGTTACAAGAATGTGGACGCGCGAAATGCTCGCATCGCCCGCATCGCTAGGGTTTGAATGCACATCTACGACGCGCCGAGGGGCGAGAAAGAATTACAGAGAAGAGACGCGCTCGTGCTGCGCCGCGTTGGCGACGTGTTGGCCGATTTGGCGCATGCACGCGTCCTCGCGGTAGAGCATGCCGCGCAACGTTTGGCCGTTGACGCGCACCGTCATGAAGTATCCCGTGTCGAAAGTGCCGTCGATGAGACCTTCGACTTTCATGCCGGTCAAATCGGCGCTTCCCGGAGGATTGGTCGGCTTCAAGCCGTCTTGATCCATGACGTTGACGACGTCGTGCTGCAAAAAGTGCATCGGATCGTGCGCCGAAGCGTGGTGGTGATGGTGCATGTGCGACTTCGGGGCGTCGAATTGAGAGTTGACGACCACGGGCATCGAGCTCGGGTTGAACGGCATGAACAAGTCGCTCAAGTTGTGGTGGTCGTTCCCCCACGCGTACGGGTCGCGCTCGTGGTGCGAGTGCTCGTCCGTGTGATCGACGTGATCCATGAACGCATTGTGGAACCCGTTATGCATCATCGGCGCCGAATCCTTCGCATTCGATGGCTTGCGCAACGACGTGTGATCCCCAGAGCTCGTCTTCGGAGGTCGACCGCGTCGACGTTTGGGCGCCGGGTCGCTCCCCGAGCCCGTGGCTTTCTGCTTCTTCGCGCGTCCGCCCGACGACGGCGCCTGCGGCATCCCACCCTCGGCGATCAATCGCGCCTGTTCGACGCGAGCCTTATCGATGTGTTTCTCCTTCTCTTCCCTCGTCATCGCCTTCCATCGATTACCGATCACCTTTTCGATGCCCATCTGCATCTCCGCGCGCGACAACAGCGTCGAGTCGCGCAGCACGAGTCGCATCTCGCTCGCGAACATGTTAAACGCCAACAAGTTCGGGCTCATGCTGAGCTCGCGATACGTTTTCAAATTCTACGCTCGCGACGAAACGACGCGCGCCGTCAGTCCTCCGCGTTCGTTCCCGCGCGCGCGCGCGCGCGCCCCCCACGCGCCCCCTCCCACTTCCGGGTGTCTCCACGCGCCGCGTCCGCGTCTTATCCGCCCCCCGCGCGTCCCGCGCGTCCCGCGCGTCCCGCGCGCGCGTCCCGCGCGTCGCGCGCCCGTCCCATCGCTCGCGCGCGTCTCGCGCGTCACGCACCGTATCGCTCCCCTTCCGGCTGTACCGCGACATCGTCGCCGGCCGTCGCCCCCCGTCGTCGTCGCGCGCGCCCGGTCGTTGCCCGTCGTCGATCCGCGCGCGCGTCGTCGACCCTCGCGTCGTCTCGCGCGGCCGTCGATCGATCGATCGATCGCGCGCGCGTGCCCGCGTTCGCGCGTTCGCGTCTCGCGCGTCGTCGACGCCGTCGCCGTCGTCGCGCACTGCGGCCGCGTCGTCGCTTCGCGCGCTGACGCGGCGCGGTGACTGCGCGCGGTCGATCTCGACCCGGGTGTTTCGCGCGCTTGAATACGTGAATACGCGCGCGATCGCGCCGTCGTCGCGCGCGCGGGCCTAGGCTAGGTTAATTCCCGCGAGGGGGGTCGAATTTAATCGTCGAGGCTTTTTTTTATTTTTCGGCGCCGCGCGTCGACGTCGACGTCGTCGTCGCGCGATTCGAGGGGTTTGATGGTGATTACGTACGTGATATACGTAATCATGGGGTCGGTGTGTACCCCCCTCGTGATGGGGGGTACACGCGCCGGGGGCCGCGCGCGGGGCGTGTACCCCCGCGTGTACCCCCCTCTGTGGATCGTTTTTTCGAAAAAAGAAGTTTATTTCTCGCGACCCCTCGCGGCGCGGCGCGGCGGCGCGCGCGGGCCGACGCCTCCGCGCGGTCGGTCGCCGACGCGCGCGCGCTTGAATACGCGTCGCGGTTTTTTTTCACGAGCCGTCGACGCGCCGCGCGCGGCGCGATTGGCGTGCTCGCGAACGCGCGTCGATCGCGCGAGACGAACGCCGGACGTCGACGCGTCGAGCGAGCGCGTCGCGGACGGGCATGGCGTCGCGCGCGCTCGCGAACCTGCTCGTCGCCGGCGGCGCCGCGCTCGCGCGCGCGGCGTCGCAGGCGTACCGCCAGGCGCTCGCGAACGCGCAGCGCACGGGCGTCGCGAGCGAGGCGGCGAACGCGGCGTCGGGCGCGCGGGGGGCGTTCGGGAGGAAGGCGATGACGGCGGAGGAGGCGCGACTCGTGCTGGGGGTCGAGGCCTCGGCGACGTACGCCGAGGTGCTCGCGCGGTACGAGCGGCTGTTCGCGAGCAACGAAAAGGGTGGGTCGTTTTACCTGCAGAGCAAGGTGTACAGGGCGCGGGAGAGCCTGGAGAGAGAGTACGACGAGGAGACGGTGCGAAGGGAGCGGGAGGCGGCGGCGGCGCGAAGGGACGGGACGCAGGGGGTCGTGGAGGACGGACGCGAGGCGGGGGGGGGGGGCGCGTCGTCGTCGTGAACGACGGCGGCGGCGCGCGTTTCGCGTTTCGCGTTTTAATGAAAGAGCTAGACGTTATAGAGGTTGAGGAGAATGGACGGTCGCGGCGATGTGGTGGCGAGCGAAACCGAGGGCGAAGGTAGCGGAGGCGCGATGACGCTCGACGACGTCTTCGAGCGCGGAGTTGAACTCGGTCGCGTCCGAGGCTTCGGCGGCGAACCACGCGAGAGCGCGGGATTTGGCGTCTTCGGCGTCCGCGATGAGGACGCCACACGCGGTCGAGCACGCGCGTCTGAACGTGTGGATTTCTGCCGATCGACTCGCGCGTTCCGCGCGCTCGCGGACGTCGCTGCCGCCGCACACGAGCGCCATAAATCGGGCGAGCGAATCGTAGGATAACGCGTGAAACGCGGCGGGGATGACGCCGCGCGCGAACATCGCGGGAGCGCTCCCGCTTTCGATCACGTTTTTCGGCCACTCACACAGTTTTGCGATGGCGTCAAATACGGTGTCCATGCGCGATTGCGACCAATCGTTGTCGACGACGACGTCGAGAAGCGCGAAGTCCACGTCTCGCGCGAGATCCGCTTGGGCGTTCGCACGCACCGGCGTACGTTTTGTCGCTCCGGTCTTGAGCTGATCCAACAGCGCGCGAATATTCGTCCAACTGACCGTCGCGTCGCAATCGACGATTTCGGTGCGCGCGCGATTTGCGATGGCGTCGAGCAACAAGACGCGTCTTCGGAGCGAGTCGCGCGCGTCTGAAAAATACCACGCGTACGGGATTTCCGTGTTTTCATCGCCATGAGCGCTCGTTTCGATCGGATTCGACCACCACTCCGCGCTCGACAGTGCGGGATCTTTTCCACAAGGCGCGAGCCAGGCCGGGTTGGTTTTGAAATCGTCCAAGTACGTCCACGCGTCGCTCGATTCGTCGTCTTTGTCCCAGCGCGCGGTATCGGCGTTCGTGCGCGTCAAATCGCACACGTCCTCGGCGTACTCCATCAACCCTTCGAGCATGTTCAATCGGAACTCATCGATGTTGGGAAAATCATCCATGTCGCCCGCGAGGCGGTTGATGCCGTTGATGCCGATCATCAGATTCGCCGTCATGCCTGCGGCGATGGAGTGCGCGTCTCGAATCGTGCGGAAAAACTCCGCAAACTCGAGAACTTTCGTGTACTTTCCATTCATCGCAGCTAAAGTGGCGCTTTGTGAAACTTGCCGCTCGATTTCATGGCGTAACTGCTGTAGACGAGTGCCCAAAAATTCCTCGGTGATGCCGGGAGGCGCGCCACTCGAGCACGCGGGAAGGGCGTGATGCAACAGCGTAGACATCTGCACGTGCTTCATATCCACCAACTCCAACGTTTCGAGCGCCAGACCAGCGGCGCCTAGGAGCGTGTAGATCGCGGTCAAGCTGAACCTCAACGACGCGTTGTATGGCGATTTCTTCAAGCCAACCTCGAGCGCCGCGGCGGCGGCGTAAAGCGCGTTGACGGCGCCGTCGTCGTCTCCATTTTCTTTGCACGCAGCCGCTTCGCCGGCGAGTGCGCACGATGCTAAATACGGGAATACGTCTATGGCGGTTGGTTCTCGCGCGTCCGCATCGGCGAACAGATTCATATGATCCCAGTACAAATTCATGAACCGACTCGCCGCGGCGCGGCCGCGGAGCGGCATCGACGCCGCTGGCGAATTCCTCGCGACGCCGTGCCAGGACGGACAACACGCGTTTAAATCGACACATATGAGCAGTGCAGACGTCACCCTCCGCAAAACCGTGATCGCGAGCTTCTTCGAAGCATCGTCTCCCGTCGTGACGCTCGGAATATGTTCCTCGCCGCGCCCTCGAAGTGTTTCGATCAGCCATTCGCGAGCACCGTCGGCGCCGCGAAGCGCCTGCGCATATCTTCGCATATCCTGCGCACAACTGGTCCATGCCCCGAAACGTTCGTGATACGTCGCAACAGCCTCGGCGAGCGCACGATACCGCGTGTCTTCATCGCCTTCGTCTAATAACCTATACATCAAGTCCACCTGCAAAATGTACGCCCCACGCCCGACTTCGCGTTCGCCACCCTTTTCCTCGGCGTTGGCGACGACGCTCTCGACAAACTTCGTCGCAGCGACGATATCGATGGACTTCATTTTCGGTCGAACGGTCGGAAAGTTCGATATGCGAGGAACTGATCTCCCGGATATCGACAATTTAGCATCCATCTCCTCGGCCAACGCCGCGTCGCCGCGACACAAATCCAAAATCGCGTTCATCGACATCCAATCATCCGGGGCGAGCTCGAGAACCTTTTCGTGATGCTTTCGCGCTTCCGCCATCTTCCCCGCCTTGAGGGCGTAACGCGCCCGCATGCGTTCGCGCTCGATCGGCATCGGCACGCACGTGTCTGCGAGCGCCGACTTCGTCAAATCGTACGCCTCGTCCGTTTGCCCCATCAACGCCATCGTCATCGCGTACATCGAGAACGAATCCTGATCCTTGATTTCATCCTTCCCACGAAGCTTACCAAGCATCCCATTCGCGAGTTTCAACAGCGTTTCCGCCCCCATCCCGTTAGTTTCGCCGCTGGAAGTCGTAGTCTTCGCCTCCGCCGCCTCCGCCTCGCGTTGCGCCAACATCGACGTTATGGCTTTCAACAAATCCTTCGTATTCCCAGTCGCCTTATACATTCGCATGGCCACGCTCTGTTGTTTTCCGAATTCCCACGTCTCGCCGTAATCCGCGTACAGCGTCTGTAGCGACGTCATGTGCGTCGGATTCAGTCGCAGCGTGTGTTCGAGCAGCTTGCGCATTTCGCTCCGCCTGGACATCTCTTTAAACGTCATCAGCACCACGCGCAAGACGTCTTCGTCCACCGCGCCCTCGTCACGGATCGCGACGGCGATGTTCAATGCGTCCTGTTCGTTCGCCATCGCATCCGCGCGCCACAGCGCGAGAGCTTTCAGCGCGCGCGCGAGTTGGAAACGCGGATGCTTTTTGAGCGTCTTGTCGAGCGACTTTAACGCCCGCGCGGGGTCTTCGCGGTCTAGGGCGTCGTACGCCGGGTTGAGCTCGCGCTGTGAATCTCTTGGGTTGAGCTGCATGGCGCGCGTCGAACGTCGCGCGCGCGCGGGACGATGGACGAGCGCCGGCGTGTGCTGCGCCGGTGCTCAAGCGCGGCGGCTGCGAGGTCGGCGGATCGAAACCGCGATATCAATCACCGTAGTCGATGTCGTGTTGATTACAAGCGGGTGCGCGCGCACTAATCACGTTCGCCGAACATCTCGTCGAAGCTCGACGTGAGCTTGTCTCCGATGTCCTTGAGATCGAAGCCCGAAGACGACGGCACTTTCGCTTGTCGATTTGGACGCTCGGCCAGAGTGCGCTCGACTTTATCGACGCCATAGCTCGCCAAAGTTTCTGTGGCCACCATTCCTAAATTTTTACGCGCGGTGTCCACGTCGTCGATGTTGCCATCCTCTTCGAACTCGCGCAGCTGTGCCTCGGTGAAACCGCCCTCCTTACGCGTGCCGCTGCGAGCGACGCGGAAGAGTAACCACTTTCCGAACGCGTTCTCGTCGTTCGTTTCCGAGTCCTCGTCCGGAAGTGGGAACAACTTTTCGGCGACGGTCAACGCCGAGCTTTTACCTCGAACGAATCGCGAGCCGCGAGCGCCGAGCGCCGCCGGTCGCGAGCGGCCTTCGGTGGCCATGAGACCCTTGACCAAGCGCCAGCCGGCGCGATCGTCCAAGTCGAGCACTTCGAAACCTTCTTCTACTTCAGGTCTCTTCATCACGCGCGAAGCGATGTTATTTCTCCACGCCACGAGATCGTTACCGTTGTCCTCTAACTCTCGACGGAACTTGATCAAATCGTCGTCCTTCCGCAAGTTTGGCAGGCACATTTGCAAGAACATAACCCCGGTGCTGTACATGTCGAAACGATCTGGGAGGTTGAGCTGCCACAGCACGGGCGACAGAGCTAATGCTACGGGAAGCACAGGTGCCTCTGGGGTCTGTCTACTCATAATGTACTCCTCTGGCGCCTTGAAGCGAGGGTCAAAGATGAAATCCTTTGGCGAATAGTTGACGCCAGATCGCAAATCTGCCGCGGCGCCGAGATCAATCAAACGAAACTTTCCGCTCGATTCGTCAAATAAAATATTTTCTGGCTTGACGTCGCGGTGAACGATACCGGTACCGTGCACGCGCGCGAGCGCGTCTAAGATTTGATCCAAGATTTTACCGATGATGATGGACTTGCGTCGCGCCCCCGGCGGTAACCCTCCCGGGGCCTCGCCGTCTTTAAACATGTACGGCTCGACGTTATACGGGAAATTCTTGTCCTTCATGAGCTCAAACAGCGTACTTTTCCCTTCGTATTTCCACACCAGCCACAGCGACGGCTCGTCGTCTCCCTTCTTCACCGGCGGACCCTCGAACGCGGAGACAAAGTCGGCGCACGCCCCCGGGCACGCTATTTGCAACCGCGAGTTCATCCAAACCTCCGCCTCTCCGTAGTCCGTCGCTCGCTTCAGCACGTACTTTTTCTGGTCGTTCACCCCCGTCGCCTCGTACACCACCCCAAACCCACCCTCTCCCAGTTTTTTCCCGAGCGCGAAATCCTCCAACGCGTACCGCTTTCGCAGCGTCCCCAACAGCGGTCGCAGCAGATAAAAGTCAACCACCCCCGGAATCACTCCCGGCGTGATCAGCCCGTACGTCGCGGCGACCGCCAATATCGTCGCTCCCACCGGCGTGAGCAGCGGCGCGATCTCTCGTCGCAGCTCGGCGTCGAGCGTGCTTCGATATATCGCGTCCCCGCAGTTTTGCACCGTGCACGGCAGCCCGACGCCGACGGCGACGTCGCCGAGCGCGCGATGCACCTCGCGCGCCGCGTCCGCGTGCGCGGGGTCGATCGCGCGCGTCTCCGTCGCGCGCGCGCGTCGTCGTCCGTCGCGCGCGCGCGCGCCCGCGACGCCGACCGCGACGTCGACGTCGCGACGTCGCGGACGCGTCGTCGTCGTTCGCGTCGCGCGTCGTCCCGCGTCGTCGCACCGCGCGCGCGCGAGCACCGACGGCGGTCGCGTCGGTCGCGCCATCTTCGCGTCCGCGCGCCGTCGTCGTCGTCGCGCAGTGCGGCGGCGCGACGCCGCGCGCGACGGTTTATCCGCGTCGACGCACCATCCGTCGCGTCTCACTGTTTGCCCATACGAAGGGTGCGTCGCGCCCCGCCGCGTCGCGCGCGCGCGCGGCACGCGGCGACGCGCGGCGCGACGGCGCGCGATGGCGTCGTTCTGGACGCGCGTCGCGCGCGAGGCGCGAGAGAGCGCCGGTTCGGTGCGCGCGCGACGCGCGAAGGCTCGAAGACTCGAAGACTCGAAGGCGCGACCGACGCGGACGCGCGCGAGGACTGACGGCGCGACCGCGACGCGCAGATGGCGCGAATCGCGATCGTCGTCGCGGCGGTGAAGACGCACGCGATCGATCTCACGCTGTGCGTCGGACCGAGCATGATGCCGACGTTCAATCCGAGCGGGGACGTCGTGGCGGTGGAGAAGCGCGCGGCGCGGCGGCTGCGAAGCGGCGACGAACGATGCGCGCGACGAGGGGACGTCGTGCTCGCGACGTCGCCGACGAACCCGACGCAGTTGGTGTTTAAACGCGTCGTCGGCGTCGGCGGGGACGTGATCGACGTTCCGTACTCGAACGGGAGGAATTTTAGAGTGACGACGACGCGCGTGCGAGTGCCGGTCGGGAGCGTGTGGTTGCAGGGCGATAACGCGAGAAATAGCACGGATAGTCGAGATTACGGGCCCGTGCCCGAGGATATGATTCTCGGACGCGCGATCGTGCGCGTGTGGCCGCCGTCGGGGTTCGGATGGGTGGAAAATTCGATGGGAGACGCGCGGTTGGTTCGCGCCGGCGCGGACGCCGCGTAGCGACTCTTTCGCGCGCGCGGCGTCGATCGCGGCGCGCGGCGTCGTCGCGGTAGATCTAGGTATTAAAACTTCAAATCGCATCGCTCGGTCGGCGTCGCCGCGTTCGCGTTCGCGGCGCGTTCGCTCGCGACGCTTCGCCTCGTTTCGCTCCCTCGAACGAGCTCTGAAATCGACGCGCTTTCGCGCGCAAACTGTTGACATTTTTCAAAATTCGAACCGCGCGCGCGCGACGCCGCACACGCGGTCGTCGCCATGGAGCGCGCGGTTCGCGAAGCGCACAGACGCGGGGGCGTAGAGCGCGCGACGTCGTCCGACCGCGGTGCCTCGCCGAGCGCCGCGCGCGCGGTGACGCCGGCGACGTTCTTCGCCCCGCTCATCGCGCGCGGCGGATGGCGCTTCGTCGGACACGGTGCGCGAGCGCAGACGTACGGCGCGATGACGCTGGTGCCGCCGGGACACGAGAAACGGTTGAGAGGGAGTAATGCGCCGTGCATGACGCCGGGAGAGGAGTGGGAGGACGCGGACGACGAGGAGACGAGACGCGCGCTCAAGGCGTGCGGACTGCTCGTGGCGAAGAACGCCGCGCTGATGGATAAACCGAAAGCCGGACGGTCGAAACCTGCGCGCGTTGGGTTGCGAGACTACATCGCGCAAAATTTGAAGTGCATGATAAGCGCGATGGTGGCGATGCGGGTGAGCGCGACGGTGTATAGACATAAACGTTGGACGTTTGAGTGCTTCCGAGAGGTGTACCGAAAGCGCATGGAGTTGCGCAGGCGTCTCGAAAACTCACGGGTCAGTGCGCTGGGGAAGGAGTCTCAGCGTTCGCTGACCACGCTTTTGCGTGCTTTCGACACGATGATGGAGCAAATGTGTGATCCTCGCGGGAACATTCGCGCGGCGTTTTACGACGGGATGGTGGCGTGTCCGTGGGACGTCGACTACGAATGGCAACAGAATGCAGCATTTCACGAAGACTTGTACAGCGTGCCGTACGCGACGAATGACGACCGCGATATGACACACTCATACGAAGTGCCAGATTTACCGGAGGCCTCACATAAGCGCGTGTTCGAAGGACAAGATTCGATGTCGCAAGATTCGCGCGCGTCCACGGGCACGGACGACGCCGGGGTGATTGGCGGCAAGCGCAAGCAAGCCGATTATGCCGACGGTGTCACGGTGCGTCGGTGCCGAATCAAGCCTAGCATGGATGAGATTCCATCCATCGTGGCGTTAGAAATGGCCGCGGAGATTGACGTCGTTGCCGCCGCGACGGCACACTTCTTCGCCACGTGCGACTTATGCACCGATGGGCCAACCTTCCATGAGTATTTGACGCTGGTGACGTCAGCGTACGATTTTGCGTTCGCGACGGAAATGCAACTGTCATTAGAGAACACGGTGATTCCTCAGATGCGCGAGAAGCAGTTTCCAGATGACGCCACTTTCCACTACACGCTTCTCGCGCAGTGCTACTCCTCGTCTTCTCAAGCGACGCAGTTACTCAAGCTACTCAGCAGCGATCCGAATCCGTTATTACACATCTCGTTGATGCAACGAATTGAAGGCGTATTCATCACGTCCAGAGATGGACCCGACGATAAAGCAGACGCGAGGTTTGATCGTCTGATGCGGGACTACGCTGAAAGAGTGGCGTCGGCTCATCACAAACGACCGTGCTCCGTCAATGGCTCGCATATGCAGTTGCACTATCCTCCGCCGATTCGCACGTGGATCGAAACGTGCAAATTATCGAATAGCCAACTTTACTCGCCCGCTGTGCCGAGTTTCGAGGCGCTAATCGAACTGCGTAGCTCATCGCCAAATGGTTGGGTGGAAATCTCGCGCGAAGGCACGGGCTATTGGACGGCCGTGATGACGAAGTGTGGCATACCCGCGCAGGCGGTGAACGTGCGCCTGGATATCAAGCGATACGGCCCAGAGGACGCGCGCGAACCTCCTCCTCCTCTTCCGCCGAGCTCAAGGCCGTTCGTGGGCATTCATTATGACTTACCTGACGTGTGCTCGGAATTTGGCAACTTTGGCTTGCTCCTCAACTGCATGCCTCGAGACGAAGATTTAGCAATTGAGTGTCTGAGAAATTACACTGGAAGCACAATCGCGTTAGTGGGCGAGTGGGTCGGCTCGACCGCTGGTTCGCGCTTCGTGCGTCGACTCGCAAAAAGGTTTGAGTTCGCGACCACCACAGTCTTGCCATGGATCGGCGATTCCGCGCACGAGCTCAGTATTTGGAAACGCCGAGCGGAAAAGTTGACGAAGCAGAAGCGTCGCGACGACGCGCTTTCTCGACGCGACGTGTTCCCCGCGGTGAAGAAATGCCAAGTCGCCGGCTGTCAATCGAAGTCGCGCACTATGTTCTGCTGTCGTCTCTGTCGCAGCGCCTTCGTGTGCTCCGAGCATCTGCACGCCTTGCATGATGAGTACGATCTCGCGCACGCCACCGAGCACTGCGTACGGCTCCTGCCGACGCTCGATAGATTGCGAGGATACGAAGTCGAACTGGCGCACGGTGAAGGCAAGAAGCAAATGCGAAGCGAAACCATCATGGCGTTTAATCCATTCATCGCGGGTGTCGACTGCTGGATGGTGGACTATCGCAAAAGTTCAAATGACGTGTACGAAGACGTGCAAATAAGCGTGCCCCGAATCGAACGCGTGGAAAACTGGGAATGAATTATGCGTGGAATGACACTTAGAATTCTAGAAGCCTATCGATATCGTCTAATACGAAGGAATAATCGATCAACGTTTCGCCGCCGGAGCGCCGAAAAGGTCTTTTAAAATCTCAAAAGACACAAAACGGATAGAATTTTGCGGCACAACCTTGAGTGTATTCGCCGCCCATCCGCGGAAGAAACCTTTCACGCCCTCAGTCCGCGCTATTGTCGTGATGGCGTCGTACATCCCGTTGTAAGTTTTGCCCTTCATTTGCATGCGTCGCCGAATGGTGTCGAGCGGGTAGCACACGGTGGCGCTAAACGTGCCCGAAGCCCCACCGACGACCAAGTTAGACACCCTATCTTCCTTACCGTTTTCGCCATAGTACATCTTCTTTGCCATGTCGTACGACGCAAAGTTAATCGCCGCGTAAGGGGCTATGCCAGCCAACGTCGGCCCGAGACCTTTGTAGAGCGCGCCGACGCCCTCGGTGCGGTACACCGTTCCAAAGCAGTGCATCATCCCGTTATACCCATGATTCGGTAGCGCCAAGCGTAACCTCACGGTGTCTAACGGGTGCGTGATGGCTGTTCCCGTCATACCCGCCAAAGCGCCCGCCAAAAGGCGCTGCGGTACCCCAAGCTTGCCTTGTTCGTCCGCCAACAGCGACTTGTAGTAATCGTTAGACGCCAACTGCGCCGCCGCGTACGGCGCCACGCGAATGACGTTCACCCCGTTCCCTTTCCAGAAACTCAATATCCCCTCCTCGGCGTAAATCTTTCGAAACGCCTGCCCGACGCTCGTGTACGCCGTCGCCGACGTCCCGCTCGACGCCATCGCCTGGACTTGAAACAGCAGCTTGATCCGATCCAACGGCGCGCTCGCCGTCCGCGCGATGATTCCCGCGCCGCCGCCCGCGGCGACCGACCGGGATCCATCCAGCACCGCTAACGCGCGCTCCGCGATCGCGCTCGCCGCGAACGGCGCCTCTCGCGCCGTCGCGCGTCGCGCGTCCTCGCGTCGGGTCGCGCCGGTGGCGGCGCTTTTCGTCGCCGCCCATCGGCGCGCACGCGCGGCGGCGTCCCCGTCCATGGCCGTCGATCGCTCGCGCCGCGACGTTCGCGCGTCCTCGAGCGCGCGCGCGGTCGAGCGCGCGCCGCGCGTCGTCGTGTGCGCGCGGCGCGATTCTATCCACAACGCGTCGGGACGAAAAAGCGCACTCCGTCGCGCGCGATCGCGCCATGCACGCCGGCGCGCGCGCGACGTCGTCGTCGACGACGAGCGCGCGGCTCGGATGGCTCGTCGCGCTCGCGTTGGCGGCGCTGCACCTCGCGCGCGGGGTCCGGACGGTCGGGACGCGGCCGAGGAACGCGGCGGGGGCGTTCGTGCTCCACGTCGAGCTCGAATTCAAGACGGAGGCGGCGGCGAAAGAGCTGGTGACGGCGTGGGCGCGGTGCGCCGATTGGTGCAGGGCGAACGAGGCGGGACTGATGCACTACGAGATCGCGCGGAGCCAGACGGATCCGCTCAAGTATGGCATATTCGAACGGTACGCGAGTTTGGACGCGTACGCGTCGACGCACAAGTCGACGGAGGCGTACAGGACGTTTCGCCCGAAGATGCAGGCGTTGCAAGACAGCGGCGAGCTCGAGGTGAGTGGTTCGTCGTATTTCGAACTCGGCCACGGGTTCGTGTCGGGCTCGTGACGCGAATCGTAGCGTGGTCGTGTGTAGAATAGAGTTGAAATAACAGTTGGGCGGAAACGCGCGTCAGCAAAATGGTAGACGCGTGTTCGCGGAACGTCGAACTATGGCGCTCGACACCGGAAACGCGTCGCACGCGCTACCGGGAGTGTCAAACGAAACCGCGAACACGCTTTGTCGAGGCAAAACCAAGGGCGACTCGGCCCAAATGTTGTCCCAGTTGAGCGCGGACACGTCCGCGTCGAGCGGCACCGGAACCGCGAACACGCGATGCTGACTATTGATCTCGCGCGCGTGTTCGGCGTTTTGCGCGCCAATTCTTTCGAAAGTCACGTAATCCCCGGGATAAAACGTGTGCGACGCCTCGACGGTGATGACGGCGTACCTAGCGTGTTCGTTGAAGCACTGAATGTTTGTCACGACGTGTCGCTGGTTGCACTCCTTCACTTCTTCCTCAACTTGGCCCTGGCGAAGAGGGAAACCATTCCTAGATTTACTCTTTCGCCGCTGGCGATTGTTCATGCTCGCCGCTCGCCAGTATCCTCCGACGCGAATGGCGCGAGCGTCGACGGCGTCCGGCGCGGTGGACGCGACGTGCTTTCGCAACCTCTCGGGCATGTCGTCCCACGAGAGCCAACGCACGTTATTAGCGTCGATGACGGAAAGTAACGTGCGTCCATCTCGAGACTTCGTCGCGTGTGCTTCGCGATTCGCGCTCGACGCTACGTTGGGCTGAACCTCGCGCAGCACCGGCTTGGGCGTCGTCGTCGTCTCCGTCGTCGTCTCCGTCGTCGTCTCCGTCACGACGTCCTCCGTCGCGTCCTCCACGACCGCCGGCGTCGGTTCAGCATCTATATCTACCCCTAGTCCTAATAATAACTTCTTCCTCTGCTCGATCGCGCGCTCGTCCTCGCTATCGTCCTCCTCTTCGACGTACTCCACCGCGAGCAGCTCCGCCGACGCCTCGTCATCCATCCCGAGCGCCTGCCCCAAAACGCCCTCGATATCGACGTCCTCGTCCTCGTCCTCGTCCTCGTCCTCGTCCTCGTCGTCTAAATCCAACCCAAACTTACTCGCCTCGACGAACAAATCACGCATCAGCGCGCGCGCCTCGACGCCGCCCAACCGCACCAAGTCGTCCAGCGTCGTCGTCGACGCCCCCTCATCCTCGCCAGACGTTCCCTCGTCCCCCGCTTCCGGCGCGTCCTCGTGCGCGTCCTCGTCCGCGTCCTCGTCCGCGTCATCGTCGTCGTCGCGTCGCGTCGTCGCCGAACCGTCGTCGTCGTCGCTTTCGACCGTTTCTTCGACACCGTCGCCATCTTCTCCCCCGTCGTCGTCGTCGTCGTCGTCGTCGTCGTCGTCGAGCAGGCCATCGAACAGACCGTCGTCGTCGTCGTCGTCCGGTCGCGCCGCGCGCGCGAGCGCGACCCCGGTCGCGCGCGTCGCCGTCGCCGTCGCCGTCGCCGTCGCCGTCGCCGTCGCCGTCGCCGTCGCGGTCGCGACGCGCGCGTCGTCGACGCGCGCGCGCGGCATCAGGCACGCGAGCGCGACGCACGCGAGCGCGACGCGCGTCTTCGCGCGCGCGCGCGCGCGCCGGCGACGCATCGCGGCGCGGTGCGCGGCGCGCGAGGCCGCGGCTCGCCGCGTCGCGGCGTCGTCGCGTGTACCCCTTGACTGTACTGGGTCGTGAATCGATGATGTCCTCGAGGGGGAGGTACACGCGGTTCGTGACCCGGCGCGACGACGCGTGACGAAATATCTGACGAAATATCTTCGAGCGACGCCGCAGAGCGACGCGCGCGGGCGACGGCGACGGCGACGGCGACGCGCGACGCGCGGCGCGACGACGACGACGACGACGACGACGACGACGGTCGCGCGCGCGGGCGCGCGGGCGCGCGCGGACGCGCCGACGTCGCGCGCGCGCGACGCGAATCGCGCGACGCCGGGTTCGAATCGGCGCGGCGCGATGGCGCGCGAGGACGCGCGAGGACGCGTGGGCGCGGCCGCGGCGTCGTCGGGACGCGCGGGAACGAACGCGCGCGACGGCGCGGAGGCGCGCGGGACGGCGACGCTGACGGTGGACGTGGAGACGGCGGAGACGGAGGCGGAGGCGCGAGAGCGCGTGCGGTTCTTCGAACTCTGCGCGCCGAGCGCGCTCGGGACGTGGACGGACGAGCGGACGTGCGTGGTGGACGTGCGGGGAGGGATCGCGGCGCTGCAGGGGACGGGCGCGGAGCTGATCGCGTACCTTCGCGATCGGCTCGGGGTGATCATGGAGGTGGACGCCGAGCGGGAGCGCGTGCTGATTAATCACGAAATTCACAACGTCGTCATCGAGGCTGCGCGGATTTTGCACTTACAGATCGAGCAGGCGAAGATGGTGACGATAGCCCCGACGAATGGCGACGAGGCGGCGACGCCGACGCCGAAGATGGGGCTCTCGTCCTCCGTCGACGACGACGCGGTGATGCAAGAGGTGCTCGGCGACATCGAACCCGAAGAACTCGAAGAGTTGCGTCGACAGCTCGAGAGCAAACGCGCGACGAGACAGCGATTGATCGAGACGCTCGGCGAACCGCGAGTGACGTGTCACTTACAACCCGTCGAGTTGACGAGCACGCTCGTGCGCGTGCGGTTGCCTCGAACGAGGTCGTTCACGGGCGACGATCCGCTGTACGGTGTAGGCGTCGCGCTTCGCGCGGTGGCGTCGACGACGCAAGACGGTGAGCCCACGTGGATTTTTCAGTGCGACATGGGCGGGTCCAAACTCCACGAAACTGATATTATGTATATTTCCAACAACGCCATCTCGGTTCCCGAAGTTTGCCGACTCGTATCGGGACACAAACGGCGCAGCGTGGACAAACCACGTGACGTGATGGACGAATTTTTGCCGAGTTGTCGCACTGATGTGACGCAGTCTTCTGCGGCTTGAGCGATCGCGCTCGCCGCGGCGTGTACACTTTTTCCTTTGTTAATACCGACGTAATACCACGTGTACGAACGACGTAATACCCCGCGCGCGAACGCATCGCAACGAAACTACGCGGCGCGCGCTTTGATTGATTGGCGATTGTGACTAGTATGGCGTAATTACACAGTTTTCGTACTCTGCGGGTAAATACGGCCGCGACGTCGCGTCGGGCCGAAAGAAGAGAAGTCGTCTCGAGAAGGCGAATTTTTCGTCTCAATTCTATTCCGGGTTGATGACCGCCTTGATCTCGTCGTACATCACGAGCACGAGCGCACCACCGACGCCACGAAGAACGTTGGAGAAGGCACCCTTGAAGAAGGCACCCATACCTTCTTGCGCATAAATCTTGACGAAGGCGTCCACGGTGCCGCTGTACAACTTCTTGCCCGCGCCAGAGTTCATCATCAAGCGACGACGAACAGTGTCGAAGGGGTAGGAGAGAACACCAGCCGCGTTGGTAGCGACTTGGGCCACGATGAACTTGAAGATGAAGGAAGAATCCTTGGTGAGGAGCGCACCCTTACCGGTGTCGTAGAGACCGAAGTAAGAACCGCGGTACACGATGATACCTTGCACGGAGACGCCGAAGCCTTGGTAGAGCGCCATCGGGCCGGAGCGCCTGGCAATCTTGGACAAGCAGTCGACCAAACCGGTGAATTCACGGTCGTTAGCCTTGCCGACATCGGCAGCGAGACGCGTACGCGCAAAATCAAGCGGGTAAACAATCAACAAAGAACCGGCACCGGCCAAACCGCCCGAAGCCATGTTGACGGCGAAAAACGGCCAAAACGCGTCCTTCGGCGAGTAGCTCGGGAACAAACCCTTGATGGTATCCTTGAACGCAAAGTTGAACGCTTGCGTCGGGAAGTAACGCACGATGTTCGCGGTGTTACCTCTCCAGAACGAACCGAAACCTTGCTCGGCGCTCACGCGCGTGAAGCAGTTGACGATGCCCGTGTATCGCGGCACTTCGCCCGACATGATTCTCGGGTTCGCGTCTTGCGTTTGAATCAAAAGTTTCACGCGTTCGATCGGCGCCGTGGCCGTCTTCGCGATGGAACCAGACACTCCACCCTGCGCGCATCAAAACCAGCCAGTTTTCCGTCAGTCTCGAGTCCCTCGCGCGTCGTCTCGCGCGCCCGCGCGCGCGTCCGGATTGACTTTCCCATCATCCTTCGCATTTCCCATCTCACGGCGCGAATCACCCCCAGACTACGTCGAATCCCCCGCGCGCGACATTTATCTCGCGCCGCCCGATCGCCGCGATCGCGCCGCGTGCGTCGCCACCATCGCCGTCCTCGACGCGCGCGCGACCTCCCTCGCGCGCCCATTCCGCGTCCAACCATCGCGCACGAATCTTCGCGCCCGCGCCGTCGCCCGCGTTTCCGTCGAGATCGCGTCGAGCGCGCGCACCGCGGCGAGATCCTTCAAAAACGACGTCAAGTCGAACTCCTTCTTCGCCGCCGCCGCGAACGGCTTCGCGGCGACCGGCGCGCGCGCGCGATCGAATCGTCCGACCGCGGATCGCGCGAAACAATCGGCGTAAAATTCACGGTTGAGGGCCATGACGCGCGGGACGGGAGCGGTGCGTGGAGTGCCGCGCCGGCGCTCGCGCGCGCGATCCATCTTGCGCGGGGGTGGTGGCGTGTGTCCGACCGACCGACCGAGCGCACTGGGCAAACAGTCACGCGCTGGGCAAACAGTCACGCGTCGGTCGGTCGGTCGGTCGGTCGCGACGCCCGCGCGGCGGCAGAGCGCGGCGCGCGCGACGCGCGCGCACGACGCGCGCGGCGACGACGACGACGACGACGACGACCGCCGCGTCGTCCGCGCGCGCGATGGCGACGCCGCGAATCGGCGTCGGACGGCGCGCGTGGCGTCGATGCGTCGAGGGCGCGCGCGCGACGACGACGACGGCGACGGCGACGACGGCGGCGCGCGCGACGGCGCGCGCGAGCGGCGCGCGCGCGGCGACGACGACGACGCGCGCGCGCGCGCGCGAGGATCGAGCGACGGCGATCGGGGCGTGGGAGGCGATTCGCGAACGCGCGCGCGCGGCGCCGGACGCGACGGCGACGGCGAACGCGGCGGGCGACGGCGACGCGACGTACGCGGAGGTGATGGCGCTCGCGGCGCGCGTGGCGGAGGAGTTGAAGGCGCTGGACGTGCGGAAGGGCGATCGCGTGGGACTGGCGGCGACGGCGGGGATGGAGTATTGCGCGGCGGCGTACGCGACGTGGGCGCGCGGGGGGGTGTCGGTGCCGATCGCGAGCTCGCACTCGGAGGAAGACGCGGCGTACGTGATGCGGCATTCGGGGATGCGGGTCGTGCTGATACCGCCGTTGGCGGACGGGGAGGAGGATTCGGAGACGTATGAGAAGTATGCGAGGGTGGCGACGCGGTTCGATTTGACGACGCTGCGGCTGCGGCACGTGCGGAGGCTCGACGCGGAATGGAAGGACGCCGACGCCGACGGCGCGGAGTTGGACGACGTCGTGAGCTCGCCAGATGATGGTGCGCTCATCATATACACGAGCGGAACCACCGGTCGACCCAAAGGGGCGTTGCACACGCACAGGTCGCTGTACGCGCAGTGCGCGGGCTTGATTGACGCGTGGCGTTGGGACCCGAGCGATCGAATCATCCACGCGTTGCCTTTGCATCACATCCACGGCATCGTCAACGCGTGGTTGTGCGCGCACGTCGTTGGCGCTACCGTGGAGTTCCACCGTACGTTCACCCCTCGCGGGGTTTGGGCGCGACTTCGCGACGCGGCGCAGCCGCCGGTGACGGTTTTCATGGGCGTGCCGACGATGTACGTCATGCTCATGCGCGCTTTGCAAGGGAACATGGCGCCTGAAGCGCGCGCGGAATCCATCGCCGCGGCGTCGAGACTACGCTTGACCGTGAGTGGGTCAGCGGCGTGCCCGGTGCCGGTGCTGGAGGATTGGCGCCGACTCACGGGACGAAGCTTGCTCGAGCGATACGGAATGACGGAGATCGGCATGGCGTTGAGCAATCCGTACGAAGAGTCCAAACACAAGCCTGGATACGTCGGATTGCCATTACCCGGTGTTCAAGTGAAGCTCGCACCTTTGGTTGGCGCGGACGGTGACGAGGACACGTCGGATGTCGATTCCGGTGAGTATCTTCAAGGTCCGGGTGAGCTCCTCGTCAAAGGTGACAATTTGTTCACAGAGTACTATGACAACGCAGAGGCGACGTCGGAGAGCTTTGACGAAAGTGGATACTTTAAAACGGGAGATGTCGCAGCGATGGCAAGCGATGGGTTTTGGCGCATTCTCGGGCGCGCATCTGTGGACGTGCTTAAGATAGGAGGCTTCAAGGTGAGCGCGCTCGAAATCGAGGCGCGCCTGCTCGAAAATCCATCCATCGCCGAAGTCGCCGTATTGGGCATCCCGGACGAAGCGTACGGACAACGAGCGGTTGCGCTCGTCGTTCTCGCGCTCGACATGGAAACGGGCGAGCCCGCAAATTTGACGGAGGGTGATGTAACGCTGTGGGTTCGCCAAAATTTGGCGTCAAAGATGCATTTGCGCGTCGTCAAGTTTGCCGACAAAATGCCTCGAAACGCCATGGGCAAGGTGAACAAAAAGGACTTGCAAAGAACGCACTTTGCCGAGTACTTTGAGCAGCAGCAGTAGAGCAGCGGTGTAGCATTAATTTTGTATTGGTTGTAAATCACGATCATTGACAACGTATCTAAAAAATCGAATATCAGTACATGCCGTGTCGAGATCATCGTGCCGTCGTCGACGCGAACTCTGGCAATGGGAAGTTGGAGAGAAGTTCGACGTCGGCCGGGGTCACCGGAGGAGCTTCGCCGCGTAAGAATAGCGCAAGCGACGGCGGCGCGACAACTCTGTCGAGATACTTTTGCAATTCGTCGCCGTAAATTTTCTCCTTCTCTGCGAGTGCGGCGGTGAGTTCGCTCATGACTTCCGGGTTGGACCGAACGACATCGCACGCGACGAGCAAAGACGTGGTGAGCGTGTGCTTGACTTCCTTTTCGACGACAGCGTCAGCCTCACTTGCTTTATCGGAGCCGATGAGAAGATCTTCATTTCCTCCCGAAGACAGCGTAGAAACACTCATCGGGCCCAAGCTGGCGCTGAAACCCAATTCAGCGACGCTCTTGTACGCCAAGTTTGTCGCACGTTGAATATCGTCGCTCGCACCCGAGCTGATGCGCTTACACACCACCATTTCTGCCGCTCGTCCACCCATGAACGTCGTCACTTTCCCCAGGAGTTCATCCTTGTACATCAACCAACGATCTTCGGTTGGTGGGGTGTACGTAAAACCCAGAGCGCCTCCGCTTCGACTCACAATGCTCAGCGTTTCCGGACGCTCCGTGTCTGGAATCAGTCTTCCTACCGCCGCGGCGACGAGGGCGTGTCCCACTTCGTGCGCCGAGACCGTGCGCTTTTCCCCCGCAGTCAACAAGCTTCGCTTCTTCTCAATGCCCGCGATCGTACGAAGCACCGCGGCTTCAAAATCAGTGTAACTCACAGTGCTCTTACCTTCGCGGCCCGCCAGTAGCGCCGCTTCGTTGACCAAATTTTCCAAGTCGGCGCCGGTGAAGCCCGCCGTCATTTGTGCGATGATGTCGAGACCGGCGTCCTCGGCTAATGGAAGCGCCCGACGTCCGGTATGCACGGCCAAGATCTCGCGTCGACCTTGCTTATCTGGTCGATCGACGGAGATCGTACGGTCGAAACGTCCCGGGCGCCGCAACGCGGCGTCGAGCGTGTCGGCACGATTCGTAGCCGCGATGCAAATTACCATGGACTCTGTCTCAAACCCGTCGAGCTCGGTGAGCAACTGGTTTAGAGTTTGTTCGCGCTCGTCATTACCCATCCCTCGCATCTTACCGTCACCCCGGCTCTTCGCCACGGCGTCAATTTCATCGATGAAGACGATGGACGGCGACTGCGCCTTGGCTCTTGCGAACACCTCGCGCACGCGCGCCGCACCCATGCCGACGTAGAGCTCAACAAACTCAGATGCGGAGATCGAAATGAATGGAACGCCAGCTTCGCCTGCGACCGCGCGTGCGAGTAGTGTCTTGCCCGTCCCGGGTGCACCTACGAGCATGACGCCGCTCGGTGGCCGAGCGCCCAGCCGCGCGTACTTGGCCGGGTTCTTCAGAATATCGACGATTTCTTGGAGTTCTTCTTTCGCCTCATCCACGCCAGCAACGTCCGCGAACGTCGTCGTCGGCGGCGCGATCGCGTCGCGCGCGCGTCCGCCCCGCTGCACGCCGGGCATGGATATTCCACCCGGAGATCCCATCCCTCGCATCCCCGGACCGCCGAAATTGCCTTGACCTTGACCTCGAAACACGTTCACCAAGAGGACGAACATCAGCAACGCCACCCAAGGTGCAAAATTCGGTCCGTTCCTGGAATCTGGTGCGCTCACATCTACTCTATTCTTCAGCAAGACATCATACGGCATCGGCGCATCTTTTGGTCGCGACGTGTGATACACGACCTCGACCTCCCTCGGCTCGTCGAACGGCGTCCCCGTCGACCCCTCCGCTGCGGCGCTCGTCGTCACCATCTTCCTCGCCTTCGGCGCCCACGTGAGCTGATTCCCATCGATGTGCACCGCTCGCACCTCGTTTCTATTCGCACTATCCACGAACGCATCAAACCGCGTCGGTATCGGATGCGACTTCGTCGTCGTCTTCGCGCTCAGCGCGAACGCCGTCGCGCTAAACGCGACGTAAAACAAAAACCCTTTCCCGACCAGTTTCGCCAGCTCCATCGGTTGCAGCACGTTCGCCACCCACCACGCCAACCCGCGCTCGGGTTCGCGCGGTCCGCGCTCATCGCTCGTCGGTTCGCCTCGTTCGCCTCGCGCGCTCGCCTCGGGCGCGCTCGGTGGTTGCTGATTCTCGCTCCCCTTCTCGCGTCTATCCGGGCCGTGCTCCCCCGGCGCGTTCGTCGACGTCGACGCTCGCGTCACGACGTCCTCGCGCGCGCGCCGCGCGCGTCCGATCGCGCCGTCCGTCACCGCGCGCGTGGTCGCGGCGGCGCCGACGACGATGACGTGGCGTCGCTCGCGCGCGTCTTCTCGCGCCCCCGGCGCGCGCGCGACGCGCGCGGCGCGCGGCGCGCGCGCGACGCGCATCGCGCGCGTCGGCGCGCGCGGTCCGGACGCGTCGGCGCGCATCGCGCGCGTCGGCGCCGCGCTCGAAATCGCCATCGCGACTCGAAGTGCCGACGGCATAGCGCGACGACGCGACGTCCGACGGGCGCGCGCGTCGCGGCGGTGATGGCGCCCGCGCGCGTGGCGTGCGCGTGGCGCGCGCGCGATCGCGCGTCCTCGAGCGCGGCGCCGCGCGTGCGCGAGTACCTACGACTTCGTGAGATTTTAACGCGCGAGCTGAACGTGTGCGCGAGCAAGCGCGCGTCGCACGCGATGGCGATACGATGCATGCGCAGGGTCGTTCCCGAAGGCTCGCTCGTGGACGGACCGACGAAGGAGGAGCTGCGAAGCGCGCCCGAGGAGTTTTGGACGCTGGAGTTTAAGAATCCGACGCGGCGAAGCGTCGTCGCGCGAGGCGCGGCGAGCGGAGACGGTCGCGGTGGTGGCGATGACGACCGCGCGAACGAAGACGAGGTGAAGGGAACGTACACGTGCGACGAAGACGAGGTTGGGGAATTTTTAGCGTCGTCGGCGACGCGGTTTCATAGAGCGGCGCAGTCGTACGTCGTCGCGGGAGACGCGTTCGACGCGGGCGATTTCAACGTCAAGATTTGTCGCGTCGAGACGAGCTCGGGGCAGTACGTGGGGACTATTTTAGATTTGAGTTATCGCGCGACGAACGACGCGCGCACGGCGAGCGCGGCGTTGAGGGAGTTCGCCGCGCACGCGACGTCGACGGCGAACGCCGCCGCCGAATCCGACGACGATTTGGGCGACTTCGTCCTCAAAGATCTTCGCGAGAGTTGTCCTTTGCGCGCGTATCGCGCGCCGGCCGGGGATTTACAGTGCGCCATTAGCTACGTCGACGCCGTTCGCGCGCTTTTGTGATCCTCGAGCGCGTGTAATCCAGCGCTTCTCGTTCGCGGACGCGTCGAAGAGCAAAAAGCCGTTAGCGCCACATGACGACTCCCGCCGCGCCGCGCTGGCCGTCGCTCTCGGTCGAGCGCGCCGCGCCCGGCGCGAGCGACGGTGACGACGTCGACGACGACGCGTGGGTGTCGTTCGCCGAAGACGCCGCCGTGCGCGCGCGCGACGACGCCGAAACGGCGGTTCGCGACGCCGAGTTCGAACGCGCGCTCGAACGCGTGCGCGAGGCGAAGCGCGAGCGCGCGCGCGCGCAGGCGCGGAAGGCGACGACGCGGAGCGCATTTCTCGAAGACGACGCGCGAGAGGAGCGCGCGCGAGAGGACGAGGATGGGGAGGTTGGGGGCGACGTCGCGCGCGGCTGGCGCGGCGAGTTCGCGGCGCGGGACGGCGACCCGGCGCCGGCGCCGAGGACGCTTCCGCAAGCGTGGACGGCGCCGACGTTGAATTTAAACGTGGACGATGAGGACGTGGAGACGTTCGCGCGAGAGGCGGCGACGCGGGCGACGTGGGCGAGCGAGGCGGCGACGGCGGCGACGCGGGAGTCGGACGCCGTGGCGGAGTTGACGCAGCACGTTCGACGGTTGAGCTCGGCGTTGAGCGCGTGCGAGCGCCGCGAGAGCGCGGCGGAGGCGGCGGCGACGGCGGAGGCGGAGCGCGCAGCGGCGACGGAGCACGAATATTTGCAAACAAAGGCGCGCTTGAAGGCGCGCGATTTGGACATAGGCGAGTTGAACCAAGTCGTCTTCGCGCTCAAGAGACGAGTCGACGAGTTGACGGACGCCCTGGACGAGGCGAGAAGGGACGGGGAAAAGTATAGAATGGAAATCGCGGAGCTCAAAGTGAACGATTCCGAGCTCAGAAGGACGGTGGAGAAGAGGGCGGTGAGCGAACGCATGGCGTACAACGCGAACGAGAACACAAAGCGCGATATTTTGGCGTTACAGAGCAAGTGCCGGACGTTAGAGGAAGAGAACGGACGTTTGAGCGAACGTTTAGCGCAGAGTGAAGATCGAGGTTTCGAGGCGAGCAAGTCTGCGCAACGTTTTCATCAGCTCGCCGAGGCTTCGGCGCGAGAAAATGAGATTTTGCAACGCGCCAACGACGCCGCGGCGAATGAAAATGCGCGCTTAAACCAAGAGCTCAAAGAGTTGCACAAGGAAGTACGCGCCGCGCATACGCAGACAAGCGTCGATCGAGCAAACGTTAACGCGAGTGTTGCGTACGTACCGCCACCCGCGCCGACGCGCGCACCTTTGGAACCAGTCTTGGAGCCGCAGGTGGCACAGCCCAAAATCTCGGCGCATACAGTTACACAAACCACTGCGCTGACGAAGCAGACTTCCGCACCGCTGGCGGATCCGAAAGTAAACGCACCATCGATTGTTACTCGCGTGCAAATGTTCGATAACTCGGAATACAAGCGACGAATGCGAGAAGGGAGTGGATTCTTTTACGACATGCAGGGCGTCGACGCGCCCAAACCCAAACCGCCGGCGCGGCGCCCCGCTCCTTCTCAGCCTCGACCCGGCGAACGCTACGTCCCTCCCGCCGAGCCATTGGAGCGTTCGTTAAGTTACGACGAATGGATGGCTAAAATTTCAGCTTTGGAGCACGAGCACATGAAGCTCGCGCTCGATCGAGACCAAATAGAAGCCGAGCTCAACAAGCTTCCGCTCGGCGCAGGTCGAAACATGCTCGAGCGCGAGCGCAAACGCGAGCTCAACGATCGCCTCACCCAGATTCGCGCGGCTTTGAAAATCAACCGCGAGTCGCTTCGAACGGTCAAAGATGCACGGCACGGGTAGTCATGTCGACTTTGTTTGTAATCCCGAGACTCGCTCGCGCGTTCGCGTCCTCCCTACGATGAGATCAAGCGCGCTCTCGCCGCAGTCTACGCCTCGCGCGCGCGCTCAAGACTCCCGAACGCGCGCGCGAGCGAAGATCACTCTCGTCGCGCGTCGTTTTGGACGCGCCGTTCGCGCCACGACGCCCACGGTGCGACGCAGCGACGCGACGTCGACGACAATCCAACCATGCTTGCGCTCCCGAAATACCTCGCGCTGAGCGCCGGTGCGGTGACGTGCGTCGTCGCGCACGCGCTGTACACGCGGGAACAATACTTTCCGGCGATGGTGTACCTGAGCACGAGCAAAGCGGCGCTGGTGGCGATCGGAAACTTTGCGTTCGCTTTGATGTTGGTGTTGGCGCACGCCGTCAAGGCGACGTTTCTGGGGACGCTTCGGGAGGCGGAGGTCGAGCGGTTGTACGAACGCACGCGAGACGCAGTGATGGAGACGTGCCTAGCGATGACAATATTTCGAGAGGAGTTTAACTCGCGGTTCGTCGCGCTGTTCGTGAGCTTATTGTTCGTGAAGGCGTTTCACTGGTTGTACCAGGACAGGGTGCAGTACACGGAGACGGCGCCGACGCTGAGTCGGTTCACGCACGTGCGACTGGCGACGTTCATGGGAACGTTGTTGTTGGTGGATTTGAGCATGCTGAGCTACATCGTCGGGAACACGATCGAGAACGGACCGAGCGTGTTGTTGTTGTTTGGGTTTGAGTACGTGATTCTCGCCACAAAGCTCTTCGTCGGGTTCGCAAAGTACTTGATCATTAGCGCTGATCGAATGCTGGACGGACAATGGCAAGGCAAAGGGACGTGTGTGTTTTATCTTGAGCTCGTGACGGATTTGTTACAGCTCTTTGTGTACTTTGTCTTCTTTTTGATCATTTTTGCGTACTACGGGATGCCAGTGCACCTCGTTCGAGATTTGTACGTGACGTTTAGAAACTTTAGAAAGCGAGTGGAAGAGTTCATTCGATACCGTCGAGTGACTGCAAATTTGAACGATCGATTTCCTGATTCCACCGCCGAGGACTTATCCACGGGGGACGACGTGTGCATCATTTGCCGAGAGAATATGGAAGTGGACGCGCAAGGCGGGAGCAAACCGAAGAAGTTGCCGTGCGGACACTCCTTTCATTTGCATTGCCTTCGGTCTTGGTTGGAACGCCAGCAAGCGTGCCCGACGTGCAGACAGTCTGTCTTACCCGAACGCGAACGACGCGCCAACGCTGCGCGGGAAGCGGCGGAAGAAGCGCAGTGGCAGCCTTTACCGCCAGAGCTGCAAGCCGGATACGTACCGCCAGAGGTGGCTGCGCAGTTGGACCGCGAGGTAGAAGAGTTTGCGCGCGACCAACGCAGGGGGGTGCAGGCACCAAATGATGCCACCCGTGATCGAGTGCCACGCCATGCCGCAACTCTGAACAGACCACCGGAGGGAGTGCCGCCTCAGACGCCGCCCAGCTCACAACCGCGAACTCCGCTCCAAACGTCACCGATGGAACACCCTCGACAGGCGCAGCAACTGCAGCAACAGTTCACACCATCGCGCGCTTGGAGTTCTCCAGAGGCTTTCACTGCAGCACGCGCGGCGCAGGAAGCCCGCAACGTGACATCAGAAACAATGGACGTAGAGTCATCGCACCGAGTCGCCACCGCCGTGGCCTCGGCGGTAGCCGCGGCGAGCGCGCAGGCGCAGCTCGCTTTCGCGAGCGTCGCTCCATTTGGCACGCCTGGACTCGTTGAGGTCGCGACTGCGCACGCCTCTGGTGCGCTCGCACCTTTATCTCCTTTGCCCTCGCCCGGAACTCAGCGCCCTTCGTTCTCGCCCATGCCTCGCGACGCGTCGCCGGCGGTCCGTGTCGCTGTCGAAGCCGAGCGTCAAGCCACTTTAGACGCCTTGAACGCCCAGGTGCGCTTATTACAAGCGCAGATGGCCACGCTTCAGGTTCAAGCGAACGATGAAGAGCTCGAAGTCGCCACCAGAGCGGTTTCCGGCTCTCGCGGCAAGGAAATCGCGGACGAGGACGACGAGCCAGTCGCGGCGTCCGCGGCCAGCGCGTCCGCGACCACAACACCTCTGACATCGGCACAACCCATTCGTCGAGACGATGATGACGGTCCGGCCGCCGACCTGCGCCGCCGACGTTTGCAGGCCTTCCGTAGCGACTAGAAGAACGACCATTTGTAAAAGCCACCGCCGAGCCCCGAGCCGTCACCAGTCCCCAACGCACCATCATGGGTCAAAAGCGCTACGCACGCTCGCTCAAGCAAGACGAGCGCAGGCGCGAGCTCGCCGAGCTCGCCAAGCGCCCTCGCGCGCCGAGCATTCGGCAAAAAGTCGCCGCGTTCAACGCAGAGATATTGGAGACCGCCGACCTGCAAGCCATTAAGTCGTGGGGCGGCGCGCGCGGCACCGTCGCGTCCGCGTCATCCGGCGACGCCGACGCCGAAGGCGTGGTCGACGCGCATTGCGTCGTGGTCGGGAACTTACCGGTCGATCTGAGGCCGGAGGATGTGAAGGCGGCGCTGACGCCGCTCGTGGTAGAAAAAGCGCGCGACGCCGGCGTGGACGCGGCGAAGGAACTCGTCGGTGATATCGGCGTCGGGGTGTTTGGACCGTGTAGACCGAAGACGAGACGCGATCGCGATCGCGAATTCAGAGGGTTTGCGGTGGTTCGATTTCGAAGTGCGAGCGGTGCGGCGGCGGCGGCGACGGCGCTTCACGGGACGACGTTTCGCACCAAGTCCGCGAAATGGCCCGAGCGAGTCTTGAACGCAAGATTAGATGATAAGGGTGAGTATGACGACGCTTACGTCCGTGGGCTACGCGGAAGCGCGCCGAAAATACCCGATAAAGTGTCAAAAAAGGAGCCGCGAAAGCGTTGGAAGATGGCCGAATTGGAAAATTTACCAATGCGACAGAAATGTCTCTCCACGCATACGCGTTTTAGCGATCTAGATGGCAAGCTTCGAGTGCGATTGCTGGAGTACTTAAGTACGGCGATACCTGCGATGCCTGAGCTCGCGGGTGTGGTGCTCGCGATGGAGCAGAGCGCGCCGCATTACTTGAGAATCAAAGAATTGATTGAATCCATCGAGTGCTTCAATGTGATTCTTGGACACTTAAACTCTGCGGAATCCACTGCTGGACGTTCGATGGACGATGTACGAGTGTACGATACGTTTTTCGATCTCGCATGCGGCCACGGTCTCGTTGGCGTTTTACTTGCGTACGCGTTTCCGACGCGTACAGTGCGCTCGTTCGATCACACCAAACGGGCAGCTTTCTTTGCGTTCTGTCATGCATTTGAGCAAATGCGCAAAACAATGACGCGAAAGCCTTGGACCGTGGGTGCGATTGACTGGGATACCGAAGAAATGTTCGTCGCGAGCAACCGATTGGAAGAAACGAATGACGCGAGCACGGCACCAAAGGATGTGCGCGACGACGAGGAGCCAGCGTTGTCGAACATCGTCTTCACTTTGGGTGACATTGACGACGCAAGAGCGCTCGTCAACGCATCGAGCTTCGTCGTCGCCCTTCATGGGTGCAACGAAGCCAACAAAGTCGCCGTAGAGATGGCCAAAAGTCAAGACGCCGTGTGGGCCGTCATGCCATGTTGCATCAAAGCTTCAATTTATTTGCCCGAGTGCATCGTCTCCAAGCTCGACGACGACTCCAAGTACGGTTTCATGTGCGGCGTCATGTGTCAAAAATACGACGCACAGTTGATCCGCGCCATCGACACTCGCATCACAACTCGAGCGATCGTCTTGTGCGGCGGTATCAAGGGCTTTAAGAAGCATTGTTTCGTCATCGGGAACAATACCAAGATACAGCGCGAGCGCGAGCGCAAAATGGAGGCGCCGCTTCACTAGCCGACGCTTGAACCTTCGCAAAACGTCGCCAATGTCAGACACGGCGTGATCGCACGCTCGCAGACAATCCATCGGCGACATGTCTAGCTCGTCTTGGAGCGCGTCGTCGTCGTCGTCGTCGTCGTCGTCGAGTTCGTCATCGCGATCGGCCGAAAAAGCGGCGGCGGCGCTCGTCGCGACGAACAAACGCAAAGAACGATCCGACGCGGGCGTCTCCGAGCGAGCAGCGTCTCTCATTACGAGTGGACTGCTTCCGATCGCGCGTCACGCGCTCGTACCGGACCAAACGACCGAACCGGAAGCCCCTGTGGCGGGAGAGAGTCGGGAGAATGCAGCGCGAGGGCAAGACCGGGACCGACGCGGCGAGAGCTTGCGCATGATTAAGAGACGGAATGCCGAACAAAGAAGGAATGATTTGTGTCGTTACACGGTGCAAGGGGAGGTTTGTAAATTAGGTAAGAGGTGTGGGTACTCACACGACTTAGAGGCGTACGTGCGGTCGAAGCCGAACGACGTAAAGGGCGCGGCGTGCGTCTTCGTCACCGCGGCAAATGAAAAGTGCCCTTTCGGCGTGCGTTGTAGATTTGCTTCGAGTCATGGTAAGCTGACGAGCGCTCGAAAGGTGGATTTTGCGACGAATTTACTCGATGATGCGATGCAGAAACGACTTTCAAAGAATGAGTATCCGTTCAAGCGCTCGGATGCAGCGCTGGCAAAAGCCGAGCTCGAGTTAAAGTGCCTGTCGTTTGCGCAAAAGGGTAAACTCGATCGCAAGCAAGGCTTCTTGGGACCGTTTGAGCCTGGGTGCGTGAATACGCGCGAGAGGCGCAAAGAACTCGATTTCAAGGGCAAGCTGTACGTGGCGCCGTTGACGACGGTTGGGAACTTGCCATTTCGGCGAGTTTGCACCGATCTCGGCGCCGACATTACCGTATCAGAGATGGCGATGGCGAGTAATTTGCTCAAGGGGGATCGTAAAGAGTGGGCGCTTCTTCGTCGTCACCCAAGCGAGAAGTGCTATGGTATACAAGTTTGCGGTGGATATCCAGATCTGATGGCAAGGTGTGCGGAATTGATCGACAACGAAGTCTCGTGTGATTTCATCGACGTCAATATGGGATGCCCAATCGACGGCGTTTGCGCCAAGGGTGCCGGTAGCAGTCTCATGCGCGATACTGATCGATTGAAAAACGTTGTACGGACAATGGCGGCGGTTTCTTCGACCCCCGTAACAATCAAGCTCCGCATGGGCTACTTTGACGACCCCTCGAAGTACGTTGCGCACGACATCATCCCGCGAGCGAAAGCTTGGGGAGCGTTTGCGGCAACTCTACACGGGCGCACTCGTGAGCAACGTTACTCGCGCCTCGCGGATTGGTCTTACATTCATCGTTGCGCCGACGTGGCGGCAAAGAGCGAGTTCACACTCATCGGTAACGGAGATGTGTACACGTACGAAGATTACAACGCCCAAGTCGCCGACAACAAAGTGGCGACGTGTATGATCGGTCGCGGTGCCATCATCAAGCCCTGGCTCATGACTGAAATCAAAGAGCAGCGTCACTGGGACATAAGCGCCAATGAGCGATTAGATTTGTTCAAGGACTTTTGCCAATATGGGCTCGAACACTGGGGCAGCGACTCGATGGGAGTGGAGAAGACGCGCCGCTATCTCCTCGAGTGGATGAGTTACACCCATCGATACGTCCCAATAGGACTATTGGAGCAAAACGTCGTTCCGAAACTCCACTTGCGTCCGATGCGTTACGTCGGACGATCGGACCTCGAAACCAAACTCGCGAGCGACAGACTCGAAGATTGGCTCGAGTTGAGTGAAATTTGCGGGCTTGGCAAACCCGACGCGTCGTTCAAGTTTGTTCCAAAACACGCTTCGAATAGCTATACAAAAGAAAGCGCCGACGCTGCGGCGTCGTGGGTGGACGTCGGCGAAGAGAATGGGTGAAAGAAGGACAGCTTCGCGTTGTTCTTGTGTACAAAACGGTTATATAGCGGGTGCGTATTTCAATCCTCTTCGATCGTTTTTTTTTCGTTCCTTCGAGTCGCAGTCTTCTGTCAATCGACGATCGCAGTGATGATCATACCTTTACAAAGCTGGAATTACCAACTGAGGCTAGAATGATTTGGGGCGATGGAGCCCGGCCCTCTTACGCAGTGCAGAGCATAGGCAACTGAGCGATTTCAAAGACGGAAGACGACGGCGTGATTTTTCTCCCCCCTCGCCGCGGCGTCTTTTCGACCGACTGACATTTTTTTGTTTTCTTTCGTGTACCAACAGACGCGCGTTAGCGTCTTGTATTTAGCATCATTAGACGTAGCCAACTACTACCGTTTCGCTTCGCCGCGCCGAAGAAATCCGTAACCGCCCGCCCCGCGCCGCACACCTCGCCGCCCGACGCCACTAACCCCCACCGATCGCGACGTTCGATGTTCGCGTGCGCGTCCATCTCGCGCGCGAGCGCCGTCGCGTCCTTGACGCCCGCGCGCGCCGCCGTCGACCGAAGTTCGACGAGATCCATCGGCGTCCACGCGCGCGCGTCCGGTGACGCCCCGTTGACGCACCTGCGCCCGTCCACCGCGAATCGCGCGAATGAGATCGCGTTCGTAGCCGCGAAACCCGCGCCTGCGCCGCCGGTGAACAAGTTCCAGGAATTCGGTCGACAGTACTGGCCGGCGTTCGCCGCGCTGGAGGGCGTGGCGCTCGTCGGCGCCACGGTGAACGGGATCATGTTGCGTAAACGGCGCGAAGAGATCGAGCGATTGAACGCGCAGATGCGAGGAATCATGGCGAAATTGGACGAACGCGACAAAACGCTGACGAGCGAGGATGGAGATTCTGAGGCGAGCGAGGCGCTGAACGCGGCGAAATCCGCGCTGGCGAGCGACCACAACGACCGCGCCGCGGATTTATTCCTCAAGGCGATCGACGTCGCCACTCGCGCAGAAGACGGCGCGGCGGAGTTGAGTGCTCGCCGTGGCTACGCGATGGCGCTCGCCGCGCAGCGCAAGTTCGCCGACGCCGCGAGCACGCTCGAGGCGTATCTCCCGCGTTCCTCGGCTTTGAACCAGCGCGAAGGCGACTCCGCCGTGTACGGTTTACTCGGGGACGTCTACACCGATCTCGGGGCGTTCGACAAGGCCGGCGCCGCCTACGACGCATGCATCAACGTCATGGACGACTAGCCCTTCCGCCCGCTTCCGCGTAGCCTTTCTTAGCCGACGCCTCGCCAGAGTTGCGAGCCGAAAAAAATCTTAAGTCTATCCACACAAGATATTTTTCTCCAGCCTTTGACCCGCGCGCGCGCGCCCCGCACAGCGACGCGCGCGCGTCTCGAGCGCGCATCGCGAAGCGACACTCGCGCGCACCGCAGCAGCGCGCGCGAGCGTCATGTCCGCCGCGCGCGCGCTCGCGTCGAGCGCGAACGCGAAGAATATTCAAACGTCCCGGAGGTCGTTATCATGCGCGCGCGAACGATCGCGCGCGGTGATGCGCGCGCGACGCGAACGCGCGGTCGAGAGCGGTGAAGTGTTGAATGTGAACGTCGTTGGGTCGGTGACGGGACGACGCGCGACGCGTGAGCGGCGTGGGGTGCGCGCGAGCGCGATGATGGGCGACGGGGACAGAGGCGAGCGCGGCGAGCGGGACGACGGCGAGGAGGACGAGGAGGTTGGAGGTCGGCGACGGCGACGAAGGGCGAGTCGAGGGCTTAATAAAGATGCGTCGGCGCGCGATGAGAAAAAAGAAGGGAAGAAGAAGACGCAGACGATGGCGGCGGAGTCCAAGGGCGAAGCCGAGACGGAGGCGCCTAGCGACGCCGAAGGGGGGTCGACGGCGGATTTCATCGAAAATGTAGTCGTGGATGCTCGCGAAGAGAGCTTTGCGTTGAAGAAGAAACGCATGGAATTGATTATCGAAGAGAAAGAGTGGGATTTAGAGTCACCGACGTCGAGCGAGGATGAGAAAATGATCAAGCTTGTGGAGTACGTTAATGCGGTGGAGGCGTTCAAGGAGTTGTGCTCGAGCGAGGTGCCGAACACCGTGGGCGATTTGCTCGGGCAGTACGTGACTGTGTATCACTTGGATTGTGATTCTCCAGGGTACGACGAGGCGCTCGCGTTTCTCGGAATCGATCCGGACGAGGACGAAGATGAGGACGAGCGCGACATGGAGGCCTGGCGCCGCGCGACAGCAAGCTTTGACTCTGGGTCCATGGACGAGGACGACGACTCTGATGACGAAGACGAAGACGATGAAGGCGAATACACGATTGAGATTTCGTACGGTCGCGGGGACGATTTCGATCCGATCAAAGGCTTGCACTGCGCGCAAGACGTCGAAGGCAACTGGCGTTGGCTCGAGGATGATTTAGGGAGAACTCTGTCAATGAAACCATTCGGAGAATTCACGCCCAAGCTCATGTCGGTCGAGTACATGCTCAAGGTTGGTTTGAACGTCAACTCACTTCACGAAGAAGTCGATCCACTCGAGCTTCTTAACTTTTCAGGGTGCAAGTCGTGGGAGGACACGCTGAGAGCGAGTCAAGAGGCGACAGCGGCATTGCGCCAACTCGAAGACGATGGATGGAAGGTGGATACTCGGAGCTGGTGCAACGAGCAAGATCATCTCATCGTGGTGAAGGAGCTCGTGCCATTACGCACGATGTCATTCGTCGACGGGTCAGTCACGGAGGACGAAAACGAAGAGGGACAGGAGGACGAAGATCGTTAAACAAGTATCACCGCACGCAAGCACGCGCCGCACACGCATGTACCCAACTATGTTGTAACGTAACTGAAGCGGCTGTATCAAATCTAAAATTACATTTTCAGTACACTAGTACATAGCGTCTCGCTGAGACACCTTGAGGAGTACGAACGCCAACGCGAGATAGCACGACATGATGGTGAACAAAACCGTGATGTCGTGGGAAAATACCTCGTGCGTCGAGCCAAAACTAAAGAACTTCAGTACCTCTTTGCCATCCACGGGGACTTTGATGGGACCTTCTTGCGGAGGCGTATCGGTCGGTTTAGAATCGATTAGCTTCGGCGTAAAGTAAAATGTTCCAGCGTCGAGGAACTCGTTTATCAAGAGCGCCTCGAATGCGTAGTTGACGAAGGATAAATCCTCGAGCCATGTCACCGCGACCGATCCGCCCGAATGAGGATCTTGCTTGTTCAGTAAGAATCCGCCGCACAGAATGGATATCAACAAGGCAAGAAGACCAATGACATTTGCGGAGGCGTTACTCGGACTGACGATACCGACACACATGCACAGCGCCGACGCGGCGACATTGGTCATGATCAAAATCAACGCACAGCACAGTGCATTCGTCAGGTTGGCGTGCAAACCTACCATCCAATAGGTAATGAATGCAAACAATAGGGGAGGAGTGACGCGTAAAATCACGACATCGAAGAGGACGACGGCTGTGAAGTACGCATTGGTGCCGTACACACCGCTCGCTCGCTCGCGTCTGAACAGAATTTGATCCTCTTTCCATATCGGCAAAGAGGAGAGCGACATGAGCGTCAGATACAGAATGATGAAGAATAAACTGCCCATCCTATTTTGTATCCCGCCCGTGTCTCGTCCACTGTTCCAAAAAATCAAGCCGAGTGCGATTGACATGCCTGCCGTAGACGCAAAGTGCAACATCAACAAAAACGGATGACGAAAGGTCACTCTTGCGAGCCGTTGCCAAAGCAAGCACACTTGCTTGACGTACGGACTAACGTATTTCGGTACGATCAACGGTGGTTCATCGGAATCTTCGTATCGAATCGTCAAGGTGTCCGCGATGAGCAACGCGCTTTCGGCGACCTCGCTCTCGGTAAACGCTTGCACCATGCGCTTTACGTCCGAGCGGGGACTCTTCAGCACGACGTCCAGCATGTAGTCCGCGATGTGCAAGTCCGCGGAAGGCAAGCTGACGAACGACATGGAGTTGAAGTGCGCTGAAGCGAGTGCAGACGGACCAGAGTAAACAACGCTCCCGTCGCCACTCAGTACCAGGACGCGATCAAGCAGTCGGAAAATGTCTGGTCGTGGCTGGTGAATGCTCAGCAATACCGTCGTGCCCATCGCGCCGAGACCGGACAGGATATCCACTACCTTGGCGGCGTTCGTACTGTCCAGCCCAGTCGTGGGCTCGTCCAGGAACATAATGCCAGGGCTCATCAAAAGCTCCGTGGCGATGCTCACACGGCGCTTTTCTCCACCGGACAAGCCGCGCTGGAACTGGTCACCAATGAACGAGTCAGCGAGCTTCTCAATGCCGAGAATCTGCATCGTCGAGTCCACGCAACGACAAATATCATCTAAAGGCGTTTCGGCTGGAAGCCGAAGTTTGGCGTGAAACAACAAGTGCTCGTATACAGTTGCGTTACCTGGCAAAACATCGTCTTGGGTAACGTATCCGCTCAGGCGACGAATCTGAGATGACACCATGGGTTGTCCGTTTACACGAATGTCGCCGCGAATAACATGCGTGGATGGTGCTCGCCCTGCAAGAATATCCAACAGCGTCGTTTTCCCAGCACCCGATGGTCCAAGCATGGCGAATAAATCAGCATGTTGCTCATGACAGGTGATCGAACCATCGCGCGACGTTCCTATGGAGTTCACTGGGCCAGCCACGCCCGTGACGTTCTTCAACACCCGGCGCCCAGACTTCAACGTGCACACTACGTCAACCCATGACAAGATGTACGGCTCGCGCGCATTGCCACTCTCGCTTAAAAGTGAAAGTGATAGATCTTCTTCATCAAGAGCGCTCGAAAACAATCCATTGCTTTCGGTATTGTCTAATACGAGACTGTCGGTTGGTTGATGTGCAAATCGCTCGCGCGCATCGGCAAAGTCATCCGCAACATCTACTATTTGGGACGTGCCACTATTATTGTAACCATCCACCCTTCCATCGAACGAATCTGAGTCTTGCGCGGAGGTTTTTAGGAAGACGTAACAACCAAATGCAAAGAGGAAGCCTTCGGCGATCAGAAACGTGACATCCCAGGGCGCGAGATACGGATGAAACCCGAACGTGAAAAGCACTTTCTCGCCGGGGACTGGAATTTGCTTTGGAAGCTTCGGTCCGCTGGTGCCACTGGCGTTGCTCCAGCTTTGAGTAAGCGTGAATGTCAATGGATTGTCGACAAACTCGTTGACGACGAGCGCCTCGTAGCCGTGACTTATGAAACTCAAGTCGGCGATCCAGCGTGCATACCACGGAATGTGGTCTTTGTTCAGCAAGAACCCCCCAAAAAGAATCGCGAGTAAAAAGCACAGCGAAGCAACCATGTTCGCCGCAGATACGTTCCGATTCGCGGCGCCGACCGCCATGCACAAACACGTAGCGACGATGTTCGTCAGGATCAACACGAAGACAAATTTCAACAGATTCAACTGACCACCCTCATTCAAACCGATCATACCGTACGAGAAGAATCCGAAGAAAAACGGAGGCAGGACACGCATTGGTAGCAGATCGAATAATAGCATGCTCACGAAATATGCATCTGCGCTGTATACTCGACTCGCTCTTTCGCTCTTGAAGAGTAAACGATCCTCCTTCCAAACCGGCAGCGAAGACAATGACATTAATGTCAAAAAGAGCAAGATGAAGAATAAACTGCCCATCCTATTTTGGATACCTCCTTGATTTGTACCACTATGCCAGAAAATCCCACCGACACCGCAAGCGACGACGAAAGACGAAATGAAGTGCACGTAAATCAAAAATGGATGCCGGTACATTTGCCGGAGCAACCGTCCACAAAGAAGCTTGACTTGCGTTCTAAACGTCGCTGTGTGCTTCTTATCGACGTCGTCGATTGCATCGCCGTCAATAGAGAGCAAGCTTGGGGAGACGCTGAATCTTTGTGCGCACAGCTCCGTGTGCGTAACTTTATTTGTAGCCTCTATGTCGCTCTCGGCAAACGCTTGCACCATGCGCTTTACGTCCGAGCGGGGACTCTTCAGCACGACGTCCAGCATGTAGTCCGCGATGTGCAAGTCCGCGGAAGGCAAGCTGACGAACGACATGGAGTTGAAGTGCGCTGAAGCGAGTGCAGACGGACCAGAGTAAACAACGCTCCCGTCGCCACTCAGTACCAGGACGCGATCAAGCAGTCGGAAAATGTCTGGTCGTGGCTGGTGAATGCTCAGCAATACCGTCGTGCCCATCGCGCCGAGACCGGACAGGATATCCACTACCTTGGCGGCGTTCGTACTGTCCAGCCCAGTCGTGGGCTCGTCCAGGAACATAATGCCAGGGCTCATCAAAAGCTCCGTGGCGATGCTCACACGGCGCTTTTCTCCACCGGACAAGCCGCGCTGGAACTGGTCACCAATGAACGAGTCAGCGAGCTTCTCGATGCCGAGAATCTGCATTGTCGCTCGAACACGCTTGCGAATTGTACTTTGCCTTGTTTCGGCTGGAAGCCGAAGTTTGGCGTGAAACAACAAGTGCTCGTATACAGTCGCCGTTCCGGGCAACACGTCCTCGTCGATGACATATCCGCTTACCGCTCGCATATCTTCCACTGACGCGACTTTACCATTCATGAATATTTCACCAGCGCTGTCGTATACGTTGGAAGACAGTCGCCCGGACAGTCGATCGAGCAAGGTGGTTTTTCCAGCGCCGGAAGGTCCCATGAGCGCGCACATGCCGCCACGAACGTCGTCCATCCTTCCAGCCATGCCTGAAACGTCATTCAAAATACGTTTTCTCATGCCCTTCACCTCTACATACAGCCCACGCCACGTCAATATCGTCGATGGTCCATCACGCGGTTGCATTGTCGATTCGAATCGCCGTACAGCTTCGATAGCTCCTCCCACCACGTCTTCGGTGTCTGCGTTCATGTCAACGTCGTGTTCAAAGTACCGAAGACCGGCCTCAACTTTGACGTACGCCCAAGCGGCGCTCACTAAAACTAAAACAATCAATACCATCACGGCTCTTGTGATCGTGTCCCCGGTCCAATACACAGGAGGGTCGAAATGGATCGGGCACGACCCGTCGCTGTCGACCATCTCGTACACGCAGCTCCCAGTGTGACACGTCAGCGCAAGCGTCGGAATGACGCCACTTTGTGTCCAATAACACACATTCGACCCGTCTTCACGAGTGCTATTCACACCGCACCAAAATTTCATCCCCTTGTTGCCTGGCGTCGACAGCGGATTGCAGGGATGTTGCCAGTACTTTTGCCCGGGGGCGTCTGGAATGCTCCCGCACCCAAAAGCGTTCCGCCCCGGGCACGGCTCCACCCAAGTTGGCGGACACGACACCACGCCCGCGCTACAATCATACACTGCACACGTCTCCGTCGCAGGCAACGGGTCTATGCACGACGTGATCGTTAACGAACACTGCGTAAAGTTCCCGTCCCACACCGCTGGAGCCGCGTACTTGTACTTATCCGGCACATCCAAATTTTGATCCTGTCGCGGCATCCCCGCGTACTCCACGACTTCAATTTTGTATTTCGACCGTCCATTCGACACCGTGCCCGGTAATACTCGCATATCGATCCTCGTCTTCGGCTGGAACTTGCAAAACGAATCTGTCTTCGCGTCGCCGCCGCATCCGCACGAAAACGTCTTCCCGCCCGCTCCTCCCTCTACGTCCCCGATCGGTCTCAGCTCCTCTTCCGTCGGCGTCCAGCACTTCGACGTACACGCGCTCGCGCTTCTCAGGACGCCATTCACCTTTCTCTGTCCACACACCGATCGCGTCTGACACGCGTCGCACGTCGTCCCGCGCCAACCGTCGCCGCAACCAAGATTCGGATCCCCTTTCACCGCGCACGACGCGCAGTTCTCGGGATGCGGCGACGACGTTGCGATCGGCATCGTGCTTCGAGCGCACGGTGGCGACGTCGTCGCGATGGCGTTCGCGCACTGCGCGTGGGAGTCGGCTATCGAGTTGGCTTTTGCGCAGATTACCAGCGTCAATGCGGCGACGAACGCGACGCGCACGACGCGCCGGCGCGCATTTCCGAGCGATGCGCGCATGTCGTCGCGCGACGAATCGCCGCGCGCGTCGTCGCGCGCGAACTCGCGACGACGACGCGCGGTGAGGTGGACTCTGCGGTCGAGCTGGGAGATTCTACGGCGCCGCGCGCGCTATTGATATTGATACCGTGGTCTAAACATCCGTCTACGGTGTCCGGGCGATCAGTCGAAGCTGCACCCTTTGATGCAAGTTCTTATGGCTTTCGCTTTTTCTCTCTCCACGAGCACGACTTTCTCTTGAACCATGTAAGCCTTCGCTTGACCTCCGCCGTCGGGCATGACCCACATGGGTAACTGCACGGTCGGCACGTCTTGAAGTTTCGCATCTTCGGCTTTGACCCATTTGTATTTCGGAGTGAAATCGGGCTTGCCTCCGATGTAGTGGCGAGTGCCGTGTTTGACGGTGGCGGCTTCGTACGAATCGACGACGCGGCGAAAGGTCTGGAGCGAACCGAAGTGGTGCTCGATGGCTGCGTTCAGCGCGGCGTCGGCGTAGGCGTACAGCGCGGCGTCGCGAGTGGTGACATTCTTGATGGTCACTTCGAGCGCTTCTTTGTCTACCTTATCCACGTTAGTGCCGGTGTTGGAGAAGACGTACCGCAAATCCCGCACGCCAGCTATTTTCCCTACGACGTGCAGAAATTCGTTGAAACGTTCGGTAGTCCCGACAACATCAAACTGCCCCACGAGCGCCTCGACCCGCGCCCACTTTTCATCGCTCACCGTGATGCAGTCTTTCGTCCACTTATCGTTTTTCTCATACGTCGGCGCGCGCAAGTGATGGACGCACTCCTCCCACAACAGCTCGCGCGTTTGCATATCCTGTTTCGTCGCCGCCCACTCGTGCAAGCTACGCCCCCACACGTTCTTCGTTGACTCCCCCGCTTGTTCTTTCTTTATTTCTTCCTCCATGCCATCGTGCACGTAATATGCGTAGTAACTCGCGTACTGATCAACGGGTTTCCGCACCAAGTAGGACGTCGTCACCGAACACGAATCCGCAAACTCTTCCTTCATCGCCAACACATCCTCAAACACCACATTCGCGAAGTTCTGCGCGTTCCAACTATTTGGATAGTGCCCTCTCACCTCCACGAGCGTTCTCGGTGGCACTGCACGCGTGCCATTCACGTACGCTCTCGCCGCGTCCGTCCACGCCGTCTTCAGCGCCTCCCACTCTTCCCGCGAAGCGCCGTACGGTATCGGATACTCCCACTCACCGAGCACCGTCTGCCTTTCGAACCAAAACCGCACCGTCGTCCCACCCGTTTTACTGACGTGTCTAAATAAGTGCAGCGCGCACGGCTCATCGCTCTTCGCCGTCGCCGTCGCCGTCGTCGTCGCGTTCGAAGTCGTCGTCGCCGCCGTCGCGTCCCGCTCGCCGACGCTCGCCGACGCCGTCTCCAACTCTCGCGCCGTCTCCACCGATCCATCCGCGCTCGTCGCGCCGGCGTCATCGCGCGCGTTCGACGACTCGTGAATGCTCTGTTCGGCGACGTCGAGCGCGACCGGGGCGCGCCAGACGAGCTCTGGTTTGGCTACGAAGACGGTTGAAGTAATCTGCGTTCGCGAGCTCGGCTCGACCGAGTCGCCGTCATCGAACGATTGCCGCTCGGCGCGCCAGCGGTGCGCGGATACGACGACGAGAACGGCCAGGACGAGCGCGGCCGCGGCGCGAAAGGCGGTGAACCATCGCGCGCTAGCGCTCATGGCGCGTTGCGCTGTGAGGCGCTCGCGCGCGGCGACTACGACTACGTTACACCGAGGAGCGCTAGTCGCTCCAATCGGAATCGTCAGAATCACCACCGAGGTGTGATCCAGACAGGTCTAATTGCGCGGCTATGGCGGAGTTGAGCTCGCCGAGACCTTTGTTCGGTGGCGGTGGCGGTGGCGGTTTCTTTGGCGGCGAAATCGAGCGCGGCGGCGGCGGCGGCTTGGGCGGTTTGCCGACGCTCGGGGGTGGCGACGGAGGAATGTTACGCGAGGATGGCGGCGGTGGTGGCGTTGGCGCTGGAGGGGGTGTTGTACCGCGCGAGGGCGTCGGCGAAGTCTCCGAATCAGAGATCACCGAGGACGTCGCGGATGTGAAATCGCTCGCGCTCGCTTGTTTCTTGCGAAGAGAAACGCCAGCTTGGATCGACGCCATGAGCATAGCGTGCGGATCGTTTGGATTCGGTGGATTTGGTGGTGATGGTGCAGCGTTCTCGTCCGGTGGCGCGTGCCCGCCAGGCGGTGGTGGAGGGGGAGGAGGTGGTGGAGGGGGAGGCGGAGGGGGAGCGCTCGGCGCGCTCGGCGCGCTCGCCTGCATCGAAGCAGGAGGCATCGCCACAGGGGCAGAACTTCCAGGGCGTGGAGGCACAGGACGTCCTTCTGCTAAGGCCTGGCGCGCCGTTGCTTTCCATTGTTTGTAAATAGCTCTCTCCTCCTTCGCCGCGCGGCGTCTCGCGCGATCCGCCCGACGCTCCTCACGCTCGATGCGCGCACGTTCCATCGTCGTCAGCGGTCTCGATGGTGTTTCCGCCGCGAGTTCAGCGGCTTGCCACAGGGCAGTGTTTTCGCCGTTCGCGTTTGACGCAGGAGCGTCGCGATTAGAGGCATCGTCATCACGAAGTAACATGCCCCACATCTCTGCTTCCATCTTCGCCAAGTCCGCGCTCGCCCTGGCGAACGCTCGCAAGCCGCGCGTGAGCGCATTTCCTGACAACCGGTGAAATCTAGGAAGCTCGTCGCGCATGCGCTCGACTATCATGTCGTATCGCTCCTTTGCCTCTTTCATCAAAGCCTCGGCGGCGAGACAATCCGGATCCACCGTGGCGAGCGCTCTGCCTTTTTGGCGAACCACCTCGTCATACCGATCGCACGTGATTTCGTAGTGTAAGAGCGTTTCTGCACGATCTTCAAACGTCTCTCGCACCGCACCGAGCATCCGCAAGCAATCCTTGAACTCCCGCTTGAGCGCTTTCATGTGTTCAACGACTTGCAGCTCGTGCGCGTCCTCGCCAGTCAACGATTCTGCGCAATCTGCAAATGCACCGAGCACGGTTCCCAACGACACGCACTTACTTCTACGCGCCAAAGGTCGACCCCAACCTGACTCACACTCTCCCATCGCGCGCGCGCTCTTTCCTAGTTCCAACAGCCTCGTCGCGTTCACACGCTGTTCCAACTGTTTCATGTACTCTCTCGCGCTCTCTCGAAAGCCCACAATCTGGTCCTCAATCTTCTTCGTGTACTCAATCACTTGCAAATATTGCGGGTCTTCATCCTTGAGCACGCTCGATATCGTCCGCGTGCTGCCGAACATCTGCCCGAACCACGAGGGATTCGCCGCGCTCGGGCTCGACGTTGAAGCGCCGCCGCCGACCGCCGCCCCTAACATCCGCCGCGCCATCGCATCGACGAACGCCCCTCGATCATTCTCCGTGAGAAACATCAACAGCGCTGTGGAGTTATACAGCATCGGGTGCTCGCCACATCGCGTCAAAAACTGCACGAGATGTTGCCTTCGCTTTTCGCACGCGTCGCCATCCAACGCCGTCGTCCGCGCGCGTTCGCCCTCCAATTCCGGCGCCTTCGGCAGCGGCGGGATCACCGCTCCCGGATACGACTCCCGCAATCGCGTTCGCAGCGTGACAAAGTCTCCGTACCGCCGCTGGACGTCGAACGTGGCGTGTCCATCGCGTAATTCACTTCGGCATTGCAAAATGTATTCTCTCGCCGTCGCGCGCGTTTTGACGCTGAACGCCACGTGCGCGTCTCGCGGATCGCTCGCGACGAGCGTAGGTGCGGTGAGTTGTATCTTCACCGCCCCGGGTTGTATCTTCTTGTCCCGGCGCGACGACGACGCGCGCGTGGACGCGACGGATGGCGCCATCGCGCGCGCGAATTTGAAGTCGGTTGCGCGCGGGGGCGGGCGCGGGGGCGTCTCCGCGAAACGCATTGATTTGATTGCAGCTACGAGGGCTAGTTCCTCTTATTACTCAAGATCCCGGCGAAAGTCTCGTTGGGGATGTCTACGTTGCCTATGCGGCGCATGCGGCGCTTGCCTTCTTTTTGCTTTTCTAATAATTTCTTCTTGCGTGAAATGTCGCCGCCGTAACACTTGGCGGTGACGTTTTTACGCATCGCGGAGATGGTTTCGCGAGCGATTACCTTACTGCCTAGCGCGGCTTGCAGAGCGACTTCGTAGAGCTGGCGCGGGAGAGCTTCCTTTAAGCGCGCGACGAGGTCGCGGCCGTGGCGCTGGGCTTTGCTGCGATGGACGAGCGTAGCCAAGGCGTCGACGACTGAGCCGTTGACAAGAACGTCCATGCGTACGATGTCACTCTTCGCCATCCCAGCGTCGTCGTAATCGAACGTCGCGTACCCACTCGAGCGAGATTTCAGCTCATCCGCAAAGTCGGCGGCGACTTCACCGAGTGGAAGCCTGTAGCGGAGAATCACTCGCGAATCATCTAAAAAGTTTTGCTCGAGTTGCTCGCCGCGACGGTCCATGCACAATTCGACAACCTTCCCGACCACGTGCGGCTGGCAAATTATCGTGGCCTCGACGAGAGGTTCTTCGATTTCCGTGCCTTTGGACGGGAAGCCACCCGATGGGATCGCGAGCGGTGATGTGCAATCGATATACGCTTCGTCGTTGGCGTGCTTGATGCGATACGGCACCGTCGGCGCGGTCGCGATGATTTCCGCGCCGAATTCCTCTTGTAGACGCTGGTGGAAAACATCGGCGTGCAGCAGACCGAGGAATCCACACCGAAACCCCGCGCCGAGCGCGGTGCTGTTCTCCGTTTGCGCCGTCACGCTGGCATCATTCAAAGTCAGCTTACTCACCGCCGCTTTGAGCTTTTCAAAATCATCGGAATTCACCGGGTATAGTCCTTGAAAAACCATCGGTTTCGCCGGTCTAATCCCTGCGAGCGGTTCTACGGGTTCATTTTTCATGTGAAGCGTATCGCCAACTTTCGACGACCGCACGTCGCGGACGTTTGTGATCATGTAGCCGACTTGTCCGGCGTACATCGCGTCGGTCTTCGTCCGCTCGGGCGTCATCATCCCGAGCTCCAATACCTCGAAATGCTGACCACTGGCGCACGACGACACTTTATCCCCTTTTCTGATGACCCCATCCGCGACTTGCACGATGTTCACCGCGCCTCGATAATCGTCGTAGTGGCAATCGAGCAACAACACGCGCAACGGCCCGTTTGGATCGCCAGACGGATGCGGCACGTGCTTCACCACAGCGCTCAAAACCTTCTCCGCATTGTGACCCGTCTTCCCAGAAACCTCTAAGACGTCTTCGCGTTCAACTCCGAATGCACGCTCCATCTGTTTCGCCACTCGCTCCACATCCGCGCTCGTCATATCCACCTTGTTCGCCGCTGGCACGATGGCCAAATTCCTATCGAGTGCTAAATAAAACGTAGCGATCGTCTGAGCCTCCACCCCTTGCGTCGCATCGACGAGCATGACCGCGCCATCGCACGCGCTCAACGATCTCGACACCTCAAAGCTAAAATCTGCGTGTCCAGGCGTGTCGATTAGGTTCAACAAGTACGCCTGTCCGTCGCTCGGCTCGCGGTGCAGGATGCTCACCGCCTGCGCCTTCACCGTGATCCCTCGTCGCCGTTCCACCGGCAGTGTGTCGAGGACTTGTTTATTGCTTCCATCTCGCTTTATCGCTCCAGTCAGTTCGAGCAATCGATCGGCCAGCGTGCTTTTGCCGTGGTCCACGTGCGCGATGATGCTAAAGTTTCTCGTGCGCTCGCGCGGAATCGCCGCGAGTTCGTCCGCGGTCGGCGGTCTCTCCTCCTTCAGCGCGTCTCGCGCGGACGCGTAAGACGCACTCGTCGACGCGAACGCGCGCGCAGCGCACGAACGGACGATTCGGTCGACGAGGACTCGCCTGAGGGCCATGGTGCGACCGCCCGAGAGTGCAGCCGCGTCGGCGCGCGACGGGACCGCGAGCGGCGAGGGCGCGCGGCGATCACGACGATAGGATTGTGGACGCATGAATTAATAACAATGGTTGAAATTGAGACGCGCGACGGTCTAATGTGACGCGCGATGGTCTATTGCGCGCCGCCCATGCCCGAGACGTCTTGCGGGAACAAAGCCGCCAACTTCTCAAAGACGCCCATGATTTGCGGATCGTTTTGGTACTTGGTGATGTTCATCGGGTTCGTGGAGCAGTCCATGACGGCGGCCTGCACCTTGGGGTCTTGGAACGCTTGCGCCAACTCGGGGTCGGACATGATTTGCGTGAGCACGTCCTCCGGCTTCATGCCCATTTGCGCAAACTGCTCTTGCACTTCGGGAGAGTTGATGTCGGGCATGCTCATGCCGCCCGGAGCACCCATACCTCCAGCCTTCATTTGAAGCATGATTCCTTTCAATTGATCCTTGTACTGCGGGTTCGAGAGCAACATCTCGAACGTCTCCGGGTTGCGCATGAACTCGGGCAAGTACGGGTACATGAGCTTTTGCATCTCCGGATTGCGAATCATTTCTTGCATGTACTGCAAGTCCTCTTCGCTCACGTCATCCGTCGCAGCGCCCGCGGGGGCGGTGTCTTCGGCGTCGTCAAAGAACGGGTTGGACGACGGCGGCGCCGTCGTCGGCTCGACGACCGGGGTTTGTTGGTCGGCGAAACCGGCGAATTCAGACTTGACCGCCGGGCTCGGCTCCTCCGCCGTCGTCGGTTGCGTCGTAGTCGCGCTGCCTCGACCGGACGACGTCGGCGTCGCCGCGGTCGCCGGCTTCGGCGCCGCCGGCTTCGGCGGACTCGGCTTCACGTCCACCGGCGGCGTGGCGCTAGCGCCCGGAAACGGTGGAAACCCGCCCGCCGCGCCGGGCGTGCCCGGCGTGCCCGGCATGCCCGGCATGCCCGGCATCCCGCCCGGCATCCCGCCCGGCATCCCGCCCGGCATCCCGCCCCCGGCTTGACTCGTGAACTGCTTCACCATCTGCTGCATCATCATCGACTGCATGTCTTGCTTCTTCGCCCCGAAAATCTTCCCGCCGACCGTCGCGAGCGCGACGCCCAACCCGACCCACATCCACGCCGGCACGTCCGACCCCGACGACTTCTTCGCCACCGGCGGCGGCGGCGGCGCGTAATAATACTGCTGCGACCCCTGTCCCGTCGTCGGCGGGTACATCGTCGGCGGCATCGGCATCGGCATCGCCATCGACGCCGCGTTCGCGTCGCCGTTCGCTTCCGTCGCCAACCCCGCGTCCGCGTCCGCCTTCGCGTTCGCCCCATCGCGCCCGTTCGCCGCCGCGCGCGCGCCCATCGCCCCTCCGCGCCGTCCCCGCGTCGTCACCGATCGTCCCTCGCGTCTTCGCGCGCATCGCGCCGTCGGTCTCGTCGCCGTCGGTCTCGTCGCCGTCGCCGTCGTCGTCGCCATCGTCGTCCCGTATCGATGCGCGTTCGCGATCGATCGTCTCGCGTCGGTCGTCGGTCGTCGGTCGGCGGTCGGCGCGCGCGCGATCGATCGGTCGGCGGTCGCGTCGCGCGCGGCGCGTCGTCGTGTGCGGTCGCGTCGTCGGCGCGCGATCGATCGATCGATCGGATCGGGCGGATCCATCGATGGATGCGCCGCCGACGACGAAATCACACGCGCGCGGCGCCGACGACGAAATCACAAATCACACGCGCGCGGCGCCGACGACGAAATCACACGCGCGCGGCGCCGACGACGAAATCACAAATCACACGCGCGCGGCGCCGACGACGAAATCACACGCGCGCGGCGCCGACGACGCGAATCATCCATCGATCCGCCGACCGACGGACGGCCGGGGCGGCGACGCGACGCGCGCGCGCGACACGACGGCGCGCGCCGGGACGACGACGCGCGACGCGCGAACGCGCCGTCGCGCGACGACGCGCGAGAAACGCGAGAAACGCGAACGGGCGCGACGCGATTCGACCGCGACCGCTAAGGAAGGACGGGGCGAACGCGCGCGAATCGACGGCGACGCGACGACGACGATGGCGCTGGAGACGCCGAGCTCGCTCGGGAACGATGATCGCGCGGCGATGATGATTCAGGCGGCGTATCGGAGGCATCAGGCGCGGGCGGACGCGGGACGAAGGGCGAAGACGACGGCGCTGGAGACGCTGGAGGAACACGAGGAGGCGATGATCAACGGGAGGCAGGCGTTGGTGGTGAGGATGAACGAGAGGCTCCGCGGTGGGCTGCGAGGGAAGCTGGCGAGAGGGTTGGCGCGGATGCGGATCGCGAGGGCGTTGGGGGGGAAGGGACGGGACGACGCGGAGGCGGAGGAGGAGGCGCCGCTGCCGTCGCTCGGGGCGGCGGCGTTGGAGGATATCATCGATTCGTTGAAGCGAGGGAACGTGTTTTCGTTGATTGATGCGATGGCGATTTTACAAGCGGCGACGGTGCGGTTCGCGGAGGAAGAGAGCGTGAATTACGTGAACGCCGAGCCGGGTGGATCCGTCGTCGTCGTGGGCGATTTGCACGGACAGTTGCACGATTTGCTCTTCGTGCTGAAAGAGCGAGGGATGCCGTCGGATAAGGTGAAGTACGTGTTCAACGGAGACTTGGTGGATCGAGGTAATCACGGGTGCGAAATCGCGCTGTTGTTGTGCGCGCTGAAGCTCGCGTCGCCGCGGTGCGTGTTCATCAACCGCGGCAACCACGAAGAAGCGTTCATCAACATTTACAGCGGCTTCGAGGAGGAGTGTCTACAAAAGTACGATCATAAAGTATTCCAGATGTTCCAAAGTTGCTTCGATTGGTTACCGTACGCGTGCGTGGTGAATGAGTCCGTGTTTGTCATCCACGGCGGCCCGCCGTGCGACGAGGGGGCGACGGTGGATGAAGTGCGAACTTTACCGCGAGGGGCGGAGAGCGCGCGCGTGTCGGTGGACAAAAGGCGCGTGGGATGGTACAAAGAACTTGTTTGGAGCGATCCGCATCCCGAGGCTACGTTCATAGGCAGCGTGCCTTCGCATCGCGGCGCTGGTGTACTTTGGGGCAAAGACGTCTCGGAAAGATTTCTGCAGAAAAACAAATTAGAAGTCATCATCCGCTCCCATCAGTGCGTGGCCGGCGGTGTCGAGACGTGCCACGGCGGCAAGGTGTTTACGCTGTTCTCCGCGTCTAGATATTGCGGTACTGGCGAGAATAAAGGGGCTATTTTATCACTCATGCACGGTGATAGAACGCCACAGCCGCAAAACGCGCTCGTTTGGAGCATTCCATCGGGCACTGGGTTGTTGGGCTACGAGCGCATCAAGTCCGAGCGCAAGGGCAAGGAAGCGGTGAACGACGCCGTGGCGCAGCAAGCGAGCGAGTACATTATTGAAAACAAGGCTGATTTATACCGCCACTGGTCCACTGTTTCGGCGAAACGGCGCGAGCATTCGTACTTAATCAACCTGTTCGAGTGGGCGGACGGGTTGTCCAAGGTGCTGAAGATCAAAATATTATGGTCCAAGGTGTTCGACAAGCTCGTGAAAACGGAACACATCGAAATGATGAACGGCAAACGCTATGTAAAGTGGAAAGAGTTTCTGGGTGAGTACACCGTAAAGCTCAGGGGTGGCTGCAAGGAGTGGCAAGACCACGTCGTTTCGCGCATTACGTCGGCGGTATTACAATCCGGAAACGATTTGTTGACGGCGTTCGACGAGATGGATGCGGACAAAAACGGTGTCATCAGCCAAAACGAATTCAACACCGCCTTGCGGCGAAGCATACCGTCGCTCGCGATTCTCTCGGACGCGCAACTCGCCGCGGTATGGAGCGCGTTTGACGTGGACAATTCGGGCACGGTAGATTTCGAAGAGTTTGGCGAGATGCTCTCGAATTCGATGCAATCCAGGGAGCGAGAGGGAAAAGTCGGCGTTCGCTGGAGCACGCGCACGCCAGAAAAATCAAACGCCTCCGGCGACTCTGACGCCTCGAACGAGTCTCAATGGGAGCAAAACCTCAGCGAAGCGTTTGGTCGACTCTTCTATTCCCATCGTAAAGAGCTCTACCACGTTTGGCACTCCAACTTTGACCTCGATGAATCAAAGTCGCTCGCCAAGGAGGATTTCGTCTCCATGCTCCGCGCGCTCGACGAATCCACCGGTAAGCATTTATTCGACGACGAAGCCCTCGCCAAGCTCGCTGATGGCATGGACATCAACGGCGACGGAAGGATCGATTTCCAAGAATTCTGTACAAACATCGGTCGAATGGCGAACGAGTATTAGCGCTTCGTCTCTTTGTGTAACACCATTCCAACGCCTGCGCGCGAAACGCGAGCGCGTCGCGGCGGTCGCCGCCGCGCAGCGCTCCGAGCGTCACATCGCGATGCGCGCCGTCGACGCGCGCGCACCGCGCCGCCCCATCGCGCGCGTCTCGGCGTCGCCGCGCCGTCGCGCGTTCGCGCGCGCTTCGGGCCCGAGCGCGCTCGCCGGCACGGACTTGCCCGGCGGTGGACAAGAGTTGGTCGAATACGCCTCGGAGGGTAATCTGCGTCGTCTGAACGAGCTTCTCGACGGCGCGTACGCCGCGGACCCGCCGGACGCGTCGTCGAAGGCGATACGAATCGCGCAGTTGCGCACGGCGGCGCAGCGCGCGATGGCGTGCGGGCAGGTGGAGACTCTGAAGCGCGTGCTCGAGTTCGGCGACGCGCGAGGCGTCGACTTTGGCTTTGGTTTGGGCAACGGAAGGCTCTGTGCGATCGAGGCGTGCGGACGAGGGCAAGACGACGTCGTGCGAGTACTTTTTAAAGACGGCCGAGTGAGCACGGAGGTGGTGAATGGGTACGGGAGAACGGCGCTGCTCGAGGCCGCTCTGGAAAATAAACTCGAGTGCGTTCGCGCGTGCCTGGAGGCGGGCGCGAACGTTGATTTCACGACGAAGATGCAGGGGAACACAGCCGCGCATCTCGCAGCGCAGAGTGGACACGTCGAGGTGTTGAATCTGCTTCGCGACGCGGGCGCGAGGATGGATATCGAGCGCTTCGGCGACTTGAAGACGGCGCTGCAGTTGCATCGAGAGGCGATCGCGAGAACGATGAAGACGATGCTCGACAGATGACATCAGTAGCAACTATATATTCTTTTATTCTATGTACAACAGTCGCCGCTAGTTGTGCGCTCTCTCTCTGTTCGTCTAAATGCCGTCTTAAATCCCGCCCCCCGAGCCGAAATCGATGAGACCCAAATAATCATCCTTAATCGTCGCGATGCAGAAAATGTCGTTCGCGTCGATGCGCATGCCGACGATGCGCACTCGCACGGATGCGTCGCGTTGGATTCTAATCTGCTGGTCGTCGCTCACGTAACAATTTTCCCCCGAGCTATCAAACTGCATGTCCTCCGTGATGAGCGCGTTCGACACGAACAACTGCAGCGGCCCAGCCTCGGCGAAGAATCCAAACTTATTCACCTGCGTCACAACCGCGTCCATGACCTCGCCCTTGAACGGGCGAAACACGACACAATCGTACTTGATGTGAAACTTCGCTCGCGCCGTGCCGTCGTCCGTCACCACGCCTTCGCTCACCTCCGCCAGCCGCGTGACCATGACGATGAACCCATACCTTCCCGAGCACGTGCCCTCGACCTGCGATCGTTCAAGCGACCATCACTCGCGTCAGTCACCTCTTTCACGCCTTCTATCCTTTCGCCGCGCGTCGCGCGCGCGCCTTCTATCCTTCGTTGTCCGCGGCCGTCTTAGGGTTCACCCGCGCGCCAGACGTCCTCGACGCCGCCGCGCCTCTCCCTCGCTTCGCTCGAGCGCCGCCGCACCTCGTGTCGCAGTTTCTCCTCCAGCACCGCCTTCATCCTCGCCCCGAAGTGTCGCGGTTCGAGCGTGATGTTACGCTCGAGGTTGACGTGAAAGAACATGACGATCGGCGATCGATGATCTCGCGACGACGACGACGACGCGCGCGCGAATCGCGGCTCGTTTCGACGCTTGGACGGTGCGACGCGCGCGTCAACGCGCGGTGTATGACTTCGCGAGCGTGCGGTCGACGATCTCGCCGGCGGGCGCGAAGTGACGATCACGATGTGAGCGGGCGCATTCTGAATCTACTCGCGCCGTGAGTCGAGAATCAAGACGCCGCGCGACGCGTGAGACTCGAGAGGACGGATCGCGGCGTGCGTTTACATTACGAATATTACATGACGAATGAGGTCACTTGCGGGGTGATGCGACTCGATTGGCCCATTTGGGCGTCGAAGCCGGCGCGGGGGCGTCGGTCGCGCGCTCGGCGTCGTCGTGACTGATGAACGCGCCGTGCACCTGTTTCGCCTCTGGGAATAACGCCGTGTATTCCGGATTGTCCTGCACGCGGTAACTCGGCAAACCAGAGAGTGAAGTTTCATGATCACCATCCTTTAACATGTTGTCTCGAGCTTCAGAGAAGTTGCTGAATTGCACGTCAGCCTTCCATTCGCTCGCTCCCAAGCCTTTACAGCCGAGCAAGTAGAGCGCCGTATTACCGACGCTCGAGAAGAAGGCTTTGATGAGCAAGTAGATAAAGTACGCCATGAGTGGGATCAATTGGATCAATCCATTGACGCGATAGAATCGCTCTTTGAAGTCGAGCTGTTCGTACTTGGTCATATTCGCTCTAACGGTCCAGAAATCGGAGTCGCGTTGGTCGTAAATTTCCTCGGCCCACCCGTCCAACCCAGTGAGAAAGTAGGACGGTATGTCCCACTGAGAGAACGCCCAAGATGAGAAGGCGAAGTGCGCCAAGCACGCCAGCGGGGCGTACGACATAAACTGTCTCGCCAACTTGTGATCATACAGCGAAGGGTAGCGCGAGTGACGTAAAATCATCGTCTTGTCGCTCCAGTACGCCAAGAAGCAATAGAACGCCGCCACCGGAACGAGCACTGGAGCGGCCGCGAAGAGAACGATTGCGGTAAATATCACCGTCATACACTGACCGTAACGTTCAGCGAGCGTAAATTTTGGTCGTTGATAAAGACGATTCAAGTTGTACTGCGTGGTGCACCATCGCGCCGTCCAATAACGCCAGAGTTGCGTGAGCCACATTTGCACAAGACGCGACGGTCCAAACCACGAGGCGTTGATGAATGTAGTAATCATGAGCGATCTCATCACGAGCGCGTACCAGTCCAACGTCACGTCTTCGTAGCTTCCTCTGAACAAGATTGGGAAGCCTGAGAAACCCTTGATTTCGATGTTAACGAGTAACGGAAGAATCAGGGCGTTCGTGATGAGGGTGAAGAACGCAAAACGACTCGTCGTTCTTTCCGTGGCAGATACAGTCTTGTGGCGCTCGAAGAGCGCAAACTTTCCCGACGTCCACAACAAGAGCATAGACGTCAATGCGACGACGGACAGCCGACCGACTTCGAAACCAAAGATTAGTAGTTGATCGTAAAAGTAGTCTTTGCAGATGGTTGTCACGCGTCCCGACCGTATCGCGCTCTCACACATGCAGTCATAACAAATTTTCGCCGCACACTCATCGGCCTTCGTAGAGGCGTCCATGCCTCCATTCCATACTCCACCAGAATATCCATAAGCGTTAGCGCTAGAGACGCTTAATGAAGAGTACGCGCCCACGGCTTCGTAATATGGCGAGTATTGCGTCATGTCATACGACCACATTGCCGACTCGATGAATGGGTTGCAGTCTGAGCTCTCGACTTGTTTTCGGAAGTTGACGTTCGAAATCAATCCCAAATCGGTTTCGAGACTGTTTTCGTTGATGTTCCAGATCGCAGGGCAGTACATGTTATCAGAAGCCCCCGAGGCGAACAAGTCGCCACAGTTGACGAGTAATCGCCCGCCGGATTTTACCCAGTCGGTGGCAAAAACGACAAGGATAATGTTGCCGATGAGAAGACCAAGGATAGCAATCGTTGTAATCGCCCGTCGTACGAAGTATTGTTTCCAACCCACGTTAGCCATATTTTCCCACATGATATCAGAGGCTTCCACGGCTTGGGTAACCCGCAAGTAGTGAAATGCGTCGCCCTTGCCGTCTTCGCGAGGGTGGACGCGAAATCTCGTTCGCTTACTTCTGAAAAAATTAAAGTACGGAGCGTACTCGTCCAGACATGTCATTTTGTCCGACTCTTGTTCAAACGTGATGAAAGCGTAAACGATGTTAAAAGGCTCGAGCATACGCTGCTCGATTTTTTCCTTCAAGGCGTTCATCTTATCGCGTGCTTTGTAAAATTGTTTCCATTTGCGTTTGAAGGCGTAGTTTGCGTTGTAATCCTCGCCGCGCTTCTTCAGCGTGTGACGGATCGCGCTCAGTTCAGATTTCAGCTGTTCTGCACGTTTAAATAAGCGCGCACGATGTATTCGCGCGCGTAAAACTGCACCATACGAACGAGCTATGACGACATCTGCCACGGGTCCGAATTCTTCAAAGTGCTCGCGCACTTCGTCCTCCGTCGCGTCTACTGGCAAGCCGGTCACTTGGAGCGAATAGTCCGCCAAAGTGAGTAAAGCTTCATCAACGCGGACGACAAAGCTTCGAATACGTCTGGATAAAATCGCCGTTATGAGCATGAACATCAAAACCATGCAAACGTCCAAGCACGAGAGAACAGCCATGATGGTACGAATATCTATACCATACGCCGAAGCATAAACGCCCGCCGCCGTGACACCGAGTGTCGTCGTTATTTCCGGCTCTACCTCGACGCTACTACTTTTATTGGCGATATACACATAGTGCGAGAGCGCGACAGACGCGAGCATTGTGATGTAGACAAACGTTTTACCCAACGTCTTCAACTGAGCGAACCACAAGCTGATACCCGGGCCGAGAACGTCGAGATCGTCGCTCGTCGATTTCCACAAAGGAAGCTGGTTGCCCTCTTTGTCTAAAACCGCAGACTCAAGATTCTCCAATCGCGCGATGTGTCGGCGCGGTGCTTTGTACGCCGGGAGCTTTTCGCTCATGACAGCTTTGTAGTACGAGTCTTCCACGACTTGCTGCATCGGCTTATCCTCTGCGTGCGCGGTCTTCACCAGCACACCGGTCGGGCCCGTCGGCGCATTCATCGAATTGATTCGACTCTTCATTTTAGTAATCACTGTCGGAGCGCCATTCACAAACGTGCTGACATCACCGGCGTCTTCGTCGTCGGCGGCGCCGAGCGCCTCGTCCAACCGAAGCCTCCCCGCCTCTCGCGCCTCGACGTCAGCGCCCTCCTCGAGTTCTCGCACCCGTCGTCGCAGCGTCGCCGTCCACGTGTACGCCGGTACCGCCGCATCCTCTTCTTTTCGCTTCATTCGAAACCCTTCGTCTTCGTCCTCGTCTTCGTCGTCGCTCGCGTTCGCTTCCTCGCGTTGGCGTTCTCTCGCGAGCGTTTCAATCCTGTCTGATTTCATTTTCGCGTCCGCGTCCGCGCGCACGGCGTCCTCGTTCAATTTCGTCGCCATCGTATCGCGTCGCGAAAGTGTTCGAGCAATCGCGGGCGCGGGTTCGGGGTCGTTCGTCCGGGCGTCCGCGTCGCCGCCGCCGCGCGACACCGCGCGCGAAATTGAACGAAGAAGTCCAAGTCCAAGGTCTCCCAAAGCGGCGATGCCGCGGTCGATCGGGGCATCGGACGCGCGCGATGGATCGGGTTGCGCCGACGCCATCGCTGCCGTCGCGCGCGCGCGCGCGCGATCGAACACGGCGCGAAGTGCGGCGGCGCGTCGCGCGTAGACGCGCAAACGCAAAAGTTTGCGGTTCGGCGCCTCGCGCGAGCTCGATGAGGTTTTCGTTTCGGTTTGGAGAAGAAAATATTACAACGCGAGAGCGTGCGATGGAGTACGATCACGCGGATAGTTTGGCGTCGCGCTCTTCGTGTTCCCACGGGGCGTCGCCGACTTGGTAGCCCCCTGCGCGGAAGCTTCGCAAGTAGTCCAACACGTAGCCGTTTTCGATGTTGTTCGGCTCAATGCCGAGATCGGAAAAACCGAGGCTGTCGGCCCGCTTGACGTAATCTCGGCTTTGAGCGTCGATGTACGATCGCGTCAAGCCCAACGGGGTGGGCATGGGGAACGGTACGCGTCGCAAAAGCCACTCGTGCGGACACGAGAGCGCCTTCATGATGAAACTCGGGATGTACGCCGTCGACTTGCGCGTGCGAATGGTTTTAAGAACCATCTTCGCAAGTTCGTCAAAAGTATACACCTTATTCCCCGCGAGCTCGTACGTTCGCCCGCTCGTCAACTCGTCGTGGACGATTTGACGAATCGCCACCGCGACGTCATCCACGAACACGGGTTGGTGCTTGGTGTCGCCGCCATCGATGATAGGCACCGCTGGATACTTGCGCGAATGCTCGCCGAAAATGTTCAAGAATCTATCTTCGACGCCCACTATTTTGGCCGGCCGCACTATCGTAGCTGAAGGGAACGCCTCCCGCACCGCCGCCTCGCCGGCGGCTTTTGATCTGTAATACGCACTCGGGTGGTCTTCCTCGGCCCCCAAAGCGCTCACGTGAACCAGTCTACGCACGCCCACGTCGGCGCAAATCTCCGCCAATTTCTTTGGAAACGTCACGTTGACGTCTTCGAACGAAAAGTTACGCGTCTCCCACTCTCGACCCACCATGTTGATGACGACGTTGCTCCGCTCTACGGCGTATCGAATCGTCTCCTCGTCTCTGATCCCGTAATCCAACTGCACAATCTGCCCGAGGTCTCCCATCACTTTGAGATGTTGACGATCATTCTCCGAGCATCGCGTGGGTAGAATCATGCGCGACCCGCTCTTGGCGACGTGATGGACGACGTATCGTCCCAAAAAACCCGTCGAGCCGAAAACCGTGCACGTGATCCCGCTGTTCGTCATCAAAAATCCCATTCGTCAGTCTCTCTGCTCGTCGGCGTCCACCGGCGACGACTCGCACGAGCGTCGTGCACCGACTCTCGACGCGATTTCCACGCCGGCGCGCCTTTGCGTCGCCGCGTCGCGTCGTCGCCGCTTTACTCGCGTCCTCAAACCTATCGCCCCGCGCTCGCTCGCGTCCAGTCCACCCGCGTTCGCTCGTCGCGCGCGATCGCGCGTCGCGTCGCGTCACCGATCGCTCGCGCGCACCTGAACGACGACCGTCCGCCCGTGCCGACCGCGTCGCTCGTCACGCTCGGCGGTGGAACTTTGAAATCTTTGCCCGGTTTGATGCTCATCGCGCGCGCGCTCGCGAAGAGCGCGGGGAGCGCCTGCGTGGACGCGCGCGCGTCGGTGACTCGCCACCGCGCGGCGGCGGACGTCGCCAAGCGTCGAGCGAGCGCGCGCGACATCTCGCGATGGTAGCAGTCGCGCTCTGCCGATGAGAGGCGATCAGCTGGGGTTGCGCGCGCCGACGAGCGGCGGCGAAACGCGACGCGACGAACGCGACGCGCGCGACGCGACGACGAGCCGCGAACGATGAAAAAATGAGACCTTGGTAGAATTACAACGCGAACGCGCGCGTCTCTCGACGTCGACGACGCGGGCGAAGTCATCGACATTTGACGACCAACGCGAGCGACCGCGAGACAGCCGCCGCGAACGCCGCTCGATCCTCCTCGGGCAACGAAACCAATCTTTGATCTAAAACCGCCGCCAGCAACTCGCACGCGTTCGTGGCGACGCGCACGAGCGCGAGCTCGGGCGAGGTCGCCGCGCTCGCGCTCGCGGTCGCGTCGGAACCGCCGCTCGCGTTCGCGCTCGCGCCGTACCGCTCCGCGTCCGCCGCCCTTCGCTTCGCGCGTTCGTCCCAATCGATCGGCAGCCGTTTCTGCGTCGATTTCGCCTCGTCGTGCGACTTCTTTCCCGGCGGCGCCGGCGCCTGCGCGCGCCTTTCCGCGTCTATCTTCGACATCCAATAGGCCTCAACCTCTTCGCTCGTCTTGTACGACGCGTCGCCCTCGTCGCTCGCGCCGTACGCGCCTCGCGCGCTGAAGCTCGCGGTGGCCACTCTGCCCGGGTCGCTCACCGCGTTCGTGCGCTCGTTCCAGCCGTACGGCAACCCGGTGGCGGGATCCATCGCGTCGCGGCGTCGCGAATTGACGCCCGACGAGTCGTACGCACTTCGCGACGACCGACGCGCCCTGGCGCGAAGACGCGCGACGCGAGCGTCGACCGCGCGCTCGATCGTCTCTTAGCGCTCGATCGCGGACGCGCGGGCGCGACGACGCGCGGGCGCGACGGAATCGAGACGCAATCGAGACGCAATCGAGACGCAATCGCCATGAGCGCGCGCGGTGATCGCGGACGAGGCGCGCGCGACGACGACGCGGACGAGGCGGGGATCGATCGCGCGCGCACGCCGCAGAGCGCGCATCGCGCGGACGCGAACGGTGATCCGCACGCGCAGACGCCGACGATGCAGAATCAACACGGCGAGGCGTACCCGACGCGGTTTCAGTGGACGTACGCGGGCGCGAATAACGTGCACCTGTGCGGATCGTTCACGAATTGGTTGGAGACGGTGCCCATGGCGTGCGAGACGCACGGTGATGGGAATCGCGTGTTCACGGTGATGTGCGATCTGCCGCCGGGGTATCATCAGTATAAATTCATCGTGGACGGACAGTGGCGACACGACGAAAATCAGGCGTTTATTCAGGACCCGCTGGGGAACGTGAATAATTGGTTGTACGTGAAACCGGCGGGGGGGGCGACGCCGCCGATGTCGAGCGCGCCGAGAACGGCGGAGATGGCGCCGAGAAGTGCGCCGGTGCCCGTGCCGGGGGCGATGATGAATCGATCGGCGATGAGCACGGAGAGCGGCGGGATGGACTGGGTGCGAGAGGCGGGCGGCATCGCGGGGGGGAGGGGAGAGACCGCGGCGCGCGCGGGATCCGTCAAGTCGAGGCGCACGAGCATGGACACGCAAAGCGCGCAGCGAGCGATGTCGGACGCCGACGCGGGGGCGGAGAGCGCGCAGAGCGGGGAGGCGGACACGAGCGGGGCGCGCGTGATGGAATTTTTGCAAAAGCACACTGCGTACGAGCTAATTCCGGAATCGAACAAGGTCGTGGTTTTAGACACGAAGCTTCCCATTCGTCAGGCATTTCACGCGTTTTACGAACAGGGCATCTACGCCGCGCCACTGTGGGATGAGGACGCGCGCGATTTCATCGGATTGTTGAGCGCGGGCGACTTCATCGACATCATGCGTCGGTTAACCGCGACGCTGGCCGATCGCGAGGACTTGAGCGATGCAGATTTGGATCAGTACACGATTCAGCTCATTCGAGAGGAGTACGCAAAAGAGGATATTCAAGCGAAACCGCTCATTTGCGTGAAGCCGGAGGATTCGTTGTATCACGTAGCGTTAACCATGACCGAGGCCGGTGTGCACAACGTTCCAGTGCTGTCGCACGGCTCGGTGTGCCCGGCGGGTGGGTCGGCGGCCACGTCCACGACGACTGGCTCGCCGCAGTTATTGCATATGACCAATCTCGCAGAGGTCTTGGCGTGCTTAAACAGACATTTTAGAGGTATTCCGAGCGCGCTGCCGCTCTTTTCGCAACCCATCGGGGCGTTGCCGATCGGCACGTGGACCGAGCGCTACGGCGGCTCTCGCTCGAAGCCGATTCCGCCATTACCAGAAGGCGTCCAAGAGAGTTACTTAGTACGTGAGCTCTATCCCATACGCGCGGTCACCCCAGACGCGTCGATCGAGCAAGTTTTCGATGTCTTACACGGGATATCCGCGTTGCCCATCGTCAACGAGCACGGCGTGTTGATGGATCTTTACGCTCGCGGCGATGTCATCCGTCTGGCCGCCAACAGCGCGTACCGCGCCTCAATCAAGGATATGTGTGTCGCTCAAGCTCTCGGCGCGACTCGTCCGACTGCTCTGAACGAGCAAAACGATCCGTCTTCGACGCACTACGGCCGTTTCAGCACGTGCGTTCGCGGCGACACCCTGCGCACCGCGCTCGAGATGTTATCACTCCCCAACATCCGTCGCTTGATCGTCGTCGATCCAACGACCAAAGTTGTCGAGGGCGTCGTTTCTTTATCCGACGTGTTTAGTTTCTTGATCGAAAACGCGTGAGCGTCGCCGCCGTTTAATATCAAGTTCTGTACCAAACCACTCCGTCGTCGCGCCGCGCCGTCGACCGCGCACGTCACACGCGCGCGCGCGTCACGCCACCATGTCCGAGCCCACGTTCGGAGCGCTGCGTCGTGACGTCCTCCTGACCTCGTTCAGCCGCCCCGCGGACGCACGCGCGCGCGACGGCGCCGCCGCCGCCGCCGCGGATGCGCCGTCAACCGCGCCGACATCCTGCGTCGCCCTCGCGCGTGCGCTGCGTCGAGGCGCCTACGACGACGTCCTGCGGTCGCCCACCGTCCTCGCCGCGCTCGGCGTCGACGCGAACGACGCGCGGGAAGACGCGCGCGCGCATTACGAAGCGCTGGGCGCCGCGGCGCGAGACGCGCGGGACGACGAAGGCGCGTTCGCCGTCGCGTGCGCGGGCGTCGCGGCGCTGTACGCGTTCGTGCGAGCGACAGTGACCGGACCGAGGATTGGAAATGCGCGAGCGACGCCTTTTCTGGACGCGACGGCGCGCGAGGCGAGGGACGAGGCGTGGGACGCGTACGCGCGAGAGCGGCTGTCGCTCGACGGGGAGGATTTAGTGGGGAGGTGCGATATGCCGCAGTATTTGTACCTGGCGCGCGTGCTTTTGCTCGATCGGTTCGCAACGTCGTTGGCGTGGCTGCAAACGTTAGACGTGCCGGCGTTGACCCTGAAGGACGCGCGCGCGGCGGTGCCCGTGGGCGCGGTGGCGAAGCGGACGTCGCACGACGCGATGTGCGCGTGGTTCGCGGCGCGCGTTGCCATCACGCAGCAGCGAGCGTTGGCGGGGCAGTCGCCGACGTTGCGTGGGGAATTATTGGGATTACATGCGTATAATTTAGCGACATTTGCGCCGGTGAGAGTGGAAGGGCAGACACCGCACCGCGAGGACGTCGTCTTCGAGGCGATGGCTCGCCTGGAGGCGTCGTTGATGGAACACCAATACGGACACGTCGACAGCGCTTATGTTTTGCAGCGCGGTGCGGCGGCGGCGTTCGGTTTGAAGCATGAGATCGGTGGTGTTTTAGGTTACCGAACGATTCATCAGCAAGATGCCAAGTCCCAGCTCGTGCTCAACGTTGAATTAGATTCGATGGATTGGGGCGAGAGCGACGACGAAGACGAGGACGAAGATGAGGGCGAGCTAGACGATTTAGAGCTCGAGGGACGTTCGCAGGCTATGGCACGCATCGCCACAGAATTGACGGGTTTAAGCGAAGACGGCAGTCAGATTCTTACGAGACCTCGTTTGATGGAAGGCATGCCACCGCCGGCGCAAATGCCCTCCGCGGCGCAAGCGATCCTCATCGCCGCGGCTATTACGGTTCGTAAAAAGCAAGCCGACGATGGGTTGAGAAGTTACGAAATGGCACCGTACACCGAATTTGTAGGTGCGCAGCAAAAGTCACAACCAATTCTTCGTGCCGCGACGACGGTCTTGACGTCGAGATATGAACGCGATCGCGCGCGTACCCGCGAAAGATCGCTATTAGTGCTCGAAGACTTGGTACAGACGCTCGAGCGTTCGCACCCGAAGGTGTCGTCTCGCATGCGCTTCGTATTTTCTACGTGGTTCCCTCCCGCGATGACGCTGAAGAAAGAACTCGGCGAGCAGCTCGTGAGCATCGGTATGGTTGGCGCAGCGCTCGAACTGTTTGAGGAGGTCGAGCTGTGGGATTCGCTCATCGTTTGCTTGAGTTTATTGGGCAAGAAACAACAAGCGGCCGACCTAGTGCGACGGCGCTTGCAGGCAGATGATACCAATCCTAAACTTTGGTGCGCGCTCGGTGACGCTCTCGATGACGAACAATACTACTGGAAAGCTTGGGAAGTGAGCGGCGAGCGCAACGCCAGGGCGAAGCGGTCTCTGGCGCGCCGCGCCGCGGCGAGAGAGGATTGGGCTAATGCCGCAGAGCACTGGATGGATGCGCTTAAAATTAACCCATTGTTTCCAGACGGATGGTTTTCCGGTGGATACGCGTGCTTGAAATGCGATCGAACCGACGACGCGCTCGCGGCTTTCGTGCGATGCACGCAAATAGACGTTGAAAACGGGCAGGCGTGGAACAACGTCGCGGCGCTAAGCATTCGTCTCGGACGGTTCACCGCGGCGCACACGGCTTTGTGCGAAGCGATCAAGCATCAACGCACAAGCTGGCACACCTGGGAAAATCACGCGATGGTATGCGCCAAGGTCGGGAAGTTCGCGACGAGCGCTTTGGCGTTGCTCAAGGTGCTCGAACTCACGCAGGGCGCACGCGTGCACGTGGAGACCGTTCAGACTTTGCTTGAACGCGTGAGGGAAGCGCGAGCCGATCCGACGGGAGCGAAGTGGATTCAAGACGCCGCAAGCTGGGAACAAGAAGATGCCGCTGTCGAGGACGAAGAAGAGGAGTCGTGGGCAGATATGAAAATGGGCGACCTCGCAGCGGACATGCTTGCGGCGTTCTCTGGCATCGATTTGCCAACGATTTCTTACGCGGCGAAAACCGAATCTGCGCACCCTTCTGGCATGCCTCGCGTTGCCTTACAACTCGAAGCCGCGCTGGAGCAAGTTCTCGTTCGATCTGCAACCGGCGGTAGCGGTGGCGAGCGTAAAGTTCAAGAGACATCGCAAATTTGGGCCATGCTCGGCGAGTACAAATCCATCCTTGGAGAGTACGAAGAAGCGACGGATGCCCGATTGAAGAGCGTTCGCGCGCTGGATTCTTCGGGATGGCGTAAAGACTTCGATTCGTACGAAGACTACGCCGCGGTGACAAAAGTCATGGTTGAAGGCGTTTTGAACGACATCGAAGCCGGTAGAGGCGGAAGCGCGGACAGTCTCAGGCTTCACGTCAAGAGTGTCGTCAAGGTTGGCGAAAAGCAAGGCTTCGAGGAATCAGACGCGTACGCGCAGATGTCTTCATTGCTCGAGAAAGTGAATGCATTATCTAGTTAGCCCTTTGTAGTACAGTAGGATCGGGAAGCACTCTTACATTGTCTACTCTCGCGAAGTACCGTCGTGTGTTTCGCGTCTCAAAAAGCATTTCACGGCGTTACTCCATCCCTCCCAAGGAAAGATTGAGCAAATAATTTGCCGCGAGTTGTTCGTTCTTGTCGCACGCAAGGTACGCTTCGACGCAAATTTCTAATGGGAATCCTAATCCGGCGAGACGATCGATCGTTTCGCGCTCTTCTTGAGAGAGCTCGATCTGCGCGCCGTCGTCGTCGCCTTGCAGTTCCGGAGCAACACCGTCGCCAAAGCCCTCGGCCATGAGATCTCGGATATTTTCTGGCAGCGGCTCATTGAGCAGAGCCAAAAATTCCTCTTGATTGTTGTTGATCAAGTGGTAGAGTTGCGGATTTTGTCGCTGCAACTCGGCGAGCATCGGCTGAAGAATGTGTGGTTGACCTTGCACCATGGCTCGGATCGCTTGAAACTGCGGGTTGTCTCGAAGGAAATCCAACATTTGGCCGTCGCCAGAGCGGTCGCCGGCCATGTCGGGGATTCCCTCCGGGAACAAATTCAACGCGTTTCCGCCCAAAGCCGCGGACGCGTCTGGCGCATCGGCCGCGGGCGCCGCCGCGGCCGGCGGCGCCTGCGACGTCTCGGGAATCCCAGTCAGGAGGTACTCCACCGCTCTATCGGGGTTGTTAAACGCCGCTCGCATAGCATTCATGACTTGCTCTCGCTCGAATCCCATGGTCATGATTTGCGTCACGGCGGCTTCTAACTCGGCGCCCGAGACGAGCCCCGAATCGCCCCCCGCCGCCGCCGGCACCGCGGTCGCAGCCGCGGGCGTCGGCGCGCTCGACTCTGGCGTCGCCGCCGCAACCGGTGCCGCCGCTTCCGGGGCCGCCGCCGCGGGCGTCGGCGTCGGCGGCTTCGCCGCCGCCGCCTTGGGCTTCGCCGCCGCCTTCGGCTTTTGCACCATTACCACAACGAACGATTCTTCCGTCACCCCCGCCGACGCGATCGTCGCCTCATCCTTCAGCACGCTCCCCTTGTGCACCAAAACGATCGCCTCATCACCGTAACCCTGCGCTTTGCGCACCTCAGCCTTCACCGTCGCGACGTCGGCGCCTTCGTCCAGCTCCAGATCAAACTTTTGATTCGTCCTGCGTCGCCCGCGCGCGCGTCGCGCGTCCTCGCCCGTCAGTCATCGCGTTTACGCGCGCATCAACCATCGATTCGCGTCTCGCTTCGCGCGCGCGCGCGTCGCGTCTAAACGCGCGCGCGTCAAAACGTCGCCGCAAATCCACCGCGTCCGCGTCCGGTGTCGCGCTCGCCCGCGCGCCGTCGCCCTCGCGTCGCGTCGCGCGCTCGCGCGAACACTCACAGAGTCTTAAACTGCACCTTCATCGCGCGTGGGCGTCGCCGCGCGCGCGTCGGCGTCGCTTTGTGCCGCGCCGCCGTCGGGATGGATTCGCGACTTCGCGACGCCGCTCGCGTCGCGCGCGCGCCATGACGACCGGCGCCGACGCCGACGCGCGTCGCACGTACGACGAGGAGCGCGCGTACGTCAGCGCGGTGTCGCCGACGAAGCTCGTCGTCGCGAAAGGTTTCGTGCCGAACATGCGCGTGCCGGGAGAAATTTACGTCAACGAACGCCTGCGCGAGCTCGTCCTGGACGAACTGCGCGCGTACTGCGACGAAGATCGACGCGGGGGAGGGTACTCGCCCGCGGTGAAACAGATCGCGAACGTGGCGGCGCTGCCGGGGGTGGTGAGGGCGTCCATCGCGCTGCCGGACGTGCACAGCGGGTACGGGTTCGCGATTGGAAACGTGGCGGCGTTCGATTGCGGGGACGACGACGCGATCGTGTCGCCGGGAGGGGTGGGGTTCGATATAAATTGTGGCGTGCGGTTGCTGCGAACGAATCTGACGGAGGCGGAGGTGGGACCGGTGAAAGAGGCGCTGGCGCAGTCGCTGTTCGATCACATACCCGTCGGCGTGGGTTCGCGAGGGATCATTCCGACGTCTCCGGCGGCGCTGGAGGCGGCGTTGGAGATGGGAATGGATTGGAGTCTGAGGGAAGGGTACGCGTGGGCGGAGGATAAAGAGCACACGGAAGAATACGGGCGTATGTTGAATGCGGATCCGAGTAAAGTGAGCGCGAGGGCGAAGAAGCGCGGATTGCCGCAGATGGGAACGCTCGGGGCGGGGAATCATTACGCGGAGATTCAGGTCGTGGATGAGATTTACGACGAGTTCGCGGCGAAGAAGATGGGAATCGATCGCGTTGGGCAGATTTGTATCATGATTCACAGCGGAAGTCGAGGTTTGGGGCATCAGGTGGCGACGGATTCGCTCACGGCGATGGAGCGCGCGATGGAGCGCGACGGCATCGAAGTAAACGATCGACAGCTCGCGTGCGCAAAGATAAGCAGCCAAGAAGGGCAAGATTATCTCGCCGCGATGGCGTGTGCGGCCAACTACGCGTGGGTGAATCGATCGAGCATGACATTTTTGTGCAGACAAGCGTTCGCGAAGATGTTCGGCAAGCCGCCAGACGAGCTCGACATGCACGTCGTGTACGACGTGTCGCACAACATCGCCAAATTCGAGGAGCACATAGTGGATGGAGAGATGAAGACGCTGCTCGTGCACCGCAAAGGGAGCACGCGCGCGTTCCCACCCCATCACCCGCTCATCCCCGTCGATTACCAGTACACCGGTCAGCCGGTTTTAATCGGCGGCACGATGGGGACGTGCTCGTACATCCTCACCGGCACCGAAAAGGGCATGCGAGACACGTTCGGATCGACGTGCCACGGCGCCGGTCGCGCGCGAAGCCGCAACAAGTCCAGACACGTCTTACAGTACGAAGACGTGCTCGCCAAGCTCAAGACCAAGGGCATCGCGATTCGCGTCGCTTCGCCGAAACTCGTCATGGAGGAGGCGCCCGAATCGTACAAGGACGTCACCGAAGTCGTCAACACGTGTCACGACGCCGGCATCTCCAAGAAATGCGTCAAGCTGCGCCCCATCGCCGTCGTCAAGGGTTAGACAATCACCATCACTAGCGACATAGCCCCCGAATATCGACGTAGTCACCGCGAGTCCAATCGCGCCACCGTCTCCGCGCACATCCGCAGCGCGTCCGTCGCGCTCACCGCCGCGCCCTCCGCGCGCCGTCCTCCCATCACTCGCGTCTCGACGATCCCTCCCGCGCGATCGACGTCCCATCCCGCCCGCGCCGCGTCGTCGCTCGCCGTCGCCGCGTTCGTCGCCGTCCGCCTCCCCAGCGTCGCCGCCTCCATTCGCGCGTACGCCCGTCCCGCGCCCTCGATCGCGCGCGCCCGCGTCGCGACGAGCGCCTCCTCCGCCGCCCGCGCCGTCGCGCGCGAGCGCCACGTCGCGTCCCGCAGCGTCGTCGTCGCGCGCGCGTCGTCCGACGTCCACAGCGCGGCGATCGCCTCGCGCGTCGCGCGCGCGTCCTCGTCGTCCGCGTCGCTCGACGCGCGCTCGATCGCGAACCGCGCGAGCTCGAGGTCGTCGCGCGCGACCGCGCGCAGCGCGCGCGCGACCGCGCCGTCGCCGTCGCCGTCGCCGTCGCGCGTCATCGTCGTAACGACCCGGCGTCGACGAGTGGCGCGCGCGACGCAGAGCGACGCGCGATGCGCGCGGTCGCGACGGCGCGCGCGACGCGTTCGCCGCGCGCGGTCGTCGCGTCGCGACGCGCGCGCGCGCGCGCGACGCGCGACGACGACGACGCGACGACGACGCGCGCGCGATTCGCGCGAACGGCGCTCGCGACGAGCGCGCTGATGACGATGGGCGCGCGCGCGGCGCGCGCGGCGAGCGCGAACGACGCCGTGCTCGCGGCGCTCGCGCGACGCGACGCGACGGCGCCGGACGGCGCGACGGCGCGGCGACTGCGCGGCGACGTCGACGAGGCGACGCGCGCGAGGACGCTCGCGCTCGCGGGGTGCGTCGCGACGCGCGACGCGACGACGCGATGACGCGCGCGACGACGCGATGACGCGAGACGCGAACGATGGGACGACGGCGACGCGCGCGGGACTGACGACGCGCGCGGGGCGACGATAGGGACGTCGACGGCGCGCGACGCGCGCTGCGAGGCGAAAATCTATCGAAACTCCGCGCCGACGCGACGACGGTGACGAGACTCGCGAGCGAGGACGGCATGCGCGCGTCTAGGAACGGATTGACGCTCAGGGACGTGACGCTGGCGCTGGACGCGTTCGACGACGCGCTTCGAGCGGAGGGCTTGGGCGCGAAGTCGGCGTCGAGCGACGACGTGCGGCGAACGGCGGACGATTTGATTCGCACGCTCGAGCGTCTATCCGGGACGTCGGATCGACGCGGCGGTTGATTTGTTTTGAGATTTATTCCTTTCGCGCGCGATTCGACGCCGAGCGACGCCGAGCGATTCCGAGCGATTCCGAGCGTCGTCTCGTCCCGCACACCGCCGCTCGCGAACCGACGATGCTCGCGCGCGCCCCCGTCGCGCCGATCGCGCGCGCTCGACCTCCCGCGCCGCGCGCCCGCGCGCCCGTCGCTCGCGCCGCGCCGTCCGACGCGTCCGCGGTCGTCGCGTCGCGTCGCGTCGCGCTCGCGCTCCCGCTCGCGCTCGCCGCGCTCGACCGCTCGACCGCGCGCGCGGCGGACGCGCCGCGCGTCCTCGTCGTCGGCGCCACGGGCCAGACCGGCGCGCTCGTCGTCCGCGAGCTGTCGCGCGCGGGCAGGGCGCGCGCGATCGTCGCCGGCGCGCGATCGGCGGCGAAGGCGACGAAGCTCGGCTTGGACGCGCTGCCGGGGGTGGAGATTCTCGACGGCGTCGACGTCACGCGCGGCGTCGACGCGCTGGCGCTCGCGTTCGAGGGCTTCGACGTCGTCGTCGTCGCCACGGGATTCGTGCCGGGAAATCCGCTGAAGATGAACGCGGCGGCGCGCGCGGTGGATAACGAGGGCGTGTGCGCGGTGGCGGACGCGGCGAAGCGAGCGAACGTCAAGCGCGTCGTGCTGATATCGTCCATCCTGACGAACGGACCGGGATTCGGGGCGCAGGATACCGCTGGATACAAGATCACGAACGCGTTCGGAAGGGTGCTCGAAGAAAAGCTCGTGGGGGAGAATCACCTGCGCGCGAGCGGCGTGCCGTGGACCATCGTTCGACCGGCTGGGTTGAAGACGGACGCGCCGAAAAATCCGCTCGTCGTCACCGGGGAAGACGTGATGACGAGCGGTGAGATCAGCCGCGAGCTCGTCGCGCGCGTGATGGTGGAGGCGGCGTTCGACGCGCGCGCGGAGGGTAAAGTTTACGAAATCGCGGAGAGCGGTTCCTTCGTCGGCGGCGATCCCGCGGGCGCGAAGACGTTCGCCCTCGATTCCGACCCGGCGTCGTGGTTCGCGTAACATTTTCTATTCCGACCCGGCGTCGTGGTTCGCGTAACATTTTCTATTCCGACCCGGCGTCGTGGTTCGCGTAATAATATTTTTGTAATTTCTTCGCCGTGAATCCGCGCGCTCGCGCGCCGCGCGTCGATCGTCGTTCGCGTCTCTCGCGCGCGGCGTCCTCTCGCGTTCGACGCAACCGCAACCGTTCGCCTCACTTCGCGGCACGCGCGCGCGCGACGCGCGACCGAGCGCGCGCGAGAGCGAGAGACTTTCGAACGCGTCGCGCGCGACGGCATCGCACCGCTCGACGCGCGCGCGCTGAATCGAACGAAAATGACGGACGAAACGAAGCGGAATCCCCCGCCGTCGTTGGAAGATTTGGCAAAGAAACGCCGCGAAGACGCGAGCGCGGTGATGAAACCGACGTTCCTGAGCAAAGAAGAGCGTGCGAAGGCGGCGATCGCGCGTCGCGAGGCGGAAGTCGCGGCGCAGAGGACGCGGGCGGAGGAAGGTCGAAAGGCGGCGCCGCCGCCGCCGCCGCCGTCGACGAGCGGGACGCGGCGGAACGCGCCGACGTCTCGATTCGCGCCTCGATACGGCGGGGGTGGTCGCGGACGCGATGATCGGCGGCGAGGTGGAGGTAGGGGCGATCGTGACGATCGAGATCGAGGTGGGAGACGAGATGAGCAAGACGAGCGCGAACGCGAGCTCGAGATGCTCAAGCGACAATACATGGGCGGAGACGCGAAGTCGAAAAAGGTGAAGACAGCAAATAGAGGAAAGTTTGTGTTCGATTGGCGGAAAGAGGAAGACACGTCGAGAGATTTGAATCCACTGTACGATCGGCCGCACGAAGTGGCGCCGATGTTCGGTCGAGGGATGATCGGGGGCGTGGATCGAAGGGAGCAGGCGCGCTCGAACGCCGAGCGCGAGCGCGAACTCATCGTCAAGTCGAGGAAGGATCTCGGATCGAAGGACGCGGCGGGTGATGTGCGAAAGATGGAAGTTGAGCGCGAGCGTAAACGTAAGGATGTCGAGGCGCGCGAGTTGAAACGAACTTTCAAGGAGCACTGGAGTGATAAAAAGTTGGAAGACATGACAGAGCGCGATTGGCGCATTTTTCGAGAAGACTTTAACATTTCGTACAAAGGCGGCAAGTTACCGCTTCCCATGCGCGCGTGGAAAGAGTGCACGAGCTTGCCACAAGAGATATTGCGCGCTATCGCGCAGGTTGGGTACGAAAAGCCGTCGCCGATTCAAATGGCTAGCATTCCGATCGGTTTGCTGAAGAGAGACGTCATCGGCATCGCCGAGACGGGTTCGGGTAAGACGTGCGCGTTCGTCGTCCCCATGCTCGCGCACATCATGCAGCTTCCGAAAATGACGGACGAAATTGCCGCGCACGGGCCGTACGCCCTGATCATGGCCCCTACGCGCGAGTTGGCGCAACAGATTGAGGAAGAGACTCTCAAGTTTGCGCAGTATTTGGACTATCGCGTCGGCTTGGTCGTCGGCGGTCAATCGATCGAAGACCAAGGTTTTAAACTTCGCAAAGGGGTGGAGATATTAGTCGGTACGCCCGGTCGTATCATAGATGTCATTGAGCGCCGATACACCGTGCTCAGTCAGTGCAACTACATCGTGCTCGACGAAGCCGATCGCATGATCGACATGGGTTTCGAACCGCAAGTCGTGGCGGTGATGGAGGCGATGGGATCGGGTAACTTGAAACCCGAGGACGAGGCGGAAGAGCTCGACGGCCAGGCGCTCGAGCAAGGTGGGCCGACGTCGTCAAAGTACCGAACGACGTACATGTTTTCCGCCACCATGCCTCCGAGCGTGGAGCGTCTGGCGAGAAGTTATTTGCGCAATCCCGCGGTGGTCACCATCGGCAGCGCCGGGAAGACGTCCGATTTGATCAAGCAAGAGATTATTTGGGTGTCGAGAAACGAGCGCGACTCCAAATTTGAGCTCGTGTTATCGCGACATCCCAACACGCAAGCCATCGTGTTCGTGAACGCCAAACGCTCGGTGGACGCCGTGGCGAATCTGTGCTACCGTCTCGGGTACTCGTGCGCGTCCATACACGGCGGCAAATCGCAAGACCAACGCGAGGAGTCTTTGCGCGGGTTCAAGGCTGGGGATTACGACATCTTGGTCGCCACCGATGTCGCCGGTCGCGGGATCGACGTCAAGGGCATCGATCTCGTCGTCAATTACGAGTTGCCGCACACGATTGAAAATTACACCCATCGCATCGGGCGCACCGGTCGCGCCGGTCGCAAGGGCACCGCCGTGAGCTTCCTCACGAGCGACGATCGCGACATCATGTACGAGCTCAAAGAACTTCTCATCGAGAGCAAGAACCACGTCCCAGATGCGCTGGCAAACCACGAAGCGGCGCGCGTAAAGCCTCAGCGCGACGACAGAGGCAGACGCATGAACCGCGAAGACATTCGAGGGCAAGAAGCCATCATCTACTGAACTAATCTAGTTACATTTGATTCACAACAGCTAATGACATCGCTCTAACCCGCGGACTCGTCGTCGATCGCCGCCGGCTGCGACAACCGCGGCCCTCCGCGCGCGTCGCCGTCCCCGTCTTCGCGTCGCAGCTCCCGCCAAATCGGTTTCATGCTTCCGTTGATCCGCTCTTCCCCCTCGCGCGTTCGTCCCTTCCACGTCAACCGTCCCCACGCCTCTCCCGATCGCCCGCTCGGTCGCGTCTTTATCTTCGTCAGCGTCCAATACGTGTCCGGATACCAATCCGGTCGCGCCCGCCAGCTGTGCTTCGTGAACGCGCGTCCGATCCCGCGGTCGCCGAGCGCGCTGGAGAGTTCGTACAGGTTCGGGCGCGCGCGCGTGAGATGCGTGATCGCCGCCTTGGCCGCCTCGCGCGCGGCGCTCGTCATGCCTCGCGACGCCGCCGACTGCCGCGCGCGTCGACGTCGGCGCGCGCCCGCGTCGGCGCCGAGAAAACCCATAACTTCCCGCGTCGCCGCGTCGTCGGCGAGCCTTGGGCGCGCGATCGCGTACATTCGTATACGTTAACAGTGAGAGGGATATTAGCTCATCTGGTAGAGCGCTCGCTTTGCATACTCAGTGCGCGTCGACGCGAAGACGTCGACCATACGTGTGAGAGGTGCCGGGATCGACGCCTGGATATTCCATTCCCTTTTTAGCCCATCCGTTTCTCATTTTTTATTTATACCGTCACACTGCTCTTTATATCCGACTGTCCGAATTTTCCCGACCACGCGCTTTTCGAGGCGGCGGGCCCGACGACCGCTCGGCGCGCGTCGATCGCGCGCGCGTCGCGCCGCCCCGCACACGCCCGCGCGACCGCGTCGCGCGCGACGTCGACCCGCGACGACGACCGACGCTCGCTCGACCGCTCGACCGCGCCTCGCGCGTCCGAACGCGCGCGGCGAACGATCGATTCGATCTTTAAAAAGCGCCATCGCTATCCGACATGACGTCGGCGTCGATCGCGCGACTTCGACCGACGTCCACGAGCGCGTCGAGGCGCGACGTCGGCGCGAGAGCGCGCCAGGGGACGCGCGCGAACGGCGCGCGAACGCGCGCGAACGCGCGGACGGCGACGCGAACGATCGGGGACGCGACGGCGGGACGCGGGACGCGAGACGCGCGGATAAGCGCGAGACGACGAGACGCGACGACGGCGACGCGCGCGGTCGGGGTGTCGAACTCGGACTCGACGAGCGGGATCGGGGGGGCGGAAACGATCGGGGGAGTGATGTCGTCGTCGTCGGACGACGGTGACGGGGCGCCGAGCGAGATTTGGGGTGGGCAGAGAAACGCGAGCGAGGCGAAGACGCCGAGACGCAAGGCGAGGACCAAGGCGGAGCGCGACGCGAGCGCGGAGTCGTACGAGTGGAGCGCGTGGGCGTCGTCGTGTGGAATCATAAGTATCGCCATTACGGCGACGTACTTTAGAATCTTGCGCGAGGTGGACGTGAACGGAGGGTTATTCCCGGTGGCTGAACTCGTGGCGCAGCTCGCGCTCATCGCCGGCGCCGCCGTCGGGATGGAGTTTTACGCTCGGTACGCGCACAAGCACTTGTGGCACGCGTCGTGGTGGAGCATGTCGAGCAAGTATCGCAGAGAGTGGAACAAGCCGATCTGGCTCTTACACGAGTCTCATCACCTCCCGCGCGAGGGTGCGTACGAGGCGAACGACGTCTTCGCGCTCGTCAACGGCGTCCCGGCGTTCGCGCTGTGCGCGTTCGGCTTCTTCACCCCGGGCGTGTTCGGTGGCTTGTGCTTCGGCGCTGGTTTGGGAATCACGCTGTACGGTATCGCGTACATGTACGTCCACGACGGCTTGGTGCACAAGCGCTTTCCCACCGGCCCGCTCGGCAAGCTTCCTTTGCTGCGAAAAATCGCCGCCGGGCACACGATTCACCACACCGAGGCGTTCGAGGGCGTTCCTTGGGGACTTTTTCTCGGTATTCAAGAGCTCGAAGCCGTTCCGGGCGGCTTGGATGAACTCAACAAAGTCGTCGCCGCCGCTGAGCGCAAAGAGCAGCGCGACGAACGAGACAATCGTGCGAGCGTCGGTCTCGTCACGCAAGGGACGCACATTCCCTCCCAGAAGGAGGCGCCGGCGTGCGTTCTCCCCGACGTCGCGGACAAAGGCGCCGGTCCGCGATAGAGCCGCATCGCGCGCGCAGACAGCAATCAATTATTCTTTTGTAACAAACGACGGAACATTTTCGCACCGAACGATCGCCCGATCGCGTCGCGTCGTCGCCGACGCGCCGTCCTCGTCGGCGACGCGCGAGGTTTTGGTTTTCTGGACGGCGTCGCCGCACTCCCACGCGCGCCGTCGGTGCTCGCGCCCGCGACGCCCGCGACCCGTCGACCACCGCTCATTCGTCCCGCCGCGCTCGAAATGTCGCTCCACGCGTCCGCGATCGTCGCGCGCGTCGCCAAACCGTCGTCGCGCGCGCCGTCTTCGAATTCGAAGACGTCGCGTCCGCGCGCCGTCGTGCGCTGCGCCGCGCGCCGCGCTCGCGACGGCGGCGACGCGCGCGATCGTCGCGCGTTTCTTCGCGACGCCGCGCTGAGCGCGCTCGCGCTCGCGACGGGCGCGGCGCGGGCCGGGGACGACGACTCGTACGCGGGGAAACTGAGCGCGAAGGAGGCGCGCAAGGCGGAAATTCTCGCCGCGACTCGAGCGAAGGCGCGGGCGCAAGCGGCGTCGAGCGCGCCCGTGAGTTCGAACGATGGCGCGCAGAGCGCGCTGAGCGAACCGACGAGCGCGACGATGTTCCGGACGGAAGATCCGGGACGCGGCGGCGGCGCGGGGGCGCCGAACGTCGCGACGCGCGAGGCGGCGGACGAGACGCCGGCGGCGCCGGCGACGGATGAAAAGCCCGCGGGCGGTGGAAGCGAAGGCGGTGGTTTTTTGGGAATGTTTCAATGAATGAATGTGTTTCGTCGCGTCGATGATCTAAGCTATCTACCTACTGTATGTTCTATCCGATGTAAAGATTGGTCGTTTGTTTCTCGCGTTCGTCCGTCTTCTGACGCTTCGGTTTCGTGTCTTTCCCGGCGGAGGCGAATAAAGCCGCGATGTTTCCGGCGTTCTTTTCGCACTCGCGCTTCGCCGGCTTCACGGCGTCTTCGTTTTGATAACTCGCTACGTTCATGCGCGTCGTCACCGGATGCCACTTCAAGACGCCCTTCATTTTCGGATCTCGCCCCTTGCGCTGTTCCGCCAGCGTCGCCCACGTCTCGTCGCGCATCCACGCTTCGAAATCATCGTCGTCCACGAGCACGAGCGGTTGCCTGTCGTGAAGCCACGCCAACTCGCCCTTCGACGAATCCATCGTCACCACCGCCGTCTCCGCGTCGTTCCCCGCTCGCCGTTCAATCAAGCCCGCGAGCGCCATCGCCTGGCCGTCGCTCCGTCGCACCAAATACGGTTGTCTCACCGTCTTCCCGCGCGGTCCCTCGACCCGCCACTCGAAGAATCCATCGACGTACACGACGCACCGCGACGCCGCGTCTCGCGCGAGCGCCGCGAATCGCCCTCCCCTCAGCCCCTCGCCCCGCGCGTTGTACGCCATCTCGTCCCATCGCAGCGGCGCCTCGCGATTCGACGCCTCTCGTCGCCCGTCGCGCGCGACGCCCCACAGCGCGTCGTCGACGACGCACCGCGCGCGCGTCGTCTTCGCGTCGTCGTCGTCGTCGTCCCCTTTCGCGCCCTCCGCGCGTCGCGCCACGGGCACGCGCGCGCCCGGCGCCGCGTTCGGCGACGCGACGTAGCGCTCGCACGCGACGTCGCCCGCGCGCGCGCTCGCGCGGACGCGCTCGAGCGTCGCCTGCGCGATGCGACCGCACATCGCGCGCGCCGGCGAATGCCGCGACCGTCGCGCGTCGCGCGCGCGTCGTCGCGCGTCGTCGCGCGCGCGCCGACGTCGAGCGCGCGACGCGTCGAGCGCCGAGGCGCGGCGCGCGACGCGACGCTGACGCGACTCGGCGACGCGACGCTGCCGCACCCGCACGACGACCACGTCCGACTCGACGTGTACGTCGGCGCGTGTCGATGCGGACGCGCGAGCGACGCGCGCGACGTGCGATTGGTGCTGCCAGAGAGCGAGGAAGCGGTCGTGGACGTGTACGCCGCGCTGGGACGGCCGAACGATGACCCGCACTGGGCGGATTTGTGGCACGGCGGCGTGGCGCTCGCGACGAAAATCTTCGAGACGCCCGAACTCGTGCGAGGGAAGCGCGTGATCGATTTAGGGTGCGGATTAGGGATAGCGGGGATAGCGGCGGCGATGGTCGGCGCGAGAGAGGTGGTGATGACGGATAGGGAGGAACGCGCGCTGTGGTGCGCGCTCGCGGGGTGCAAGGCGAACGGGGTGCGAGACGTGCGAGAGATGCCGGCGGTTTGGAACGCGCCGGACGATTGCGCGCTGCCGACGCTGCCGGTTTTTGATGACGTTCGCGATTGTGGGTCGGATTGCGTCGTGCGCGCGGCGAAGGTGGATTGGTTCGAGCCCGAGCTCGCGCCGGGGGGATTCGACGTCGCGTTGGCGTGCGACGTGTTGTACACCCCGGACGCCGTGGACGCCATCGCGACTTTGGTGCTGCGATTGTTCGAAGACGACGGTGGGGACGGCGGTAAAGCCATCGGCGCGAGCTCGAGCGAGGGCGAAGGGACGTTCATGTTGGCCGATCCCCCGGGACGGTTTCCGAAGAATCACGAGCGTTTCATGTCGCTCATGGAAAATCCGTCGCGCATCCCCGGATTCGACGGTGGCGGTCGTCGATCGATCGTGCGCGTCACATCTTCGATCGAAGAATGTTTAAACTTAGAACTCGAGACGATGGCGGTGAAATTATCGACGTACGACATCGCGTCGAGGTAGCGAACGACGAGCGCGCCGAGCGTTCGCGCCGAGCCGTCTCGCGCAAACTAGTGTAGATTGACGCAAAAAGGAACTCTGATAGATTACAAGTACTACCCATCGACCTTTTCGTTTTCACTGATCCGTTCCTGTATGGATCGTTCGCACCCCCACTATTCTAAATTCGACCGTCAGCGCCTACTCGTGGTCGACGACTTCGGTTCCCAAACCTTTGAACCCGTTCGGGGTGTCGACCACGGTGACGTACGAGTAAAGATCCTCATCCGCATCCTTGTTGTCGTTGTGCTTGCGGGAGATTTGCACGCGAATTCGCTTCGGGACCTGCGCATCATTCACGACGAGCGTTCGCATCTTCGTCAGTCTCCGTCTCGTCGTCGCCTTCGAGTTCCTCTAGGGTCGCGCGTCGCGTCGCTCGTCGTCGTCATCATCCCATCCGCGTCCGTTCGCTTCGCCGATCACGCACGTTACGAATGCCCTTGCTCCACACCGCCTTATTAAGCTTCACATCGATCCGCACGTCCGACGTCTTCATCGTCTTTTGCGCAAACTTTTTAATCTACGTCCGTCGCACACGCATCGTCGCGCGGTCAGTCATCGATCGCACTCATCCTCCCGTCCGCGCGCATCCGCGCGTCCGCGCCCCTCGCGCGACGCCCGATCGTTCGCGCGCATTTCGATCGACCGTATCCGTCCGTCTCGTCGCGTTCGCGTCCTCGCGCGCGCGTCCGCGCGCGTTCGCGCGTCGCGTCGCGCATCCATTCTAGGGTCTCGTCGCGCGCGCGCGATCGAGCACGCACCGCCGCGACCGCGCGAGGCGCGCGCTTCTTGAACGTCACGCCGGTGATGGCCTTGCCGAGGTTGATGGTGTACTCGCGCGTGATGACGTCGGCGGGCTTGGATTCGCGGCCCATCGTGCGTGACGCGCGTCGTGAAGAGACGGCGCGCGCGCGCGCGCCATCGACCTCGTCCAGGCGGGTCCGAGTCTTCGGTCGAGTCGAAACTCGTCGGGGGAGGGGGTCGCAGTATTGTGGATCGCGAACGCCCATCATCATATCTACAGAATGGATTGACATTCGGGGCGTGCTGACTGTTTGCGCATACTGCGGGACGGGTCGAGACGCGGACGGCCGCGCGCGCGCGCGGACGCGGATCGCGTCGACGACGTCGACGTCGAGACGTCGAGACGCCACCGTCCGAGGCGACGTCGACGTCCGAGGCGGTGGTCACGCGGCGTGGACGTCGGGATCGGGACGCGCGTGACGCTCGGCGAGCGTCGGCGCGAGCTCGTCCTCGAGCATCGGTTCGCTGTCGGAATCGCCGTCGGAATAGCTCGGCGGCTTGGCGCTTGACGTTGCCGATGCGCGAGCGTTCGACGCGAGCGCCGGCGCGGACGAGGGGCGGTCGTCGAAACCGTCGGCGTCGGCGTCCGAGTCGTCGCCGTCGCCGGTTTTCTCGGGCACGTCCGCGGGACGCATGAATCCGCTCGTCGCGCGCACCGTGGTGGTGGTGCCGTCGCTGTCGATCATGACGAGCAGTTTGGGGTACTCGTCCGCGTCGCCGCGCTCGATGTCGACGGGTTTCGGCGCGCGACGCGACGCGTCCGCGTCCGCGTCCCCGTCGCTCGCCGCCCACGGCCACGGCTCGGCGTCCCGCCGTCCCATCCTCGTCACCTCGTCCAGGAGCGCGGGCGTGAAGCATCCTCGACTCACCGCGAACGGTACCGCGATCGTGCGCCGCCTCGTCGGTCGCGGTTCGCCCGCGCGACGCTCGCGCGGCGGGTCCAGCGGTTCGCACAGCAACACCGCCGCGCCTTCCGCCGCGCCGTTGGCGCGCCTGGGCGCGACGTCGCGCCACAGACCGCTTCGCATGAGACTGACGTACGCGCCGTACGCTTCGGCGTCGTCGGCGAGCCCGCGCGCGCGCGCGAGGCGCGATTTCGACGCCGCCGCGCGCTGGGCGTCGTCTTCGGCGTTCGCCGTCGTCGCGTCGCGCGACGACGACGCGCGCAGGGCGCGCGCGAAGTCGTCGTACGGCATCGTTGGCGCCACGGCGCTCGCGCGCGACGCGGGCGTCGCCATGTCGCCGGCGCGGGTCGCGGCGGCGACGAATGCGGCGTCGCGCGAGGACGAAGCGGCGCCCGTCGCCCGCGCCTATTCATACATGCCTATTCACTCCACTACCGCGACGTTCTAAAACCCGTCGAAGGTTCGCGCTACTTTTTCTTTCGCTTCATCTCCGCCACGCGCTTGCGCACGAAGGCTGCCCTGAGCTTTTCGCGCGCGCCCTCGAGCGCTTCGCGCTCGCGTCGCTTCGCCGCCTCCACCGCGTCCCGTTCGCGTTCCGTCTCGCGCTCGATGTCGAACACCACCCGCCGCGCCTCCGCCGCGCGTTCCGCGTCGCGCTCTTCGTTTTCGATCTCGCGCTCCCACCTCCGACGCTCGAGCTCGCGTCGCGCGTCGTCCGAAACCATGTCGCCCGCCGACGCGACGGCGTCGCGCGCGTCTCGCGCGCCGCGCGCCTCCACCGCGCCCCCGTCCCGTCCCTCCCGAGTCTTCGCCGCGAAATCCACCTCGTATTCGCTCGCCTCGCCCAGCGTCTCGCGTCCGCCCGCGACGAGTCGGTCGTACAGCGCCGCCTTTTTCTCCAGCGCCGCCGCCCGCTCGACGCCGCCGCCGCGCCGCGCCGCCCGCCGCGCCTCCTCGTCCCTCGCCGCGCGCGCCCGCACGCCCGCGTTCGAGCGCTCCGTCGCGCGTCGTTTTCGCCCGACCGCTTCGCGCGCGTCGCGCCCGCGTCGCGACGCTTCGCGCGCGCGCATCATCGTCGCGCGCAGCGTCACGAGCGACGCGTCGTCGACGCGCTCGATCGCGCGCGCCGCGCGCGGCATCGCGGACGACGACGCGCGCCATCCGTAATCGACCCCGCGCGCGTCCGCGCGCGCGCCGCGATCGCGCGCGCCGCTCGACATCGCGCGTCGACGAGTGTCACAGCGCGACGGCTCGAGCGTCGCGTCGACTCGACGCCCGATGCCTCGCGCGCGGCGTCGCGCGCGCGCCGCGATCGCGATCGCGATCGCGGCGCTCGCGCTCGAGACGCGCGGCGCGCGCGGCGACGACGACGCGCGCGCGCGCGCGGTTCGGTGCGTCGACGCGATGGCGGACGCGACGACGACGACGCGACGCGACGACGACGCGACGCGCGAAGACTGACGACGAACGACGCGACGCGACCGATCGCAGCGAACGCGTGATGCGCCGACCGGACGCGCGAACGACGTCGCTCAGGATCGGATTCGGGTCGTGCAACAAACAATCGCTGGACATGACGCTGCTGTGGCCGGACGTCGCGCGCGAGGAATACGACGCGTTCGCGTGGATCGGAGACGCGGTGTACGCGGACGAACGGGTGAAACTGGCGAATGGGGAACGGACGCGACGGTATTTGGGGGAGAAAGCGCACGAGGAGGCGTACGAGAGGGTGAAGAGGGACGAGGCGTACGCGGCGGTGCGGAGGCGAGCGGACGTCGTCGGGACGTGGGATGATCACGATTATGGGTTTAATAACGCGGGGAAACACTGGTCGCGCAAGGCGTTCGCGAAGAAGGCGTTTTTGGACTTCTTGGACGAACCGGTCGGGAGCGAGCGGCGCACGCGCGAGGGCGGGGTGTGGGACTCGGTGGATTACGTGGACGAGGCGAGCGGGCGACGAGCGCGGGTGATTTTGTTGGATTTGCGTTGGGATTTGGAAGAACCGGACGAGGTGAGCGAGGGGAAGATGATGAGCGAGACGCAGTGGGCGTGGTTCGAAACGCAGCTCGCGGCGGAACCGAAACCCGAGGTGACGATCGTGGGGAGTGGGATTCAAGTCATAGAGGCGCCGCACTTGATGTTGCGGCCGCTGGCGCCGTACGTCGAGCCGGCTCGACTCGTCGCCGAAGGCTTAGAGAGTTGGTCGCGCGTTCCTCGCGAGCAATCGAGATTGTTTGATACGATCAAACGAACGGGTGCGCGCGTGGTTTTCATGTCCGGCGACGTGCACCACGGACAAATCGCCGCGGCGGCGCCGGGATGTTACCTGCCGTACAAAACCATCGACATCACCTCGAGCGGGTTCACGCACACCCCGTTCAGGGACGCGAAGCCGTGGCCGTTGGCTCTGTTCTTGCGCCTCGCGACGCCGAAGTACTTTCGTCAATGGATTCTCCCCTCGTACACGCGTTGGACGGACATCAACTACGGCGAAATCGAAATCGATTGGGCGCGAGGCGCCGTCTTCGCTCGCATCAAGAGCGTCGGCGGCAAAGTCGCGCTCGAAGAATCCGTGACGTTCGCCGAGCTCGATGAAAACGTCCCAGATCTCGGGTTCGATCGTGCTGGATGCAACTTGACGCTCGAAATGAGTCCAAAAATGCGCGCCTTTCGCATCGTCGTCTTCTTCACCTGGCTCGCGGGCGTGTACGCGTTCAAATTCTTGGCGCCGATTTTCGTCGCCGCGTACGCGGTCCGGAAAGCGCGAAGATACGCGCGCGCGCGCGGCTTGAAGCAAGATTGATGAAGAATTGATAAAGAATTGATGAAGAATTGATGAAGACTTGATAAAGAATACTGAATGTGTGAAATATAGCTACCATACCTAACGCCTACAACCTGCTCCTCGCCTTGTCCTTTGAAAGTTTCTTGACGTCACCCCTGCGAACGTCCCAGCCCGCGGACTCCGATCCGGGCGCGAGCAAACGCTTTGGCTCCACGTCCGGATTGCACCGATACTTGACGAAATCTTCTGGAAACTTCGCCCCTCGCGTTTGCAAGTACTCGTCGTCGATCAACGTTTGCCCCGTCGTGTGCGCGTCGCAACACAGCTCCACGACGCAATCCGCCAAGATGTCCGCCTTGCGCCAGTTATCCCGCGACCCGAGCTCAAAATTCTCGCTCGCCAGGCTCTCCACGATCGTCGCCGGCCACAGCGCGTTCCCGGTGACGCCGTATTTCTCTCCCTCCGCCGCCGCGCCGAGCGCCACCATGCTCATCCCGCACTTGGACATGTAATACGCCGTCTTCGTCTCGTACTCCTTATAGCTCTTCGGCAGCGGCGGTCCCATCGAGATCACCCGTCCGCCTCGCCCGCCCGCTCGCATCTCCCGCAGGCACGCCCGCGTCAGCACGAACGCCCCTCGCGCGTTCACCCCCTGTATCAAATCGTACTTCTTCGTCGGCGTGTCCTCGATGTCTTGCCACCACAGCGCGCTCGCGTTGTTCACCAGCACGTCGATGCGGCCGTACCTCGCCTTCGCTCGCGCCACGCACGCCAGAATCGACGCCTCGTCCAGCAGATTCACGACGCATCCCATCGCGCGCGCGCCGTGCGTCGCCACCGCGTCGCACTCGCGCGCGACGCCGTGCACCGTCCCGGGAAGCGTCGCCGACTCGGTCGCGCTCTTCGCCGCGACGACGACGTTGACGCCGCGCCGCGCGAGCGCGAGCGCGCACGCGCGGCCGATCCCGCGCGACGCGCCGGAGACGACCGCCACCTTACCCGCGAGCGCGTCGGCGGCGGCGTCGCGCGGCATGTCGCCGACGACGTCCCGCGCGCGTCGCGCGGCTCGCTCGTCGGCGTCGGCGTCGACGCGCGCGTCGATTCGCGACGGGCGCGGCGACGAGTGACGTCGATCGACAGCGCGCGACGCGCGCGCGCGACGCGATGCGGGCGCCGCGCGCGACGGCGACGGCGACGGCGACGACGGCGGCGCGCGCGACGATTCGCGCGACGACGCGCGCGCGCGCGACGGCGCGCGCGACGGCGGGCGCGGTGCTGCGCATCGCGACGCTCGGGGACGGCGACGACGCGGTCGCGCTCGTCAGCGACGCGACGGGGACGCTGCGCGCGGTGCGCGGGAATGAGAGCGACGCGCGCGCGTGCGCGCTGCGAGGGCTGGGCGCGAGCGCGGCGACGCGAGGACCGTTTTGGTCGATGGCGAGCGCGGGCGCGGCGAACGCGAACGGGACGGCGCGCGCGCTGGTCGGGACGAGCGGGAAGCACCTCGCGACGTGCGTCGTGGACGCGCGCGACGGCAGAGAGACGATTGAGGTGCGCGCGGAGGGCGACGCGCTCGGGCCGCACACGGGGTACGTGCGGGACGTGGCGACGACGCGAGACGGGCGAACGGCGTGGAGCTGCGCGTGCAACTTCGCGCCGAAGTGGACGCGCGGCGAAGACGGGACGTGGACGGCGGCGGCGGCGCGCGAGACGCTGCGGTTGTTCACGGGCGATATACTGCGCCTGTGCGTGCTCGAGGATGGCGATGACGTCACCGTGTTCTGCGGCGTCGCCGACGGGACGGTGCGGGCGTTCGACGCGTCGACGACGACGCCGCGGGATTTGGGCGCGGTCGGCGGCGACGCGAGCGCGACGAGAGGTCGAGTATCGGCGCTGTGCGTCGTCGATGGACGTTGGTTGGTCTCGGGGAGTCACGACGGGCGCGTGCTCGTGCACGACGCGCGAACGCCGTCGTCGCCCGCCGTCGCCGAGATTGAACGTCTGGACGGCAAAGTGCACGACATCTTAGCGCTCGACGACGGACGCGTGCTCGTCGCGGGTGAATTCGGGATCGAGGTGTTCGAAAATGCGCCCGAACTCGCGCCGTTGCGCGGCGATGAGGACGACGAGGAAATGTTTGGGCGGTTTCGCTCGCTCGCGATTCGCGCGCTCGCAAAGACTTCGTCTCGACTCTTCGTCGGCGCGGCGTCGGGAGAAGTGACGGCGATCAGACTCGACCGCGAACGTAGATCTAGATCTAGATAGTCATTCATTAGCGTTACGTAGCTCTACAGAAACCGCTTTACGGCGTCGAAAATCTCCTCCGCGGGCGGCGTAAAGAAATGATCCCGCGTCTCGCTCACGCTCTCTCGCGCGCCCAATTTCTTCGCCAACGCCAGTTGTATCGCCGCCGGCACCAACGAATCGCGCGTGCCGATCACGCACTCGATCCCTCGCGAGCAATTCGACGCGATTTTACCGTAATCAAACGCGTCATCAAAATATCCAGACGCGCGTTCCGTCGCGTCGCCCAAGTCGTCGTCGTATCCCGCCACGAGCACGATCCCTCTCACCGCGTTTCGCTCCGCCACGCGCATCGCGCACACCGCACCGCTCGAGTGTCCGACGATGACCGTGTTCGCGTCGCACCGCAGCTCGTTTTCGCAGTGTGGGACCCAAATATGTCGACGGCACACGTCCGCGTCTGGCATCGAGGGCGTCGTCAAGCGAACGTCGTCGGTGACGCCGCGGTCGATGAGGGCGCGCTCGAGCCAGGCGTAGTGATTGCAGGAACGCGTGGGGGCGCATCCCGAGCCGGGGAGGATGATGACGTTCATGGCGGCGCGGGAGTGCGGCGACGGTGATTCGCGATGGCGGCGGTCGGGCGAGTAACCGTCTCGGCGCCGAACGGGACGCGCGGTCGTCGAGGTGGATTGGATGGCGTATGACAACTCGGATGACGAATTAAATGAACGGGGTGTCGGGAAATGATGCTCGTGGTCGATGCGGTCACGTCGTCGCGGCGTTTTCGTCGCCGTGGAGCCGAGCGGATGATTTGGAGTGCTTGCGCACGATGGGAGATAACGCCACGGGTTCGCCGGCGGAGATTTGGCGGAAGACTTCGGCCGTGACGGCGTTGACGTCGACGTCGGCGCCGTGCTTTTGAATCTGCGCCAAGAGGTCTTGGAGCTGTGTCATGGACAATCCCGAGTCGGGCGATCCCGAAGACGACGGTTCGGCAAACGGGCGCAAGAATCTGTGCGTGAGAATCTCCTTGACAGATATGCGGTTCTTCGGATCTCGCTCCAGACACTTTCGCATCAAGTCAATGAGCGCCGGATTCTCCGTCGGTAACGGTGGAAACGCGATCGTGTGCCGGGGATCGGTAATAGCGTGAAGTTTTTGAATCATCCCGGTGATTTTGCTAAACGGCGTGTGCCCGTACACCATCTGGTACAAGATGCAACCGAGACTCCAAATATCGCTCGCGCGTCCAACTTTCATCGGTCCTCCGAGTGCGGACGCTTGTCCGTTCAGGATTGCCTCAGGGGACATGTAGTTCACCGTTCCAACTTGATGATCTCGCACAATATTCGTGTGATCGGGCGCTTGCTCCGTCTGTATCGCGCGCGCGATGCCGAAATCGATGAGCTTGAGCGCGCCCTCGACAAAGAGAAAGTTTGCCGGTTTCAAATCACTGTGCACGATGCGCTCCTCGTGAATGATATTCACCGCTTCCACCATTTGTTCAAAGTACAGACGTAAAAAGTTGTCGTCAATCACACCTCCGTGGTTTTGACGCTGCTTTTCGCGCTTGGCGAGCATGTGTGCGAGGTCGATTTCGCCAAATTCAAGCACCATAAATATGAGCTTCTCCTTCGGGCAAACCTCCGCATCGACGAGCTGAATGATGTTGTCTCTTCCTCGTAATGTCTTCAGCAGCTTGATTTCGTCAATAAAACCCGCCACGGTTTCGTGCTCTTTGCCATCGAGACGAATTCGCTTCAACGCTAAAATCTTTCGCTTGGGAGAGACGACTTTGTAAACCTTGCACGTGCCACCTTGACCCACGCACTCGAGTTTCGTATACTTGACTCCATTCACGATGACGGTGTTATCATCCTCGCGAGGACGGTCGTGATACTTGTTCGCGCTCGCCACGGAGCTACTCTCCACGCGCCGCTCGCCGCCTTGCAAGGGCGTTTGCTCCGCCGCTCGTTGCCTCGAAGGTGGTACTCTCGGAGGATCCATCGATGCGTGACCGCTAGCGGCCGGTGTATGCTCGGAACGTGAAGGTCGAGACGCGCTCAAAGCGCTGTACTTCTCTTTCGCCTCCGCGAGGCGGCTTCGCAACGTCACGGTGGCCTCCATCACGCTCGTCGGCGGCGGCGGGGGCATTGAATTCTCCGTCTTTTCGCCGCCACCGCGTATACCTCCCGTGCGGGCGCTGTGATAGCTGCTCACGCTTCCCGGCATCGCCGTTGATGACGTCACGTACGTCGTACCCGCATGGTGCGACGGCGCTACGGGCTGCGGCGCGGTAAACTTTGCCGTCGGCGTCGCTTGCATATTCGCCAAAGCCGCGGCGCGTTGCGATAAATTCTTGGGCGTCGCCACCACGGATGACTTCGCCCCAACATGCATGGCGTCCACATCCATATCCCTCGTCACGTGTCGCGGGTTCGCGGGCTTAATCGCCGACGTATACTGCGGCGCCAGCGACCGAAACGGCGTGTGTTGCGTGTGCTGCGCCGGTTCGTATCGTTTTCCCTCCATATCCGCCAGCATGCACTCGATCGCCCCCGAGGGCTCGGCGCCGAAATCTAATCCTCGCTTTAAGATTTTTACCGCTTTCTCCTCGCCCTTGAACGTGTACCCGAACGCCGCCCACTCGCACCAATAAATCGCGTGCTTGTGCCCGATGCCGCACGACTTTAAAAACTTAAACGTATCCCTCGCGTCATCCATGTTGCTCACCATCTGCTGCCTCGCCAGCCCGAGAAATATCCTCACATAGTTTTCATCGTTCACGTTCCCCCGCTTCGGGATCGTCTTCGTCGCGAGTTCGTACAACCGATGCAAGCTCACCCCGTTTCGACTCCCCGCGCTCGCGCTCGGTTTCCCCACCTCCGCCGTCGCCGCCGCGTCCGCGTACGTCGCCTCTTCGTGCTCCAAAAAGTTCAACCACGCCTCCGGGTTCTCTTGATTCTCTCGCACCGCGTTCGCCAGCGCGTTCCTCGCCTTTCTCCCCCGCGTCGGCGTCCCCGTCTCGTCCGCGCTCGCGCAGTACTCGTCCAGCAGCGCCGTCGCCGTCCCCGCCCGTCGCGTCCCCACCGCCGCGCTCGTCGACGCGCTCGCGCGCGCGTCCGCCTCCGCGCGAGGCGTCACCGCGCTCATCATCCGCACCCGCGCCGCGAGCGACCGCACGCGCGGTTCGTACGCCGACGACGGCGTCGTCGCGCCGTCGCCGAGCCGTTGTCCATCGCGATCGTTCTCGCCGTCTCCGCGCGCGCCGCGCGTCGCCGCGTCGCGCGATTTCCCGTCCGCGGCGCGGTGGGCGTTTTCTTTATCGCGCTCGACGTCCATCGCGCGCGCGCGGCGAGAGACGCGTCCGCGTCTGCCGCGACGCGCGCGGCGCGCGTTTGAATCGCCGTTCCCCTTTTTATCGCGACGCGGCGCGAACGCGCGAAGACTTAAAACGCGCGCGAGTACGAGAGACGATTCGCGTCGCGCGAAAAATCGGTGAAGGCACAACCCTAGACACCGGCGCGACATCGCGACGCGCGCGCGCGAGCGCGCGCGCGTCATGGCCGCCGACGACGCGCGTCGCGCGTACGCGTCGAACGATGACTTGCGCGACGCCATGCGGCGGCTGAGCGCGAGCGATGGCGCGTGCGCGGGGATATCGCGCGTGGTGTCGCTGGGACGGAGCGCGAACGGCGAGGACGTGCGCGCGCTGACGATCGGTCGAGGCGCGCGCGCGAGCGACGGCGACGACGGCCGGGGAGGGCTTCGGTTTGGATTCATCGGGAACATGCACGGAGACGAGCCCGTGGGGCGAGAGATCGCGATGGAGGTGGGGCGATGGGTGTGCGAACGCGCGACGACGACGCGCGAGACGACGAGCGAGGCGGAGACGCGCGAGCGGGCGCTGGCGAAACGATTGGTGAACGAGGCGACGCTGTTCGTGGTGCCGACGGTGAATCCCGATGGGTTCGCGGCGAAAACGCGCGGGAACGCGCGTGGGGTGGATTTGAATAGAAACTTTCCGTACACGCGATTTTCGCTGCCGAAATCGTTGAGCGGACGGGCGAGCGCCGTGGGCGGGAGCGCGGGGGACAACGCGAAGCGAGAGATCGAGACGGCGCTCATCATGCGATGGAGCGAAAAGTGGGCGATGAATGGGGCGCTGAATTATCACGAAGGCGCGTTGGTGGCGAACTACCCGTGGGACGGGAACGACGACGGAAGCACGTCGTACAGCGCGGCGCCGGACGACGCGACTTTTAGATATCTCGCGTCATCGTACGCTCAAGCGCATCCCACGATGAGTAAGAGCGCGGAGTTTGAGGGTGGAATCACTAACGGCGCGGCGTGGTACCCGTTGTGGGGCGGGATGCAAGATTGGCACTACGTGCAGACGGGGACGTACAGCTTGACGGTGGAGGTGGACGACGAGAAATGGCCGAGCGAGGACAAGCTCGGAGCGATCGTCGACGAGCACGTGAACGCCAGCATAGACGTGTGCGCCCGCGCGCTCTTCGGCTCCGTGCGCGGCTTCGTGCGCGATGAGAGGGGCGCGGCCGTCGTCGGCGCTTCCATCGTCGTCGGCCGCGACAGCGCGCCGGTGAAAACCGACGCTCGAGGCTTCTTCGCCAAGCCCAGCGAGCCGTCCACTCGACCCGTTCGCGTCGTCATCACGCCTCCATCGAACAAGCGCAACGTCGACACCATCACCCACTTCGTCCCCACCATCGATCCAACCGACGGCGCGTCGATCGACGTCGTCTTCACTCCCAGAAGCGCCCCTCCCGGCTTTCTCCTGCTTCGCGTCGTCGCCGTCGTCGTCTTCGCCGTCGTCGCCTTTCTCATCCGGCGCAGCGCCCGACGCCGCAGGCGCGTGTCGGTGCTTTCAGAGTCATTAGTAAATAACGTCGACGTCGAGAAGGCGATCGCGAACCGACGCGGGATGACATCCAGCCGTTCGTTGTCCGGCCTCTGACCGACTGTACCTTGTAACAGCAGCACCGTGGTAGCAGACAACACCCACGCCCCGCGCACGATGAACCGCACACGCGCGCGCGCGCACGTCAGATTGACGCACGAACGCGCGCGAACGCGCGAAGAAATCGCGTGCGCGTGTTTACCGCGCGAAGCCGCGCCCGCGACGCGCCCGCGACGCACGCGCGACGCGAACACGCGAACGCGCGACGGTGAACACCCTCGGCGTCGCGCGATCGATCGCGCGTGGTGACGGCGATGGCGAGCGAACCGGCGCGCGCGAAGTTCAAATCCCTGCGAGGATGGAACGTCGATAAGTACCAGTTCGATGTGCGCGCGCAGAGCGCGTACAACGTCCTGCCGGGGACGCAACGTTTGAAATTGCTGTGGAGGCGCGGACACAAGCGCGCGGAGACGAAGACGGCGAACGTGACGCGCGGGGAAGCGGTGTGGGATGAAACGCTGACGCTGTCGTGCTCGATGTTTGTGAATCCGAAGACTGGGATGTACGAGAGCAAGCCGGCGATGTTCGTGCTGCAGACGGTGAACGAGGACGGGTCGATTGGGAAGACGTACGCGGAGGCGACGATTGATCTGTTGGAGTTTGCGTTGAATCCGGGACGGGAACTGTCGCAGACGGTGCCGATGAGACAAGGAGCGGTGTCGATGTTGACACATTTACAGTTCGCCGTCACGGCGACGCCGTTGGCGGAAAACGTGGCGTTGAGCGACGTGTCGAGCGCGCTGAGCGTCGCCGATCTAGCCGACGTCGCCGAGTTGGCAGCGACGAGCGCGGTGCCGGAAAAGTTGGCGGTGAACGTGATCGGGGAGCACGAAGATGAGGGATATTTCGATGAGAAACTCGATGTCAGAGAGGATGCGCAATCGGAAAGTGAAAAAGAGGATAGCGAATTTGCCTACTTTGACGAACGCCTGGCGTACAAGGTGGAGGGCGACGACACGGAACAACTTCCGCCGCCGACTGCGGAGGAACTATTATCGGGCGTTGACGCTGAAGAAGGCATCGTACCCGGTGTGAAGATGATGCGCTTGATTGTCGGGAAAAAGTGCAAAATTTTCGTGCGGGGTCAGGATAACTTTGGCAACGCACGCACGACAGGCGGGGACAACGTCGAGGGCGTGTTGATCGGTCCGAGCGGGCAGCGCGGGTTAGTGAGCACTAAAGACCACGGCGATGGCTCGTACTTGCTAGAGTTTACGTGCATGCAACAAGGGATTTGGACCCTTCGTACGCGGTTTAACGGTAGACTGAGCGTGGAGCGACACAAGCTCGTGGTTTCCTTCGGTCCGCTCACGGCCCAGGACGTTCGGGTGCAGTTACCGAAGCCGCCGTTCAGATGCGGTGCGTACACGGACATGCAAGTCGTTGTTGAGCATCCGGAAGATGGGAGAATTCTAACTGGTGCAGAGGCGTTTAACGTTCGCCTCGTCTCACCGGCGGGCTTGTCGTTGGGCGTTCCGCTCGACATTCGTCCCGGGACGACCGCCGCCGTCGCGCGAATCAACTGGCCCGAAGTTGGCGAGCATCAGCTTGACGTAAGACTAGATGGTGAATCGCTTCGCGGGTCGCCCATGCGAGTCGAAGTTGTGCCTGAGGATTTGTGCCTAGCCGCTTGTCAACTTCAAGGTCCGGGTGTTCATCGATGCACGGCGGGCATACGCTCCGCGTTTGTCATCGAAGCTCACGACAGTCGTGGTAATCGTCTCCTTTCTGGAGGCGCGCCACTCTTTTTGGGCATTCGCACGGCATCGAATGAGTCGTACTCGGGTGAGATTGTTGATTTCGGCAACGGCACGTACGAAGCTTCGTACTCTGTTCGTGTTTCTGGTTATTACGAATTATCGCTCGCCATCTTAGGTGAGGAACTCGTAATTAAAGGCTTATGTGAACCCGGCAAGGCCGTCGTCGCGGGTTGTGAGCTGGTCGGCGACGCCGGATTGGACCTTGAAGTTGGCTCTTCCGGTCGCTACAGTATCATTCGTCACGATGCATACGGCAACAGAGTGCCAACGCGTCAGGGACAAATCAAGTTCAAAGTTACCGCCGATGGACCTGGACCCGCAACTTGTACGATGATTGATAGAGCTGATGGCGTTAGTGATGTCGATGTCAGTACCTCTGTAGCCGGGAGGTATTTCGTCCAGGTGACGGCTGGTGATCAAGAACCGATTCCTGGTTCGCCGTTTGAAGTCATCGCATATCCTAGTCCTGCTTCGCACGAAACGAGTGTGACGACAGTGTTCGGTGCACAGTTAGCCGCAAGTGATAGCGATGTCCTCGTGGCTGTTGCTGGCGAAGAGGTCTCGTTATCAGTAGCACCTCGTGATATGTACGGCAACGTCACTGTCTTCTCCAAGTCGGCGGCGATCACTGCGACAGCGACGGGAGGTGGCGTCTCGACTTCCTTTGAAGAACGCACTGGAACTCGCACGGAAGTTTCTTTGTTCTCGACTTTCAGACTAGCTGGGTCGTACTTGCTCACCGCAAAAATCGGCGACAAGGTGTTAGACGGCTACCCAAGGATTCTCACGGTTGTTTCGGCGGCCACTGAACCTCGAAAGTGCATGTTGTTTGGTGACGCGCTTCAAGGCGTGAGGTGTAACCGAGTTTCAACACTCACCGTGCACGCAGCAGATAAATTTGGAAACTTGAGATCGACGGGTGGCGACGTTGTCGATGTCAACTTGTGCTCACCCGACGGAAAGTACGTCGTTGCTTCAAAGGTTGATGACCACGCCGACGGAACGTACGGCGCAAAATTCAAGCTCGAGCGCCCGGGGACGTGGGAAATCCAACTCGTCGTCAATGGCCGCGGTGGCCGGACGCAAGTCAATGAGATTACTTCGTATTTTGCAGGCGTCAAAGCGAACGAGTGTACGTTTTCTGGCATGGGTTCGGATGGTGTTGAAGGCGTCGTATGCTTTAAGCAGAGTGACATCGTCATCGAGCCAGCTGACTTTGAGCAAAACTCACGCCTCATGAGCGGGAAAGAAGCCGTCGCAGTCCGTATTCTCACGCCATCTGGAGGTATTAGCTCTGTGGATCTCAAGTTCGAAAATGGAAAATATAGAGGATCGTACACCTGGACTCAGCCAGGTCAGCACACCGTGTCCGTGTCTCTTGATCAAGAAGCCATCGTGGGGTCGCCGTTTTCCGTTGAGGCCATGAGTGCGTTGCCTCAAATTGCCGAACTGGAGAACATGGCCGTCGGGGAGATTGCCGATATCCTTCCAAAGCTCAGTGGCGAAGGTGCATCGCAAGCGTTGCAGTCTCTTGGACCCGATAAAGCGGCCGAAGCGTTGGCGGGCAACACGCCCGAGTCAGCGGTGCGAATGATGGCGCATGTGTTCCCTGGAAATGTTGCGGAAATTCTTAGTTGCATGCGTCCTGACGCAGCCGCAGCGACAATCTCTGCGATGCCCGGCGAGCGAGCCGCTGAGGTTCTCAGCACAATGCAATCAAACGACGCGACGCAGCTGATGAAGAATATGTCGAGTGGGGAGATATCTGAAAAGGCTGAAATGTTCGCCGACGTCATTTGTGGCATGAAGGAAGACGATATGCTTGTGTGCGTTCGCGAGCTCATGAATTCGCGAACCGCGGAGAAAGGTTTAAAGTCAGTGCTAGATAAAATGCCCGCGCGCGTCGTAGCTGAACTCACTGGTAAGCTGGATAAGGGTGAGAACACCAGGCTTCTTTCCGGGCTTTCGCATGAGCGCACAGCCGCCATTGTCTCTAAACTGCCAGTTGAGCTGCAAGCCGGTGTCATTGGCCTGCTCGGCGGAGATTCCATGTTCCAGATGACGAAGACCTTGTATGCTGCGTATAAAGTGGACAAGAATTCGTCCGCACAAGAGCGCAGTCGAATGAAGGCGGATGCCCAGGACACGGGTCACCGGCTGGCCCCAGCTCTCGCTAGCATGGACACGGAGGAGCTCCGCGACAATTTCAAGCAAGCAACGCCCGAGCATATCGGTGGCTGCCTCTTTGCACTCATCGACGCAAAGCGCCGTCAGGTTGGCTCTAAAGCTATCGCTCGTCCCGTGGCACAGATGATGGAAGACGGCTCGATCGAATGGGGGGATGGTTCCATTTCTCACGTGAACGAAGACAGATCGGCAATCAATCATTCCGACGGAACTTCGGCATCCCTTCGTGTAGATGGTACTATCATCGATAGCGATGGACAAGTGCTCAAACTTAGACCTGATGGGATCATCACGGCCGATGGTACTGTCCTAGGGGCCGACGGAGAAATCACCACCGCTCCGTCCGGTCCGTTGCACATGTTCAGGGCACTGACGACGGAGCAGCAAACAGCGGCGATTCTTGAGCTCATCGAATTCAGTCAAACGGGTAACGCCGGCGAGATCTTGGTCGATCTCACCGCGACGGAGCTTCGCGAGACAATCCGCCCCATGGGTGCTAGCGACCAGGCGAAAGTCTTCATAGAAATCGGGCGAATGTCGCCCTCGCAAGCAGCTCGCGCTGCTTCAGTTCTCAGCCACACCGAAGCTGCATCAGTGGTGAGCATCATGGTGAATCCCGGTTCAAGCGGGCGATGCGACGAGCCATTCATGGGCCCGTTCCTCGAGGCGCTGGCGCCGCAGATTTTGCGTAACATCGAACCACCAACAGCTGTTGGCGGCGCGCTGGCAACGCATCTTTCCCCGACGGCAGCTGCTCACGTTTTGCACAAGCTCGAGCCGATGGATGTGTCGCGTATCATCGAAGGAATGAGTCCAGCAGAAGTGCGCCAAGTCATCGAATCGAGTTCGAATATTCAGGCCGAAGCCGGTAAGGCTGTGAGCGATACTCCGCTCATCGCCGCGCTCGTGCCTTACGTGTCCGCCATGGATGACTCGCAAGCGGCGACGCTCTTGGAAGGTCTTCCTGCGGACATGGCTGTTGGCGTCATGATGTGCACGCCTGAAGAACGGGCTAAAGAGATTATGTCGCACACGCGAAGACGAGACTTGAAGGAGCGCATAGCGAACAAATCCTTGATTCACCTCGACGCGTGTACTATCGTCAACCTTCGTGGGGCAGTAGCAGGGGAATCCTCTTCCTTCATTTTAGAAGCGAGAGAGCGCGGTGGAAACAGGATTACTTTTGGAGGCGGACGGTTGACAGTCGCCACGAAGCTGTTCTCCGCGCCTGGTCCTGGCGTTGAGCAAGGGACTGTCCATGACCGCGGTAATGGTGAATACGTCGTACAGTTCACGAGCACCTTGGCCGGTAAGATCGCCGTCGTTGTCGAGGCTTCCGGACAATCTCGTGCCTGGGACGTAAACATCGAGGCATCCGACGTCGTTATTCCAAAGTGTACGATCGAAAAGCAAGGATTGGAGAGTTGGACGGCCGGTAGTCCTGGTAGAATACTGCTTACTTTGCGCGATCGCTTCGGGAATTTCGCTCATTCGTCGAAAAGTATCCTCGAGTTCGAAGCTCGCGCATCAGGACCTGGAGGCGTCATCGTCGAGCGCAACATGTTGGATGACGGGAAAATTGAATTTCTCCTGAACACGACTGTCACTGGCATTTACAAAGTCGCCGTATCGTGCTTGGATACGAAAGAAGATTTGAGCGGCTGTCCCTTTGAAGCACGTATGGGGACCGACGCTCTCTCCCAAGCGGGCTGTACCGCCTCATTGCAATCTCTCACGAGTTCGACAAAGGGCCCGGGGGCGAAAGCCGCCGCCTATGGCGCCTGCGCCGCCATGGCGGGTGAAGAAGTCACCTGCGTTGTGGAGGCTCGCGATCGGTACGGCAATACGACTACTTTTGCAGGCGAACACGTGGCCGTCATTGCGTTCGGACCGGCGCACTTGCCCGCGGATAGACCGTTTGAAGTGGCCGACGTTCGCAGTGGCCGGATGGCGCTTCGAGCCATCTTCCCACGATCGGGGAGCTACACGATCGCTGTAACTGTTGACGGCATCCCGATCGCTACGTCTCCGCTCATCTTGCACGTTTTTCCGGGTGCGTGCGAAACGAGTCGTGCGGTCTTACGTGGTGACGCGCTCAATGGCATCGTCGCGAGTAAGATTACAAGTCTTCTTGTGCAAACAGAGGACAAGTACGGGAACCATTGCCACGTGGGTGGCGACAGGGTGAATCTCTCCATGTCAGGACCGAACGGCATCAAAGTAAATTCTTTGGACGTCAAAGACAACGAAGACGGAACGTATTCTTTCTCATTCATCATTCCACAATCTGGTCGATGGACGATTCAAGCCGTCGTGAACGGTCGCATTGCAAAAGAGAGCACCACTGAAGTTGTCGTCACATACGGCCCATTACACGCCGCCGCGTGCGTGTTGAAAGGAGGTCCTGGAATGAAACGTACGGAAGTTTGCGGTGCGCAGCGCGATATTTACTTGCAAGCTCTCGAATATGACGCAAACGGGCGCGGGATGAGCGGGCAAGAAGCTATCACAATGCACTTGATTACGCCAAGTGGTGCGACGCACACACTCGCCCCCGTTTTTGCCGAACGAGGCTCTCGCTACAAGGCCACGGTACGATGGTGGGAGGTTGGAAGACACGAGGTTGTCGCCGCAGTCGGGGGACAACCAGTTGTAGGTTCTCCATTCGTAGTGAACGTTGAAGCGCAGGAAGTGAGTCTGCCGATGTGTCGACTCTCGGGACCTGGCCTTCAGGGTGCTGTCGCGGGAGAGCGAGCCACGATCCTCATCGAGTCAAGAGACGAACGCGGTAACCGACTCTTCAATGGCGGTGCACAAATGGGCATTGCCGTGCGATCGGGCGGTGAAACTCTTCGTGGCAAGGTGCAAGATTGCGGGGACGGTACGTATGAGGCGAGTTACATTGTCGAGCGTGCCGGACCGTTCGAGTTGTCACTGTTCCTCGGCACGGAGGCGGCTACGTACAGGGCGACATGTAAGCCAGGACGCGTAGATTACGCCAAGTGCCGCGTTGATGGGGTGAATAATGGCGTATGGGTTGCTGGCGAGCAACTCACTCTCACAGTCACGCGCATGGATCGTTTTGGTAACAGAATCACCCGTCGCGAAGGGCTGGCGCCTTTCTTCGGCAAGGCGATTGGACCTGGAGATATCGTAAGCCAGTCGTTAGAACTCGGTAACGGAACGGCGGAAATCAAGTTGTACGGCACAGTTGCTGGAAACTATCAAATCGGTGTCTACGTTGCCGACACTCCCATTGTGCCTTACGCGAATGAGGAAGCCGAAGCTCTTATGGAGAACCAACAGCTCCTCCTCGAAGACTCAAAATCCGCTAAGTCCAAAGCAGATAGCAAAAGGATTGAAGCGCAAGAGTCTGGTCTTCGAACAGATTCTCTCGCGGGTACCGTGCGTTCGGCGTCAAAGAGTGATATCAACGCTGGCAAGCCATTGGCCGCGGTTCCAGGAACCTTCATCGCCTCTGAAGACATTGAAGCGATGAAGGAAGTAACGCTGCCAAAGGTGACGACAATGAATGGCGTCGAAATGGTTCCGTTACCGAATGGTTTGTTCGAGATGAACTTGATACCGACGATTGCGATGCCGAATTGCTGTGAGTTAGAAGTCATTGGTGGCACGCGCGCCGATGATTCATGGATCACCCCAGCGGGTGACGAAGTGATTGTCAGAGTCATAGCCCGAGACAGATACAAGAATGAAACGCACTGGGAGGAGGGTCAAACGATCACCGTCGAGGCACTCGGTCCAGAGTTTCTGAGTTTCTCCTCGCACGGAACGACGAGCTTACAGAACGAGTTCGTCGCGAAGATGATTCGCGCGGGCACGTTTGAGCTTCGAGTGCTTTGTGACGCCCTTCCAGTCTGCTGGAGGGCAATGCAAGTCATCGCTGGCTTCACTTTCGCGCCGCGATCGATTTTGAGTATGGATGGGTTGAAGGACGTCAAAACTGGTAACATCGTTCGATTGACACTTCGAACAGTCGATAGGTATGCCAACCTCCGTCTTAGTGGTGGAGATACGGTGCAGCTAGCGCTCCAAGGTCCGAACGGCGCATTCGCTCGCCAAGTGAGCGTGACGGATCATCAAGATGGTACTTACGCGCTTGAATTCCAAGTCACTGCCGCAGGCAGGTGGATTATGAGTACGCGCATCAATAGTGTTCTTCACGTCGAGGGCGGAATTTCTTTTGTCGTTGCGTTCGGTACACTGACGGCAGAGGAGGCGGTGGTTTCTTTCGATCCTCCTTTGCCTAAAAACGGAT